ATCGCTTCTGCGGTGGTCTCATCCTCGCTAATCTGCTCCTCTTACGGGTCTTGTGGTCAGCACGGCAGCCACACCCACAGCCCCGGGTCAGGCTACCTCTTGAACTTCTGATATGGGACTCTTCATCAGACGTTGGCTTCGACAGGAGTACATCGTCATATCGTTTATGGCCTCGGCTGAAGATATCCTCCGCGGCGTCTCGGCTGCAGATGCTTTTCTCAGTTTGCAATCAGTTATCCTCGCTCATCGATAACGGACCCGGGCCGTCCGTTATGTGCGTTTCGCTTCAGCCATCGCAGTGGCCAAATCATTCTCGTGGGCATTGCCACCTAATCATCTCGGACCTCTTGCCTCTCCGGAGAGGAGAACTGCCTTATGCGAACTCGGCAAAAACGTTATACCGCGTGTACTCTGGGATTGCCCGTGCGACAACAGAACGAAGGGGCGACCAATCCATTTCTCGTACGCGACCCAACCGTCTGGAAGTGCCCCGGGATCGAAGACAGAGCCACAAAGGAATTGATTCAACTGCCTGCGCCGGGTCGCTGGATTCAGGGGAGCCGAGTCAGTCTGATCGTGTCTGTACCTATGGACGACGTGTGGACGAGGTGCTCAATGTCGACTACTTCACAGAAAGCTCGGGGACATGACTGGCCCATTGCCAGCTGTGAGAAGCTTCGATGTAAGATGCTTGGAGCACCCGATCCTGCAAGTTTCCGTTTGCTGGCCCTGCTTCTCGGGTCGGATGGCGCAGCTATTCCCAACAATCAGCAGAGTATGCTACTGTCTCGGCACCGCGTTCTTCTTGGCGAATGTACTCCTCAATCGTGAGCGAGAGCTTGCTCTACAGAAGTCGAGAATAGGCGTGCATCAGCACGTACAACTCGGTGGGCAACCGCTCTCCACGATGTTTTTCTCAAGTCGCTCTATACAAACCACAATGGCGAATCCATTGCCATGCAACTACAGTGTAAAGTGATTAGGCGCCATGTCCGTAACACAACATTATGGCATGGAGATGACTCTCGACAGTTGTACAGGAAGGCTCTGTGGCAGTCCTGCAGCCTGCCGTCGGCATGCCTCATCTCGGTTTTTACCACGATCCTGCAGCAAGGCGTGTGCGACCAATCGACATAGAGAAGAAAGTACAGGACGAGAGGCGGTGGACGGAGACTCGGTGTGCCCTGGTCCTGTGCTTCTTCCTCGTCCAAGCTGGGTGGGTGTCACGAATAATCTTTCTGTACGCGACATAACCATGCCCAGGCGGCTGGACTCGCTCCCTTCGTGTTATGGTGAGGTTTGCCAAGAAGCTTCCAAATAATTTGGGAAGTGGGGAGTTGTTGAAATAAGAAAAGAGGGCGTTTCGTGGCGCTAAATTATGATGGCCTGGTTGGGCTACGAGAAGCTGATCCGGCGTGGGGAGCCCCCGGTTCATCACGTTGGATGTTTGAACTTCGCGGAGGATGCAAGACTCCCATACGGTCAATGTCAACTCTTTCGGGATCAACACTGGGACTGCGTCGACTTCGAGGATCCCTCCCCCGATAACCCACCAAGGCGTACCATTAGCAAGTCACCTGTTAACATGAGCAGGGTAGGGACCCGCGGCTGGCCGCCGCACTAACATGGTATGTCATATTTGTCGTGGACGCAGTGAGCCACGGTGCGACTGATTGCGATATCTTGAGCAACAGAGAACCAGCCTGCTGTGATCCCAGATCTTTCAGGATCCCGGTCACATCTCTCACCCTTGCCCACTAACCCATTCGCCTGGCTGGCCCCGTGGGACTGCCGCTCGCAATCTCGACTGGTCGCCGTCTTTCAATCTCAGCGGTCGCTTCTGTTATTGGGCCCGTTCAACTATCGAACCCTATCGCTCTGTCGACATAACGTGCAAGTGATTTGCAACCACGTGGGAAAACGAACACGGATGGCCCGGACGGGAGGCGTCCTATGAAAAGAGGCGGTATTACGTTTCGTTTCGTCCAGTCATTCCAGTACCCGTCCACCTTGGGCATGATACCCGCAGCGGCTCGCGACTCTATGCGTATTTGTTTATAGAACGTTCGTGCGCTCTTTCGGACGAACGACGACGACGACGCGCCTCGTCGGAGGGGGTATCGGCGGTTTCGCGTCAGGGTGGCCAGCGATCATTTGATCGACCGCAAGCATAACCTTGCTGTCTCCATCCGATCGACCTTGGAATGCGGGAGCCAGGGTTCTGGGGAGAAAATCTCCCACCTCACTGTCACACTCGAGGTGGATGGAGGCCAGCCGGCCTTGGCCGCCAGACTCTCCAGGCTTCTGGCCAGTGTTCCCCTTGACGGCATCCATGCATGGCCCCGTACACCGACTGCCCAGTCGATGAGAGAGAGCGGTGGGAAGCTGCATGATCTTGAGGGTGAATACTCATCAGATGACGCAAAACGCTTGAACTTACGGTCCTTGCTGCCGACGTTCTGGCTTGCCCAGTCTCTGTCAGTGTCAACTTCCCGGTCGGGGCTCAGTCATTGTACAATGCCGTTCCGACCACACATCAGCCAAACGCCTCAACAAGTCAGAGGGATTCTCGGTGCGTAGTACATCTTCGGACAATGATCCCACCAGGGCCGTGAGGCGTTGGATCCGGATGATTGGCAACCAACCAGACGCGTTCCCCGCGCCTGAGAGTCGCGGGTGAAGAGAAATGAGGCGCAAACAGGGCTCGGTAACGGCCTAGCCTAGCTGTGCTCACTGCGGCCGTCTGCTCAAGAGACCATCAGGATCTGTGCGAAGCTTCGCACTTGGATACGTCTTCGCGGCAAAGCCGAAAGAGGCCTGTCCATCTCTAGCAGGACTGGAGGTCTCCCTCCTGGAAGGGCTACATGGATGGGCCTTTTGCACAACGACCCCAGAAATGAGCGGCTGCTGTGGTGTTTCTCTTGGAAGATACGAGACTGACGACATCACTGCATGGCCTTCCACTTAATCCCAAACCGCACGACCTCTCGCAGTTCACCAACATGGTTCTCGCGCAGCTACTAAGGAGCATACGAGGTGCCACTCGCCCACCCCCGGTCCCGCAGTCGTCTCCGCGCGCTGGCTCGAAGAATAGCGCGGGTTACCACACTCGAGAGCACACATTGGGCGCTCTGCCACCCAATCTCTCGGCCAGACATGCCACCCCATGCAGGTCTCGATCAGAGTCAGTCTCGCTCGTCAAGATCCTCTATTGGCCCAACCCCTTCTCGTAGCCAAGCCCCGATGGATTGAGGCGTCTGCCGTGTACTCGCAGCGATCTTGATCCTGTTTCTTCTCTCTCTTCCTCTTTGTGTTTTATTCTACGGATCCACCCGCAGATTATCCTGGTCTAGGGACAAATCTCAGACATCTCTCGAGGTGTACGTGGTGTAAAGACAGGGGCGAGGGGCGTATCACGATTCCGGGCTACCAAGGCTTCAAATAATCTACCGCCGTACCTTTTGCGTGGTTCGGTGCGTCTAGAGGTGCACTCACAGCAGCTATTTGCAACCCCAGTGACGAAGCATTATGGAGTGTGAAGCAGTTTACACGACGCAGCAGGGCGATACGTTCCTTTGGGTGGTATCTGCATGAGCGGGCGCCAACTTGGTGGCGTCTAATCAAGTTTGGCGAGATTCTGCATCCACCGAGTCACAGGATTCGACGATGATGCGCTTTCGCTACGTTTTCCAGTGACACAAGGAGAAGATTCGAAGCCACGGAATTTTCCCAACCGCCAAACAAACTTACCACGACCACGGCTTGAACTCAAAACTTTCTTCATCGAGACCCTCGAACGGGAACGTTACTACCCACCTTGATGCCGATCGGATGCCGTCTCTGCCTGATGTTGAATCGGTCGACGTCTGTGGCTCAGACAGACTCGACCGCCGATGGGCGTCCTCCTTCGGGCCACCAGACGAACATGGGGGCGGCCCCTCCGGGGCGTGTTCGGTACGGAGTGGAAGAGCAGTTTCCGATTCAGGGGTTCCATGGGTCACGGATGATGTCCAGGGGAGGGCGTCTTTGGGAATCGAGACACAACATGCTTGAATAAGCGAGACCGGTTGCTCGGCATCACGGGGTTCGAGTTTGTGCCAGGGTGGGTTGCTAGACAGGATATGGTTCGCGTTGACGACACGGTGAAGTTGAGTTTATGGGGATCGTGTTGGCAGTCCTCCGCATGTTGGCCCCCGTACGTTGACCGCCGCCGTGCGTTGTCTCCTGGTCTTCTTCATACCGGATGTGAGGTGAAGCGATCCACGGCTCATCTTTCGGGGCGATGATCATGGGCGACTAGACGGCGTCCCTCTCTCTTCTGAGACGGCGGAAGTTGTCATCTCTTCCGCGAGTGATGTCCAAAGGGTTAAAGCACGATTTAAGATCATCATCTGTTTGATAGTGCAAAGCTGTGATGCTTGGACGAGCTCATCCATCTATGCACCTGAACCTTGCCTATGTCTCGTTCGACCAAGACGTCTTGGGCGTGACGCTGTTGTTCCAAGTGATCTAGCCACATTTGCTTTTGCTTTCGTCTTGGTCATGTATGTGCTCAAAGAGTGCGAAGGCCTCTGCTTGGGGCAAACGGCGTCCCCGAGCTTTTGGCCTCTCTCTCCCACGGCGCCGCTTCGACTTACTCATGTGTGCTCGAGTGAGAGAAACCTCTACATACGATTCTACTGAGATCCGTATGGTTTTCGCTGCTGCCATGAGGTGTCTTGAACTGCGTTGCTTGTTGTCCGGTCTTGGTTTAATAGTCACTGACTGCTAATCACACGATTCTTATTCTATAAGTGACTCAACCAACGTGGTAAAGCCTAAGAAGAAAACCATTGAAACCATGACCAACCGTGACATTCTAATCATTCATACCAAGCTTTGGTGATAATCTATGCCTTCCCATATTCCGTCTAGCCCGGGCCGCTCCGGTTTACCGTGACTGACTACCATATTCTCGTCCAAATACCAGTCTATTCTTCCATGACCAGATCGCGCGGTAATCAGAGCTCGTCCTTGACCGCCCTGTTGGTGCGGTCGTGGCTCTTCGCCTTGAAGCCGTCGCCAGGCTGCGCGATCCTCCTGAGGCGGAAGACCTTGGCCGCATGGCTAGGCACCGTGGCCTTCAACACGCCCCTCGCCTCGACCTCGCCAATCTTCTTGCCAAACAGCCTCGGGTCCTCCCTCTCGAGACCGACGGCGTACGGGATCTCGGTGGCATTGTACCAGTTCGCCTCCCTGAACACCCTGACCCTCTCGTCGTCGCTCTCCGCCCGGAGCAGCGCCTCCGCCGTCTCCGTCGGCATCCGGTCCGCCCAGAGGTCGTTCACGGCCCACTTGTACCGCACCTGCGGCGCCGAACCGCCCGGTCCGTCGGCGACGAAGATCTCGGCGAGCGACGACTCCATCTCGATCTCGGCGCCCGCCGCGTTCAGGAAGATGACGACCTGGTCGCCGTTCTCGAGCCGGCCGCTCCAGACCTGCGCCTCGGCGACGCCGAACTCGTCGGGCACCAGACTACCCCCGACGTCCCTCCTCACGCGCAACGCGCTGCGCCCGTGGGGGTCCTGGCTGATGGCGACGACGGCCGGGTTGTTGACGATGGTGAGGGCCTCGGCGGGCATGGAGCGCAGGTCGTTGCCGAGGAAGAGGGGCGACTTGAGGGCGGCCCAGAGGGCGAAGTGCGCCTTGTACTCCTCGTCCGTCATGCCGCCCTGGCCGACCTCGAGCATGTCGAGGTCGTTCCAGCCGCCGGGGATGCCCTTGTCGGCGAAGGCGGCGACGCGGTTGAGGATGAAGAGGACGGAGCAGTGGGTTCCGGGGGCGACGCAGAAGGGGTCCGAGGCCGTGTTGCAGCTGCAGAGGTCGTCGGGGCGGGTGAAGGAGTCGTAGATGTCGCCCGACATGCGCCAGGAGTTGGCGATGGACATGCCCCACTGGTGTTTCTGTTAGTAATTCGATCATCAACGACGGAAGAGAGGAGAGGAGACATACCGTGTGGACGTAGTCCTCGCCCCAGTTGCAGAGGTTCAGGGTGATGTCGCGGCCCGTGGCCTTGAGGGCGTCGGCCATGACCTTGAATCTGTTGAAGGAGATCTGGGGCGTTCCCATGCGGCCCATGTGGTAGCAGTTGTCGTACTTGAGGAAGTCGACGCCCCAGGCGGCAAAGTTCTCGGCGTCCTCCTTCTCGTGGTCGAGAGAGCCGGCTACAAACATCGTCAGTCGTGATGCCCATACTATTTAAAAAATGCTTCAAACTTACGGAATCTCGCGCAGGTCATCTCGCCGGCGGTAGAGTACATGCCGTACTTCATGCCCAGGCTGTGGACGTAGTCGGAGACGTGCTTCATGCCGTTGGGGAACTTGTTCGGGTTCGGGTGGATGATGCCCTTGGCATCGCGCCCCTCCTCGGCCTGCCAGCAGTCGTCAAGGACGACGTAGTTGTAGCCCAGATCGCGCAGGCCGAGGCTCACGATGCGGTCTGAGGTGCTGAACAGCAGGTGCTCCGACACGTCGCAAGCGAACGCGTTCCAGTTGTTCTGTTCATTGTCAGCTACTTAAATTCATCTCATTCACTTCAGCATCACCCACCCATCCCATCGGAGGCGTATCAGCCAGCCCGTTTGCGAGAGCAGCAACGCGTCCGGCGGACGCCAGCGCGGCCACGAGGCCCAGTGATCCGTATGTCATTTTAATCGTCTTTTGAGCAGAGAAACGATGAGGACTCCTGCTTTCTAAATCGGCTCGATCAGCAACAAACTCGTTCCCTTCTTATACTGACTGAGCAGATAACCAGATAAAAAAAAAAGTGGCATCAAAAAGTGGCATCGCAGTTCAGCCCCGCCACACACATCGTGTTCTCCGACGTTGACGTTTCGGGCCTCGTCGACTTACAAGACGAACGGCCGCCAAGAGAGGGGCAACGGAGGGGACAGAGCTGTCAGACTGGTCGGCGAGGTTCCTCTCAAACGGAGTATTCCTGTCGACAGGGGGCGGAATACTCTGGAGAGTTTTCCGCCGACTTCTCCGCACCCCAAGCCCCCGACTCAACCCCTCGCCGAGTCATTGGGGTCGGATCCGCTCCCGCAAAGAGCAAACGGCCATCATCGGGGGAGGGGATAGCTGCATGGTGTTGCCAAGGAGCGTCCCCGCCGCGTGCCGTGTGGTCACCGGTTGATGAGAAATTTGCAGAGGCATCCACCGGCGTATTTCTCGGGATAGGGTGCTTCGCTCGGGCACCCTATCCCGTCCGACCTTGCGTGGTCACGAATATGAGGCAGACAAGAAGGCATGTGAAGGAGCAATCAAATCCTTTTTCGAATCCACTATATGGGGTGTTCTTCTCGGGCCAAGAGTCCGAAATGAGGTCCCCGGCTTTTCAACCACCACACAATCCACCCCCTCACCGGAGCCCCTCCATCGTCCACAGCGACTCCATCTCGTCTCCATCCCCGCGCGGCCGGCCAGTTCCGACATCCTTCTCCTCCATGGGCTCCGCGAATTCAACCAGGAACCGGAGCATCCAGCGGTCCAGGACGAAGCTGGTGTCGATGCTGGTCCGGGCCGTCTCGTGGAACGCCCTCAGACGGCTGATGGCGCGGTCGGCCGTCGGCCAGTAGCACCGCAGCTGCAGGAGCAGCTCAAAGTTCCTCTCGAGCCGGCCGCGCGCGAGCCCGATGTCCGCCTCGTCGCCGCTGAACAGGAGCGTGTGGATCTGCACCGTGGACGCGATGACCAGCACGTGCGCCGCCATCGAGTACCGCACGTCGGCGCCGGCGGTCGTCTGCGCGCGGTAGACCATCTCGCAGAGCCGGGCCGCGTGGTCCTTGCACCTGCTCGCGTACGAGTCGCGGCGCGCCACCGAGGCCGACGCCGTCGGGTTGATGGCCGTCGTGGCCGCGGCGCCGTAGAGGAACTGGTAGTACAGCAGCTGTCCGTAGTGGTAGTAGCCGAGGTAGACGGCGGCGAAGGTGCGGCCGAGCCCGCGGGCCGCGAACCAGGCAAAGTTCTCGGGCGTGTCGCGCATGTTGTCCGGGAGCGCGGCGCGCCAGGCCTCCATGCGGGCGTTGAGCGTCTCGACGCCGACCTCGAGGGCGTCCCAGTCCGGGTTCTCGGCGACGCAGCGCTGGTTGAAGTCGTTGATGTCGAGGAGGATCCGGTTCAGCCTCACCATCTGCGAGAGGTGCTGGGAGCTCTGGGTCGAGATGGGGCCCGCGGGGACGCCGGCGCTGCGGCTCAGGGAGAGGAAGGGCAGATCGTCCATCGGCAGGGGAATGTCGGATCTGGCCGGCAGCAGCTTCGGGAGCTTGACTGCGGTGGATGACCACACGTCGATCATGCAGAGTGACCACCAGACTGGAGACGTGGCTGTCAGCTAGGTGTCTTTCGCCATGTGTGCCTTGCAGATGACGTGAACTTGGCATCGTCGGGTCGGGGATTTTATCTGACATACCCCGTATGTTGATCTCGCGTTCCAGCAGGCTGGCTACCGGCCGGTTGGGGAGATCGAGGAGTTGCGCCATCCGGCATGCTACGCCGTAGTAGATATTCTCCGCTTCCCCATCGCCGTTGGCCGTCGACGCCGCGCCGACTAGCACGCAGAGCTGGATGGCGGTTAACGATGCTTTGCGTAGGTTCACGCAGGCCTCGGCGGCTTGCAGGTACCCATACCCTCGTTCTCGAAGGTCAATATCCGCGAACGCGGGATCGGTTGAGAATCTACATGAACGGTTGTCAGCCAGATCTTTGATTATCTTTCAAAGTTGCATATCAGTCTTGGCAAAATGCCAGGGGAGAGCACTCAACACAGACACACCTTGCAGCCAGGGCACATATGCCGTACAAGATGCCGTGGGGCACTTGATCGGCGAGGGCGTCCTCGATAAAGCTCGGTCGATGGAAGAGCGAGTGGAATTGGTCATGGATGTAGTCAAAGTAGAGTCTCACCAGATCCAGCCGGACGGGCAGACTAGGCAGCGTGGTATGCGGCGAGGTCTCGCATCGGGCACACCAGCCGCCGGCCGGAGATGCGGGCGATGTACTTGCTTGTGCTCGGGGCTGCTGCAGAGTAGCAGTCTGCTGCTGCTGATGATGATGATGATGATACTGCTCATCTAAGTTCTGTCTGCGCTGGTTCTCCCTCTGCTCGTAGTACCCGCCTTCCGGGGGTTGCTGGACGCATTTGATCCCCCTCTCGCTGCAGTAGATGCACTCATCGAGGCCTTCTCTAATGTGGCATTTGCGCCGACGGGCTCTGCGAGAATCTCGTGTCAGGTAACTCTGGCCGGCTCAACGCGTCATGAAAAATAGACCAAAAGGGGAAACAAATTATGTACCGGCATGCAGCACAAGCCGAGGGTTTCCGCATGCCGCGGAGTCGTATCCCGGAACGAAGGCCGCGGCCGATGTTTTGTTTGCTGTAAGTGGCGCAATGGACGTCGAGCAGATGGGGCGATCTGACAAGATCAGGCCAAGTGAGAAAACGCAGCACAAAATTCGACGCTCTTCTCTCGCTCACCCCGTTATTTCACCACGCGTTGGTTACCCGGCCGAGTTGGAAGTGACCGGGGATCTCCCTGCCGATTCTACCCTCGATCGGGGGCTAGCGGCGGAATACTCGCGGAAAACACCAACACACCCCGGCCATGAACTTGTGTTCGTCGCACCCACATCGTCTGACGAATGAAGGCATCTCGTTGCTCCCCCAAAAGTCTCGACCGGCCATCGTCTCCAATCCCGGAGAATTCCCCATGGGACCCTCGCAACACACCAATTGTCATCGATCGGGGCCGGGCGTTGGCTCCAAACGTGCGATTTTTGCCAATGCTTGCCGGCCCTGCTCTTACTGTAACCATCAAGGGTTCCATCTGGGATTCTCCGCACTGCCTCGGCAATACCAGGAGATTGGATTGGTCTCTGGTTTGCTGATGGTTTCGCGTGGCAGGGTGTCAAGGCGTGTGAAGGGGAGGGGAGGGGCCCCGCGGTTCCCATGTATAAATGCGACGTCGCGTCCGGTTTGTCAGTCTATTGAGATTTTGGGAATAACCTCACTCTCAGTCGCCTGACCCCTTTGGCGTTTTCTTTCCTTCGACTCGACTTCCAACATGGCGCAAGAAAAGGTCGCCGGCGCCGGTGCGGTGCCAGCAGTCAGTCACAATGATCATGACCAGGGAGACGCCATCACGGCCATGCAGATCGAGCGCGGGATGAGCGTGCGCGATTCGCTTCGGTTCTGGCCCAAGGCGATCATCTTCTCGTTCATCATTTCTCTCGCCATCATTATGGAGGTAATTTAATGCTCTCATACATGCATCGCAACAAGGCACTGACTGAAGCAAACTAGGGCTACGATACCAACCTTATGAGCAACTTCTACGTCTTCCCTGCCTTCCAGCAGCGCTACGGTGACCAGATCAACAGCAAGGGTGAACCCATCGTTTCGTCTCGGTGGCAGACCATCATCAACAATGGTGTACAAGTCGGTTCGATCATCGGCCTCATCCTGAACGGTTTCATCACCGAAAGGCTGGGATACAAGAAGACCATGATCGTCTCAATGATTGCCATGATCGGAGCCGTCTTCATTCCGTTCTTCTCCAACGGACTGCCCATGTTCCTTGCCGGTGCTCTGATTCAGGGTATTCCATGGGGCATTTTCCAAACGCTGGCGGTCACTTACGCCGCCGACATCTGCCCGATGGCTCTGAGAGGTTACATGACATCCTGGGTGTAAGTAATATCAATCACTTGAACATTGGAATAGTAGCTGACGATATTAGAAACATGTGCTGGGTCATTGGACAGCTCATCAGCAGTGGAATGCTCCGTGGACTGTTGCAGATTGAAAACCAATGGGGTTACCGTATCCGTGAGTAAGCTCGCGTTGAAGGCAACTACACACAACTGACGTTCACAACCGCAGCCTTCGCGATCCAATGGGTCTGGCCTATCCCCATCATCATCGGCACAATCTTCGCTCCCGAAAGCCCGTGGTGGCTCGTTCGCAAGGAACGCCTCGACGAAGCCAGAGAAGCAGTCCGCAAGCTTACATCCCCTCAGAGCGGTGTCCACTTCGACCTGGACGCGCACATCGAGATGATGCGCCTCACCAACCAGTTCGAGATCGAGGTCAGCTCCGGCACCCACTACTGGGACTGCTTCCGCGGCGTCGACCTGCGACGCACCGAGATCGCCTGCATGGTCTGGCTGACCCAGTCCTTCTGCGGAGTGCCGTTCATGGGATACGGCGTGCAGTTCATGCAGAACGCGGGTCTCAGCGCCGAGAACGGCTTCACCATGGGCCTGGTGCAGAACTGCATCGGCCTCATCGGTTGCTTCATCGCGTGGTACATCATGACCCATATCGGCCGCCGGACCCTGTACCTGGCCGGCTTGTCCGCCATGGTCGTCATCCTCATCATCATCGGGGGCCTGGGTGTCGGGGAGCAGACGTCCGGCAAGTCCTGGGGCGTGGGCGCCCTCATCGTGGTCATGCTCTTCTTCTTCCAGCTCAGCGTCGGCCCGTCCTGCTACACCCTCGTGGCCGAGATGCCTTCCACCCGGCTCCGCGTCAAGACCGTCGCCCTCGCCCGCGCGTTCTACAACTCGGGCGGCTTCATCGTCAACGCTCTCCAGCCCAAGATCATCGGCACCGAGGACTGGGACTGGGGTGCCAAGGGCGGTTTCTTCTGGGCCGGCATCGCGGCGCTGTTCCTGGCCTGGACTTTCTTCAGGCTGCCGGAGCCCTTCGGTCTGACGTACTCGGAGATTGACCTGCTGTTTGAGCACCGCGTCAGTGCCCGTCACTTCTCGCAGGAGGCGGCTGATTCTCTGCGCCCGCAGCTGGAGGAGGTTGCCAACCGCCAGGAGAAGGTGACCGCGGTTGTCAGCCATCAGGAGGCTTAGTCGCACAGTCATAATCCGTAGCCCCAGGCAGAATTCTGCCTTAATGTGATTAGACCTGAAAGGTCTACCTTCTAAATACGTAATCAGTATTGTCGTGCGTCATGGTGTTTCGCTGTGATGTTAACTCGGCATGTCTCTCGGGTAAATGGACAATATCAGTAACTTCGAACATGATTAAGTTCTACTACTGAAAACCTCATTCGAAATACGCTGCAACGCGAGGCTTTCATACGACCATGGTTCTGAGCGTGGTGAAGTTTCCGGGAGTGTATATCGAGCTAGTTTAACCGTGGCCCCAAGAACTAGAATGCCACGTCGGGATTGAATCTGGTGCCATAGTCACTCTGCCTTGCCGACTGGGAGGCTGGAGTTCTCAGCCACCTTCCAGCGGCAACTCAACCTTCCGCCCCTCATCTTCCACCTAGCAATTGTCCTTTCCGATGATGACATTGAAGTTCTCGGTATCGAACTGCTGGCCCCTGGCGTAGTACCAACCAGGCTCGGGGTACTGGCATCCGCGGATGGGGCAGACGCCCGAGGAAACCCAGCTCTTGCACCGGCCGAAGATCCTCCACACGTAGTCGGGGATGATGCCGCACCGGCGGCTCAGGTGGGATGTGGTGTCGTTGCAGAGCCAGATGCCGTCGCCGCTGGAGCAGCTGACGCGGGCGCAGACGCGGGGGCCGGCGGCCACGCCGCACTGGGAGTTGGCGATGCGGCGGAGGTAGTCCGTCTCTCGTTGCATCGAGGCCTCCTGGACCATCGGGCCCCTGCCGCCGACGTCGCAGATGATGTTGCTCTGGAATGATGTCAGGATGTGTCGTGCTTTGACGGGGTTACTTGGGTGGGAAAACTCACGGGAGAACGGGCGTCGAGGGTCGAAAGGTCGGCTTCGGGCTCGGTCAGCTCTGTGGTGTTGGTCCAGTCGAAGTCGGGTTTGACGGCCTGGATCTGGGCGAAGACTTCCTGGTGGGAGTGTCAGATGATTCATAATGCTAGTACTGGCTTAGTCACACTTACTTCGATGGTGCCCTCGAGGTTCATGTCTTCACCGTCGACAGTGCCGGACCACTGCATAGGGACGATCGTGTAGCCTTCCAATGGTTCCCGAAGAAGACCTCCATCCTCGGGCAAAGCCTGAGATTTCCAATATGTCAGTTGTTGACGCAGAAGTACGAATGAGCTGGGAAGGAGACTAGACGTACAGCAGAGCTGACGACGGTGGTCGTCGCTCCGAGAAGGAATGCGTGAAGAAGCCTCATGTTTGGAATCTTGGTATTAAGCTGATTAGATGAAGAGAGGATGGGAAGACTGAGGAGGACTACCAAGAACATGGCAGAAATGAGCGCTTTTATATTCGATTTTCCTGCCATGCGCATTTGAGGGGATGCTGAAGACGGCTGGCCTTCATGACCCTGGCTTGCTACCTGTAAGCCGCCCTTGTCATGTCCTCTCGACTCAACCCCTACCAGGCTTCACTTGGCCTGAATATGAACAACCAATGGTATTCAGCCAAGCTCTGAAGCCTCTACGAATGAGGATAGTAGCATTCAAAACGGGGCCTTCTGCGGGAACCATGGTTGACAGAGCGCCCTTGAAGTAATGTTGAATATGGCCTCGACTTGAGATGGAATATCCCGGCGTTCTCTTAGCTGAGTTGAACCCTGCGTGCCATGTCTCTTCTTTGGTGTAGTAATCAGAGCAGAATCTGGCACAGAGGCTATTAATCAGTTACGTGTGCCCATAAGTGTTATTTCATCACAAGATGTTGCGGACGAAACCGACTGTGTCGACATATCTATAGATAGCTTCAAAACCGCGATGTTTAGAAAACCCCACAAAGTTCCCGATGGAAGCGCGACGCCTGGTTCCTATGTTGTCTTCTTGGTTTGCCCAAACCATTCACCGACACAATTTACGGAGGATGTAAGGCCATACTGAGCGCTTCAACCCTTGCTGGTAGACATCGTAGCACAGTGGGGTTCTCGACTCCAAAGCCAAGTGTGGAGTCCGCCTTCACGACGAAGCGCATGCCACAACGACGATATCCCCAGCTGCCACGGCCAACACCCTACACACGGTGATAAAGGCTCCTCATCAGACACTCAAGTCCTTATAAGTTATCTTCCTGCATTTATACGTCGGAGATGATGAACAACACGTGTCCAGCGACTCACAGTCTAGGCAATCAGACCTCGGAAAACGAACAAGAATGGAATCTCAGAAGAGATCATGGGCTTCAGAGCAATAACGACCTTAGTTGCCTTAAAACCGAACACGGCTTTCAAGTCTTGGTTGAAGCAAACGAACTGTCAGCGGAGTTGGTTCAAGAACCAAAGTTCCTTCTGTTGGTTGTTAGCAACATGCTTGGCTGAGAATTAATTGCTTGAAGCTCCTTGGCAAGGGCCCCATACGAGAGCGAACCCCAAAGAAGGCCGTTAACCGACTTAGCTTCTGGGCAGAAGTGGAAAGATACCCAGATGAAGAATATTCAAGGGTCCAGGCTCCTCTCCCCGCCTTACACTGTGGTCATACCTCAGGAAGGTCGCCTGACTTTATTAAACCCAGGTGACTTCTTCGACGCCGATTTGCCCTACCTAGTAGGCAATGAACGCGTTTCCGTCGACCGAATGCTAGACTTTGATTACAAGCGGGTGACTAAGTTTTTCTAAAGAGACAGCGAATCCTCCATTTCCAAGGAGACGAACTTACTTCTCGCTGTTCTCGACGTTGGGGAGGCATGGGGAAACCAGTAAGGTACTGGCGTGTGAGACGGCATGTGGGGCCGGCGCACCACCGACGGTTCCGATTGAGTCTCCACTTTTATCGGCGGGAACTCCGGCAAGGCCCGCGCGCGGATTCTTCACGCTGCCAAGTCTTCACATGGTACGCTGCGGTCTGAAATGAAGCCCAATGATGCGAGATAAACCGACGGGATAACAAAGTCCAGGTTCTCTTGACTTGGTCTCGCACACCTAAGCTTGGAAGGTACTTTTGCGGCCTGTATTGAATTTATGGTATTATTCCATCTCACCCAAATTTATCCGGACTGGGTGAGCGGCCGACGCAGCGCCGGAGCCCTATCTATAGCCTCCACTGCCACAATATGTCTTGCAAATATTCCTTACGGAGACAAGCTAACGCATCCGTTGGCACTGTCCTCCAGGAAGATGCCACTGAAGATGACGCCCTCGTTGATTCCAGCAGGCTGGAAACCGTTCTTGGTGATGTCTCCCTCGCCTCCAACGGGCTTCTTCAGGAGGCCGAAGTGGTACTGGCCCTGTCCGCTCACATCGTTCTTGACGGCATCACCCTGAGGGGCGAGGGCGTTCTTATCTGTGGAATAGAAGACCTTGCTGGTACTGATCTGGTGTTAGTATCTTGAAAGATAAAACACCAAGGGAAACTCACTTGGCATTAAAGTCCAAGGTGACGGCAAAGTTGTGGGTGACACCTTCAGTGAACGGTGTGCTAAAAAGCAGGGGAGGCACCGGCTTCGTGTTGACGTTGCCGAAGAGCTGGAGGGTGTCCGGGTCCGCGGTGTTTCCGCCGAGGATGGTTCCAGTCTTGAGGACCATCTGGTTCGTGCTGAAGTCGTTACTCTCCAGGAAAGCCATCTGGTATTCGTGAGACGCATTCAGCGGGCGCTGTGCGTCCTTCGCGATGCTGAAATGCAAGGTTTTGACGCCGGTGGTGGAGGCGTCGGTGCCCGAGTTGCTGGATGGGATGAGCTCGGCGCGGCGGAAGCCTGTCTGGTTATTAAAGATGGACTTGTCGCTGGAGAAAACGGGTCAGCCGACGGTGTATCTTTTCTGAAGGGATAGACATGGAGAGGTTACCTGATGGTGATCTCAACGGGCACGTTGGCGGTGCCATCGAAAGGCGAGCCGGCCTGCTTGGGCAGTTGCAGGACTTTGCTGAAGGCCAGGCCCTTGCCGAAGACATTTTGGGGGTTGAAGAAGTTGTTCTTCGCGTCGAGGGCCTTCAACGCGGTCCCGGACGGGATTCGTCCATCGAACTGGATCTTACACTGCTGCGCAGCAGCCGCGGAAGCGAGGGAAAGAAGAGTGAATGAGTGGAAGCACACCATTTTGAAGTTGGACCAGCCGAAAAGGTAAAGAGTGGAAGTGTACTGAAATTATGAAAAGAAAGACGCTATGGTGAAGAAACAGAAGAATGGATGAAGAGATCGTATCGCAAGATTGAAGCGGAGGAACTGGAGTTTCACGGCACTTATGTAGTCTTGGGGCTTTCAACTACGCAGTCGCATTATCGACCGGCGAGATCATAAGATGCACCGATTAACGACGACTCATGCGGCCTTGGCAGCTGTTTGGGAGGGTTCGTCGAGTCTTGCGACCCGGAACCGGATGAGTTCAGTCTGGCAAGGTGACATCAAACATGGAAATTCGGCAAACGGAGGCGACGGAGACTAAAACGAGGTGGCAGCTGAGGAAGGTTTTCCCCATGCTCCAGGCTGGAGGGGTTCGTGGGGTGAGCGAACCGGAGATGAGGTTGAAGTCGAGTGAGTGAGCTGTGGTTGTTGGTAAAAATGGCCGTCCGGCCGTCAGGGCTGTCACAAGGGTGTGGAGGCAAGGCGATCAAACGACATCGTCTCAGGGGCCGAACTCTGGTCTCGCCCGAGGGACCCGCGAGGCACGGAAAGATCAGATGGACGATGCCGGTGAGTAGGGCGGAGGCGGTTGAGACGTTGGGACGGGCGAGGGGACCTTGCGATGACGGCCGTTTGGTATCGGTAGTGCGTCCCATGTGTGACTGCTGGCATCGTCTCATCTGCCATTGCGTATTTCAGTCCATCGTGACCGCCTTACAACCGATGAAGGGTTCCGGTGGCTGTCTCGGTCTTCAAGCATTGCTTTCTAGAAGAGCCCAAAAGTTGGGGATACTCCGGTGCCAAGCGATCAGGCTTGTCGCGATGGGGATCCGGAGAGTTGACATTCGGGCTCGTCAGTGATTGCTCGCGGCCATAAATAATCCAACTGAAGATTGAGCAAGCATTCATGACCAAGAAAATGTAATGAGTACAAAGTGTATACCGTAGGTGGTTTACAGCTTGGTGAAATGACCTAACAGGGTGCTGCTGAGGGAAATCAGTGGTTCAGTACACCCATTCAAAAAGAGATGAAGATGAAAGATAGAAAGGAAACATCTTCATGCTTGGCCCAGCCAAGATGGAAATCTCCCGCCTGGGCTCTGATTGTTTTGAGCACTGTGTTTCTGCAGCGGATTCTGAAGAAATTGGCGACGTCGCGTACTGTGTAAGCAAACGTATAGGCACTATAAGAGGCCCCACCCGGATTTCGGTTAGGTCTCTTATCGGTTTCTTATCGTTATCGTTATCGCAAATCATTGGGGTTCGGTGATCTCACTGGCGATCTGGGCCGCTGCCGCTAAGCTGTTGGCGTCCCGTCTCGCTCACTGAAAGTGGAGAAGCCGAGTATTGAAGTCCCTTCAGTCAGGTACCTTACCATTTCGGCCAGTCGCGGTTGCACAACAACATCCGATTCAGCAAGAAGGTCGAACGTACCTTCCGCCAACATCACCAATTGCCTCTTTGTATTTTCCGATGAACGACGAACACCTACCGGCCAGCTTTGGACCTGTTTTCACGACTACAACATTCAACACGGGGTACTGAAGCTTACCTGTTAAGCTTTCGAGCTTTGGTGCTTCCGAGCACGTTCTGAGACGCGTCTGTTCATTCGAGGTCAAGCTTACCTTAGCCCGAGACCTTCGCCTCACCTTGCCCTGCCTCAGCCGCGATTCTCGACCTTCCACGATTGCAATTCACCCTGCAAATCGAAACGACGGGCTAAGGAACGGTCCAGGAAGCTTCGTGTGCAACTTGGTTTCCATCAACCGCGACTTCCACCTACATTCTCGGAACCGCGAACCCTGGTCAACTGCATCTGCATGCTCTTTCCACCGCGTCGGTACCACGACCAACCACCCACCACCGCTTCCGTTTTTGCCGTCGCGTCACAGGAACGACCACATCTCAAGGGAACCTCACCACCACACTCTTCTCTTTTCGCCTTGTCAAAAAGATATCATCGTTCACTCGGCTACCCCGTCAAGACCTTCGACCGTCGCGCGGCATCGCCAACTAACCCGACCACACCCAACCGAAACTGTCGGCCGGCGCTACCCACGAAACCCCGCGCAAATCGCATCTTTTGCCAGTTCGCGTCAAATCAAGCAACAGACTGGGAGAACAGACTGGGAGCTTCTCCAACTCCTCGTCAATCACCTTTGTCAGAAAAACGATCGTCTGCACAAGCTCGGTCTCCTTCAACACGCGCCGTCGACTTGAACACCTAGAGTGGGATATTTGCTAGTCGGGAGACCATCGTGAACAAGCCCAATGGGTCGGCTCTAACGCACCCGATATGCCTATTATCCAGGTGACCCCCGAAGAAGATGTTCTTCTTCAGGGGATTGCCAATGCCATTTTCAAGGCTCGGAAGGTCGTCGTCGTAACCGGCGCCGGCATCAGCACCAATTCCGGCATACCTGTGCGCCATCTTGCTGCCGACTCGTCTCGCGCTATTCGCTAACTGAGCATAGGACTTTCGAAGCGAGAACGGTCTTTACTCCCTCGCCCAGGCTCATTACGACGCTGTGAGTAGGGAACGTGCGGAAAGAGCGAGACGTCTTTCGTCGTCGAATTCCAGCATCGCCGATCAAGAAGAACGACCTCAAAAACGGCGGAAGCTTTCCTTCGAGGATTCTGGAATCTGTCTCCCCAGCGAATCCTCGCAAATAACGAGCGATGAGGAGATCAGTGGTTCCGGCAAAGAGAAGGCACACTCCGGGGAGAAGACCGAGGATTCGACAGATGGCCCTCGCGCCGCCGCAAGACCAGGCAAGGGGGGTGAAGTCGACGAGAGCCCCGATGAGCCGCCGATTTGCAGCACCGGAAAACCAGGGACGCCAATCGAGTCGCTGCGACGATCTAGGAGAGCGCAGTCGTTACCTCCGACAGAGCACCCGCCACAAGATTTCCCAAGGTCAACACGTCTTCGCCTGAGCAGCCGCACTATCCTACGCACTAGGGGTCGTTCTGCAAGCCCAGATCCTCGGCCTCGTCACAATGCAAAACATGAAAATTCTGCAGAATTGCGGAAGAGGTCCTTGTTGACATCGTCACTAGCCTCGATGCCGCCAGCAGGAGCTTATGATCCCGTCGCCATCTGTTCGAGTCCACCGAGACTGCCTGAACCTTGGCCCACAGACGTCTCTGAAGACACTTCAACCAGAACGGACGCAACATCAGGCCAGATACCAACCCCTATGACTACACCAAAGACGACGACGCGCTACTCCAGCCCTTTGTCATCTTTGCCTAGCGATGCATATTCATCATCGCCTTTGTCATCACCCGTCACAATCATGTCTGATCCTTACGTGGATCGGTCTTCATCAACAAGTCGGGATTCTTCCAGCATAGCATCTTCAGAAACCGACGAAATACCACCGTCATCTTACCCGAAAAAGGCAGTACTATCTAATATCAAAGGCAGAGACCTCTTCGACGTCAATGTTCTCCGTGACGACACGAAAACATCAGTATTTTACACTTTCATCACGACTCTACGAAAAAAGGCCAAGGACGTCCAACCCACGAAGTCGCATCACTTCATCGAACATCTCCGAAATCGCGGAAAGCTCGTCCGATGCTACTCGCAAAACATCGACCTGCTAGAGGAAAAGGTGGGCCTATCAACCTCACTCCAAGAAGGCCCAGGACATCGCGGAAGGTTCTCCAGAAAGTCCACGGCGGCAACGACAGCATCAACAACGCCATCCAACTCGGTCGGCAGCGATGAGGTCGGATCTTCGCCGGTCGGAACTACAGGAGCAAAGAACGACGCAGATGACAGTGGTACCGTGCGGGGGGATGCGACTCCAGACACCTCCGGCCCGTCAGAATCTCAGCCTCAACAGCAAGAGAAGAAATCGGGCGGTGTAGAATGTGTTTTACTGCACGGCTCACTCGGGTTCTTACGGTGCCTTTCCTGCCGCAAAATCTGCGCATGGGACGAAGAGGGACGTGAGAATGAGACGCTCATCGGCAGACAACCCGACTGCCCCCACTGTGCACATGCGACGGCAGCGAGGGAAGGCAGGGGAAAGAGACGCCTGGGCGTAGGCAAGCTACGGCCAGATATTGTCCTCTACGGCGAAGACAACCCAAGCGAAGAGCTCATATCTTCGATTGTTCAACATGACCTTAGAATTGGACCCGACCTACTCTTGATCCTCGGCACCTCTCTCAAGGTACACGGCCTCAAGTCCATCGTCAGGGAATTCGCCAAGACGGCACACAGCAGAGGGGGCAAAGTCGTCTTTGTCAACTTCACAAAGCCTTCCGAAAGTTCATGGGGAGACGTGATCGACTACTGGGTACAATGGGATTGTGACGCTTGGGTGTCTGATCTCGAGTTCAGAGCTCCCCTGATGTGGCTTCCTCCAGGCACCAAGCTGCCAAAGAAGAAGAAAGAGATCACCGAGAAGAGCAAGAAGCGCCGGCGAACTACAGATGAAAAGCCGGAGCAGAACGCGTCGAAGCCATGCAAAAAAGCAGGACCATCACGTTCGCCTAAGGCAACTGCTGAACCCGAGCGACCTCAGCAGACAGAAACCCCGCCAAAACCTGACGCAGAACCGTCACCTGCATTGAGTACAACTGCCGAGCCTGAGAGAACTACGGAAATGGAGAGCCCGCCGAAACCTGACGCAGAACCATCACTTGGGTTGAGTGCAACTGCTGAACCTGAGAGACCTCCGCAGAGGGAGAACCCACCAAACCCTGGCGCAAATGCGGACCCAGATACGTCTGCCCTCCCTCTGCAGCCGGAGCGTCAGGGTCAAGAACCTGAACCCGCAAAGACCGATGATGTAGCAAACGACGCTGCTAAGGTTGAGCCGAAGCGAGTAAATCGGGCGGAGCAGGATTCGAGACCGGACGAAAGGACGCCGCCGAAGGGTCCACTACGCCCGATGGCAACGCGCGAGGACAAGACCAGCGGCGCCTATCATTACCAGAAGATAATGGCCCATTTGAGTCGCATTACGGGCAATCAACTTTTGGTCACATCATCCCCCGGAGCCATACAAAACACCGAGCCCAAGCCGAAGAAATCCAGGAAGTCTGCTCCAGCTTTGTTATCACAGCCCGCATTGCCTGTTACTCTTGACAAGGCGCAAGCCTCTCAGGAACCACATGATCCACCGGGTGCTTCGCAGCCAGAGGAAACAGAGCAAGAGTTGTCGCAGCCCGAATTGCCTGTCAGTATTGACAATGCACAAGCCTCTCAGGAGCCGCATGATCCACAAGATAGTTCGCAGCCGTGGGAAACGAAGCAAGAGCAGATTCGGAACCCAAGTATTGTGGAACATGTTCCAATGGCGCAAGTTGAGGCAAGTTCTATCTTGGACGCCGTCAAGTTGAACCCTCGGAAGCGGAAGCGGAAGACCATTGATGGTGTTGAGGTATCCATCATTGGTACGCCGCGGTCAGTCTCTGTTAGCAAGACTACCCCGAGGCCCAGGCCCCAAAAAGCCAAGAAGTTGCAAAGAAAGGAAGAGCCTTTGGCTGCGTCGCCGAAGATTATCTCTGATCTCGAGAGTTCCGCCATGCACACGCTCAAGCTGGCGCCTCTCCGGATGGGGCTGCCGAATTCAACAACTTCGAAACCGCCAGCAATGGAGCCGCCAAGTTTACCTACGGGTCCTTCGGTGGAGATGTCACCCAATTCGCGGATCCGTCAGATACCACCCAACTCACGAATCTGCATGCAGCAGAAGGCGACACTCGAACAACCATTTCAGCACTTCGATGCTCTTATGATGCAATTATCGCGCGCACCAAACTGGACTCCTCCGCGGGTGCCATTTATGCACACCGGTCTTTCTGGAACGAAGACGGAAATCGCTGCGGCCATGGTACTGAAGGGAGGGCACAGTCAAACATTCTTTGGGAGTCATACTTAACAACGTGAATGGAGGGAATATAGTAGTTATTGCATGGGCAGAGGAAGCGTTGAATTATACCCCGCAGCTGAATATCATTGCGCTCAAGAGGCGCAGCTTATGACACATTTTACACTAATGAAATCACTCTCCAGTATGTTGGACTATCGTGACTCAGTTGCTCAACTCTGACTAGATCCCGATCCAAGAACGAGGACGAACACCAACATCCGAGCTCATCCAGCCGACCAGCCACATCAGCCGGAGGGCCCTCCGAGAAACACTCGGGCAGATCACAGTCACCCAGAAAGGACAATGCGTGCATGCCAGGCAACGTTTGCGGGGGCCGGTTCAGGTCAAGTCAGGCGCACTTCGATTAAGCCCCGACGTTGACTCTGGTCAAGCAGGAAGTGCAAGTCTCTCGAGCTGAACGTCAATCACTGCGAGACTCGGTCGATGGCGGGGAAACACGTGGGCAGCGTTGCGGCCGAACGCTTTCAGCTCGAGGCGAGGTCGAAGGATGTCACTCTTTTGTCACTTTGTGTGTCTTCCCCGCGCAACGCCCAAACTCTTTGAGAAGCACACGCTACCCTTGGATGGGGTTCCAGGCGGTCTTTGACCAACTTTGAGTCTATTGATTTTTGGAGGGGGGAGAAGATACCGGCGCGGGTCGCCACGTTGAAGACGTGCTCCACTCAGAAGTAGAAGAAGACTGATGATCAGGAAACTTGGGAAGACCCTAGCCTGCCTAGCGCCGTCCGTCGACTTGGGACCTCGGGGGGATCTACGAGAACGCATCGTCCAGTCTCTGACCTGGGCATTCAGGGTTCCCAGATCGATCTCGAGATCTCGAGATCTCCTTTCTCCTCGACTCCGTGTTTTTAGGTATCTGCTTCAGCTCAAAAGTTTCCGGGGGGGAGCACCCACGCCCGGACTTACGACGAACCGATCACGGGATAGGATGCTCGGGTAACGAGAGAGAGAGAGAGAGAGAGAGAGCAGCATGGAGTGGATAATTCTCCGAAACGAGATTCAAGATTCAAGATTCAACGTATGTGGGATCGGAAATGCGTCCGAGACTTAGGGAGGAGGGGCTGAAGGAGGAAAGCACGGAAACCTTGAATCCTGGGGGGGATTGTCGTTGGTGAGACGAAACCCCGTGGACCGAGAGTGCAGTAGCCCTGACCGATGCGACACATTGACAAGTAAACGTCAAAATGGCGTTTCGAAACAGGAGGAGAGACATGTTCGGACGGTGGTGGTGGCGGGGGAGAGGGTGACAAAGGTCTCAGCTGGCCGTCAAGAAGATGCCACGCTCTTTTGAGACACGAATGCTTCAAGTCGCATCAGCCACGAATATGTTCAATTATTGGAGGTTCGGTGATGTTCGTTCAAAGAATTGATGCCTAGCCTTACAAAACGCTTAAGCGAAGTTGATCCGCTAGTAGTAAGTCGCTCGCGGTGGTTGCCCTCAGCCCGCGCGCCGTCAGCTTTGAGCTCGCATTCCGGCTGCTTGTTTACGTGTATGGGATGGTCGACTTGGACATTGATTGGGTAGGATTCCAGAAGCTCAAAACACCATATGAGCTCTACGGATTCTGATCTCGAGCGAGGCAGAGATGGGAGCTCAGCTGGTGGCAAAATGTGGAGGGCTTCTGGACTGAGAAAAGCGGCCGTTTATCTCGACGAGCCAGTGCTGGCCCAACCATGTCAACTGGTGAGCTATACTATGGTACGCGCGAAACGTGGCGATGTCTGGCCGTACGAGTTTTGTTGATCGACTGGTCCAGACGGCTGGAATGTGTGCGCCTCTCGTGAAGCTGCCCTTGACCCTCAACGACAGAGTGGTTGAGTAGTGGCTGCCAAGATAACCCGTCGACGTAGCTTGCGGCTGCGAGTCCCAAAAATATGACCACTTTTTCAGCCACGAGGGAGGATTGAAGCCATGAGAAGGATGGGAAGGATCGTGATCGATACAACTTCCCTCGGAGGATTTAGTCTGTCAGTGTCTGATCTGAGGCAAGCCAAGGGGGTGATCGACAGGGCGAAAACGTGGTGATGGCGTCCTGGCGGCTTTGTTTTACCATTCTGAAGGCTTTCTCTTTGGCTGTTAGATTAAGAATAAGGCTTGAAAGGATATTTTGGGAGTCCAGACTGGAGAGGGAGAGTGTGGTTACTGTGACTGGTGGCTTTCTCAAGAAGTCATCGTCGACAGTCAGTGGAAGACACTGGAGGCCAGTATGATACGTGATTGGTTCAACGGTGAACTGTGTGGATCCTGGAGAAAGGTGGATCTTCCTCACCTTGGATCCACTCTTCCTTCCATCTGAGCAAGGAAGGGACGATCATGGTCAGTGCGACGTCCCTGCCGTCCCTGTGCCTGCCCAGTTCATCGAGATGTCACCCCGGAAAAAAGGCAATCTACCACGGACCAATTTCAACTCCATGTTTCTCTGTCCTCGATCTTCCAACTTGATGTTTCCTCCCACCTTCCGATGTCCAACCCAGGCACCGTTTTCTTTCAAATCAATTTCTCAGCAATCCTCCAGCCTGAGTACCTACCTCAGCTTACAGCTACAGCACATCAGGTTCCGCCCCGTCCGTCATCCATACTCCGCCATCCGCCCCGGGCTCGCCATGCACCCCTCCATCTCCTCTCGTGCAGATTGCAGGCCAGCTGGACTCCTTCACGCCTCTATTCCTCTTTCAGACATTCTGCCTGTTCTTTTTCGGGACCCCTGCACCCGAGACTGCCATCCAGTTGGTCAAACACCTCCGAGTCTTGCCAAAGTCGGGCGCCACAGCATCTGAGGTGGTGTGTGTTGTATGCCGACTCCGACAATTTCAACCGAGTCTTTCGGCATCTTCACAAAAGAAAAAACCAGGAAACCCGAACATGTCCAGCCAATTGCCGTCATTCGTAAGCCAATCTGTTCCAGGCTATCGTTTGTCACAGCCAAAAACCGCCTAAGGTCGCTGCTACCACAAAGGACCACGAGGTCGGATAACGCACCCCGGACACACACGCCTTGCCTAAAACAAGCTTTCCAGACAAAGAATCATGTCTGCATACTGAAATTCTTCAACGTCCATGGCCTGAGAGAGGAGGACCAAGATCCGGGACCGACCCCTCTTCCCACATCTGTCCTCGACAAAGAGACGGCGCGGCGAGGATTCTTCCCCGAGCCTTGCGGTCCCTGATCCGCAGCCAATCAACTTTTCATGTCCAAGTCGACAACTACTACTGTCACTTTGGTGTGTTCCACACGCTGTCCGACGCCTGCATGGCCATGTTGTTGACGCCGCAAAACCAACCACAACCCTACGACGTTGGCGTTGTGGCCGATCCTGCCCACTTTCGTGTCTCACCGGCATTGCATTCAATAAGCCTCCTGGGCATGCATTTCGAGGTATCCACCAGCTTCTCGGCCAAGTCGGCAAACACGACCACCACAACTGCGGCAGGGCTTGAGGGAATATTCCATGAGGCTCTTCATCTTCCTTCTCATCAATCTTGTCCATCTGTGCGGGCCGCAAGGCACTATATGCACTGAAGGGATCTGCAGGGAGAAACAATTATTAAAACAAAAGGATGACGTCGGAGCCGTTATGTCTCATTACGTTCAGCAGTGCGGAAGCAACACTGAACATGTCAACAATCCTATGGAAGAAGCTGCTGCATCTTTTGACGCTCTCCTGAGTACGCTAACCAACACTTTGACTCGAGTCCAGCGAACTTGGCTCTCGAATATGCGTCCGCGCGGAATGCCGCTTTGGCGCGTGGGCACCGGTGCGGGTAGTCTCTCTACCACTCAAATTACCCAAACTCGCCGCCTGGACGCTTCAGGAGGTACACTCTTCGGATTCCGTTCTATTGTTGTGCTTCGCTCCAGACACCAAATCGAGTCAAAGCTCAGTTTACCACACGGGACTCTTCTCGTCCTTTCTTTGTCGCCCAACTAACACGCTGATCATCCGTTTTGCCTTACGCCATCAGGTACCGGCAAAGTTGGCCTAACGGCATACCAGAAGCGCGACGCACAGCGAAATCCGGAGGGCTGCGAAAGATGCCTCTAGTACCCAAAAGTGATGCGTGGTGGATATGTCACTAAGTGTACTTGTCAAGTACTTGCAGACGTGAACATGTACCGCCGTTCCACGTCGAGACCTCCGCCCGCGCAGGCGCCTCATAACTTGGGCTAGATTCGCCTTATTTCTCGATTCGCCGTCCTTCTTCATATATCCTCATTTCCCTTTCCTATCCGTCGCTGCTCCTAGGCCATTATCGACCGGGTTCTGTTCGTCCCTATTCACTCATTACAGCTGGCTGCTTACACCAACCTCGCCATCTGATTCGCCGTCTCGGAGCTTACACCCCAAGCCCGCAACGCATCGACAAGCCTCAATTTGCTGATGCGCCGTTGTGCCTGCCGGCCCAGCACATCCCAACCTCGGGAAACTTGCTCCTTTTGCTGAGCTGAAAAAGGTCTTGGAGGGTGGGCACACTTCTTCCAGGGGTCAGATCCAAGAAGGTGTGTGAGACCAACGCGTCCTTATAGACGCCTTTTTGAAGGGAGCCGCGGCAAGGAAGCCGGAATATAAAGCAATGGTCAACTCTAATCGCTGGTCGTGGTCCGGAGCACCACGAAAATCTCGCGTTCCAGAAGATGCTGTCATCAGCAGCGAACCTCTGATATCACCATCGCTGAATCCCGACCCGGTCGAGAACAGCGTACCGGCCGACAAGAAGCTGCTGCAGCCTGGCGCTGCTGGTGTATCATCGCGCCGGCGGACCAACCGGTGGAGTTGGCGTCCTGATGCGACCATATCGGTAACCGCGGAGGATCAACAAGAGAACGAACCAGAAGTCGGGCAACTCAGTCCGAGTGAGGCAGAGGCAGCGCGACCTGTAACATCGAGTGGTCCGCGTCGCCGGTTGTCGAAGCTCAGTAAAAAGCCGGATGCCACTTCCACCAAGCGACCGAGACCGTTGTCTTTGATAGCGCCCGCAAGCGCCAGTTTCGGGGCAGCGCCATCTTTTTCGCATCTCCAACAACAGCAGCAGGAACAGCAACGGGAGGCGGGAGACCAATCGTCTTCCCAACCAAGCCCGCTCCCGGCTGAGCCCTCGATTGGGGTCAAGGTCTTGAACCGGTTTCTCAGTCGCAGATTCAGCAAACGGCAACCCAAGTCACCGCGCGCCCAAGAAGCTGAACCGATGCCACCGATGCCGTCGCATCAGCAGGAGCAAACATCGCCTGCTAAACCCATGCAATCCCCAATGCGAGGTGGTCCCCAACTCCACAATCCCCAGAACACACTCCGAGGAGCGTCCCCTGCCAACCCTGCCACCCCAGTCCAGGGTCGCATCGACAACGGTCGCATGGGTGCACCGCTGCCAGGGCTTGACGAGCAGAGCGAATTGCAGTTACCTGCGCCAGACATCCCTCCCGTATCTACCGCCGATGCGACGACAAGTCTTGGTCCCGGTACTACGTCGTCATCTACTCCTGCACCTTCGGCAGACGAGACTGGGATCCTGGGCCGCCTGAGGCGCCGGCGAATGGCTTCCAAAGACAAGGATACCGACAACAATAAGAAGCGGTGGATGTCCACGGGCGGCGACAGGACGAAGAGCCAGCCTGTCGGAGCCGACGACCACACGAACACCAACTCCTCTGACCCGGTTCGTAATATCGATGAAACCAACGACGCCGAAATGCAAGCACAGTCGCTGCTGCTACCCGCGTCCCACGCTTCGCAGAAGAAGCTGAACGACAAAACCAAGACGGAAGACGGCCAGCCTGTCTCGGACACCCGAAATCAGTCATCCTCATCGGTCCCCCGTTTCCTCAGACAGGTTGTGAGACCCCAGCAAGCGACAAGCCCGACCCAAACTGCCGGCGCCGTCACCCCACCCGAATCCAAGCCCAGGTCTCAGTCGCACTCTCAAACACAATCCAAGCAACACATGGCGGCTTCGACCCCGTCTGCGCAACCAAAGGTGCGAACGAAGCCCAGCTTTGGGAAGCGCTTCTGGTCTAAATCCGGTGCCAATGACTTTGGCGACGATGACACCAAAACCGACGCACCAGTCGCAGCTCCCGTTGTACGGCCGATTTACGTGCCCAAGCATGCCGCGGCGGACTTTTCGCGCACAACCCACCCGGCGCGGCACCAGCGCCAGAGCATCTCTATTGCCACTGGCGACGACAGCATTCGGCCCTTGGCTACAATTTCTACCCAGGCCATCGAAGACGAACTGCAGTACCGAGAGCAGAGAATGCGCACCTTGTCGGCTGAGAAGGAGGCAGAGAAACGCAAGTCGCGGGACATGTCGTCGTCCAAGTATGGTGCTCCCTCTCCTCAGGAACTACACCGACGTCTCGAAATCGTCAAGAGCAGCGAGATTGAGGTCGTGACCACGAGGGAACCTGGTGTCCTTGACGCGTGGGCGCAGCTGCATGGCGAGCCGAACATTTCTTCGGCAAACGGCAAGGGACTTGCAAGAAGCCACTCCCAGTCCCGTCCGAGATCTTCACAACGGCATAGTTTTAACCTTGTTGCTGATCCATATGCAAGAGATCTGACGCCTCCCAAGTCAGTATCGCCTGTGGAAATGGAAGCACCCTTCGACCCCCCAAGCCAGTCTTCCCGGCAGACACCGGAGCAGTCACCGCAGCCGGCGTCCCAGCAAACCCCCGAAAAGCCGAAGGCTTACAAGCCAACACATGCTGCTCATTCAAGCCGGCCCAGATATCAACCGGAGGAGAAGCCGCGCAAGGACATGTCGGATTTCGAACGCTTCATTGCTGACGCCGAAGATGCCGATCGGGATTACCACGCTCAGATGTGGCGCAACCTTGCCCGGCGCTCCGGCCACTACGGCTATGCCGACAACACGTTTGGCTCATTCAGACCTGACCCGGTCTCCTTGAACCCAGGCGTCATGATGAACACCCAGCAAAGCAGCAAGAGAGATAGTGCTTATTACTCGACGAACAAGCGGGCAAGTGTTTTGTCCGCCCCCGGCGAGGATGAGCTGAAGCGTCAGGCAAGCATTTCCAAGCGCTTTTCCGACTACATCAAGCCGCCCAAGCCGTCCGGAGATGCGGCGAAGGACGACTGGATGGTAACAGGCCGCGCCAACCGCAGGAGTATCATCGCGGGAGTGGCAGAGGAGTAATATTGCGAATACGTGATGAGTGGGGGGTGGCATCGTCGTACGAGATTTTGCGAGGATTTTGTAACGGCGTTATTTGGGAATGATATTATGATATCCATGGATAGATGAAGGTCAGGATACCTAGGCAGACATACCAATTCAACACTTCCCTTTGTTATATTTCATAACCCGTCCCATTGATTAGTTGTGTTTGTGGAAATGTAACTCCAGCAAACAGACTAGCCGAGGGCAGTCCTAATTTATTCGTGGACGATTGTGACGGTTTGTTAGTGAAACAGAAAGGGAATGTTGACAAGTTCTGCATCAGCCATGAAGCCAACAGCTGTGGAGTGGTGAGTAGTCAATTAATCAAAACACAATGCGCCTCAAGTGTCTTTTTTGGGTCTCGGTTGTCTGGCATTAGGCACTTACATGGTTGAAGTCTCATCGATATATTTTCTGGGAGTGTAGTGTCAGTTTTTACGGAAGTCGACGCTTGCTTGTAAGGCTTGAGATAATCTGGGGGTGCTAAATACAAGTCCAGCGAATTACCAGAGCCATTACCAAGAACAAGGTTCGAGTTGGTGATGGCTTCATTCGGTGAGCGCTCCTCACCGAGACGCCAAGTACCCGGAAAAGGCATCGCTTAGTCACTCGCCCGAAGTCCGGTCCGCGGATAGCTGGCGGTACGTACCTTACCTCATCGACAGCCCAGAAAGGTGCAGGGTCCACGACAATACCCCACGGGCCACTGGAATTGGACGAGTGGCCTGCCAGGCTGCCCCCAATTCGCCATCGCGAAAAAGTACAGGTCGCCAAATCGAAATCCTTCGGCCGGCTTCCTTTTTCCCTGTTTCCTGCCAGCAACACCACATCCACCCACGCCCGTCGCCTGTCTGTTGTCGTCGGTGCCTCTTCTGTTTCTTTTTCTTCTTAAACACGTCCGGAGTATTCGATGCTACTGGATAAGTAGAGGACGACAGGACACTCATCAACCCCCTCCCTCTTCCGCCCGCCTGGTTCCCGCGCTGCGCTGCGCTTTCTCTCACGATGGCGCTCGTGGACAATAACCAGATCAAGCTGGCCGAGCTGTGGAAGCCGTTGCCGACGCACTTCCACGCCTACGTCTGGCCCTTTGCCATCGTCTGGCCCGTGTTCTTGCGATACTACCTCACCCCCGAACTGTACGAGAAGCACATCGCATCCGAGGAATGGACCTTTGTGTGGATCGGCACCATCATCACCTTCCAGTCCCTCTTCTGGCTGAGCACCCACTGGAGCGTCAACCTCCAGGCTCTCTTCACCGCCACCCGCGCCAAGTCGATTGACGAGGCCGAGCTGATCAAGATCATCCCCGTCGCCAATGCCGGGTCCGCCGAGATTTGCAAGTTGGTTCGCGACAAGGTGAGAACATAGCCTTCCTCGCGACCGTTATGCCGCGGGATTGGAGCTAACACGCGATACCACAGGTCGGCGGCAAGGTCAACACCTCGTTCCTGTTCCAGAAGCGCCGCTTCATCTACTACCCCGAAGAGAAGGTCTTCCGCACCCTCGTCTACGATATCGACCTCGAGCCGAAGCCCCAGATTGGACGCTACCAGCAGTCCAAGGGTATTACGACCGAGGAGGAGTTGAAGAGGATTGAGGAGCACTACGGTCCCAATGCCTTCGACATCCCGGTTCCCACCTTCACCGAGCTCTTCAAGGAGCACGCCGTCGCCCCCTTCTTCGTCTTCCAGATTTTCTGCGTCGGTTTGTGGATGCTGGACGAATACTGGTACTACTCGCTCTTCACCCTCTTCATGCTCGTCGCCTTCGAGAGCACCGTCGTCTGGCAGCGCCAGCGCACTCTCAACGAGTTCCGCGGAATGAGCATCAAGCCCTACGACGTCTACGTCTACCGCCTGGGCAAGTGGACCGAGATCCAGAGTGACAAGCTCCTCCCTGGCGACCTCGTGTCTGTTGGCCGCACCAAGGAGGACAGCGGTGTTGCTTGCGACATGCTGCTTGTTGAGGGAACTGCTATTGTCAACGAGGCTATGCTTTCTGGCGAGAGTACCCCTCTCCTCAAGGATTCCATCCAGCTTCGTCCCGCTGATGCGCCGATCGAGCCGGAGGGCCTGGACAAGAATGCCTTCCTCTGGGGCGGTACCAAGGTTCTGCAGATCACTCACGGCAACCCGGACGAAGAGAAGCCCAAGCTTGCCTCCGGCGTCCCGCCCGCTCCCGACAACGGCGCCATGGCCATCGTTCAAAAGACTGGTTTCGAGACCTCCCAGGGCAGCCTTGTCCGCACCATGATCTACTCCACCGAGCGTGTTTCTGCCAACAACGTCGAGGCCCTGCTCTTCATTCTCTTCCTGCTCATCTTCGCCATCGCCGCCTCCTGGTACGTCTGGGACGAGGGTGTCAAGAAGGATCGCAAGCGCTCCAAGCTTCTGCTCGACTGTGTCTTGATTGTCACCAGCGTTGTTCCTCCCGAGTTGCCCATGGAGCTCAGTCTGGCTGTCAACACCAGTTTGGCCGCTCTGGCCAAATATGCCATCTTCTGCACCGAGCCGTTCCGCATTCCCTTCGCCGGCCGCATCGACGTGGCCTGCTTCGACAAGACTGGAACCCTTACCGGCGAAGACTTGGTTGTTGAGGGTATTGCTGGATTGGGACTTGGCCACACGGGCACTGACACCCCTCGCGAGTCTGATGGCGCTCACTCCCACATGACCCCTGTAAACGAGATCGGTCTGGACACCACGCTTGTTCTTGCTACGGCCCATGCTCTCGTCAAGCTTGACGAAGGCGAGGTCGTTGGTGACCCGATGGAGAAGGCCACTTTGACCTCTTTGGGATGGACTGTCGGCCGTAACGATACCCTCGCCAGCAAGCCTACCACTGCTGCCACTACTGGCGTCAGCGGAACCGTTCAGATCAAGCGTCGCTTCCAGTTCTCCTCGGCCCTCAAGAGACAGAGCTCTGTCGCTACTGTAAACGGCGCGGACAAGCTTGGAAACCGGATCCGCGGCACTTTCGTCGCTGTGAAGGGCGCTCCCGAGACCATCCAGAAGAGACTTTCCACTGTGCCCGCCGACTACGAGGAGACTTTCAAGTACTTCACTCGCCGTGGATCTCGTGTCCTTGCACTTGCCTACAAGCAGCTTACCGTCGACAACGAGCTGGGAGCCAGCAAGATCAACGACCTGAAGCGTGAGAATGTCGAGTCTGGTCTGACGTTTGCTGGATTCTTGGTTTTGTCTTGCCCCCTGAAGGAAGATGCTAAGGAGGCCGTCCAGATGCTCAACGAGAGCAGCCACCGCGTGGTCATGATCACCGGAGACAACCCGCTTACTGCCGTCTACGTCGCCAGAGACGTGGAGATCGTCGACCGTGACGTTCTGATTTTGGACGCTCCTGAGGATAACGACGGCGGCGACAAGCTCATCTGGCACAGCGTTGACGAGAAGATTAACATCCCTGTTGATCCTACTAAGCCTGTCGACCAGAAGATCCTCGAATCCTACGATCTCTGTGTTACTGGTTACGCTCTCGCGAAATTCAAGGACCAAGTCGGCTGGAACTCCATTCTCCGCCACGCCTGGGTCTACGCTCGTGTCTCGCCCAAGCAGAAGGAAGACATTCTCGTCGGTCTCCGTGACATGGGATACTACACTCTGATGGCTGGTGACGGCACCAACGACGTCGGCGCCCTCAAGCAAGCTCACATTGGTATCGCTCTTCTCAACGGCACCCAGGAGGACCTCACTCGCATCGCCGAGCACTCTCGCAACACCAAGATGAAGGAGATCTACCAGAAGCAGGTCGACCTCATGAAGCGCTTCAACCAGCCCGCTCCCCCTGTTCCCGTCATGATCGCCCAGCTGTACCCCCCTGGACCCGGCAACCCTCACTTCTCCAAGGCTGTTGAGCGTGAGGCCAAGAGAAAGAACATTAGCCCTGAGGAGTGGCTGAAGGCCAACGGTGTCTCCGCGATCGAAACCGTCACTTCTCCGGCCGCCCAGCAGCTTCTCAACAACCAAGACCCCAGAGCCGCTCGCCAGGCCCAGGCCCAGGCCAAGGCGGCCAGCTTTGCTGACAAGATGACCACGCAGATGATGGAGAGCGAGATGGGCGGAGACGACGAGCCCCCTACCCTGAAGCTCGGTGACGCCTCCGTTGCCGCTCCCTTCACCAGCAAGCTCCGCAACGTCATCGCTGTTCCCAACATCATCCGCCAGGGCCGCTGCACGCTTGTCGCGACCATTCAGACCTACAAGATTCTCGCCCTCAACTGCCTCATCAGCGCCTACAGTCTTAGTGTCCTCTACCTCGAGGGTATCAAGTTCGGCGACGGCCAGTACACCATCAGCGGTATCTTGATGAGCGTCTGCTTCCTGTCCATCTCGCGCGCGCGTGTTGTCGAGGGTCTTTCCAAGGAGCGCCCCCAGCCCAATATCTTCAACTTCTACATCATCGGCTCGATCCTGGGACAGTTCGCCGTTCACGTCGTCACTCTCATCTACATTGCCCGCTTCTGCGACAAGATTGCGCCGTAAGTTTTATTCCTATCAATAGTTTGGAGAACATTTAGCTAACCTGGTTAGTCGCTCTGGTGATGTCGATCTCGAGGCCGAGTTTGCCCCTAGTTTGCTCAACAGCGCTGTCTACCTCCTTCAACTCATTCAGCAGATCAGCACTTTCGCCATCAACTACCAGGGCCGCCCCTTCCGTGAGTCTCTCCGCGAGAACAAGGGTATGTTCTACGGCATCGTCGGTGTTTCTGCCCTGGCCTTTTCTTGCTCGATGGAGTTCATCCCCGAGATCAACGAGCAGATGAAGCTGGTTCCGTTCACCGACGAGTTCAAGACGACCATGACCGGTGTGATGGTCCTGGACTACGGCGCCTGCTGGGTGATCGAGGTCGTCCTCAAGCGCCTCTTTTCCGACTACCGCCCCCGCGATATCGCCGCCCGTCGCCCCGAGCAGTTGGAGCGCGAGAGGATCCGCAAGGAGGCGGTGCAGAAGAAGAAGGATGAGGAGGAGGAGAGGAAGAACCAGGAGAAGGTGGCCGAGTTCGAGCGCAAGGTGGAGGAGCGCCGACAGCAGCTCGAGGCCTGGAGACAAGGCCGCCGATGAAGAGTTCATGTCGGCAATAGACTAATGTTGTGTATAAAGAGCTTAGACAAGATGGAGATGTACTATAGCAATGTATGACACGTGTCATGTGAAGACCACTCTTGACATTTGTCCCTAGTAATAAACATCGACGTGCTGAAATTGTCACCTTTCCGCTTAGCCGTGCGGTACTCAGTATCACGAGTATAGACATCACGTCACCAGCAGGAGCAGTCTGGGTAGTCATGAAGTCAAGCATGTTTGAAATTTTATGGTACAGTAGGCAGACCCAACCAAAGTCGATGCCGCGAGGAAGGAAAGCACGACTTTTGCGCCTCCATCTTTACCCTTATCCCAGCCGTTACACCCAACGCAAATCGTTTGAATTTCGTCGGATTAATGGCCGAGAGTGTTTTCAACCCCCTACTCAACCATGTATCCATCTACTACAACAACACTAACGACGACGACGAGTCCCCTTTTTTATCTTGCGTCAGAGAACAAGTCTATTTCGAAAGAGGGCGAACCGCTTATTTGGGGGGGTTCTGGGCGACGAAGGAGACACCCTTGGCGATGTTCTTCTTGAGGTCGGAGAAGCAGGCCTCGAGGAGCTTCTCCTCGGCGGCGTCGACCTTGCCGAGGGGCAGGATCTTCTCGACGCCGTTGGGGCCGAGCTCGACCTTGGAGGAGAAGAACTCGATGCCCTGGTCCTTGTAGAGGGGGGAGTCGACGAAGGTGGGCTCGACGATGCCCTTCTCGCCCTGGGAGGCGCGGAGGAGGGACTCGGCCATGCGGGCGCCGGCGAAGGCCATGGAGAGGGTGGCGGAGCCGGCGCCGTCCTTGGCCTTGACGACCTCGTCGCCGCCGAACTGGACGCGGTTGACGAGCTCGGCGTTGGAGCTGAGGTCGGGGTGGTTGGACTGGGAGAAGAGGGGGACGATGGTGACGCCGGAGTGGCCGCCGACGACGGTGATGTTCTCGTCCTTGGGGTCTGTGCCCTTGATCTCGGAGACGAAGCGGGAGGCGCGGACGACGTCGAGGGTGGTGACGCCGAAGAGGCGCTTGGGGTTGTAGACGCCGCGGGCCTTGAAGACCTCGGAGACGATGGGGACGGTGGAGTTGACGGGGTTGGAGATGACGAGGATGTTGGCGTCGGGGCAGGACTCGGCGCAGGCCTTGGCGAGGTCGCGGACGATGGAGGCGTTGGTGTTGAAGAGGTCGTCGCGGGTCATGCCGGGCTTGCGGGGGACGCCGGCGGGGATGAGGACGATCTCGGAGCCCTTGAGGGCGCTGGCCAGGCCGGTGGGGGTAGGGTCGAAGCCCTTGACGTTGCTCTTGGTGTTGACGTGGGAGATGTCGGCGGCGACACCTGGAGGAAGGTTAATTGGGGTTCGTCGAATTGGGGTTGGAGAAGAAACGTACCGGGTCCGCCGCGGATGTCGTAGAGGGCGAGCTCAGTGACTCTGGGGTTGAGCTTCATGAGCAGGGAGAGGGGCTGGCCAATGCCGCCAGCGGCACCGAGAACGGTGACCTTGGAGAGCTGTAGAGAGTAGACATGTCAGCCATTGAGTTGCTCGGTGATGTCAATGGGTGTTTGCTTTGGTGGTGGAAGGTTGGAGGGGAGTGGGTTGGCTTCACGGAGCTTGGAAGCTCTCGTCGTTGCCCCGAGGTCGGCTTTTCGGAGTTGGGAGGGAAAGGCAAGCTGGCCACGAACAGCGTCCGGGGGCCGGACGATGGAAAAGCAATGGACGGTTTACGTACGTTTCTCGCCGAAGCGGAGAACATGCGGCGCTGGACGAAAGACATGTTTGCGACTGGAGGGGGTGGGGGAGGAGGAGGTGTTGGGTCAGGTTGGAACAGATGGATGGGAGAGAGAAAGAAAACGGAAGAGAGGTTTAAAAAATTATGAGGCGCGCGAAATAAGTTGGCACGGAGAAACGAGCAGAGGGTGGTGCAGTGTGGTGCAGCAGGATGGAGCAACCAGTGGAAGATGCGGCTTGTGGTGAGGAAAAAGATGGGACGGGGCCGCCGGGCAGCCAGTTGCTGGATGCTGTTGAGTGGGTCCTGGCACATCGCTGGCCAACACCACTGACCACTCACAGTGCTCGCTCACAGCCGTGACTGCTGAGGTAAAGGGTGGGGTCTAGGCCGGATGCGGGCCTAGCGTCACGGGGTGCCGGAACACCCCGGGGAAACGCCGGAGAAGATACGTACCGTTCTATCCCTTCGCCGACTCCAACAGTATTCTCTCTCTTCTTTCCCCGGACAGATCCCCGACTTGTCGCCGTCACCAGCTCAGGTCCCGGGAAATGGAGAGGAGTCCTCGGATGGAGGGATACGTGATCACGAGCACATGCTTGTCTGCTCCGATACTCCCCCATCCCGAGTGCTAACCACAATCCCGGTATTCCTTCGACCCGAGGTCGTTCTTCCAGACTGCTTCTCCAATCTCCAAATGCGTAGATGGATGGGCGGGATCGATGCAGGCTGGACTCATATTCAAAAGCCTGTCCCGGGATGTCCCAGCACCGACCGGAGAACATGTTACACTGTTGGCGAGAACCGGTCTGTTTCGTCAGGCGCCTTGCCGACGGTCTCGATTTCCGACCGCACCTTGATGTAACCTCGGACATGATGAGGCATACAGCCACGAGCCAGCCAACCGGCCTGAGACCAGACACTTTCTGATATAGTGATCAGGTTGAAGATATGAACGTCCGCTACCGGCACCGTCTCCATGACTTCATGATGCCCCGTCTGTCGGCCCGCCCCTTGGAGCCGGCTTCCGTCCGCCTCCGAGTGGCACCTCCCGGTAAACAGCATCCCCCGGCAGGGCTGCCAAAACGCCGCTGGTTGTGGCCGTTCATGACTTGTGTGATATGTTTGGCCTTTGACTCGTGCTTACAGACATGATGATTTAAATAGATCTGCTGCTGTTCATGAACGAAAATGACATCGGTGCTTGAGTCATTCCAGCCACTGTTTGAGGCGTTGTCAAGATTCCTCGCAAAACCCGAATTCTCAATGTAGGATGTTTTGATAATACGTTCGTGTCCAACAGCGTAGTTCAATCATTATTTCTGCGGAACGAACATCAATTTCCTGGTCAGCAAGAATTATGGCTTATTCACGAATCTACCACATGGCTGTATGTTCTAGTCCGAATGCGAAGGAGTTTTATACGATAATTAGAATGATGCGTTAAATGGAATACTCAAAGTCTAATGTTCATGCAATTGAATTCATGTCATACAGCAACCCCAACAATTAACTTCACCAACCGGGCCATCTGTCAGCTCGCCGAGTGACTCTTCGGCGGGGCAGCCACAGCAAAACCCCACTAGAAATTGGCCGTCGCGGGGGATGTGGCGCTAGCTCCAAGTGCACTTCAGCGCCGAAAACAGCCCCGCTGCTTTAGGTCTTCTTTCACATTTCATCATCACTTCTCACCGCGAATTTCCTCTCGAAGAAACACTGCACCACGCCGACGATTATCGCGACGCAGACGAATCAACCGACATGTCGATCGCGCAGCTCTCGAGGCTGTTGCCTCTGCCAGAGGACGAGCTGAAGCAGATGCTCGACTACGCATCGACGCTATCGAAAGCCGAAGCCGCAGCGCACTTCAACGACCTGCTAGGCGACTCACCACACGCTGTCGAGTTCATCTCGTCGTTCAATTCGCGAAGACAAGACACGAAAAAGAGCTCTCCACCAGCATCTGCATCGAACAACAACGGACCCCCCGAGCCTGCGCCGAAAGCATCTCGCGGAAAGAAGAAGAAGCAACCGAACCTACACACACCAGTCGCGAGAAAGGTCGAGGCGTTCCCACCGCTCGCCGGGACAAGCTACTCCAAGAAGGAACAAGATGATTACTACGTCGGCAACAAGAAACCCAACCAGCCTGCAGAGAGCAGTAGTGCATCAGCAAGCTTTAAGCAGCAGCCGGTCAAGAGCGCGACGCCTCCGCCGCAACAGCAGAGGACGGCGGGAGGCTACCTGATATCCGACACCAAGGCAAAGCCAAAGTCGAACCCCGTGTCACGATCATCCACGCCAAAGCCTTCGACGAAGCCGACGACAACGAAGATCTCGATCGCTGGCGGAACACCAATGGCAGGAGCGTCGACCGCCTTGACGGACCTGGATGCGGCGATTCGATCATTAGAGTTGACGACAAATCCATCACTCGGGGAGGACCCCAAGGCTCGAAGATGTAATTGCGTTGCAACCAGGCACCCGCTTCAGTCGGCTGCGCCCAATTGTCTATCGTGCGGCAAGGTCATCTGCGTCAAGGAGGGTCTCGGTCCATGTACTTTCTGCGGCAGCCCTCTGTTGTCCTCGGAAGACGTTCAGGGTATGATCAGAGAGCTCAAGGCGGAGAGAGGCCGGGAGAAGATGGCGGCAGATCGTGAGGCGCACAAACGGCCAGAGGTCAGCAAGAAGCCGGCGCCGTTCAGCCAGAACAAGATGTCGGAGGCAGAGGCCAAGGCGCGAGAGCACCGCGATAAGCTGCTGAACTTCCAAGCTCAAAACGCACGAAGAACGACGGTCAGGGATGAGGCGGCAGACTTTGACGTCAGCGGGGCGATGGCGGGGTCGGGAGGCAACATGTGGTCGACGCCGGAGGGCAGGGCACGGGAACTCAAGAGGCAGCAGAAGATTCTGCGGGAGATTGAGTGGAACGCAAAACCCGACTACGAGAAACGGCGGCAGGTGGTCAGTATTGACGTTGTGGGCGGGAAGGTGGTGAGGAAGATGGCGGCCGTGGAGAGGCCGACAACGCCGGACGAAGAGGGCGTTATTGTTCACGAGGATGTGGATGAGAATGGTGTCGTCGGGCAGCAGGGCGCGGGCGCGGGCGGTGGTGCATTCAGCCACAACCCGTTGTTGGGAGGCATGATCAAACCCGTCTGGGACGCCAAGGGCAAGGGAAGCCAGCTCGAAGGGCGAAAGGACCGGAAGACGCAGTGGAGGAGAGTGCAGGACGACTTCCACGATAACGAGGCGGTAATTCTAGACGGAGGAGCTCATGGACATGCGGTGACGGCTGACGAGCCAGCATGCGGGTGAGGATATGATGTTCTGTTTGGAAAGCTATGAAAGGGGTACGTATAGACGGCAAGGCCTGATAGATGAGACAAGAAGGACCTCCGGCATGAGGGAGCATATGTAGACGTGTCACGAATACCCAAACAACGGCATTGTCCAGATGGCACCGCGGTTGGCTGCATGGACGTTTGATGAGAGACGACAGACAGATGAGACATGGGGTTCCGGACGTGGGGTGCATGTTGTCTAAGTGATTGGCAGAGACGGAAGTATTTCTCAGATGCCCAGCAGACAGGCCACGCTTGGGCAGCCATGAATATTGGCGATGGCTTCACCGGAGTCCATTAATGACAAGGCCCTCGCATCACGTCAGGGGTCACCGGAAGTTGGTCCAATCACGGAGGAAACGATGACCAGGAAGAGCAATCGAGCAGCGGGAAAAGCAAACATGGTGCTCACAGACGGGAACTGGTGGGAGGGAGGAGGACGAGAATGAAACGAAGGAGCAAAGTAAGGTACCGAGGTACAAGGAAACTGAGTACGTATCTCTCACGTGACTTCGTGTCTTTGACCTGCTGAGTCAGGCCGAGCGGGTAGCCGGGCGTGTCGCAGTCTTTTCTTATTTTTATTTTTTTCATTCGTGTTACTCAGTCTTGCAATCTAGCTTTTCGGACACTCTGACATCAGCCCTCGGAGTCGGGTCACTCCCGTATCTTTTTTCACACAGTCCAGTCTAATTGATATTGTTCATGAGATGCTAATTTTACCGATTAAACGTGGCCGGGGTTCTTTCGCCATTTTTTCGTCGCGTTTAGCGAGCCAAACATCGTTAGAGCTGCTGCGGTTTTTAGGGGTCGCCTGTTGCTGTAGTGGAGGAGGTCCGGGGGCACAATATACAGTGGGGACCCCGCTGGAAACGCTGAAGAGAGACATCGGATGCCTGCGGGAAAGAAAAAAAAAAACGCGACGCAGACCGCGTAAACCGCCTGCCTTTGGCACCTGAACTGGGCCGACCGAGGACGAGGACACCTGGGACCTTGGAATCCCCCGCGTCTCCGTCCACTAAATGCGCTCCAGCAGCAGCTTCAAGGTGGCAGGGCAGTGTGACTTTGACGGCTTAGTGTCGTCCGCGTATGCAACCACCAACACAGCAGCAGACACCGACACACACATCGCACACCCGAATCGTCGCAACCACCTCCTCTTCTCGTTCCCGATACCACTACACTAAACCTCACCTTCTCACGACTTCGTCTCCCGGCCTTGCTGCCGCTCCCGCCTCATCATCATTACCAGGTGTCCCCGTCCGCCACCGACACGACAAGACACGACACGCCTGCGGTCGAGTCGCGCCCGCTGACTGTCACTGTGACTGTTCCCATTATTATCGTCAATCCGGCGCATGTCCAATCCGCCCGCCATGGACTCTGCTTCCATCCCTCCCCGGCGTGGCCACCTGTTCGAATCCGACCGAGATCTGTTCAACATGCACCCACGAGCAGACGTTTCTCAGGCGAGGTTATTACCCGACACTTCGGTCCGCCATACCCTGCCTACACCGGCCAGGCCGCAGACCACCACCACAACCACCACCACTGCCGACGCGCTTCCCAGCGACGCCGCCCCATCAACCTCGGCCGACGCGACTGCGAACATCCAAAACAACCTCAACCACCAAAGCCACGCTCAGCACCAACATTTCCAACCTCCCTCACAACCGGTCAGTAACGTTCGCACAGTAGACGCCCGTCCGACGGCGAGAGAACCCATTGCACCCCCCGCGTCCTCGCAAATCCACCCCGCCGCCGCCCGACCGACCCCCTCCGTCCATTCGCAAGATTCCAACTTGTCCGCCGAGTCCGATAACGTCTTTACCCCGCCGGCGAGTCAAGGCGAGATGCCCGGCGCCAATACCAACGGCCACACCTCAAGCCAAGAGTCCCAATTACTCCAGCTGTCGCATATCGCCGCCGCCCAGGACAAGTTGGCCGAGAATGACGCCGCTGCCACTTCGCGGAAGCGCATGGCCGACGGCATGGTCAAGGAAGACACCTCCCCCGTCCGCATAGGTCACTCTCGGAATACGAGCACCGTGAGTATGGCTTCGACCGCGGCCAGCAGCGTCGGTGATGTAAGTTTCGTGCCTCACGTCACATGCTGCGCGCTTTTTGCTTACACCTATTGTAGTGGTCCAGTGACCTCAAGACGCGTCTCTCCTACGCAATGCTCAAGGTGAACCACGGCTGGCAGTCTCACTCGATAGACGAGGTCGAGTCCATGGCCTCTCAAGCCGCCTCGCCCACCTCGAGCCATTCCACATTACACGGCCGCCAAGAATTGTCCGCAAGTCCTCGCGCCAACATTGCTCGCTATCAGCCTGCCAGCGCGGCCACCACTGCCACTTCCGGTCCAAGTCCCGCGACGTATGAAGCTTTCTGGAAAGAAGGCCAAAGGTCAACCCAAACATCGCTCTCGCCGCCAGCTCCTCAAAATGCTCCCACACTTGCGCCTCCGGCTCCCATTCAACCGTCAAGGCCAGGACCCTCTCTCAACCCTCGCCGCAACTCAAATCCGCGCTACACACCAACCCTTCTCTCACATTCACACAGCGCCTCGCCGCACACTCCTGGACAGCAACCCTCGAGCGGGACGCCGCTACAGAGGCTAGGCAGGGCACCCATCGACCCCATCCTCTTCTCCCCTCACCAGAACGTCAGAGAGCAAGACGCCATCGAGTCCCTCATCTTCATGAGCAGCCCCGGGAACTCGGCCAACATGAAGCACAACTACTCCCAGTCCGTGGCTTCAAACCTGCCCGGTCGCCACGCGTTGCCGAACTCACAACCTCGCAAGAGCTTACCCACACAACGACCCGCGCAGCAGAAAAGGGTCGGCTTCGAGAAAAGCCCCGGCGGCATGACCACGGTGAGCGACATGGACGTGGACATGGACTCGCCCCAGTCGCGTGGTCCCGTGAGGAGGCGCGTCCAGGGCAGCGCCAGCTTCTCGGCCGGCAGCACCCTCCGGCCGCAGCTGTCGCTTCCGGCGGCTCTGGGCAGTACGTCAAGGCCCCGGCCACGCTTGGCGGACGCCGACATCGAGCGCATGATCGACCAGGTGGCTCAAGCCGGCGACAGTTCGGACGATGACGACGGCGAGATCCAGATCCCGGGGAGGAGTAGACCAGAAGGGTCCGTGGGGGTCTGATTGTGTTCGTTTTCGTGTTTGTTGGTCTGACACGGCCACCGGCTGTATGGATTACATAGGACCTACGTCTCGCCGCCTCACGATGCCGTGTGTGTCGGGGCCGGCCGGGCGGATGATGATGACGACTTTTTTTTCTGTTTGGATGCGTATAGTACATAGTTGCATACGGGGCATAGTTCACGGAAGGGGTTGGTTGTTGCTGTTTCCAACGCATTTTCTATATCTCGGCTCGTCCTCGTAAGGATTGAGCTACCTGGAGCATTTCATGCGCGGTAATGACGCGAATGTTTGGGCGTTCTACCTAGGATTTATTCGCATAGCATGGCTGCGGCCGCATTCAAATCAAGAGCGTATTGCGAAGAAGTGGATTTGAAGTAATGTCTTTTTGATTTTCGTAACCCAATTTAAACGCGTCGTGAGACGCACTGTTATATCTAAGGCAGGTCTTGCAAGCTAGAAGTACATGTTTTGTCATAGCTAAGGTATGCAGGTATATAGTGAAAACTGAACCATTGTAGTTGTACAAGTCATCATAACGCCGTCCCAAAACGCCAGTGTCGTAAGTTATGCTGAAGCCGTCTTACCAGCGGGGTCCTCCGCCGTGGTGGCCGTGGTGACCATGATGTCCGTGGTGCTCGTGATGGCCGTGGTGCTTCTCACGACCCATCAACGAACCAACAAGCCCGCCGAAGCCACCGGAGCTTTGGTGACCGCCGTGGAGACTGCCATGATGCGGCGGACCGTGATGCGGGGGACCGTAGTGGTGCGGAGGGGGAGGAGGGGGCGGCGGGCCGTGGTGGCCGTGGTGGTGGTGATGATGACCGCCGGGGTAAGGAGGCGGCGGGCCGTAGTGATGCCCTCCATGATGCCCACCACTGCTGCTGTTGTGATGGCTCCCCGAGAACTTGTGCTCGATCTTGTTCGCGACGACGGAGCCGCCCAGCGCGCCCGCGACGGCGCCCAGCTTGCCGCCGAGGAGCTTCTTTCCCGCGTAGCCGCCGGCGGCGCCGCCTCCGAGGGTGGAGAGGAGGCCCCTCTCGCCGTCCTTGCCGGTGCCGAGCTCGGCGTCGGAGCCGGGAGGACCGCCGCCGGTGCTGCGGCTGCGGCTGTGGGTTTTGCTCCCGCCGCCGTAGTAGCCGTTTCCGTATTGTGAGCGGTTGGCCATGGCGGAGCGGGGCCGTTCGCCGATGGGGCGGTCGAGTTCGGGGTAGTAGCCGGCGGAGTCGACGAGGGGCGCGGAGAGGTGGGTTTGTTTGGAGTGGCGTTTGGAGGAGGAGCCTGGGGTGTGGCTGTTTTGGCGGGAGCCGCCGTAGTAGTCTTGTGCTGACATGTGTGTGTTTGTGGTGGTTGTTGTGTGTGTAAGTGAGTGTGGTTGATGTTGTGTGTGGTTGAGAAGATGTTTCGCTGGTTGGTTGGGTATCTTTATATTGTTGGATATGCGAGAGAAAGAGAGAGGGAGCAGTTGAAACAGAACGAGGGGTGGTTCACTTAAGTATTTCACATCTCTAAAGGTTCGAGCTGGCACGGATGAGTGATATGGACATGATGGATCCCGGGCGGCGCTGGGGCGGAACCCGTGGAGGCTCGGCGCATTGCGTACCCTTTTACCTGGGATGTGTTGAGCTGGAGCAAGGTCATGAACCAACGTCCATCCCTCCCTCCCCCCGGCCAAAAACAATCTCCACACTTGGCCATCGGGACATGCTTAATGTTAGTCACGGGTGGTGTGACGTTTACTATGTGAAAAGCGTCTGGAGTTAAGGGAAGTACCGAGACTTTTGATGGTGGTCACGATCCCAAGTCTCCGGATCGAGGTGTCACGGGTTCTTCAGTGTTCGAACTGCACGTCATCGTTACACCAACATCAGGTCTCGTCACCTCAAACGGCAAATTGAGGTATGTGCAAGCAGGTCCGTTCCTTTCGGGTTCGTCTCCGTAAGGCAGAGAACGAGCAGCAGGAACAGGGGGCGGGAGGCGGCCCCGGTGGTGGCTTGCCGATGTCAGCCTTGGCCCAGGTCCCCAAGGTGACGAATGATGGGCTCAGAGGCAGATGGGGGCAATGCGAGATTTCGAACCGGGGCCTTCCCTCGGGAGATGGGTGGTGGCATGTCGAAATGTGACGGGAGGCTTGAGGCTTGCAAAGTTGGGAGGAAAGGACGTGAGGTTCCGGGGGAGGCGGTGCGACTTCTGAGCCTCCACTCCACGCACGTGACCCCACTCTCCGGGCTTCGGCGTTAGTGGGAATCGGCGAGTCCGACTCCGGGGCCAAGTCCACCGGAGCTTGCGTGTCGCTTTTTTGCTGTGTTGTGTTATGTAATCATACTCACTCAATCTCATACTCACTCAATCTCATTCTCACTTTCATTCTCATTCTCATTGCTGTCTTCACTGACCACGAAGAAAATGAAGATCATGTAAAGCCACACACACTCGTCACGATTGAGGCTCGGTATGGAAGAGAGCTACCATCCACCCCACCGTCAGCATCGCCCTGTCCATCACTCATCACTCGGCCGGGATCTGCCGATTCCACCACCTTAAACTCTTCCATCCCAGCTTTCTTTCCACACGGCCTCGTCACGGCCTCAGCTCAGACAAGAAGCAAGCACCGCCCTCGCAAATCAAATCACAATCCAGAAGAACGCAATGCCTCCCCTGGACGGACCTCATACCGACTTTCCAAATTCCCACCTCGTCCGCGACTTCCCGCTGCTGCGCTTCTCCACGGCTCAACTCCCGTCTATGCCAAGACGGCCAACGGCAATCACCTGTCGAACGACATGCTTGAGCCTTACCGGCATCACAAGTCATGACCAGCATGAAGCCTGGTCCGATCTCAAATGAGGGCCCCGCCCTGCTTCTTTCCAGAATTCGTCGAAACATTTTTTTTAGGTTGTTCCCTTGAAAACAGCAGGGAAGTTGCCGGGTGGGGTGTGTGTCCCGCCATCCGCAGCGGGCACGACATCACATCGGAAGCCGGAGCGACGCCCACATTCCCGAACGCGAGCTCCACGTCCGGAATCTCGGCCTCGACGCCTAGAAATCGGTGATGGCGAAGGGGCATATTCCCGCCAAGATACATGATTGTCAATCGGTCCGACGAAGTAAGCATACTTTGGGTCTCTACTGCCCATCAAGCCTTGTTCTATTCACGTCGATACGGAGAACTGTAACATCGCAATCTTACTTTTCCATGCCACCTTTTTCTTACTACTCTTTTTTTTCTACGACACGACCAAGGTGTCCTCCAACCGGATATCCCTACTCGACGCCCCGACCTTGACGCCAAACGTCCCGGCCGGCACGATCCAGTTCTGGCTCGCGACGTCCCAGTAGCTGAGGTCCTTGCGGCGGAGCACGAACGTCGCCGTCCCGGACTCGCCCGCCGCGAGCCTCAGCTTCTGGAACCCGCGCAGCTGCTTCGGCGGCGCCGCCGGCGCGCCGGACGGGAGGCTGATGTACAGCTGCACGATCTCGGCGCCGTCGACACCTCCGCTGTTGGTCACCGTCGCCGTCACCGTCGCCACTTCTCCGAAGAGGTCCTCGCGTCCTCCGGGGCCTACCGCGCCTACCGCAGGGCCGGACGTCGCTGTCGAGGTGACGCTGACGTCTGAGTAGGTGTAGTTGGTGTATGCTGTCTTATGGTCAGTCACGCTCTCGAGTGAGGACATCTCAAAAACTTACACAGGCCGAAACCGAATTCGTACCGAGGCTCGATGCCCGCCTGGTCAAAGTGCCGGTAGTCGATGTACAAGCCCTCGGAGAAGTTGTCCTCGAGCGTGCGCGACACGGCGGTGCCGTAGTCCTCGGCCCTCTTCCCGATGGTGTAAGGCAGCTTTCCGTTGGGGTTCGTGGCGCCCCAGACGACGTCCACGAGGGCGTTGCCGTTCTCCTGCGACGGCAGACCGGCCCACACGACGGCCTTGACGCCCGGCTGCGCGAGGATGCTCTCGAGAATGATCGGGCCGGTGCTGTGGACCACGACGACGACGTTCTGGTTGACCGCCGCCACGGCCCGCACGAGCTCGTTGCCGTTGTGCCACGGGTCCAGGTTGTTCTTGTCGCCCTGGTTGCCGTCCACCGTGAGGTATCCCTCGCCCGAGTCCGAGGTGATGAAGACAAAGGCCGCGTCCGCGCCGCCCGCCGCCGCCGCACCCTGGTTCGCGTCGTCGGTGCTGCTCGCCGCGACCTGCGTGCCGTCCTGCTCCGCCCTCGCGCGGATCGCGTCCAGCGGCGCCACCACGTACGGGTAGTCCACCGTGCCGGAGCCCCATCCCATGCCCAGGCTGCCGACGTTGCAGCTGCGGTCCACGCACGCGTTGATGCCCTGCGGGTTGTTGACCGAAGACGACCCGATCACGGCGATCTTGCCCGGCGCCTTGAGGGGCAGGATGGCGCCGTCGTTCTTGAGCAGCACGGTGCCGTCTCTCGCGACCGCTCGCACGTTCTCCTTGTGGTTCGCCTGCACGTTCAAGCCGAAGTTGACCGCCGGGTACCCCTGGTCCTGTCCGAGGAGGTACCACGCCGCGAGGATGCGGCGCGCCGCGTCGTCGACCCTCGACTGGGGCACCCGGCCGTCGTTGACCGCGGTCTGGAGCTGGGGCCCCCAGAGGACGGTGCCGCCGTTGAAGTCGCTGCCGGGCATCATCATGTCCAGCCCGCTGTTGGCGCCGCTCGCCGTCCCCGTGGACGCGGCCCAGTCCGTCATGACGTACCCCGGGAACCCGAGCTCCTGCTTGAGCAGCTTGTTCATGACGGCGTCGTTCTCGCACGCCCACGTCCCGTTGACCTTGTTGTACGAGCACATGACGGACGCCACGTTGGCCCTGACCGCCTCGGCGAACGGCCAGAGGTACAGCTCGTGCATCGCCCTGTCGCCCACGTTGCTGCTGATCGTCTCGCGGTTGACCTCCTGCTCGTTGACGATGTAGTGCTTCGCCGTCGCCTGCACGCCCGCCGACTGCATCCCCTCGATGGTGACCTGCGTCGCCGCGCCCATGAGGTACGGGTCCGGTCCGAACCCCTCCCAGTTCCGGCCCGCCGCGGGGATCTTGCCGAGCGCGCCGCACGCGGGGCCGAGCATGACGTGCACGCCCAGGCCCTTGGCCTCGGCGGCCTTGTACGCGGCCCGCTGGCGGACGAGCTCGAGGTCCCACGTCGCGGCGGCCTGGATCGCGGGCGTGAAGGCCGTGACGCTGCTCGCGTAGCGCACGCCGAGCGGGCCGTCCTGCAGGCAGAGCGAGGGGTAGCCGATGGACGAGGCCGGGCTGGTGTTGCCGACGCAGGGTCCGTTGCCCCAGCCGACGCCGGAGACGATGCCGATCTTTTCGCTCTGCGAGAGCCGCGGGAGCGCGGCCTCGGCCTTGGCGTAGGCCGCTTCCCACTCCGGGGAGCGCCTGGGGCCGGCTTCTTCCTGCGCGCCGGCGAGGGACGTCGCCGCAGCTAGTGCTGCGAGCTTTCGGAAGTGCATGATGTGTGCGTGAATGTGTGATCCTGGGTTTGCGGGTGGCGGATCTCAAGGTGGTCAGAGAACCCAGCCGGTCCGTGGGGAGAGAGGAGGATACTTATACTCTTGACAGTGCTGCTAACCTTGAGGGCCAAATCTTCACGAGGAATTGTGTCTTTTTCCCCCCGCCGGCTCGGGCTGCAAGGACGATCTGTCTCGTCCAATTTGCTCGAACCCCGCTGCGTCTGTCCAGGCCAAGCTGCTGAGCAAAAGACTTGGGGCCGGCCATCCGGGGAAGACGGGAATTTGGAAGCTGTCTTATGATCTCATGACCCGTGGCGAGGAAGAGTCTGGTTCTGCCGCGGTGGTGGTGCGCAGGAAAGACAGCATCGAACCCCTGTGCCGTCGACCTTGGCGCACTCTATCGTGAGGCGACACGTCGGTACTGAGCTCATGACGGACATTTCGGTAGTAGCATCCAATGCCTTGGTATTAGTCCCGCCGCTGCTCGTTCTGCCGCGTACTCGTCCAGCTCATCCCCCGCTTTCCAAGTCCCATGTCACATGCGGCGGCAGCATCCTCCGATGCGGAAATGGTGTTCGAGATCAACCTGACCCTGTTGGCTGCGTTTCTGTATTTCTCGTCCCCGTGTGACACTGACGGTGAAAAAAATCAGGTCGGGTTACATTGAAATCTCTTGGGAGATGGGGAAGTTGGAGCAGCCCGGTGCAGTTGGGATGAGGGGAAAAAGCCTGTTAGCATCCATGAGTATTCCCGCGAATGAATGCCGCAGGGTTGTGCATTTATGGTTAAACCACGGCCGCCCCTGTGGTATAACATCCAATCCGCGTCCCACCGGCTAAGTTTGTGTTCCCCTGACTATGTTAGATGACGTTTGTCAACTTAAACATATTAACAATGTCGGCCCGCCGTCCGTACTCCCTCCACCTCCCCGCATGAGAATACCGCGTGCTTGGCTCCGTGAGTGAGACATGTCGGGTGGCAATTGCTTCCGTCCATGGCAGCAGTTCCGACGGCGGGTGTGTACTTCCATCGAAAGGGTTGTGAGAGGGGGCAGGCTGAGAGAGAGGAAACAAATCGTCAGGGCTGTGATATTTCTTCGCCGGAAGCTGCCAGATCGCATGAAATGCGGCGATTTTGGAGTCATGTTCCAATTGAGTTTGGCCGTCAGGAACGCTTGAACTCATTTTCGGCATACTTTCGACCAACGGAAGTCAATTAGATTTCCATGCAATCCTTCGTTGTCGATATTACACGTTTTGACTAACTACAGCTTCGGGCCACCGCATGAGTTCCAAACCCCCTGCTTCCCGGGCGACAGCACGCCGTTGGGGTCAACGGCGTCCTTCAGCAACGTCGTGAAACGTCCGAAAGCCCGCTCGTTGAAGTCCTGGTGCGCCGCCGTCGTCTCCATGAAGCTGATGTGGACGCGGTACTCGAGGTACCCGAGCCCCCTCGTGTGCGCCATGAGCGCCGTCTGCAGCGGGTGCAGGCGGTGCCTGGCCTCCGGGTGGAACAGGACGAGGTTGATGCCGACGACGTAGCGGTCGAAGACGTGGAAGTCGGCGACGAAGTTGAGGTCGTGTGCTTCCTCCGTCAGCCGCCGGGCGCCGCGGTACCACGCGTACAGCTCGCGGCCGGAGGGCGGGATCACGGGCGAGTACGAGTTGTGCCACAGACCCGCGCCCCCGTCGTGGGATTCCATGAGCTGGACGCCGTCGAGGGAGGGCACGCCGTTCTGGGGGAGGAAGTCGGGGGTCACGTCCTCGCCGCGGAGGTACGTGCCGGGCGCGGCGGTGAATGTTTCTGTGGTTAGTGAGGCGTTCTTCACGGTTTTGAAGCGGCGCTTGGTGGCTGAGATCAGCCCCGCGTGCGCCTCGGGGGGTGCGTAGAGCGCGAAGGCGGCGCGCCAGGCGGGGAGGTTGAAGCGTTTGGCGACGTCGACGACGATGTTGTTCGGGATGCGGTGGGCCAAGTTCGAGAAGCTCCCTAGGGCTTCGGCTAGTTCCTTGTTGGTATGTATCATCCCGGTAATGAGAGTCATGGTGTTGAAGAGTTGAGGTGGGTTCGTGATCACGCGTCGACGCATCAGCTCGGTGAGAGCACCTGTCAGAGGTACGAGGTCTTCGTCTTCCGGGCAGTCGACGACGATCCGGGTGTACGCTTCGGGCGCGGGGGACATGTGAATGCCCATCTTAGTGACGATGCCTGCAGTTGTTAGTAAGTATCATTCAAGATGTGTCAAGTGATACTTGCCGTAGTTGGACTGGAAGAAGAGACCATCTAGCCCCGGTCCTAAGCCACTTGATCGAGCAGTCAGCTCCGCAGTGAGTCTCACGAGAACCAACTTACCCCGAGTATAACGGCCACGTCTTGTTCCCTTTCATGGCACCCATACCAGTCCTCAGCAAGTCGCCATTGGCGAGGACCACCTCCATGCCACACTGTTGCTTGTAGTGCACCGCGTCAGGCGTGTACCCGAAGCCTCGTTCCAGCGTATTTCCAACGACCGAGCCCCAGCCCAGTGCCGGGACAGACATCCACAGATTCAGTTTGCGTCTCTTGATCTCGTTATAGAGGTCCATGAACGTGACGCCCGGCTCGACGATGGCGTAGGCGCACTCCTCGTTGATCTCGATGATGGTATCCATGCGGTGCAGATCGAGGATAACCGAGCCGGACACGACTGGTGCAGAGCCACCATATCTGTAGTGATTTTGGTAAGCATGAGATGCGGCTAGGCTTGATGTAAGTCCACACTCACCCCAGATTCTTGCCGCGTGACACTGTCCAAAGGGGCGTTTTGGTTTCGTTCGCAGCCTTGACGACCTGCCGGACCTCGTCGACAGTCGCCGGTCTCACCGCGGCAGAAGCTTCGTGAGGCCGGCTCAAAGGGAATGGATCGCCGTAGCTGCGAGAGCCGCGGAGGCCTTCGGGAGCACCCCACGATGGATCTCGTGAAACATTTTCGTTTCCGACGATGTTAGTTGCAACACGAAGGAACTCAGAAAGATTGGCCGGAGTAGGCGTCTTTGAAGCCCCTAAAGTCGAAGACATTGTTGAAATGATCAGAGTAGTTCAGAGAGTAGTTATGTATCACGAGATATGAGACGTGAATCCAGGACTACAAGCATTGGTGCATATGTTTCCCTCGGCTGAACATTAATCTTATACTGAACGGTAGAAAGCAGCATAAAACTCCAGAGTTTCAGCAAACATTGCTCTGACCAACCATTTCGTCAAATTCCTCAACAGAAATGGCTACAACTGAATACATCGCCTTGTTTGCAGTCTGAAAGGGACATGCCGATCGCAGAGTATGTTGTCCACCCGCCGAACCCGCTTATCTCAGCGGTCAGTTCGCGAGTCGTCCCGGACCCGGTGACTCCGCCCGTTCCAACGTGAGATGTGATCCAACGACGTTCATCTGAAGTTGTGAGCTGCCAACTCATACTGTCAATCCTCTCCAAACAATGACCAATCACGGTCTCTTATACCACTTTTGGTAATGTCTTTACGACTACCGTGGTTCGCCGAAGGGTGGCAGGTCACAGTACGGCTAGGAATGTCGGCATAAACATCTTCACACACCCTCTGAAGAATCAACGGCTTCAGGTTCCGGCCGCCCACTTGGTCCCCGAGTAAGACTTCGTGATGCTGAGAAAGACAGGTAGATCATGATTTGACATGTAAGCGGCAAACGGGCTTGATTATATCCACTCAACCTCAATTCATTGCCAGAAACGTGAGGTCCAGGCAGTCCTCGGCGAGTTGCACTATTCCAATGGTGATGTGTCTTTTGTAGACAGATTCGTACATTAGCAAGATATTGAGGATTAAATACCTTCTATTCCTTCGTCACTACCACTCATCACCAAAGTCCTTACCGCCATCTTCTTCTGCACCTAACAGACCCATCACGACACTGCTGCTTTACCCCTTGAATATGAGATCAACTCAACCAAACCGTACCACCAGCCCCTATGGGCTCGAATCAAGCTGGTCGCACACCCTGACGCCGCTGAACCGCGCAGTCAAAGGCCGTCTCGAAACCGAAGCCGCCGACCTCGCCGTCTTCGGAGAGATCCCGAGACAGCTGAGCGGCACCTTCTACCGCATCCTGGTCGACCCCTTCTACCCTCCGCCGGAAGACAACCCGCCGATCGAGGGCGACGGCAACGTCTGCGCGTTCCGGATCGAAGACGGCCGCGTCGACATGAAGATCCGATACGTCGACACGGAGAGGTTGCGTCTCGAGCGGCACGCCAAGAAGCGCCTCTTCGGCCTGTACCGCAACCCCTTCTCCCACCACCCGTGCGTCAGGGCCGCTGTCGATTCCACGGCGAACACGAGCCTGGTGTTCTGGGCGGGGAAGTTGTTGGCGCTGAAGGAGTCAGCGTTGCCCTACGAGATTGATGTCGATACCCTCGAGACGTTGGGGTATGACCCTTTCAAGTCGCCGGGCATGACGTTCTCCGCGCATCCCAAAGCCGATCCATATACCGACGAGCTTGTCGTCTTTGGGTATGAAGCCAAAGGGCTGTGTACCGATGACATTGTCATCTACGCACTGGATAAAGAGGGCAAAGTCCACGACGAGCAGTGGGTCAAATCGCCGTGGTTGGCTTTCATTCACGATTCCGCTCTCACGGAAAACTTCATCGTTCTGGTCCTCTGGCCTTACGACGCCGACGAAGACAAAATGAAGGCTGGAGGGCATCACTGGACATACAGCAGGGACCGACCCGCCACCTTTGTGGTCGTACCTCGACGCAAGTCCGGCCAGCTGCCGGCTGGTTGGAAGCCCGGCGAATATCGAGTATACGAATGGGAGCACGCCATGCTTCTGCACACAGCGGGTGCCTGGGAAGAGAAGACGGAAGACGGGACCACTACGATCTACCTCGAGTCCTCGAGGATGATGTACAACCCCTTCCCCATGTTCGACCCCCACGCAACGGGTGAGAACCCATTCGGCGACATGAAAGCCGACTACGTCCGCTGGAGTATCGACCTCGGCCAGCCCAGCGGCACAAAGATCCCAGATCCAACCGTCATCGTCGACATGCCTGGAGAGTTTGCGCGCATAGACGAGCGCCTGCAGACGCGTCCTTACGACCGCATCATCCTACCCGTCGTGATTCCCAGCAAGATGTCGCCGGTTCCGCCATTGATACCGGTCGGGTTGAACGGATACATGTTTGTCGATAAGAAGAGTGGCAATAACGTTCTCTTCGACCCCGGGCCGAACTGCACCGTGGAGGAACCCATCTTTGTGCCGCGGTCGAACGACGCTCCGGAGGGTGACGGTTGGGTGCTCGGAATGGTGCAGCATCTGGACGAGGATAGAAGCGAACTGGTCGTGTTGGATACAGCTGCGTTCGACAGGCCTGTTGCGGTGGTTCAGCTGCCGTTCAGGACCAAGGGACAAGTTCACGGGAATTGGGTCGAGGGTGGACCGGGGATGAAGAGTTTGGTGAGGACTTACAGCAAGATCCAACCCAGCGGACTCGGCTTATTGCCATGAATCGATTGATGGCCGAGGAGATTAGTCCAGGATGTAATTATTTGTTCGCATTGGAATGGATGTATTTGTTGTCGCTGCAGAAAGTTATGAAATGCTGGTACTGATAAACCTGTTCGTTCAGCCGAGAGAGAGGAAGGTAGCCCCTGTGTGGATAGATAGAGTGCGAGAAGGAGAGACAGACAGTCTCAATCCTTCCTTCTTGTTCAGCGTCAACGTGACATAACTCAGGGCGCCAAAAACAACGGTGAGCGCGATCATCAAGCAAAGAGTCAAAAATGAATTCAAAAACAATCCATCAATCTTCACGGATGCGAAAAAATAAATGAAGATGCGGCCAGTGTGGATTGAACACACGACCTTCAGATTAAGTGATTGAAGTTGACTTCAGTCTGACGCTCTCCCAACTGAGCTATGTCCGCCACGATCTTCGTTGAAGCGTGTAGCGGATCCGGGACCTGAGTAGCGTTGGGCTCAGTCCGACCCACTCACAATCCACAATGGTCGAGTGTCGACGGTTCAATTGAGAATTGTGTAAAGATGAATAGAGGTGTGGTATTTCAGTGAGAAGAATTCATAACAGAGAGTCTAGCCAATCTTTTTCATGGTTGGCTGCCGTTGCAACCTTCAGGCACTATGATCGGACGGTTATTGATAATAAGCTCAAACTGAACTCGGCCCGGTGCGCCCTGCTGGTGACATACAGAAAGCCAAGCTCAAGCAGTCCACTGCCAAAGGCGTCTTTTGACAGACAGAACAGATCACCTACCTAGCCAATTGGTATTGAGAGGATTGTAAGTCGCGATATAAAGCAGGACTTGAGTTCTCATACACATCGAATCCTGTGAATTGAGTCGATATCGGACACAAGCCGGACTCATCTTATCAGCGTCGCATTGAACACATCCTCTCCAAAAACCCCGATCTCGTTGACTTCATCCATTGCCAACTACTCAAACCTCAGTAAACCACCGAAGTCATGGGCGAATACATCGAAGATGAGATCAGCCTTCAGGAGTCGTCACCGACATTCGGCAAGGCGCTTCTGAAAGAATTCCTCCTCGACCCGTCTTATCGAAACCTGAACCACGGTGAGATCACATGCGATCCCCCCAAACAACCCCTCACTCACAAACTCACTCTCATGCAGGCTCCTTCGGCGGCATCCCCCGCCGCGTCCGAAAAGCGCTCCGGGACTACCAGGACAAGACCGAGGCCCGTCCCGACCCCTTCATCCGGTACACCTACCACGACCACCTCCGCGAGTCCCGCCAGGCCGCCGCGGACCTCCTCAACGCGCCCCTCTCGGCCGTCGTCTTCGTCCCCAACGCCACCGTCGCCATCAACACCGTCCTCCGCAACCTCCCCTGGAACCCCGACGGCCTCGACGAGATCCTCTACTTCAACACCATCTACGGCGCCTGCGGCAAGACCATCGACTACATCGTCGACACCCGCGGCGGCCTCGTCTCCCACCGCGCCATCACCCTCACCTACCCCCTCGAAGATGACCAGATCGTCGCCCTGTTCCGGGCCGCCGTCGCCCGTGGCAGAAGCGAGGGCAAACGCCCCCGCGTCTGCGTCTTCGACGTCGTCTCCAGCCTCCCGGGCGTCCGCTTCCCCTTCGAGGCCGTGACCGCCGCCTGCCGCGACCTCGGCGTCGTCAGCCTCGTCGACGGCGCCCAGGGCATCGGCATGGTGCCCCTCGACCTCGCCGCCCTCGACCCGGACTACTTCTTCACAAACTGCCACAAGTGGCTGCACGCCCCGCGCGGCAGCGCCGTCTTCTACGTGCCGGAGCGCAACCAGCACCTCATGGCGTCCACGGTGCCGACCTCCCACGGCTACGTCCCGCGGTCCGGCGCCGCGCGCTTCAACCCCCTCCCCGCGGGGCCCGAGTCGCCGTTCGTGGAGAACTTCGGGTACGTCGGCACGCTCGACAACAGCCCGTACCTCTGCGTCAAGGACGCCATCGAGTGGCGGAGGAGCATCGGCGGCGAGGAGGCGATTCTGCGGTACACGTGGACGCTGGCGAAGGAGGGCGGTAGGAGGGCGGCTGCCGTTCTGGGCACGTTCGTCATGGACAACAAGGCCGGGACGTTGACCAAGTGTTGTCTGGTCAATGTGGCGCTGCCGATGGTGATGAGGAAGGACGGCGACGCTCCGTCGACGGGGCCGGACGGCACGGTTGCGGTGCCGGAACAGCTGGCTTATCCTGTGGTCAATTGGATGGTTGAGACTTTGGTGAGTGAGTATCAGACTTTTGTTGCGTTATTTTGGCATGATGGGCGGTGGTACGCTAGGTTGAGCGCGCAGGTGTATCTCGAAGAGGAGGACTTTGAGTGGATTGGTCACACTTTGAAGGAGTTGTGTCAACGGGTCAGCAAACATGAGTACAACTCAAACCACAAGCATGATGCATGAAAATCATAAACACCTCGAGGACAACAATCAATAGACCAGAAACTTTGATTTTCATCACAATGCCATTCATTTACTATGCCGGCTAAAGAAGCTCCAAGACATCTAAACTGACTCTGAGGATTCAACCACCATCGTCTTTTGTCCTATACTTAAAAAAAAAATTCGGCTGTGTCGTCTCAGACGCTCATGACCACTGCGATTAACATGGCAAGGGGAAGCGCCATTAAGCCCCCCGCGGCAGCCGTCCTCCGCTCACTCCCGGACTTCATCGTCGTCGTCGTCGAGCCGGCGTTGTTATTGGTGTCCCTGGAGAAACCACGAGTGAATCCTAATGCCATTTGGAAGAGAGAAATGAAGTGTGTTTTTTTTTTCTTGGTTTTCGCGCTCTCGGGTGTTGTGTGTGTCTGGTAGGAGGTGGTTTCTCAATGCTTACGCCGCTGCGCCAGGTGCGGCGGGCGCGGCACCCGCTTGTTGGCTGTTGACAATGTGCTCCGCCATGCCGAGGGACATGTTGCCGCCGTTGAAGGCCACGAATTGCGACTTGAACATGATGTCTCCGTAGATCTGGAGTCTGGAGGTGGTCGCCTGGAGTCCACCGAAGCAAGCTGTTGGTAAGAGGTTAGCTTTGAATTCTAAACATGATGCGTCAAGTCTGGGAAGCTTACTTTGAGCGTCGACCTGAGCGAAGTTGATGTCGCTACCCTTGACACGGGCCATGTAAACACCGCCAATGTCCATCATGAGATCGGGCAGCTGGGCGTTGCAGGGGAAGGTGACACCACCGACGGTCTGGTCGTTCTTGGCGCCCTGGACCTGCTCGTAGTAGGCCTGGACCATGGGAGGGTTGGCGAGGATGAGGGTGGTTCCGGTATCAGCGATGGCCTGAGCACCGGCGGTGCCCTGCTGGACCTGGCCGCCGCCGACGGCGAACTTCTCGGAGGGGAACTGCCAGAAACCGCTGGTGGTGTTGACGGGGATCCAGGTCATCTGGCCGGTGAACTTGGTGGTGTCGATGCGGCCGAACTCGTAGGCGCCGACGGACTTCTTGCGGAGGTCGGCGGTGAAGACGGGCTCAGCGAGGCTGGGCATGACGTTGTCGAAGAAGGTCTTCTGGGCCTGGGGCTTGACAGTGTTGAGCTTGGAGAAGGCGAGACCCAAGAGACCGTTGTTGGCAGTGTCCTGGACGAACTGTTGCGAGACGGCGGTGGCCATCTCGATAGCCTGCTTCTCGACGACGGCGCCACCGATGTCGACGCGGTCAGTACCGACAACACCCTGAGCACCAGAGCCGTCACCGTAGCGGATGCTGAAGGAGTTACCCTGGAGCATGGCGGCGGTCTGACTCTTGGAGGGGTCGTAGAGCTGGTGGCCCTGCTGGGACGTGGCGTCGAGCATGGAGGTGAAGACCCAGAGGTCGGAGGAGCCGGAATCGAAGTCGACGTTGACCTCCTGGCCACCGATCTTGATGGGCGAAACGTACTCGACGTCGTTGCGGATCGGGGTGGCGGTGACGAGACCGGTTCCGGGCTGGCCAGGGGCGGCGGTCACGTTGCTGGCGCCGGCGGCGAGAGACTTAAAGCCCTCGGCCTTCTCGGCCGGGGCGTTGGCGGCGTTCTGGGCGTCCATGGCGTCCATGGCGGCGGCCAGGCCCGGGGGGATGGGCATGCTGAACTTCCGGTACGCCTTGATCAGTTGCCTGGGTCCATTGTGGCCCTGGAAGTTCTCGTTCGGCACTCTGGGAACGAGGAAGGATCTCTTCTGGATGTTGCCGCGCTTCTCGACGGGGGAGGCTTCGATCAGGGCGAGGAGGCCGAAGAAGAGGACAAGCGTCCGCAATACAGATGACTCCATTTTGTCTATATTCGTCTCCGTCACCAGGACTACTCGTCTGAGAACTGTAGGGCAGAAAGAAAAGACCACGCCAGGTGGTTCGTCGCTGTTGTCAGGAAAGGACGAGGAGCTATCGCCAGGAGTCCTCAAAAAGAAAACAGGAATTAAGAGTTCGCGAAAGAATGGAACTGGTGACGGTGAGGCCGAGAAGAGAAGAGTAACCCAGGACGTGAGAGAAAGGGAAAAAGAAGGGAGGATAGGATCGAGTTAATGTTCAAAGTAGGAAACTCAAGAGATGGCCACTGGGTGGCATGGGTTGCGAGGATTATACATGTTGCAAAAAATGGGACGACGACGTCGTGCGCTGGTTGCTTGGAGCCTCCAGGCGGGCCAAGTCTCAAGTTGTGATGCCCTGGTCACAGATTGTCCCGCTCGACGAGGGCGTGCGCGTCCATGTCAGGCCGGGCAAGCCCTGGGACAGGATGGATCTGGTGTTGGACCGGTCGAACTACTGCGAGGGGGTGACTGAGGTGACTGAGGGCGATGGCTATACAGAGAAGAGGCGGCGAGAGGGGGTGTGCGCTTGGGATCAGGTATTGGAGGTCGACGTCCACTCCCGCCAGTCGGGATCCAAGACACGAGTTGCGGCAACGGGGTGGATCTGGCAGCATGTTTGGAATTCTGCGAATACGTCGAGGAGTGGTAGATCGGGCACAAGCAGGGGAGTCCCCTTACCCCACAGCGAGCCAAGCTGTGATGCAGAACAGGGATACCGGTCGATCGGTGCCGGGAGGCTAGCGCAGGGGCTGTGGGTTGAGGGTGTGTGATGTCTGCATGTGTGTGTGTGGGAGGAGGAGGATGGTTTGCCTCTGGCTCTGGCCTTTTCGTAGGTACAGACGGCTTTGGCTCTGGCTCTGCTTGTTCGTGGTTCGTTGAGAGGTCGAAGTCGCCAAGAAATGTTGGTGCTTCGGATGTAAAGTTTGCCATGCCGTGGAAACTCGGTGAGCGGCTGTAGTTGAGGTCTCGTTTGGCTCAATACGAATTATTAGACCGTCGTTGCTTTGGCAGGTTTTTGCTTGGCGTTGATACACCGGCATCACTTCCCACGGCGACGGGCGAGGACAACATCGCCGCGGATTAGATGGGCTCCGGAGATATCAGCGACGGTAAGACGAAAGCGAGGCGCTTGTCAATCTCATCCCTTTGGTGCCAACACCATCGTTAGACCTGAGCTAAGCCCTGGATGCTTGCGTAGACGTTGGTTAGCGTGTCGCTCGAGAGAGAGAGAGACACTCAACACAAGCGTCGTGGCCAAGAGAATCAAGCACTCGGGATCTGCTAGCCGGGCCGTTGCATTTTCTCCATTTCTCTTGCAGATGGCCAGACATCTTGCTCACCCCGTGTTCTCCGTTCTCCACCGAACCGGCGTCGGTGAGCCGAAGCCAGGACGTCGCGCTGATCGACCATCCAGAAGCCTGGCCTTGGTCCAAGTAAGCGTGGCTAAGCATTTAGACGAAGTCGCAGGTAAAAGCGGCCCACGAGCGCCAGTCCCCACCAGCCTTATTCAAATTAATTGATCTGAATTGCTGAGTGACTGGATGGATGCCAGATGCCGGCTTCGCAGCTGCTTAAAGTCGACTGAAGGGGTTTGCTTTCCTCTCTTCTTCAGATAAAACATTGACAAATGGGGACGACGGATATCCGACGAGGAAGAAGAAGAAGAGAACAGGAAAAATGCGGTATTGATGCTATTCTTGGCAGCGTGTATCGAACAACAATCCTTACGCAGGTCGAGGAACGAACGGGGTTTCCACTTGTCGATGCAACTGCGATTCAAGCCCTCCCCCATGCGGTTGGAAACGAAAGTCAAATACTCAGTTTTCTGTGACGGGCAGGAACTGCATTCGAAGGAGGTTGGATGCTGCTGCTGCTGCTGCTGCTGCGGTACGTCAGTTTCCAATCGCAGCAGGGGAGAGGGATCGAGCGCGGAGAAGGCGGCGAGGGATGGTGGTTCGACGGAAGATTCCCATGCGGATGGTATCCCGGGTTAATCTCGATTAATCTCGTCATTGGGTCTTGACGGTATTCAGCGTTCACAGTTGTTTCCACTTGGCGTTTCAGCGATCCCCATGGTTGCTCTCCCGCCGCTAGGCTAAGCCTCAAGATGCTGGGCTGGGTTTGGCCGGGCATTTGGGGAGCAAACGACAAGGAGGAGGGGAGGGCTAAGATATCTCGCGCCAAGGGCGATCTATCCACGCCCCCATATGCTTGGCGTGCTAAGCTTTGGTGTTGCGGATGAGGAGTACCGAACATAATTAGTAGGTCGAATGAGGGACTCGACGAATCCCTGATTCGGACGAAGAGGAAACGAGCGCCACTGCTGAATGCGAAGCCAAAACTGCCACTGTTTGCGCGAGGTTGGAACTCGGACTCTTTTCTTCTAGGACAAGTGAGCGTCGTTCTCGCGTGTGTGGCAGACAAGACAGGTGATGGACGGACCGGACCAGGCGCCTCGAGCAGCATGAGTTGTGTCAATTCTGGTCTGCCGGACCTGAACCCCTTGAATCCGTATTGCCGTATCCCTGAGTTGGCTATTCATCTTTTCGCGACCATCGTCTCCTCAGAAGAATGGAAGAAACACCCCTAGGCAAGGAGGTTCAGGAGAAACGATATGAAGGGGATGGGCAACTCGGCACAACTCGATGACGCCTGGTGACGAATGCCCGGATACAAGGCCGTCCCCAGTCATCGTCTGGAACGTATGTAAGCCCGTCGTCGTGGTCTTTCTCGGGGACGGCACGGCGCAAACGAGACCCAGTCGGTCGATGGTGGCCAGAGGCGTCCAGGTCTGTCCAAGTCTTGTTGCTGGCGGTTGAAGGTGTTTGAATGCTGGAAGCGTGCAGGATGGTGGGGGAAACCCCTCGTCGCCTCTCCAGTGAAGATCCTCAAATGGACACGCTGACAGGCCCTGAAACGGTCCACTGAACATTCTGAGACAGCGCTGTGAGGCAACATCCCGGTCTGTTCGCGCTTCCCGAGCCGGCGATAAGTTCCGAGCGGCACATGCGCCCGGGGCGTAAAGGTACGGGTGGCTGCGGGATGGGTACTGAAGTGCGAATTGTGAAGTCTGGCTGAGTCTGCTGAGTTGGTGGCCGCAGATGAGCACGACACTGCTGCTGCATGTTGACGCCGCAAGCCAGCCAATGATGGGACCAACTGACGATTGGAGGCGTCAACATGGTTGGGCCCTGAGTAGCAAACCTCACCACAAGAGTAATGTGCTCTTGGCTCTTGCTAGGGTCTTGGTTGAGAGATGTCAGAGACTTGAAGGCCTTGCAACACGATTTGCAATTCTGTTTGCCCTCGAGAAACGCGGCTATCGCTACCCAGGCTGGGCTGAGCAGCTTTTGAAGATCAACTCGTTTTCATTTCATCTTTGTGACGACGGCTGATGCACTTCGCCTCAAAGATTCCATGTTGCAAGTTGCAACACGCTGTTCAGCGCTTCATCCAGGGACCATTGAGAAGCATCACCGGATGGAACCGCCTGAGGATATATCTCATCTTCCATGGATCGTGGTGTGCATGAGCCATACCATGCCTTGCCTTGCCTGTTGCCCCATGTTCATGCGTCCAAATGGAAAAAAGGCATTGTGCGGATCTGTCGCCCATAAGGCAAGACAGGCAAGACAGGCGAGTATAAGGTTGAGCCGTCACGTTGCTGAGAAACCGGACCCTGCGGCAAGCAGGCACAAGATGAGATCAACCGTAAATTAGGTACTCGGTGAGTCAAGAGTGGGCTCGCCGGCCGCCCATCATCTGAACAGCCGCGTGCCTCGGAACACATAGAAGTAGGTTGTCATGTCGGAGGAAGCAACTCTAAAAGCCAACCTAAAAAAAGGGTTGAAATAGAGGAGCAGGAGCAGAACCGTCCAAGGAGCAGCCAGGCTCACCTCGGATTTAGGCTCGGAGGATTGGCGGACGATGATGTCGTCGCGAGTGGTGATGGTGTTGAGGAGTGAGTGCGCGAGTGAGTGAGTGGGTGTTACCGAAGAGGCTCTTAAGAGGCAACTTAGTCGTCGACATTAACGTTGTTGTCAAGATGGACCGGACTTGTTCAAAAACCCGCTGTGCTTGGCAGCTTGGCAGTTTTGTCTCTCGACGTAGCTCAAAGTATCAAGTGTGTCGTGAGGAGGGGCCAGAGTCAGCAATATGCAGAGCGCCAGCGCCAGTTGTTGACTCTCGTGTTCGGAAGACGACTAGAAGTTATAAAGTCCGAGGATGGCGCCGAATTATGACGGTGGTGGACATGTGAAGTAGGGTGAATCTCATCTTGGTGCTGCATCTTGGCGGTGATGGTATTTGTTGATACTCACTAGCGACGGCAATCGCTGGCGATGATGTGTCTCCTTGGCGGAAACAATAAGCATCTGCGATGATGAGCACCCAATAACAAGATGGGGTATTAGCCTCGACTCGGCGCCATCAGTCTTTGAGGCTTCGTCGTCGCGTTCACCTTGGCCAGGGCGGGCGTGCAGGCAAAAAGCTTGACCTGCATGGCGGCTCAGGAAGGCAGAAAGTGGAAAATGAGGAGAAAACGGGCCTACACTACACGTGCAGGAGGGCGCCCACAAAACAAGGTAGCGAGTGAAGGTTGACAATAAGATGCGCCATATGCTGGAGTGATTGAGTCTTGGTGTTTCTGCCAAGCCGGAAACTAATCGAGGGGATGAATCAGTTTTTGCTGGGAATATTCTGGAGATGATGGATGATGGACATGGAGGAGGGAGACACCGAGGTGGAGTTGGTCAACCTGGAAGTCATTCAATGGCATCTGGCAGCTTTCGATGTGCAGCTGGGTGCAGCTGGTGAGGCTGGTGAGTCAGGGACCCGGATGGCCGAAAGCTGCGCCTCAGATGTCAGCCACACGTTGTGGTCTGTGCAGAGAATGACAAACACGCTAGACCCAAGAGGGAAAGAAGAAGAAAGAGTACGTATCAGGCCCACCCTTAACCCCCACGTGATTGGGCCCGTGCCACGGCTGATGCTCGGTTCGCGCGGAAAACGGCAAGGGTCCAAGTCAGCAGCCAATGGAACATCACGTCAGAAACGGGGACCAGTCAACATCCGAGGGGGAGTCTAGACACATGACTGGGCAGTTCTGGGAGTTCTGGACCCGAGTCCAACCAACCAAGCTCTTTCGGGAAGCGAAGCCTGAGCCTAACGCTGACGGATAGACCCATAAGCCACGGGCCACTTCGTCCGCACCCAACCAGAGGGAAAGGCGCGAACACTATCCGTACCCAAACTGACCGTCAGGAAATAATACCCAATGAACGAATGACTTGGGCTTCGGGGTCTTGACCAATCCAACACCAAAAGAGAACCACCATCAGGAAGAAGGGAAAGGCGTGACTTTGCGCCCGACTCGTTGCTTGCCCCGCCTTGCGCTGTATCCGTTACCTTACGCTCAGCTCGCAGCCGCCAGCCAGCCAGCCTCGCTGATTTATCCTAACAGCAGCAGCAGCCCACTTCAGGAGAGGACCCCGAACCGAATGACAGCAGACGGTGGTGCACCCGTCATTTCTCCCGTCCATTTTCCCCACGCGCGCAACAAACTGCAACGGCGACGGCAACGGTGACGGCAACGCTCGCTTCCCGCGCAAACCACACCAAACTGACTGGACGCAAACCTCGACGACAACTCCGTTCCGTCGGGTCATACACTGTACCTATCTACTGGACAGTGGACGCCCACAAGCCCAAGCCCAACCAAGCCCACGCCCACCGTCCACGCCCGCATCCGCACCCGCACCCGCATCCACATCCACACACACACGCCCCCATCCCTCCATTCCATCCACATACCTTACCTCAAGGACCTTACCGTGCTTTCGCAAAAAAAAAAAACGTCCAAGGTATCCCTCGAGTCCAGGTCCGTCCTATCGTCGGTGTCTCTGGCCAAACGTCCAACATACACGGCCGTTGGCGGTTCACCCCGTTACCCAATCTCCGAGGGCCGCCGGCACGCACACACACGGCCACATCGCCATCTCCGTTCAGGGTCCAAGACACCGGTCTGCCCGTCCCACATCCATCCTCCCTCCGATAGACACTCGGGGGATACACCCGTATCCTCCAAAGTCCTCCGGTCGCCTCCCGTTCCTCCCCGTCGTCGCCTCGACTCCGAATCCCTTCAATGTCGGACGACGAGTTCACCGGAGCCGACGGCACCTCCGGCGTCGCCGGTGCCGATCGCGACAAGCGCGCGCCGCGCTTCAGCTGGACGCCCGCCTACGAGGCCACCTTCTTCCGCTCCCTCTGCGACTCCGTCAAGCTGGGCCTGCGCGAGAACCACTCCTTCAAGGCCGAGGCCTGGGATCGCGCCGCCACCGCCCTGCGCGAGAAACACGGCGCATATCCCACCAAGAGCCATCTCGTCAACAAGTCGGACAATGCGCGTAAGAAGTTTCGACTATGGCGCGGCCTGCGCGAGGACGAGCAGTTCCTCTACAACCCGGCCACTCGCACCGTCACCGCCTCCGAGGAGGCCTGGAAGGCGCATATCGAGGTTCGTCAACGCGCCCCGTTCCGCCGTTCGGCCGTCCTCCCTTCAAATCCCGATAAAGACCATCATCGCTAACCTTTCACTGAAGAAAGAACCACTTTCGCGAGCGCTTAGAGGGCGCCCGTTTGAACATGAGCAGTACATGGACATACTTTATCCCGACGTCATCGGGTCCGGCGGCGCGCCGAAGCGCATCATGAAGCCGAAGCGCAAAGGTCCCGATGTCATCCAAGGATCCGAAGACCCGGATATGCCGGGCACTGCCGTGCTGGATCTGCAAGTCGAACAGTCGTACCGTCCGCCCTCGCAGGCGGGGGTTAACCAACAACCGGCGCAAACTCGCGGCTCGGTCAGCCAGACCCCCGTAGCGCCCGTTCATCAGCCCATGATACCCCAGCAGCAACAACAGCAGCAACAGCAACAGCAGCAGCAGCAGCAACTGCAACAACGGCCCACCTCGACCGCGATCCCGCCTAGAACGCACATCGCCGGCACGAGCGCTCTCACGCCACCCGAGGAGACGGCCACGGGACGTAAGAGGTTCCCGCAACAAGCGCCGACGTCCGACGGCGGCGCCAAGGCCCCGACCGCGCAAATGGGCCACCCGACGGTCCAACCGGCAGAAAAGCGCCGTCGGATATCGGGCTACGTGAACCCTGGCCAGGCATCGGCCTCGGCCTCGGCTTCCACGAACAACACCGTGGACGCCACCGCGGCCTCGATGGTGAACGCCGGCAAACAGCTCCTCGAGGACGGCTTCTTGTCCAAGATCGCCGACGCCATCCGCGGCCCGACCAGATACCCAGAACAGGCCATCGACATTTTCTTCCGTGACTTTGCCGACGAGGACATGGACCTCCAGCTTAAGATTGCCGAGAAGGCCCTGACCGACGACAACAAGGCGATGATCTTTTGCAAAATGCCGCCCCCGTTGCGCAACCACTGGGTGAAGCGACTGAGGGAGCTGCACAACAACAGCCGCAACGCGTAGGCGCAGACAGCAGACGGCAGACGGCAGACAGACAGAGTGTGTGGGCGGTCGAGGCCAAGTACACGAAAGGGCCCTCGGACCTGCCGTTGTAGGATTCGTGGTTGTTGGACGGCGTTTCGATGTAAGACGGCCCTCCTCGTGCGCGAGAGGGCCGGCGGGCATGGGGCTTAAAGGCAAACGGCTAGGCTGGCAAGGGCTTTTGGGGGCAACTTTGAACAAAGAGAGAAGAAGGCTGGATATGCGCGCGGAGAAGTGCTGCGAGGGCGTTTAAAGGTGTCCGGTCCGGGGTCCAAAGGTTCAAACGGGGGTTGGAGGAGTTAGCAACCAAACGGCATAGCGACTGGGGATGTTGAGCTTTCGCGACACCTACTTATTTTTGTCTGTACGATTCTACGATACTACTACCACTACCAGATGAGCAGCGGAGGCGAACTTTTCGAGCCGAGAGCGGCGGAGTCTCCTTTTAGTATATTCAATACTTATTGTCGATACCGAGGAAGTGTGCTGTTCGCGTATTGGTGTTGGTGTTGGGATGATCGGGTCCGAGGAGAGGAACGCTGTTGTGAGCCTAGAAGCAAGTCAAGTCAAGCAAGTAAAGCATATAGGACGGCAGTTGTGTAAAGGTGAGGAGTATCATTCCGTATTCGCCCTGAACGCCAAGTACATACACGAAGCGGAGAGCCTTTCCATGAAAATCCGCGCTGCAATCATGCCCCATGAGAGAAGACTATAAAGCCATCCGCAAAAAGTTTCCCAAGTGTGTCGTCATCATATCTCGTTCTTTATTTCTTGCCCTTGGTCTTGTAGAGGTAGCTGCAACCCGAAACGTCAGTATCTACCGCGAGGAAAAGGAGGTTTAGCCGCATGAGTGTGACTCACTTTCCGAGGATACCCTCGCCGAGACCGACGACGCCCAGGATGCCGAGCCCGAGGCCGACGCTCTGCCACGACAGGCGGCCGCGCTCGTACAGGCCCCAGGCCTTGTAGCCGAGGAAGGCGCTGAGGCCGACGACGCCGACGAGGTTGGAGACGGCGAGGGCGCCGGCGGAGCCGTCGCTGAGGGAGGCGAACTGGCGCTTGAGCCAGTTGTCGGCGCGGCGGGCGCGGCCGGCGGCCTTCTTCTTGGCGAGGTCGGCCTCGGCGCGGGCCTTGGCCTCGTCGTCCTCGCGCTGGCGGCGGTCGGCCTGGGTCTCGGTCTGGATCTCCTGCTCGAGGAAGTCGTTGGGGACGGTGTGCACGCTCGGCATGTCGACGTCGACGAGGGAGGATGTGGAGGCGGCGGAGTCGACGCTGACTTCGGGGGGAGGAGGGGCGGCGGCCTGTCGGGGAGGGAAGTTGTTAGCCTTTTTTTCTCTTATGTTGCATGGGGTGAAAAGAGGGTGTCACGCGATCAGGTCGACGTACCTCCTCGGGGGTCTGCTTGGGACCTCTGGATGCGGCTTCGGCGTACGACACTTTGGAGATGTTAGCGAGACGCGCGGGTGAAGGGCGGTCGGGGATCGAAGCAGAGATTTTCTGTTGGTCTATGATGGCCGTGGTAACGAAGCTCGACGACGATGACATCATGCGATGGCTGGGACGAGGTCCACGACCGCCAGAAGAGCACAACAACAAAACAACGGTGGAGAGACAGAACTTACTTGTGTTACTGGTGATGTGAGGTTGAAGAGATGTGGTTTGGAGAAGACAAGCAAAATCTTCAAGCGTCGAAGTGGTGTGAGTGTGAGCGTGCGTGAAGGTGTGTAGATCAGCAAGTGACGTGGGAAGGATGACGGGAGCTCCCTTTTTAAGAGGTGGTTGTCATGTGAAGGGAAATAACCGGGAGAGAAATTTTAACAAAATGGACGGAAAAGAAGAGAGAAGAAAAAATAACAGCCCGATGGCGCACACGGCGGGAAAGGGTGGTAAAACCACTAACCTGCAGCACCTGATGAGCTGGCCGTGACCACACACCTTCTTCCCCTCACCGTCACCGGTTCGTCCCCCTCCAGGTGTCCGCCCCCTGGGAGCTTTCCTTGATCTTGGTTGGCGCACCGGCGTCTGGAGCCAATGACGTATGCGGCTCGGGAGCTTGGGACACATGAGCTCCCGGCCAATCACAACGTCATATATCCACCTTAATATGGGGGTGTTCGGGCTGGGCCCGGGGAAAGGGAGCCGGGAAGGGCCAGGAACGGCGTGTCATGCTGGCGGAGCATCCAGTCTTCTCGGATGGGGCCCTGTGTGTTGGCACTTTTACTACGTTAAGGTAGCCTGTCGTAAGATGATGTTGTTCATGCTGTACCTGAATGGGTCTGGAGGGTGGGAGTCATTCTGCAGGTTGCCAGGGGATTCTGAGGCTATTCCCACCCTGAAATGTGTGACTCGACTAGAACCCTGACCAAAATAGCATCCAAAACCAAAACATTGAGAAGTGTATGTCTATTGTTTTGCTTGGTTTTTTCCCTACTAGTACACTTTGTACACGATTATGGTACATGGAATATGCCCGAATCCTCCCATCATGCTGGTCATTAGCCGCCCTCGTCTCTACCCTCTACTATCCACACACGTAATTTTATCGAGGTGCAAAAGTGCTTTGCTCTAGTTGTTGTTCGCCGCGGTGGCGTCCGTCGCCGCGGTGTTGGGCTTGGTAAGGTCGACGCTCTCCGCCTTGGGCGCCGCCTTCTTCTCCTGCTTCTTCTCGGCCTCGGGCTTGACCTCGACCTTCTTGATCTCGGAATCGCTCTTGATCTCGATCTCGCTCTTGACCTCCGACCTGGGGGCCTGGTCCGGGGAATCGGCCTTGGTCTCCTTCTTGACCTCCTCCTTCTTCTCGGCCGCGTGGGTCGGAGGGGCGACGGACGCATCGGCGTTGGCGTCGAGGGCGGGCTGGGCGTCTTCGGGGGCGGGCGCGTCCTCGTCGTCGGCGAGCTCGGCGCCGTAGACCTCGGGGTACTTGCGGAAGCACGTCTGCATTCCCCTGTGACCAAAGTTAGCATCCATCTCCCGCCGCATTCGTCAGTTGTCAGGTAGTGTCTACGCACTGGAACTTCTCAATGCAGTCCATGCCCTTGGGCTCCTCCGTCGAGTAGACGAAGCAGCTGAACGCCGCCTTGAACTCCTCGCCGCAAGGGCCGTCGGCCATGCCGCCGAGGCACGGGCAGTCCCAGTTGATCTCGCCGGTCTCGGGGTTGAACGCGCCCTGCTGGTCGGCCTCCGCCTCGAGCGCCTCGGGGGAGCCGGGCGCCGGCGCGCCCTCGGCGTCGACGACATGGTTCTTGTCGGTGGCGTCCACGGCGGCGGCCGGGACGGAGGCGGGCCTGGTCTCGTCGGCCTTGACGATGGCTCGCTTGCGCTTCTCTTCGACGATGGCGTCGACGGTGGTCAGGTCGGACTCGGAGAACTGGGACGGCGCGGGAATCGTTCGGGCTTTTTGTCGCAAAACAAGAGTTAGCTAGGTGATGCTCCCTTGACCTTCTCCCACACGGCATGGCTAGGACGTACGGGCGGGCTCCTCAGCGAAGACAGGGCTCGTGTTGTACCAGTAGATGGCTCCGACGGCCGCGCCCCATCTCAGCGCCGAGCTCTTCCATGTCCGGGGCTTGTCGGCGGGTGATGCTGTCGAGGCGAATCGTCGAGGGGCTGCGCGAATTGCGGACTGGCGGGCGGCGCTCAGAGCGCGGGGTGTTGACCTTGCGGCGCTGCGATACATTGTGTGAGGTTGAACCAGAAAAGGGAAACAAAAGAACAAAAGACGGGTACTAAGACAAAGGGGAAGAGACGGAAGGATTGGGTAGATTCGCGGAGGGCGCGGTCGAGGGCACGTAACGGGTTGGTAATCGATGACCCGGCAAAGAAAATTGAAGCTTCGATTTCGGGTTTTGCCGGGGTTTACGCGGCGCAATCGGCCCCGTTGCCAGGCCTGTAACGCAGGGTGGCTCCGGCCGATCGGGCGGGCGAAGGAAAAGGAAAAAAAGAATTCAGTGGAGAAATCGGGCGGGTTCATGCCTGAATTCTACTGGTCGCCGATCCAGTTGCACCGATCTGGTCATGCCTCTGATCTCATCTTGGTACCTGCACTAGGGATGACATCTATCTCACCTACTTATAACGAAACGTATTTCTCGGACATTGGTCGGTCGACAAGCTCTTTTGCATTCATTTTCGTGACACTGCACTGGACTAAGGTACCTAGTTGAGTTGAGCACCTTGGCCTCTTCCCTTGGAAGTGGTGGGGTAAACCTTGGGAGTGAATCATCTCGTACCTCGCCGGCCTTAGATAGCTACCTACATTTCAACCCGCTTAATTGCTGAACAACGTCAAGATGTCGCCCTTCGAATGGCGTCCCGTGTCCCTTCTCCGGAAAACAGAGCCCGAGAGCAGTGTGGATTACTCGCTCCTTGTGTTGAACCAGCCAGTGAGGCAGTCCGAGGTGTTCGACTCGCTGTGGACTAATGGTACGATGCGACTCTACATCGCGATGGTGACGTGCCACTGACACCCGCTGCAGCTCTCATTCGAGTCGCAGCCGACGGCGGCGCGAATCGGCTTCATGACCTGAACAAGGCAGGGCACTCAAAATACGTTGGTTTCGGCTCCGGCTTCTGATCAGGGACTATGTTCTAATCCGTTGTAGACCAATCTCGACGCCATCGTTGGTGACCTGGATTCGCTGGAACCCACAGTCAGAGATTTCTACACAGGCCAGCCAAAGCCCACTGAGATCGTCCAGATGACGGACCAAATCTCGACCGACTTCACCAAAGCCGTCAACTGGATCCGGTCGAAGCTCGACTCCAAGGTCGATATAGTTGCTCTTGGAGGCCTCGGCGGCCGCGTGGATCAGGGTCTCAGCCAGGTGCACCACCTGTACCTCTTCCAACCAGGCCCCGACTACTCGAACGGTAAGATCTACCTCGTTTCTGGCCAGAGTCTGACGTTCCTGCTTCTTCCCGGCCGCCACCACATCAGGGTCCGCGAGGGCGGCGCCGACGTCTTTGCAAAGTACGTTGGCATCATCCCCGTTGGGGGAACGAGCTACATCACCACAAAGGGCCTCGAGTGGGACGTCGAGAACTGGGAGACCAAGTTTGGAGGTCACATCAGCACGAGTAACCACGTGTTACCAGAGACCGAGGTGGTCGAGGTCGAGACAACGAACACGGTGCTTTTCACCATTGCCCTCGCGGGCATCGAATAAACCAAACTCGACTGTCGCTTGCTGTACACGGTGTGCCCCCAAAAATGCTCGAGAAATTGCGCGGTGCCCCCTCGCAGCCGCCGACGCCAAACGCCTTGCCCGCCCAGAACATCACCAGACCCATTTCGCTTTTAGATATGCCCGCCCAACTCCAACAGACCCGGAATCATCGCAAGTAGTGTATGACCAACCAGCAGAAGAGGAAAAAGACGACGACGCCAGCCCAGAATATCCACTTGTCCTCCTTGGCACGACGCTCGATCATGCGGATGGTGTCCCCTGAGATGCCTAGGGTGTTGCCGACCGAGTATAGCCTCTTCTGCGTGTTCTTCAGCATTTCCCGCTGTGTGCCCAAGTCGCCGAGCACTGCTTGCCCACGTGCGATATAGTCGTCGAGAGCCGAGTTCGTCTGGGCAAAGAAATTCTGTTCGCGCAGGGCGTGCTGTTCCCTCGTGACATCGTTGCCTCCCATACTCAAACCACCTGCGCCGGCCTGGCCCGTCGAGGCGCCTCGGCTGTGAAATGTCGACGACCCCTTGTTCACGTTGGCATAGGGGTTCTCGGGGGTCGCGGTGACGTAGGCTCTGCGGCCGAGCAGCTCGCCTCGGTTGCTGTTGTGCGCGGCATCCTCGCGAGCCTTCTTGAGGTTGTCGACCTGGGAACGGAAATCGGCGAGGTCTTCGCGGAAGCGCTTCACACGCTCGAATGCCTCCTGCTGCTTCTTGGGAACGAGCTCTTGGCGGGCGAGTTGGTTGTACTCGTCGACGGTCTTGGAGAAGGAGGCGAGGGAAGCGGACACGTTGCCGATCTCGGAGGGGGTCAGGGCGGCGGGCTGGGCGGCGGACGAGGACAGCTTTTCGAGGTCGTTGCGGATGGCCTTGCTCTGGCGCAGGGCCGAGTTGTATTGGACGTTCTGCGACGGGTTAGCGGGTACGGCTTTGCGCTGAGGCGATTCAATGCATTAACATACCATAGTATCTCGGGTTGCGAGAGGCTCTATTTCCTTGCAGACTCGTGTTGGACAGGTATCGTGTTGTGTTGATGAAGCGCAAAGCAGTATCGAGCAGATGCGCTTCGTACAAATACAGGGTCCCGAGGTCTAATTGCAACTCAGGAGCTCTCGACCTTACAACAAGTGGCTTCTCGAAGAAAACACGTCACCGCCTTCCGCATTGGCAACCGCTGTCACCTTATGTAATCATTGTGTACGTATCTTCTGGTCCCTTGGCCAGTGCGGCCACGATGAAGGGACCCCTGTCGATTCATCGCCCTTCCGCTGCGTGTAAATGCCATCTGGTTTCCATCTCAAATCAAACATTGTCGACATTTTTTGGACCTTCGTATGGCACTTCCTCTATCAGAGTCACTCACGTGTTGGCTTGCAACCAAGCTGGGTTTTGTTTAGATCCGCCGTCATGGGACCGGTTATTGTTCCCGACATGCTTTGCCGACGCCGGACCGCAGGCTGGTATCTGGCAGTCGGCCATTTTCCATGATGAAGCTTCGGTCACAATTCGACGAAATCGGACTTACCAACAATCTCATCCGGACACAAGGCCAACCGAAGCCAAATCCTTTTAAGGACCAACTACTCGGTTGAAGTACCCGCTCAGATGATACGGCCGTCGTGGAGAATGTTGTCCCCATTATAGGCAGAAGCGGCCGCCGACTCGGCACCGACATGCAGTCCGCTCGATAGTGATGCCGCCTTACCGACCCGACGAATAGGCCATGCGGGACGATGGTCAATTATCTCATCAAGGTCAACCGACGGTTCTAAGACCAGACAGGTTCTTTCACAAACTCCTATTCCCGAAGCTGGATTCGAGTATATCTGGACTTCATCCCGCCACTGATGCCCATCCTCTACTCCAGCGCCATCGAGCAAAGACATCAGAAATATACTCACCATGTCTAGACCTGCAACTCCAACGCTTTCGCAAAACTCACATTCACGAGCCGGATCTACCAAGTCAGATTTGGAAGATGTCGAAGCCGCCGCCCCACCAGAGCCCGAACAGCCGCCTCGATACTCTATTTACACGACATGGGAGAAGCGGTTCATCGTCTTGGGTGCCTGTTTGGCTGCATTCTTCTCGCCATTTACCGCTCAGATCTACCTGCCCGCCCTGCCGGTCCTGGCTCACGATTTCAACGTTTCCGACTCCGACATCAACATCACTTTGACAACCTACATGATCTTCCAAGGAATCATCCCCATGTTCATCGGATCGCTAGCAGACAACAGCGGCAGACGACCTGCCTATGTCATCTGCTTTGTGGTTTACATCGCCGCCAACATCGGCTTAGCGTTATCTCAGAACTTCGCCTCCTTGCTCGTCGTCCGGTGCCTGCAGTCAGCTGGCTCTAGCAGCACTGTTGCCCTGGCCTCTGCAGTTGTCGCCGACATTGTTACGTCCGCGGAAAGAGGGCAATACATCGGAATCACGGTGGTTCCGATCGTTTTGGCGCCAGCGTTGGGTCCAGTCCTCGGCGGTATCTTGACCCAGTTCCTCGGTTGGAGGTCCATCTTCTGGTTTCTCGCCATTCTATCAGGCGTCTTCTTCATCGCTCTCCTGCTGTTCTTCCCAGAAACGTGCCGCATGATTGTCGATGACGGCTCCGTCCGGCCTCCGAAACTGTATCGAACTGGCTATCAGCTGCTGAAAGACTTCTTCATGGCCAGGAAAGCGGATGGCGCCGCAGTCACAAGGACGACGACAGGAGGGACGTCAAACACGGCAAAGCCTTCTTTGAAGTTCAAGATGAACCCGTTTGCGTCGCTTGTTCTACTATTCCACAAGGAAATGGGATTGCTCCTGGGCTTCAGCGCGATCGTCTTTGCCGGTTTCTACGCCATTGCCGCCTCCATGCCGACCCAGTTCGAGCAGCTCTACGGCTTCGACAGTTTGAAAGTCGGCCTCATGTATCTGCCTCTGGCAGGCGGCTCCGTCGTCGCTGGCTTCGTCGTTGGCCCTCTGATCAACTGGAACTATCGGCGACACTGCAAACGCCTGGGCATTTCTTACGACAAGTCTCGCCAGCAAGACATGGCCGGCTTCCCCATCGAGAAGGCCCGCCTCGAGGTCGGAATTCCCCTGTTGTACTTCAGCTCCATCTTGCTCCTCATCTGGGGATGGGTTCTGCACATCGGCGCCCCCGTAGCCGTCCCTTGTGTGTTGCTCTTCCTCTTTGGAGTGGGCATGATCGGATTCAATAACACGACGAACACGCTCATCGTCGACATTCACCCAGGCAAGGCCGGGACTGCCACGGCAGCCAACAACTTCACGAGGTGCCTCCTTGGCGCCGCTGCGACCGCCGCCATCCTGCCGATGATCAACGGCATTGGCGTTGGCTGGGCATTCACCGTATTAGCCATGTTCTACATTGTGTTCAGTCCAGCCTTGTTGGCTGTCATGTACTGGGGAGTCAAGTGGCGCCAAGCTGCGAAGGAGAGAGAAGAGAAGAAGAAGATGGACAAGGCTTGAAATTGTGATACCACCCGGTGCATTAGCAACTTGCAGAGAGTATGATACCCAAGACATCTAGATAGGAACTTATGCATAATCGATCTCGTCTAATTTTTCGTCTCCGCAGTGCAACACTTTTCCAGCATTATCGCCGTGATTCTCCATACATGATTGGGTCTGCGCCTTTCGGTTGCTGCTGCCTGTACATAGTACGCCCTGCTCTTGACAACAGAATCGCGGGGTCTTAGTGCGATGCATCAAGATCAGCGCGCCACGTTCGCTCACCTTAAATCTCACCACAATCCACCGCGATTCACCAGTTTCGGAGTCTCTCATCACCAGATTCAAACATGGCGCAAGAAACGAACGCCCAAGCCCCGTCTGCCAGCAAGACGCTGACGGCTCAATGCTACTGCAAATCCGTCCACTTCAACATCACCGTCCCGACTTCCGCTCTCCCTCTCAAAGTCCACCTCTGCCACTGCAGCACCTGTCGCTACACCCACGGCACGCTTTCCACATTCCATGCTCGTCTCCCAAGCGGCGTCGCCCCGTCATTCATCTCCCCCTCGTCGCTCTCCTCGCTGACGGCCTATCGTCACGCCACTGCCACGAACACTCGTTACTTCTGTAGCACCTGCGGCTGCCACATCGGAGACCAGGGCATCAACAACGACGACGACTGGGTCATATCCGCCTCCATCTTCGACGCCAACAAAGACGACGTCCCCTCGGTGTGGGACATCCACCAGCACGTCAACACGGACTCGGCCCCCGGCGGCGGTCTGTACAACTGGCTTCCCAGCATCGCAGGCAAAGAGATCAACGTCCGGAACCCGAAAACCCCAGACGCCAAGACCGCCGCGGCACCCGCCCTCGAGACGGGAGAGCACGGCGAGGAGCTGCTCCGCGGCCAGTGCCACTGCGGCGGCGTCTCCTTCACCATCTCCAGGCCCTCGGCCGGCGTCGCGTCCTACAGGGACTGGATCTCGCCGACGGAGCCGGGCAAGTGGATGGCGGGGGCCGACACGTGCGGCGACTGCCGGCTCCAGACGGGCGCGCACGTCACCGGCTGGGCGTTCGTCCCGCAGTCGTGCATCGCGCCGCGGGTGCCGGGGGACCTCACCCTCGGCACGTCCAAGATGTTCCAGTCGACGGAGAAGGTGTCGCGGTCCTTCTGCGGGGTGTGCGGCGCGTCGGTGCTGGCTTTCTACAGCGGTCCCGAGCGGGCGCTGGTGGACGGCGACAGGTTGTTTAATCTTGCCGTCGGGCTGCTGAGGGCGCCCGAGGGGGTTTTGGCGGAGGACTGGTTGACGTGGAGGACGGTCAAGGTCGGCTGGGCGGAGAACGGGAGGGAGTATGATGCTGCGCTCGTCGAGGCTTTGGCTGAGGGCACGGCGAGATGGGGGGAGAAGTATGGGGATAAGGGGAAGATCCTGGAGATGTATCCCTAAGGAATAGCTCTTCTTGAAATTGGAGGCAGAAGTGCTTAAGAAAACCTACGGGAGATTTATTTGTATACTGATGTACTATGTCCTTTCTAATCTCTTATGTATCGAGAACTTCGAAGCTCAAGCAAGCTTGCTGTAGGTCTCCTGCACTCTCGCCTTCTCATGTTCCAAGAACTGATCGAACGTGCCCAGAGTAATCCCCCAGCTGTTGGTGTTCTCCTGGTCCGCAAACTGTACCATGTCACGCGCGGCCAACTGTCCAGCAATGAACGGATTCCCCGCCTTCTGCGCCTCGATCTCCTCATCCGACAAGAAAACAGCCCTGATATCCTTCCCCGACGCCGTGGACAGCTTCGCCATCAATTCACCCACGGTCATGTTCTCAGCCGAGATGGGTATCTCCTGGCCGTTGAACCTCGCCGGGTCGCGGTACGCCGCCGCCGCGAATTTTCCAATATCGTAGGGATCCAGCACCGGCAGTTGCGAGTCGGGCTTGAAGGCATTCACGAACCTGCCGTCGTTAACCAGATCAGGAAACACGGCGACCTGCGGGAGGAGAAAGTTCCCCGCGAAGTAGCCCGGCCTCAGGATCGTCCAGTTCTCGAACCCGGCCTGCCGCACCTCCTCCTCGATGGACTGCTTCGACAGCAGCACCATCGCGGTGAAGCTGTCGGGGTCCCAGTGCCTCAGCTTCTCGGGCGCCTGGACGGCGAAGCCGCTGCTGTAGACGAAGTGCGTCGCGCCGGCGTCCCTGGCGGCGGCCATGATGCGCTTGGCGGTCTTGAGCTCCCAGGCGTGGTCGACGAAGTCGGGCATCAGGTTGAGGAAGGCGCCGGTGACGCCCTCCGTGGCCTTCTTCAGGGCGTCTTCGTCGTCGTAGTCGCCGGGGATGAGGGTCGCGCCGAGGCGTGAGAGGGTCCTGGCGGCGTCGGAGTCCGGGTTGCGGACGAGGGCGCGGACGGCGATGTTGGATTCGAGGAGGTTCTTGGCGACTGCGCCGCCGACTGTGCCCGTGGCGCCGCTGACGAAGATCGTGTTCTGGGTCATGTTGATGGTGATGTGCTTGATTGTGGTTTGGTTGAGATTGATTGAGTCTGCAGGTAAGCAAGAGATTGCGTCCAAGGGTAGTTGTTTTGAGCTGATAGACGAGTCTTATTGGAGCATGTATATCCTCAATCTCCCCATCATGTGTTCGCCGCTCTCATACCTCCATTTCACTTGAAGGAACTCGGCGCAAAACCGCCGAGGAGGACTATCCCGCTGCCTGGATTGCGTCGGCGATTTGAAAGGCGGCCATCTTCTCCAGACGGAACGCCGCCAGAAGCGCATCTGCGAGCCCAAAGCTCTGGTCACTTAACCGTCATCCTGGAGCTTGCTGATTCGAGGGGCCCCCAGATGTAAGCGCGGGTGCGGATGCGGCGTAGGGCAAGGAGGATGAACTTTGGAAGAAAGAGAATCCATGTCTTTGGTGGTGGAAAACGAATGGCGGAATCCCGCCAAATGACTAAGCTCATCTCAAAGGGCACTAAGACGGTCTCTCTCAGCGCTGGAGCTCACTGAAAACCACCTGCGAATGCCACCACCGTATTAATCTTCCACTCCATGTGCTTGAGATCGTCAGAAGCGCTCGATGAACTTGGTGACTCCACGTCACATTCCGGACTCCAAGATGTCAAACTCCTTTTTCGAGCGGGCCAACCCGCCTCCGCGGCGGAAAACCTGTGTAGCTTGCACCAAAGCCAAGCGCCGCTGCGACCACGGCCAACCCGCATGCTTGCGGTGCTCGCGGCGGAAGATCGACTGCGTCTACCCCGATCAACCGGCGGCGGCCAGATCGAGAGCCCGCGCTGTCAATAATACTCCGCAAAGTGTCTATACCCCGTTACCCAAGGACAACTCGGATAGCACATTGGATGATGTTCTTGTTCCGGCCGGACCCGATGGTTTGACACCTTCATACGATTCGGTGATCCCCTGGTCACAGGGCCCGGATCTTCTTCCACTGGACCTGGGCGAGCTGGAAGATATCACCTTGGATATGGGCTTTGATGACTTGATCAATCCCAATGCCCTTCTTGACGGAGTGATGTCCATCCCTGTCGCCATGTCACCAAATCCAGACCGGGAGCTGGTGTCGGCACATGGCCGACCGGCCCATACCACCCTCGAGGAGATGATTGCCACCCGGCTGCAGTATGCCCTCGACACGATCAAAACAGCACCCTCGCTCATGGTCCTGGAGAACCAAGTACCGTGGTGTCACAAATATCTGTACCGGACTCACATGCCACGGGAGATGCAGGGTATGTCTTCCCCAGCTGTTCTTGTTATATCCTACTCATAGCAGTTCCGTAGATGCCCAAGCCTGCTGTGCTCTATATATAGCCAAGAACAAATACAACTCTCCCACAGTCTTGAAAACCATCCAGGCCAGGGCTCACGAGATCCTCGCCGCACCTCTTCCAAAGGAACGACTGGACATCCTCGCCCGCATCCAAGCCATCCTCCTCTACCAAATCATCCGCCTCTTCGACGGCGACATCCCCATGCGGGCCTCAGCCCATCACAGCCTCCACGCCCTCGAACCCGCACTCGACGCCCTCCTTCCCTTCGTCAAATGGGTTCCCTCCCAACCCACGACGGGCCCGGCCGAGGACCAGACCATGTGTCCGACCAAGGACTTCTTCCACGAATGGATCTTCCAGGAGTCCGCCCGCCGCACCATGTTCCTCTCCTGTTTCTTCCTCGTCGCGTACCAGATGCTCGTCGGGAACGAGTCGCCCATCTGCTGCGAGGATAGGTATCTCTTCTGCCAGTCTTGGACCTTGTCGGCTCACCTCTGGCAGGCGTCGAACGTGGTCGAGTTTGCCGTTGCTTGGAGGGAGAAGCGGCACTTCGTCATCAACAAGCAGTCTTTTACAGAGGTTTTGAGGGAGGCGTCTGCTGATGATGTTGATTTGTTCGGCAGGATACTGATGTCTGGGGCTCTGGGTATTGAGGAGACGCGGCTGTGGTTTTATAACAGAGGTGGGATTTTGTGATTTGAGCAACACGGGACATAAAATTGGTAAAGAATGGAAGCAGGAGGGGGTTACTATCAACATAAGCGTCACAAAGTCTCAAATATCACGGCATAACAGGATCTAGAGAGGGTCTGAAATAATGAGCAATTGCTAAACTGTCCTATGAAGTGGGCTTAGAGCCTATCCGAGGCTTCATTTTCAATGTTCCCTGCCAATTTTGGCTTGTCCTGATACCGTGCCTTAACAAAAGAAATCCTGTCCCCCAAACTTCCGTAATCAGCCCGTCAAAAACCACGATCTCTGTTGCTTATTGTGCCTCCATGCTGATATCGTAAAAGCCTTGTAGGCACTTCGTATCTGTACCCCTCGAAACTCTCCCATATCCCTAGAAGTCTTCAATTTCCATGCGCAACGTCTGCTTGCGTGGTTTGAATTGATGGACATACAGCCGAGCGTGATCATCTTCCAAAGCTTGACCAAATCTCTCCAATTCGTGTTCTGAGCCGTAGCAGAGAAGAGAATGAATCCTGTAACCTCCAAAACTTGACCGAGACTCTCCAATCTGTGGTATAGACTGATCGTCAAAAGGGAGACTCGGGCTCATCCAGCTCCAAAACCTTGCCCTTCGTCTCCAATCTGGTCGTGGTTGATTGATAAGGAGTAGAACCGATTCTCTCCTTGTTGCCGTGATAAGCCTAGAAGAACTCGGCGATCTTGCGGTAATCCTTCAACTGTTGCGTGGTCGGGATTCTGCAAAGCTCCCCGAGGGGCTTCTGGTTCTCAAGCCGCTCGAGCTCGAACTGGAAAAACGGACACTGGTGGTCGTTGAACTCGATACGGCATGTGTTGACGCGGTAGAGACCATCGTACCGGAGTCCCTCTTTCGGAGTCCAGATAGAGCCCCTGCTCTCGCTCTTGATGGCCTTCCGCAGAACTCTGACCGGCTTCTTGGATTTGCTGCTTTCGAAAAGGGCGTCGGTAGCAGGGGTTGTCTTGTTACACTCGCTAAAGTCCTTCTTGTCCATGGATCCGGGAGCGGAGTAGAAGATGATGTTGCCCTCGTCCTTGTCGACCTTCTCGTAGGTGCCGCTGACGACGACGGAGAAGGCGCTGCCCATGCTCTTCTTGAAGCCGATGCCGGCCATCTGGTCGCCGTGGGCCCCGAAGAAGACGGCGGACTTCTGGTAGGGGAACCACGCGCCGACTTCGAAGCCGTTGTCGCCGTAGACGTCGGCCGAGCGCTTGAGGCCTTTGTAGCGGCTGTCGAGGCAGTAGCGGGTGGGGGTGCGCGAGAGCAAGGCGAGGCCGTACATGATTCCGTCAATGCCCCAGATCGGGTGTCTGCTGGGAGGCTGGTCCTCGGAGCGGCCAGAAGAGTTCGTGGTGACCAGGGCAGTCGTCTCGCCAGGGATCTCGCCTTGCTCGGGGGCAACAGCAACGCCCTGGGCCCAGTTGTAGATGTTTTTGGCACGTCTTTTCTCTTGATTGGTGAAAAGGCGCTGCTTTGTGACGAACTCTTGGTGAAAGATCTTGCGGAGGCCGCGGAAAAGAGTCTCTCGGGCGTCGTAGAAGTCCTGGGGGACCAGAAGACCGTAGTAGGCCTGGCACCTCTGGAGGTAGTCGAGGTACGGCCTGAGTTTCTTCTTCATATTTAAGACGGAGGTAGTCTCCTGGGTCATGTTGCGCGAGCGAGAGAGGGCGCCCAAACGGTCGATGGTTTGGGTGTTGGTCAGGGTGAAGTAGGACCCAATAGGGTCCCTACCCTGACCAACACCACCCGGAATCTGGGGGCAGGCGTTGAGGCGGGAGGTGTTGAGGTGGTGGAGGGCGCCAGGTCCCAGAATGAACTTGGGATCTAGGGATGCCATCTTTTCTTCTGCCCTTCGTTGTCCTTGTCCTGCGTCCCTGGCCTCGCGTTGAGTATTCACATAAGACGTGAATAGGCAGAAGAAAGAATACTTACAGATGATGTGATGATCTTTGTACTGAGCTGAGTCCTTGCTTTGGACTCGGATGTTGCGAGTTGGCAGTGCTTGTGGAGGAGGTGTTTGGTGAAAGGTCTGGAAGGAAAAAAGAAAACAAGGAAGAGATCAAAAGACAGATTTATTTTGAAAGGTGGTGAGGGGAGGCACTGGGTGCTGAGAGACCTGCTTAGTCGTGGCCAGCTTTCAGTCGTGGTGCCTTTAAAAGAAGCTCCGCTTCATATCTCAGCGGCCGGGGTTGTGATGTCGTGAACAGCCGGACTCGGAACGGAGGTGTGGGTCCAAGGGGGCCGAGGGCTTCCGGGCTGCCTTGATGAGCTACAATGGCTTTCGGAAACACAATGAACGAGTCGGCAGTACTATGAGTGATGTTTGTTATTTGTTCTGCCGCCTGATGGACTTTAGTTGCCTGATGAGCTGGTTGAGACAGGCTGGCGGGACCCAAACGTGAGGCCAACAACGATATTCTGAAGCGACGACCTGATGTGTTTGGATATGATATTATATTGGCGAGATGCCTGCTTAGCTCACGCCCTTATGTCTAGGAGTATTCTGTCTTGCTATTTCATCTCTTGCTATTTTGTTGAAGCTCAGTTGACTTTACAACTGACGACAGCTTGGCACAGAACGCCGGCGTTGCAGAGAGATCTTATCTGAGCCGAAATGCAATGATATGCACTTCCGATTTGCATAGAAGTGTGCAAAAGCAAGACAAATCTTGAATCTTTGTATTGCCTGATGTATCTTCTACTACTAAACTACCTGTGATAAGGTATGTTGAATAGAGTAATTAGATATTTAGAGGTTGTCGCAATTGAGACAACAACACCCCTCCTGCCACTGATTGAACTGAAGACGTTCACCTGAAGTCGCTTGCGACAGCAGACGTCAACAGTACACATCGACGACTTCCTCTACTTATGCAGAGGGACGACGGTGGTCTGGTTATTGTGGCAGTATTTATTGGCGACGGAACAAATCACAAATGATCTGTGAACCGTAACCGGTTATTCCTCAACTGGAAACCAATTGAAGACTTATTTCTGTCGCCAGTAGTATGGCAACGTTGACGTACTCGTGTACGTCTTGATTTTATTCTGATGGAAGTCACTGATGACAGCGATGCTGTATGGTTTTGTGACTTGGCAGTAGTGATTGGCTGTGTGCGGGTTGATGTGATACGTTAGCTAGAGTGTAAGGAGGACTTCGGAGTCAGGCAGACTGCAGGCTGCTGAGGGGAGAGGGGAAAAGGGCCCCTTTTATAGATTTTCTCGCTACAAAATGACTCATATAATTAAATTACCAGGATCTTTACCTAAACTAAAGTTAAGTACATACTTTTAGCTATACTTAAGTATGTTTTATTTTAGTTTAGTAGAAATCGTACGAGTTCGAACGAGGGGCAGGGGTTGCGGTCGAGACTCTGCCAATCGAGAAGCAACCACTCATCGTCATTGCAACATACCCCTCATCTTGGCCTCTGGAAACGGTTTGCATTCATAGATTAACACGTGCTTCATTGCAAGTCAGTAGTCTCAGCTGATACATTCGTACATTCGGACAGTCCAAGTTAGAAGTCTGGCGCATTCAAACAGCCCATAACCACCGAAAGACCGCACACCTCTACAGCACAGTCGCTGCCCAAAACCGCTCATTGAGATGAAGGTGAACTGCCCAGGAAAAGCTGTCAAGTCGTAAGTGCAGGCTAGTAAATGTATCGAGCACCATCAAACTCAGGCTATCAAGTGGACGTGAGCGACCGGCAAAAGACGTTGTCGATTGGCGACAACCAAGCCATCCTTCAAATCTGCTGCTGTGCCGCACTAACGCGCGAGCTACATGGCAGTAGGGCGGAAAGGCAGACTGCGAAGAATCCTCACGTGTTCTGGTCACCAGGGCATATTTCTGAGAGTGCCTGGCCATGGAAGCTTATGGTCTCTTGGTCTCTTGGACGTCACCTAAGATTCTTTGGCTGGCCGCCATGTAAGCTGGGCGCCAGAAGCTTAAGCGAACCTCTGAGGAGAGCGACGCCAGCCAGCTCCCATTGGAGTGGTAAGTCTAGGCAATCGTATGAGCACCCGTGAAATGCGCCTCCCGAGTAGAGGTGGGTGACACTGTGCCGCCATGTTGAAGCATTAAAGAATGTGCCGTCCAAAATTGCATTTCCGTGAGACGTTCATTCATCATAGGAAATAGAACAACTAAGCAACAAAACACAATGAGCGCCCAGAACAAAAACAAAGAGTACGATCCCTCCGTCTTCAGCCAGGACACCATCGTCGGCTCCGACACGGCCTCCGCCAGCCCGCTCATTCGCGACGCCGACAACATCGGAGCTAGCTCCGGCGGCCTCCGCGGAACGCAGCCGCAGCCGTTCCCCACCGACAACTACCACTTCGTGTCGACGCGCGTGGTCAAGGAGATCCCCAAGTCCGCGACGAAACCGCCGACGGACCCCCACTCGACGTTCGGCAAGCTGAAGAACATGCTGAAGCCGCCCGTCGTCAAGGCCGTGGAGGCTCTGCCGAGCGCGGAGGGTAAGACTTACCACGTCGACGAGCAGGGGCGCATCATTGAGACGACGGTCAAGAGGGCAGGTAAGTCAGCTTATAAACCTGGGATAAAACTTTGATCACGCTGATATTGATTCACATGCAGCCGTGCAGAAGGGGCATCTGTCAGCGGGAGGAGGTGGCGGCGGGGTATGAAATCGAGATATTCACGTCATGTTTATAGAATGAATGATACCACGATCAAGATTGAACAAATAATTCAGTATATTCCAACTTTTTTGAGACTATATGTATCCAAATACGCGCTGCCATCTCTTTTCTACTTCTCTGCGGCAGATACCTCAAGCAAGCCAGAACCAGATCTTCTGCAGCATGTTCTTGGGGATCGGCTCCTCGTCCAGCTCCGCCATGTCCTCCATCTCCTTGACGCCCGTGATGACGTCCACGTCCTCGGGCCTCTTGGCGAAGGGCGTGCGGAACCAGACCTTGTGGCCGACGTAGAGCACGAAGAAGATGGGAAGCGTGATGTAGGCCGCCAAGAAGTCGGAGACGCTCCAGTTGCCGGGGAAGAAGACCTGGAAGCCGTTGGTGAGGGTAAGGATGACGAGGATGACGAGGATGAACCAGGTGAAGTAGGGCTGCAGGGGCGTGCGGAAGGGCAGGCGGTCCATCATGTTGTGGAAGATCATGGCCTTGCGGAAGCGCAGGTAGGTGATCATGACGACGATCCAGGCGATGAAGCCGCTGATGGTGCTGATGTTCATGAACCAGGTGAAGACGGCCGAGGTGCCGCTGCTGACGGTGAGGAAGGAGAGCAGGCCGATGGACCAGGTGCCGAGGACGGCGGTGTAGGGGACGCCGCGCTTGGTGGTCCTGGTGAAGAAGCGCGGGGCCTGCTTGTTCAGCGCGAGGCTGTAGAGGATGCGGCTGCCCGAGTACAGGAAGGCGTTGCCGGCGGACCAGGCGGAGGTGAGGATGGCGGCGTTGATGACGTGGTTGAGGCCGCCGATGCCGGCGCGCTGGATGCCGATGACCCACGGCGAGGCGGCGGCGTTGGAGGAAGGGCTGAGGAGGCGCTCGTCGGTGGAGGGGGTGATGGCGCCGATCATGAGGGAGCCGAGGCCGTAGAAGATGGCCAGACGCCAGACGAAGCGGCGGGCGGCCTTGGGGATGTTGCGGCGCGGGGCGACGGTCTCACCGGCGGCGAGCGCGATCAGCTCGGGGGAGGTGATGAAGGCGAAACCGGCGCGGACGAACGCGGTCCAGTAGGCGAGGAAGCGACCCGTATTCCCTTCCACCAGGTATGGTGTAATCGCGCCCGGGTCGTACCAGTAGAGGAAGCCGATTCGGCCCTCGTCGGGGGCGCCTCCGAGGATGATGACCAGGCTCACGAGGATCAGGCCGAGGATGGTGATGAGCTTGATGCTCGCGAACCAGAACTCGGCCTCGCCGAAGATCTCGACGGCGAAGATGTTGAGGGCGAGGGTGACGAGCAGGATGATGGTGATCCAGACGGCCGGGTGGACGGGTGTCTGCCAGTAATCGAGGAGGATGGCGCCGGCCGAGGCCTCGGCGCCGACGAGCATGGCGTAGGCGTACCAGTAGTTCCAACCGGCGGCGAAAGCCAGACTGGGCTCGACGAAGCGTTCGACAAAGTAGGGGATCGAGATGCCCTTGAGGGGCAGGTAGGTGGCCATCTCGCCGAGGTTGTTCATGATGTTCCACACGAGCAACATCATTGAGAGGTATCCCATGAAGAGCGGCGCGGGGCCGACGAGGGAGAGGATGCTGCCAGAGCCGACGAAGAGACCGGTTCCGATGCTGGGAGAGGTTAGCTGGTTGTCGCAGGACGGATAGCTCCAAGAGAATTTTGCAAAGACTCACGCTCCACCGAGAGCCAGAAACTGAATGTGTCGACTCTTGAGACCGCGCTGGAGCTGGTCGTGCTCCTCGAGAAGGTTGGGCTCGCCGCTGAGGGCCGCGAAGTTGACGTCGCGCGGGTAGGTCTCGCCTTGGTGCTTCGACTCGACGTCGGCCAACGGGCCGCCGCCGCTGTAGGGCCCTCTGTAGTCTTTCTCCATTGTCGCGTAGCTAGGCGCAGCTCAGACAGAGAAAGATTGAGTATGAGCTGGGGAGAGAAGAAGAAGCGGGAGAGGGCGTGTGTGTGTGGGCGGCGCGGTCACGATTATTTGAAAAAAATCGGTCGCAAAGGTGTCGGTGGGCGTCCCCGGCGCAACCACGGAACGATTCCAGAACGCGGAGAGCAACGCGAGCAGAAAGGCGACACTACTCTAGGTAGTAATTACTAGTCAAGCTCGAGGGGAACGGCTGCAGTATTATGGAGTCCAGGCCGGAGACATTGCGAGGATCTTCAACCTGCTGCTCTGCTTTGTGCGCCGTGAGACAATGGACTTTTGTACATCGTACCGGGACCAAAGCAACGGAACCCGCACCCGTGGAATTACGACCTCGATCCTCTCTCAGCGGTCATGAGTCCTGTAAGCAGAAGGGTCGCTGCTGTTGCTGGGTGACGTAGGATACAACATAATGAACCCTTGAAATGTCGAGTCTCCAACACGAAGGCTCTGCAACTGCAAGTGATGCTCGGCACTGACTGGTGCGTCGGCGCGGGCAAGCTTCACGAACGGGGAAGAGCTAAACCGAAACCGGAATGCAGAACAGCCATCAGTTGTTTCTGTATCGTAACGTTTTCAGTGAACCCATGGGGTAACACACTCGGACGGAAGGCTTATCTACTTGGCGGGCCTGTCTGGGTGGATGCCAAGCTCCACGACATCCACCTCGGCCTCAAATTCGGGAAAACTGCGTGATAAGAACGTGGTGGGAAGGGCGTGGTTGGCAGTTGACCGTTCGGGGACGTTTTGGTTGATTATTGACCGCTGTTGACCGAAGAATATTTGGTGATAAAATGCTTGGAAGAAATGCATTTGCTAAGGTCACCGAGCTCGGCACGCAGATTCTGATAGTGAGGTACGTACCGCTACTGAACGGATGGCTTACCTCATCGCCTCCACGCCAAAAAACCCATGTCACGTGGTCGAAGCGACCCTTGGAATAGTGGATCCGGGGCGGAGGAAAGACCGATGGTACCCGCTGACTGCCGTGGTTTGGAGAGAATCATCACGTAAAACTTTCCACCATTTTGTCATTTTTACCACGTTCTCCAGAATCCAAATCGCGCACTTTGACGCCCAATTGCCCCTCGGTCTGGGTCTCGGTTCTGGGGAAGCTTTTCGGGTATCTGATTGGTTGCTTGCCGTCTGCCAAAGTTGCGCCCGAACGCCGACACCTTCGTCCTTCAATCGCCGACAGGTCAGCAACACGTGAATCGCGTCGTGGTCAGTCTTACTGAGCCGCGCCCTCGATAAGAATCGCATGATGAGCACGCAATCTTAAGTCCACTTTACACGAATCATACGGAATTAAACGGCTCGTCCTTCACCGACTCAATTTGCGCCGACTCCGTGAAAGATACACCAAATTTCCATGAGAAGAAACCTGCTGTCGCATACCAGAGTCCAACGAGTCGTTTCGTCCACGACAGGGGACCACAAAAGGCTTATCAATCACGTCAGGATGCGAAAGAGGACCTGAACAAAACCATCATTGATCTCCGTAATCATTCCCCATACTTTGGCACCCTTGGCACGGCCCGGTACATGAACCAACTCCCCCGTCCCCCGCATGTCCGCCGGACAGGGAGACGGGATGCCTCACCGACGACGCGCTAGCGGACCAGCTCAGGTCGGAGACCCTCCCCGATCCCGATCCCGACTTTGATATCTGCCGTCTGGTCAGCTCTGCTCAGCATCGTTGCGGCTTAACGACTACATCTTGGTGCCCCCGTGAAAGATACGATAGATTCCCGCGCTTGACTCAGCTTTTCTGGTCTCCGCATCAGTCTAACGTCATGTGGTTGATAACGACGGTACGAACCCGGTCTGGACTTGTACGCCTCCACGTCTTGTGCGCCCTGCGCCCTACCCAACTACCTTCGGAGATTGATACTTGCCTCAGACGAGTCGACGGCTTCTTCCAAAGGCACTCGGATGCCTCGGCCTGGCTCACTCTTTCTGGTCGACAAACGCGCCATAGCACTTTACCATGCCTTACGTCTTCTCAGGCAACGAGAACAATGGATCACGTCGGAAACTAAGTCGGCGGCAACGACATTTCGTATAAGACAGATACTATTTTGATTACGCTAGCCCTCGACTAACACCGAAAACCGGCACCCTCCGTCTTTCCTCCAAGATCTCACAAATATCCCATACAAAGAAGCGAAAATAATCAACCCGTCGAGTATCGCCAAACATGTCTCTCAAATCGCAAGTAGCGCCATCAACGCAGCGGCAGCAGCCTGCACAGCCGAAGCTCCGTAGTTCAAGGCAGCGTTGACGGTTACTGGCGGAGTCTGGATGCTCGTCGGCGTCGAGGTCGGGGCCGCGAAGGTAGTTGTCGCCTCCTCGGACACATCAGAGGTCAACGCCGAGGCCGATGTCTTCGTGGAGGTGCTCGTGGTAGTGTCCTCAGGTGTCACCGTGGAGACCTCAGGGACGTCAACGGAGATGGTCGAAGTCGACGTGGCCGTGGACGTGGACTCGATGACACTCGGTCCATCCGTGAACCTCAGCGTGGTCGTACTGGTGGTGAAGACGATGCCGCCGGGGATGGTATCGGTTTTGGTGCCGCCGTCTCCGACGCACGTCTTCCCGCGGGCACAGCAGCCGTACTGGCCGTTGCTGCCCACCTGGCAGTATGTCGAGGCCGTGGGACACCCGCCGGCACCGTCGGGGCAGCAAGTGTAGGAGATCAGGATGCAGCCGTCGCCGCAGTTCTTCCTGCCAATATCGCTGCAAGGGACGGTTTGGCGCTTGAAGAGGACGGGATTGGCGGGGGTCATGTCCGCGTATACAAGCGTATCCTCATATGCAAATGAGGTGGCCACCGAGAGGCCGAGGAAGAGAAGCGTCTTGAGCATGGTGAACGATGGGGAAACAATTGCGTGGAAAGAGGCTACGAGTGTGTTTGCTGAACTGCTTCCACTTCTTCCCATCACATCATCGAGGAACTGCCGTCTTAAGTAGACGGCGCGCACAAGGTAGGACTGCGCCGTTGGGCATTCTCCTCGCTCTCTTTCACAAAATCAAAGAAGCTCAGCTCGTCTCCCGAGGGAGAGATGAAGTGTCAACCCAACCCGCGCAGTGGCGTCCAATGCCAAGGTGTCACAAGCGTGCCACAAATCAAACGGCACTTCTTTTGTTCCTGCAGGCCAGAGTCGGACACGATACCGCTGCTCTTCTGCCGGTAGGTGTGCGCTCGAAGTCGAAGCTGGGCGGCCAGGACTGTGATGTGGCGTCGAGACAGCCGGGATCTGGGGTTTGCGGGGTTGCTTATTTGGGGCTGATTTTCGCGACTCGCAGGTAATCACGGAGCTGAATCACCCCGCTTCACCACACCCCCAGAGGTTCAGCCGCAGGGCTGATTTCGAGTAGTTGCAGTGCAACTGGCGGTAAGGCTCTGTTGGTTTGATTAAAGTCTGCCCGTCTGACGGTTAGTCGCCTCGGTTGATGCTGCAGCTAGAGTTAGCTTGTGCCTATCATGCAATATTGAAGCAGGCTGCGATATACGGTACAAACAAGGCAATGAGTTGTTGAAACTGACTATTGTTTTGAAATGGATGCAAGCATCTATACACAAGCGGTCTAGTATCGAGTTATATTGTTCACGGAAGACTTGGCGGGCAATAACTGCCTTGAATGCCTACAGAAAAGTCTGGGGCCACACGGCATTCTGATGCTGCCAGAACCAACTTTCATCGTGCGCCAGAACCACCTCAACATTGGCCCCCCGGAAACCCTTCGTCTTGAGTTCTCTGATCCTACGCAAGGTGTCCGTAGCAACTTCTTTGTCGGCATGGATACAGACAGTCATCCCGTTCTCGCACCACGTAGCCATACCCGTCGACCCCTCCAGTATGCGGGCGTGGTGGCAAGCGTCGCCGGCCAGGTACACCCACTGGTCCTCTGCCACCCTTGCCAGCACGTTCAAGTGACCAATCAGATGGCCCGGACTATCGACGATGTAGACGAGCCCGTCGCCGAATAGGTCCACCGCGTTGTCGAGCGGGCCGAGGGGTCTCCAGTCATGGTTCAGCCCTGGAGCCAGGACATCCAGCCCTCGAGTCGGGGGTAGTTGTGAGGCGGCTAGTTCTGCGGCGTAGTTCGGTGGAGGCTTGGTTTGTTGACTTTGCACTGGCATTTCGATCGTTCGATCGGAGGGGAGCAGGTCCTTTTCGAACTTGGCCGCGGAGTGATATCGCATGCCGTGCTCCAGTAGGTGGCGAGTCCCGTGGCCGACGATGAATTGCGCGTTGGGGAAGTTGCGGGGGTCGCCGACGTGATCGTAATGGACGTGGCTGAGGATCACGGCGTTGATATCGCGAGGTTCCATGCCTCCACGGCGCAGCGAGTCAGCGACATCAGGCTCGGTCTGTATTGGCTGCCGGGTTTTGAGATGTGGCTGTATGTCATCTGGGTAATCGTCGAGATTCTTCCGCAGCCCGAGGTCGAATAGTATTTTGGAGCCTGTAGTAGGGTGTTGAAGTAAGAAGGACATTGATGGGACGAGGTTGCGGATGCTCTTGTCATGCTGATCTGCGCAGAAGAAGTGTTCGGGCAGGGTGAGGAATCCGGCGGGGAGGAGTGAGAGCTGCACATATGAGGCAGTGCTCCCGGTTTTGACGCCGGTGTTCATTGTAGTGGCTATGTTCAGATGCACTTATTGATGTTGCTAGGATGGCTTCAAATCTGATGCGTACACGAGATGCTGCCTTGGAATCAGAGGAGTAGCTATTGACTGATCACGGGTGTCAGGAACTCTTAGTAGTATTTGGGTGCATGTTGGAGATTTGTGGAGGCCGTGGAGGGTGTTGGAGATTGTTGGAGGAATGGAGACGATGGAGGGCGGTCACGCACTCTCACCCAAGCAGCCAGTTGATTGGCCGAGTCTCCAACATGATGAGCCTGCGTCTGAAATCCAAGATGAGAACTGATGCTCGTGATAGTCCCTTCTTAGTGAAGCGGGTAGTTATACATGATAAGTTGAGATGAGTTCAAGCCGGCTTTACGAATAACGAGCCTCTTCTCATTTGCAATTGACTAAAGCTATTGCAGGTGTTTATGGCGAAGAAAAGTTCGCGGACATGTCCTCGGGTGTGGGGTTCCGGCGACTTCGACTTCGGCACCGGGTCCAGAAGCCGAACGTCTCGGACTTCGGCACGGGGCGCCCTCTACTAGACTTAACTAGGGCAATAATGACGTCTTTATTCTTCTCCAACATCTCCAACACCAACTCCAAATTTTCACGCGTCGCTCTCCAACACCAACAGTTCTCCCATCTACTTAATCGAACAAGACACCAAACCTATCCATCGCGTCTACCCCTCGTATCACTCAACCAACCCCAGCAACCATGTCCGGAGCCAGAGCCGTAGTCAAGACCCTGGACCACCTCGTGCTCACCTGCGCGAGCGTCCCAAAGACCGTCTCGTGGTACAGCACGTACCTCGGGATGAAGGCGGAAACCTTCACGTCGCCGCTGGATCCCTCGGTGCAGCGGACGGCGCTCAAGTTCGGCCCGCACAAGATCAACCTCCACCAGCAGGGGAAAGAGTTCGAGCCCAAGGCGAAGACGGCACTCCCGGGCACCGCAGATCTGTGCTTTCTCGTTCAGGACGGCACGAACCTGGAGGAGCTGATTAAGGGATTCCGGGCCGATGGGATTCAAGTCCTGGAAGGCGAGAAGGTGGTCGCGAGGACCGGTGCGCAGGGGCCTATCCAGAGCATCTACGTGCGGGATCCTGACGGCAACTTGATTGAGTAAGACTTCTTATTTTTATGGCCATTGGCTTTGATCTATATTCTTTCAGATTCTTTTGGTTACTAATATCGCATTTTCAGGCTTTCTCACTATAAATCGTGAAGCGGATCTCCCGCGCGAGGTTTTCGAAGCTAGAAAAGTGGTTGGTGAGGGAATAGGAATAGATGAGCCGAAATATTTAGACCATTGAGGCAATTGGCGAGCTACTTTGTATCTGAAAAGCTGTTCATCTTCAAAAGTAAGCTAGACTTACGGAATACATATCATGGCTACGGTACGGATGGCCGGGATGAGCTGAGGTGCATCCGCGTCCATGCCGCATGTGGGCCGGAGGAGCGGCGGGGCATGCGGGGAAGCGCAACTTCCTGTCCTCCGCTGTCGCTCGACTGTCGCTCTGAACTGCATGATCGGCTCATCTGTCAGATTTAAACGGGAAGCCGATCGATTAATCAAAAATGCCGCCTCAAAAGCTCATCGCGCACCGGTGCACCCACTGTTCACGGGAATTCAATCGGTCTGAGCATCTGATTCGACATGAACGCATACGTGAGGAGCCAACATGCGAGCGAGGGGTTGCTACAAGTCTCTGGGACTAACAGTCATCATCACTAGACACGAACGAGAAGCCTTATAAGTGTGGGCTATGTAGCCAGGCATTCTCGAGACGAGACCTGCTTCGTCGGCATGAGTTGAAGGCCAATCACCTTAGGAAGGCTTCGCACAGGGTTGTCAAAGCATATCCTCGCATCGCATCAGCAAATGGTTCACCATACCTGGAGAATGCCATTAACGGAGTTGAAGGTATTCATCAGGCACCAGGGGGACAAGAAATGCTGACAATACCTGGGGATGATGTCGAGGAAAGAGCTTGGAATGACGGCCTTCCTGGGGATGTTTTCATGTCCGCTCAAAACGTAACGGAAGCTCTGTTTGACGACAGCTTAGAATTACGTGACTTCTCTCAAGACTATCTACTCCCAGATCTGCATACGGACAACATAGATTGGCCAGAAAACTGCGACCATCGCCTCGGAACGGGGGCACCCAGCGGGACTAACGCCTTGGATGTGGCAATCATCTCCTCGCGTGCATCAGAGTCACCAGACTCATTGTCAATATTTCCTCAACCCAAATCGCGAACCTTGGAATATGATTCGAATCACGCATTGCGTGAAGACGTGGCACCAGCCAAGCACGCGGATATGACAGAATCGTGCTGGACAAAACTCCGAATAGAAATCAGCACGATAAACGCGACCTATCGTCTACCAGCAAAGGAGACCCTGTCTCAATTCATCAGGCGGTATTTCGACAGTTTCAACCGTCATCAGCCGTTCTTACATGCACCCACGTGGACGCCAAATGGTTCCCCTGTCGCGCTGGTCCTCGCTGTCTGCGCAAACGGAGCTTTGTATAGTTTGGAGCGTAAAATTGCTTTTGATCTATACAAGCTGGCCGTGGACATGACGAATCCTACAGACGAAGGACTTCACGCACTGCAGACGGGCATGTTGTTGACGGCGTTCGCTGCTTGGAGCGGTACAGCGGATGACCTGAGGATTGCTATGCAATTTCATGGTCGGCTGACGCTTATGCTTCGTCAAGAATGGGTGTTGGCGGAGCATGCTGGGGATATGACTACAATAAGTTGGGAAAGATGGCGGTCTCGAGAGTCGCTGAAAAGGTGATTCTTCTCTTTTTGAACGGGTAACTTTTGCAAGTCTGACTGGCTTTTAGAATAACATTTTGCTTATTCACTCTCATGAACTTGATGAATATTGCGTACGATATTCCGTCACCGCTTCTTCTGGAAATCGAGCACGGCGTGCCGGCAAATGAAGACAAGTGGTGCGCAGAGACAGAAGCCGAATGGGTTCAAGTAATCCAAAGGGTGGGTTCTCAAGCATGGCCTTCTATTCAAGACATCGTCAGAAGGCTTGAAGACGGGTTCTTGCCAGTGCCAGCGAACATCGGCATGTTCGGATGCCACCTCGTCATCTCATTCTTGACGCAGAAAATCATCCTTTTCCGTCGTTCGAATTCAATGGAGAATGCATATTCTTCCGAACGCCTGCAGTACTTTCTACATGTTTTGGAAAGATGGCAGCTGATGTGGGAGAGCGAGCCCGAGTCATTGCTCTCTCCCGATGATCCTCGCGGGCCAATCGCTTTCAACTGTACTGCTATGTTGCGAGTCGCGTACATCCGGCTGGTTTCGGACTACTCCTCGATACGAAGGAGTTTTACGACTTCTTGCTCCGAATCACACATAGCAAAGATTGTCGGCACCGTGGAAACGCCTACTCGAGGGCCGGAACCCACGAAAGCGGCTCTTCAGGCTTGTTTGGCTCTTCAGATTCCGACGCAACTTGGTTTCAAAATAGTAGCGCGAACAAGCTTCTGGGTTTGGAGTGTGCAGCACTCTTTGTCATATTTCGAGTGTGCATTGATGTTGTCGAAGTGGTTGCAGGTGGTTGAAGTAGCTCAAGATCTGTCCGACGAGGAAAGAAGCGTCGTTGGCATGTTGGAGAAGATGTTGGACAGGCCGAACGGAGAGCTTCTCGCAGATGATCCATCCAAGCCTCTGTCTGTGTTAGTCCTCTTACGATGGGCAGAGTTACTCAACACGGAAGAAACGACGGTTTGGCAGGTGATGCCAAAGATGGCCAGGGTTCTCAGAACTTATGCGGATGGCCTGTTGGAGTCCTGACTGCGTGTCAATACGATGATAGACAAGATCTCATGCCATTTGTTTGGCTCCTGATTCATTTAGATAGCAGAACATTGAAATACTTAGATGAACTGCAATATCAACTTGCTTTATTGCGAGGCCTGCGGCCCTTGCGTCCACCCCGGCAGTAAGAAGGGGTCGCAATCTTTCTCGACAATCTGTGAGTCCGATGCTCCATGGCGGAGTACTATTACACGATGAATTACCAATCTTTTGGCACTTGCCCCAAAACACACTGTAGAGCGGGACATGCCCGATAACCCGATGCTAGATGATGTCATTTGGTAATTGTGTCAGTTATTGCCGCGCCGGCAGTCAATATCCGGACAGCCATGGAATGCCTTGAAGCACTTTGCAAGTTGGGACATGCTCACCTTTGTGAAAGGAAATTTACTAGTCTTTTTTTCAGTTGACAAGATCAGCGTTCAACATTGAGACGAAGCTGAACTTATGCTGCAATAGGAAGACATATAAAACACTGTAGAAAAATACTATAAATATTCTCATCCAATATGGGCTCGTCTGTGAACCCATCTACGCAGCAGCTCCGATCCCGGCTTGTTTGTGCCCGGGGCGGTATTGAAGAGGGGTCCCAAAGTCGCCCCGCATGCTATTTCGGAACCGCTCCCTCCTAGACCGGTCCCTGTCTTCCCCGGATTCCCCCGCCCCTACAGGGTAGTACTGTGTAATAAAGTATCTTCCAACCTCCGCACCATCTGTCTGAACGTGAACTTAATACCACAAACTCAGTCGCTTCATATCTATGACTAGATCAAACGACTACTTCCCTTGAGCAACGGAGAGATTGCTTGGCGTCTTGTTCACACACGGCCAGCTTCGACGATGAACACCGACACCAAAGACACAGGAGTCCAACAACTCAAACAGGCCGAGCCTTCAACAGAACCGGAGACAGAACAACCCGAGACCGGCCAGAAAGATGACCCCGTCATCGACGAAGCATGGCTGGCAAGAGAAAAGCGACTCCGTCGCAAGCTTGATTGCACCTTGATGCCCATCATATGGATCCTGTACCTCTTTAACTATCTCGACAGAAACAACATAGCGTGCGTCTTCGACGTCGTGATCTGAAACAGTCGGCTAACTTAACACGTAGGCAAGCCAAACTTGACACCTTTGAGGCCGACTTAGGCCTCAAAGGCAATAATTTCAACACGGCAGTTTCGATTCTCAACGTTGGGTAAGACAGGCATCTCGTTCTTGATCATCAGTCCACCTGATAGCTTCGTACTGATAGCAACATGCGTTTCATACAGGTACATGCTCATGCAAGTGCCGAGCAATATGCTGTTAACACGCGTGCGGCCGTCCCTTTTTATACCCTTCTGGGTGTGTGCCTGGTCCTGCATCTCGGCTGCGACGGCCGGAGTAAACAACTACCCTGGGCTTATTGCCGTCCGATTTTTCTTGGGCGTCAGTGAGGCGCCGTTCGGCCCGGGCGCCTTTTTCCTGCTGTCGTGCTGGTACACGAAGAAAGAACTAGCTCTTCGGACCGCAGTACTGTACTCTGGCCTGGTTCTTGCAACTTCTTTTGGGGGCTTACTCTCGGCCGCCATTTTCGCCGGTCTCTCCGGCGTGCATGGGGTGGCAGGATGGCGTTGGCTCTTCATCATTGAAGGCGCTGCAAGCTTTGGCTTTGGGTTGATTGCGTTCTTTCTCATACCCGACTACCCTGAGTCCAACTCTGGCTTGGCCAAATGGCTACTTACAAAAGAAGAAAGAGAGGTTGCTGTTGAAAGAATTGCACGCGATCAAGTATCAAATCAAGAGTCCAACGACTCGATATGGTATGGACTGAAGGCTGCAGTTATGGACTACCGAGTCTGGGTATTTGTGAGTAATCATGTCCGAGAATTTGAAAGGAGAAGGCTCTCTAACCCAGCTCACGTTTCTAGGCCTTCATTCTTTGCTGCAATCATACGGCTTACGGCTTCAACAATTTCTACCCAACCATTGTTCAGGGTTTCAAGCTTGGAAGCCGGACAGTCACCCTACTCTGTACAGCTCCGCCTTACTTGGTGGGTGCTGTCATTTCTCTGCTCATAGCCTACTCGAGCGACATCAGGAGTGAACGTGGCTGGCACATCGGTGTTCCGATGGCAATGGCTGCCAGCGGGTTCATCATTTCCGTGGCAACACTGAACGTTCCGGCTCGGTACTTTGCCTCTTTCCTGTACATCTCCGGATGCTTCTCGGGAAACGCAATCCTCTTCGGCTGGGCGGCATCTTCTGTCAGCCAAACGCCGAAGAAAAGAGCTTGCGCCACAGCTATCATCAACGTGATGGGTCAGTTCGGAAACATCTGGAGCCCGTATTTCTTCTCACCGGGAGACTCTCCGCGCTATGTGAAAGCCATGATTCTCATGGTCACGTTTTCCATGCTGAGCATTCTGGGCTGCATGTTCATGAAGTGGACTTTGAACAGAGACAACAAGAAGCTTCTGGAGAGGTTTGCTGGTACGGGTAGAGCCCCGAATCTATATACTCTTTAACGGTTGTGCGGCAGCAAGATGGCGTGGACAACATTAGACTAGCTACTGGAATCAATTGTAGAAGCATAGAAACATGACATATTCATTATGATTAAGTGGTTATCTAGGAGCAAGCGTCGGCGGTTAGTGCGCCGGTCTTCTGGAACGCAACCTCAAGGGGGTTCTCTCCTCCTAACTTGATGTCGAAGCTAGTGCTCCAACTATCTCTTGCGAGCAACCCGGTGGCATTGTAGACGGCCCACTGCCCCGTCTCTGCTCCTGTGGACTGGAAGTTGATTGTCTCCGTCTCCAACTTTGGAACGATAACCCCTTGCCTGCGGACCTTGTGAACAAGATCCAGAGTCAGGCCGTCTGCGGCGGCAGGCAGGCGATCCTTGCGTACGAGGGCCTTGATTGTGACTACCACCTTCCCATCAACCGCGTCGGTATCGATGCAGGATTGGGCCTGTTGATACAGAAGACCATCGTTCATTGGGTATCCGTTGCCGGCATTATCGTATGTGATCGTCTCGTTTGTGGAGGTCTTCGTGACGTGGATGTAGAACTTGCTGATTCCAGTATCGGGACTGATGGCAGTGTCGAACTCCCAGTAGCGGAATGACTCTCTCCACAGGCCCGAAGCAGAGCCTCCCTGGAACGTCGCTTTCCTCGTGGTGATGACCGTAGCGCCGTTGCCGTCACGATCCGCGTAGGTAAGTTGAACAGATAAGTCATTCGGGTCGCGACCGGTCTCGGCAGAAGTTCGAATGCGGATACGACCTCCAAAAGAAATGTTGCCATCGTCCTTGAGGAACAGGCCGCTAATGTAGGGCTTGATGTCGGTTGCGACGATGGGGTCGCTGAGCTTGACATTTGCAGGCACGGTATCAATCATGCGAGTGAAGATGTCGGCACACATGGTTTGGAAGGTGTTCGGGTCGGCCATCGCTTGCATGGTCTTGTTGCCGTCGGCACCAAAGATACGCTTGTCCGAGTTGAGCGTGTCGTTAGTCGCAACGATGAGAGGGTTCTTCGTTGTCCCGTCCAGATACTCGGTTACAACACCGTTGTCGAACTGGGCGAACTCGACATCGAAGTGGGCGACGGTGTCGTTGTTCGGATCCGCCTCGACGCCCACGAGTTCAGGGAAGTCGGTACTATGGACGCCTCCAAGGGAGTGACCACAAGCCACCATGGCAATCATGTCCTGAGTCGAAAAGCCGGCCTTGGTGAAGGCGGCCTGGGTGGCCTCTAAATCAGTCTGCGGTTCAGGAACGCCTGCAGGGCCAGCCTCCTGTGCGTCGATACGGCCGGCGCGAAAGGGGATCTTGATGCCGCCGCATGAGAAGCTGGCGACGAGAACGCTCATCGCCAACAAGTCTGAGGCCGAAGCGCGGACAGAGTAGAAGCTGCTGAAGAAGCCGAATGTGTTGTTGAAGGCTTCACCGATGTTTTCGGCGCGATCCAGCTCGAAGAAGATGGACCCGTCTAGGCCACCCGTGCCGGCTGCGGCGTCATGTGTCGCCATATCGTGGAAGGCGCTTCGGATCCATTCGGCTGAGTTCTGGCGGCCTTGGATGTTGGTGCCGAAGCCGCACGTAATCACACCTTGTTGAAGTTAGTACGCGTGGGTTGATGATGTGCGGAAACCGGAACAACTGACCATCGATGAAGCCCCTGCGCAGGTAGCCGCCCTGCAGGGAGAGATGGTCCTCGATTTCATCGTAAATAGACGGCCAGACGTACTCGGTCGATACGAGAGACGCCAGAGCGATGGTGGCGAGAAGACTCTGCTTCATGATGGGATACAGAAACGCCGGGAATGGGAACGAGTGACTGGAAGAGACGAGTGTCCGGATTCACCTTCATCTCATATCACACCAGAAGGAAGCCGTTTTATGGGTTTCCCTTCCATCCTTTCGAGGAACCCGGCAATGCAACGTTGAACGGAACGATCCTTAGACCCTGCAGACACGGAGCCATCAACAGAGAGAGGGTCACGCCTGAAGACGGTATGGAGCATCTCGTATTCCCCAGCGAGCATGCTAAAAATGTCACGCCTAATTGCCGAATGGGAAGGCGGCTTTCTGATCGGACCAGCCCGTCGTGGATCTCGCCCAGATATGCTTCTTCTTAAGTGCTTGTCTAGCTCATTTCCGGAGACAAGGCCTCCCTAGTCTGACCCCAATGTAGCGTGGAGCTGCGCCTAATGCCCAATAAGGCAGCTGTAATTACCCATCACGCAGCCCTGAAGACGGGCAATCAGCGCAACGGTGCAGTCGGCTAAAAGCCTAGGGGCTGGCGGTCTGGGGCAGCCGACGGGTTTGTTGGTTTAATAGTTTGTTGGTCGATCTGCAATGGGGTTTGTCGTGTTGAGATGGGAATTTGGCAGCTTTCCCGCACCGATGTTCTCGCAAGCTTCGGATGAGATATGTCAGTCCTGTGCGGGAGACGAGTGCTGGACTTTTGATGTGTCGAGATGGTTGCCAGTTGTGCTGAGTTCAAACTGCGCGGCAGCAGGGTCAGCGACACGGAGGAAGCTGCGTAGATTCATTGCTTCGATGAATATTAGCAACATGGAAGTAAACGTGAGTGAATCGTTGCCATGTGTTATGAGAATCGACTTTGGCATGAGAATGAGAATGATCAGCCCAACCATGACAGCCGAGTTTGACGACAACGGGCATCATCCAGCACGCTCCAATGAGTGTCTGATGGGTGTCAACTCATTCAGAAGTGTGTTTAGTGGGGAGAAACTCTCACGTAATTGCATGAATATGGGACGGAAAAAAGCAGATGCCCGAGAGTTCTCCCGGCGTCATAATTCTTCCGTTGCCCGGCCCCTGTAAGGATTATGCCGTCATCGAAGCCAATCCGTGAGACCAGAGTCAGTGTCTCACTTGGTGTAGTATCATAGGTCACCATAAGTCAAGCGAATAATATCTGAGACATAATCAACCATGGGCGACGCATCTATCCTCCACATGCCAACTGCCCTCATCTTTGGCGGCAACGGCAAAACCGCCCGCCAGCTGACCAGGATCCTTCTGGACGCCGCCACGCCGTACACCGTTTTCAGCGTCATCCGGAACCCGGACCAAGCCCCGGACCTCAAAGCCATCGGCGCCAAGCCCCTCGTTCAAGATATCGCAACCGGCTCCGAGGCCGATTTTATCAAACTCATTGAGGGAACCCGGCCCGACGTGGTAGTGTGGGCGGCCGGCGGCAAGGATGCCGAATCCGCCGCAGCCGTTGACCGAGACGGCGCCATCCGCGCCATGGATGCCCTGGCCAAAGCCAACGTCAGAACTAAGCGCTACATTGTCATAAGCGCCCTCGACGTCCGCGACCGCGACAATAAGCCCGTTCCGGACTGGTACACGGAGGCCGACGAGAAGCTCAGCGACCGCATGTGGGGCATCATCGGCCCAATCTTGCGGGCTAAGCTTGCCGCCGATACGGAGCTGAGAGTAGGAAACGCAGCGAGGGGGCTCGACTACACCATCGTGAGACCCGGTGGCTTGGGCGAAGGTCCCGGCGAGAACAGGATTCGGGCCGGCAAGGTGGGAACCGTGGGCATCATCCCTCGTGAAGATGTTGCCAGAGTGATCTACGCATCGATCCAAAATGACAAGACTCACGGACTTGCGTTCGACGTTTTGGGACCTGGAGAAGGCGACTCAACAGTTAAACAAGCGGTTGCGAGGGTAGCCAAAGATGGTGAAGACACCTTTGAGGGTTACTACTAGGTGCGGCGCTGCCATTCATAATGAACCTTTGCGGACACATCCCATCGGTTGCTAGTCAACGTCGGTGCATGTGCAGGAAGATCTTGGCACTATTTTGATTGGCTTTTCTCCATATGATTCTGTATATACGCCTAAAGTTTAACAGCAGCCGATGGGATGATCGGCGAATGCCACAGTTGTATCTCAATGAAACCGAAACCTCGTTAGGTTAAGCAACAGAGGGCTTTCTTCCGTAAATCGACCAACTAGCAGATGTTAGTATCAAAAGCTTTCATTCTGAAAAGCGGACAACTTAGGCCTACTCGCATGGTAGAGTAGGAATGAATGCTTCTGTCGGTCATCTCCTTACGCACTTGCATCGCGAAAACGATCACTTCCTCCTCGGTCCAGTGATGGGCTCTTGTGAATGGCGCCATCATGAAACCTTCCAAGTTGGCCACAGAGTTGTCGAGGTTCCAGTGACCAAGTTCCTTATGCTTTTTGTCCCTCGCCCAGGGGTTGGATGGCCACTTGAACTTCTGAGCGCTCACGCCTTCAAAGCCGACCTCGGTCATCACTTCACGCAACACGCTCAGGTCGCTCAAGAATGGTCGACCGAACATCGCTGCGGCTTCGCCCCATAGACGGGCGAACTTCAGGAGGCTGCAGTCTTCCTGGAGCGTTCCGTCATCGGATCTAGGTTGGAGATCGATCTCGTTGAGCTCAAGATAACCTCCGGGATTCAAGTTGCTGTCAAAGTCGGACCGTCAATAACCAATGCCCAGGTACCGAGAGCATACTTTCGTTTGAAAAGCGGATGACCTACTCGTAACACTTCTTGATGTATTCCTTCCAGCTCTTGATGCTCAAAGTCATCATACGGCTGTGGATGTAGTCGAAGGGCTGAGAGTAATTCCATTCCTCCTCGATATCGTCGACCTCGAACTTCACATTGGAGTGTGTGCTGTTAATGTTAATAGAGCCCCAAAGTCAGGGAAAAATATGGCAAATTGATTACGCACAAGTTTGGTTGGATTGGTGACAGATCAATGCCGATAACCTGGCGAGAGCATTATTTGTTAGAAAGCACGCCCGGCGGAAAGTTCGGGATTAAAGAACGATTGGCAATCACCTCTGCCTCAGGATGGTCTTCTCCAAAGTCCATAGCCCACACGCCGGTACCGGTCCCAACATCGAGGACACGCCCAACTTTGGATTTTGGATCGTTCGGGGGAGACGTCCCAAGGCGTCCATCAAAAGCCAAGATGAACATATTGTGCTGCACATCTACTCCCATATGTCAGTTGGAAATCAGATCAGTAAGAAAAAGCTGACACTGAAGTATGCTCCACATACCAAGACGTTCATTTTCTCTCTCATCGTTCGGCATAATGTATTCTATCCACGTCAGGGCCTCGGATTGATACATGGTGAGTTTCAAACTCACTGCCTTCTTTGTACGAATGATACGTTCGTCCATTCTCTTCTCGGTATTGCCGCACGGAAGTATGAACACTCGTACTGGAGGACGCAATGCTCTGTGGAGGGACGCAATGCAAGTAAGGGATCAGGGACACTCAACACTCTTGGTCTCCATTCCTTACCTCGCCCTTCAGAGAGTCATTCTCGGCACCGGTTCCAGGCTGGAAATAAAGCTATTTAGTAGTATTCAGAGGAGTTTGCCACCACATTCGCCGTACCTCATCGGGGAGAAGTTCGGTTTCGCTGATAGACCCCACCGCTCCATGTTCTGCGAGGGCCGGAACGGTTGGCACAGTTGTCGCAGCAGCGGACGCGGAGGCCGAAGGGGCATCTGGGGCGTTGTGCTCGGCCTTGGCTTCCGACATGATTTCGAAGCGACGGTCGCAAGAGTATCAGGTTTTGGGAGGCGGTTGCTGATTCGTAGTCTGTCTGATATTCCCAGAACAGAAAACTTACATCGTAAAGACCTGGCGCCTGACCCCATTTATGAGCCCACGGAACTCATTTCAGCCTGAACTATTTCCCCTCTCTTCGCCCAGAGTCGTATGCATGGTTGTGGCGTGCAGCTCGAAAGCTGTTGGGACCCGTCTCATGCAGAAGACGGCGCATCAAGATCCGAAAGGCCGCCTGGGAGCCCCCGTTTCCCGACCTTCAAAAACCTTCCATGTCATGCAAGTGCGATTCCACTGAGATTTCTCTTTCCTGGGACCAAAGAAATTGTGTCGCCAGATAAGTGTCCCGTAGCACAGTATGAGTGCTAAGAAAAATACATCTTATGGACATTGGAGTGCTTTTTGTTTCTTCTTTTTTACTTTTCATATAGTGAGTGAGTAACTGAGCATAAGAATATCATTCTCATCAAGCAGCGGTATGAAACACTATCTTTTGTTAAGCGACTGAATCGTAAACAAAGCAGAACAACATAGATGGCTACATAGCTATCGTAATCTGCCTAGGCTTCATTCGGCGCTGGCTTCCGCCCATAGATGGACCAGCTGAACTGGATCAGTAGAGATACTAGTCACGAAGAGGTATGCATGCACTTACACTGTAGAATAGGCGTGGATAGCCCTGTTTCTCATGTCATTGCGGACTTGGACCCCAAAAACCGTAACCTCTTCCTTGGTCCAGTTATGGGCTCTCGTGAGCGGAGCAAGCATGAAGCTCTCGAGTCCGGCAGAAAAGTTGTCGTGGTTCCAAAAGCCGAGCTCCTTATGCTTCCGGTCTTTGGGCCATGAATTTGTGGGCCACTTGAACTGAGACGCATGTACGTCTTTGAACCCTGTCTCGATCATGATGTCCTTCAGAGCCCTGACATCCTGGAACGGACGCCCGAAGATGACCGCAGCCTCTCCCCACAAGCGGACGAACTTGGAAAGCGCAGAGTCGTCTTTCAGAGTTCCATCGTCAGACTTTGGCCAGAGGTCGATTTCGTTCAGCTCAAGGTAGCCATTTGGGTTCAGGTTACTGCATTTAATAATCAGTTGGTCATCCTCAGTATCCAAAGATATAACAGGGAGCTCACTCGTAGCATTTCTGAATGTACTCCTTCCAGTCGACAACACTTGACGTCATAGTTCGACTGTGGATGTAATCGAATGGTTGGGAATACGTCCATGGCTCATCAATGTCGTCAATTTCAAACCTGACATTCGGGAAAGTGCTTGGACGTAGTCAGTCTTAGACCTGAGCTATGACGATAGTACGGGGCTGGGGACATCATACAACTCGGGCTGAATAGCCGAAAGGTCCACCCCCAAGACCTATAGGAAGTATGAGCATCGCTGCGAGTCAAAATCTCAAATACGTGGTCGCTCACGTCTGCTTCAGGGTGTTCTTCGCCGAATTCGACAGCCCAAATGCCGGTTCCAGTGCCGAGATCAAGCACCCTTCCTACCTTGGCGCCCGGCTCGTTCGGAGGTGCCGTACCAAGACGGTTGTCGAAAGTAAGCAACCACATGTTGTGTTGGATATCTGTTGTTCAGGTTTGTATTGTTGATGATTGGTGAATACGCCGAGTCGTACTTACCCAATCGCTCGTTCTCTCGTTCATCGTTCGGCATGTAATATTCTACAAATATTAGTAGTTTTTGGACTTCAACTCAGCAACGTTGACACACTGCCGTCTTTGTACTTGTGGTAAGTACGACCATTCTCCTCCCTGTACTCTCGGACAGAGCTAGTCACACTAGTGGTAGAAGAAGCAATACTCTGAATTCTTCAAGTCAGAAGAGACATCCAGCACATTAAAGGCACAGGCTACGATTATTTCGTGTAATGTTGTACTTACATCGCCTCTCGCAGATTCATCATCCGTAATCTAAGAGTTGAGAATGTCAGTAAATCTCAAAGTACACGTTTGTTTTCACTCGCGGATTACCTCTTCGGCGACAAGAATGGCGGGGTCGTTGTCTGCAGTATTGATGTCTGCGGCATTCTGATCGGGTTGAGCCGTCGCCGCAGGGCTGATGAGGTCGGACATGATTTGGTATAGACGCGACAATGACCACTAGAATCAACCGGACTGTCTTAGCTTGTGAGCCTTAGGTAGATACTCTACTCATGACCTGGCCAGACATCTGAAAGTCGGTTGAGAATGAGACATTTTATGGTCCCATTACTCGTTGTTACCCCTCTTCTTGGCTGGGAACAATCATGCACGTCTGCGGCAAGGAAGTCACCCAATTACATACATGTGCTGTTGGGACCGTACCCAGGGTGTTACATACATATCCGGACGTATCAGATGAAGCTGCACGACAAGGGTCTGATCTTCCAGCAGTTATGGATGGTTGTTTCTCTCTAGCGAGTTTAACTAGCATTTATGCTTTTGGGACAACATTGAATACGCTGGAAAAAATGCATCCATCAATATCCAAGTCACAATTGAAGCCAGCCCGCAATGTTGCGGATCCCGTTTCGTAGCATCGTCTGAATACTAGGTTGGGAGATTAGTTTCAAGGTTAAATTGAGCCATACATTTGATATTTGTTAAAACCAAGACATGCTTTAAATCGGCCTCTGAGAATATGATACCCCAAAAATTGCTACTACCTAAACTATGAGAGGAGACGAAAGTCCACGGCCGAGATAGTGTAGCCTATGTCCATTCTGCTAACCTAATCGACCGAAGACGACTGGGGCCGAGGCAGTAAGACATGTTATGTCCCTGAGATGAAACTCCTGGCAACTTAGTTGTAGCTCACATGAACATGGTCCCTGAAGATGTGTCAGATTGTATGTCATCAGTTCACTCAGTTTGATAAGACTTACCAGTGGTTCTTGGTGATGCTGTTACGGTCTTCCATGGGCTTCCAGTTGGCCCAAGTCTTGACAGACTCCGAAGACTGCCAGATCTTCTGACCCCAGATGACATACTTGACCTTGAGAGAGTCGGCGTTTCTCATGACCCATTCGGCAATCTCCTTTCCAGAAGCCGTGGGCGTCTGCCGTACGGTTAGTACACAACACACTCAAACCCCGGCACATATAGCCCAAAACGCGAAAATACTTACGCCGCCGGCATCAGAGCACATCATGTCAGTCGCCTTTCCACAGCAGTGGTCGGAGTCGCCGGGGCAAGCACAGTCCCTCACGCACCCGATCTCGCGAACCCTGCCCGGGAACTGCGCCACGATCTTCTTCGCGCCGCTGACGGCGACCGACTTACACGCCCCCACGGACGGGATGCCGGGCGCCTTGTAGCCGCCGAAGCCGGTGGCGGACGAGGAGCAGCACTTGAAGCTGCTGGGTCCGGGGCACTGGTTCGAGACGGAGGTGCCGGCGCAGTCGCTCGTGAAGCGGCAGTTGCCGCCGCTGCCGCAGGAGGCCTTGGTGCAGCATTTGACGTTGGACGGGTCGCTGGGACAGGCGCCGTTGATGGTGGTGCCGCCGCTGGATGAGCAGCTGGCGGTGGTAACACAGACACCTGGGAATCGTGTTAGATATTTGATAATTTGAGGGTGAGATTACTCACCGGCTCGTCCACCTGAGCCGTAGCATGGTTCGTTGAGGGCAGCGAACACTGCGGTGGCCGAGGCGGCGGCGATGATGAGAGATTGGAGCTGCATGGTTGGGATGCGGTCAACTGTTGAGTTATTCTTGATCAATGAGTAATTTACAATGTTGATTGTCGATTTGATATCAATACAGTCGGAAGAAGTGGCTGTACTTATAGTTTTACAATATCATGAAGTCGGGTCAGCAATGTTCATCTCCTGTGTTAGTTTGCCCGACTGCAACAAGGCAACCATGTCAGCTTCCAAAATTGTTCCCAAGTTCAGCTCCCTTAGGTTGCATCGCATGTTTGTTTCCATCTTGGCCCGCGTCATCGTAACTCAGGCAAGGCTCCTGAGGATTATCATGACTCTGAGCTGAGTTGCTGTTGACGCACGGCACGGCTCCCTCGCGCGCGATCCGTCCAGGATCACCAAGCCACAAACTCAGGAATGACCAGCCACTCCCGTTGCTTGGATGAGCTATTGGCGGCGGGATGAGCCTAGACTGAGAGATTAGCTAGTCAGCTAAGACATGAAGCTTGCACAGACCTGTGACTAAATGACGGGTAGAGAGCGATGGATACGATGGTGATCAGCCCTATCTAAGCGGTAGATCGTGCGCCATGTTCTATTCTGCCCTTCCATCGGCGATTATATCAAGCTTATTCCATTGGCTTGATTTCAACGGTTTTGCACGACATGAATAAACTGGTATTACAGAATGTGGCCTAAGAAGTACACATTGCTTAACTGTACTACCGCCAGCACCAGTAGGGGTTGAACATTGCACCGCACCCATCGTGGAAATACATTTGATTCGCAAAGTGATTTAAGTTTTCTCAAGCTGTCTAAAAAACATATCAGCTCTAAGACTACATGCAAGTCAATACTCCTTAGCTATATTGAGACATTTAGACCAAAGCTGCTGCCCAAAGATCCAGCGCGTTGAAGAATGGCGTCATTCGCCCATTACACTTAGAAGTAAACTTGAAATTACAAGACATGTCCAGTGTTTACCTCCCATCCCGCGATTAGCGTTTGAAACAAGTCTTACCCATAGTCCAGCAAACCCTTTGATCTGTAAGACGGCTAGTAATCCTCCCGCCCGAAGAGCAGCTGCCCAACTGCGTTGAAGCTTTCTCAGCCCAACGGCGGCAACTCGGGTCAACGTGACGTTGCAGTTGCACGATGAGCAACCGAGTCAAATTCACTTCTATCCCTGCAAGTAAGCCTCGTGCGACGATCCTGGAGTTCAGCTCGTGGGCGTCTGATGCAAGACCCCGCAGCTGAAAGACGGGAAAGGAGCAACCCCCTGGGCCACCCCAACGCCACGAAACCGAGACATTCACGTTCACCTACGCTAAATGCGTCAATTCGTTTATCGTCGACTCTGTTGCGATGTATAATAAGTAGAAGGGCGATTGGTTTAGTGGCATAACGACCGCTTCGCATGCGGTAGGTCCTAGGTTTGATTCCTAGATTGTCCAACTTTTGCCCTAGGACCCTCGGGATCAGCCAGTACCTTATCAGGGTGACTGGTGAGTTAACCTTTAATCATAATTCAAATATTTTGAGGTCCCCGTATATATGCCGCTCTATTTTTGTTCTACCGCCGTCTAGCTAATCATTTTGATACGTCCCTCGAGGACTGGGGCAATGACCCGCGTCCAGTCTACAGTGAACTCGCCCTCTCGCAGGGGATCACACACCTCCGCCTTCACATTCGCAGCCTTTGCCCATCTGGCGAAGAACTTGCGCATAAGAAGCAACTCCATATCAATCTGATCCACGCTGTCGGCCTCATCCTCGGTGTCGGAATCGTCTTCCGATTCCTCTTTCGGAGGCTTGGCGTTCAGAGCGTGTCGCTTGACCATCCATTCGGCCCACGACTTGGATTCGACATCGGGCTTGGGATCGGAGGTGCCGGTCTCGGCGGGGGTCTCCCACATCTTGCGCGGCTCGACAGGCGTGTGGCACTTGTCGGCTACCCGGACCCAGTGCTCGCTTAGGTTCTTCCATTGGCCGACTGTGCGCAGACTCATGAAGTATTGACGCAGCATGGCGGAGATGAGAATGCCGTTCTCTTCGCAGACGATCTCCTCGGCCGTGCCGCCCTCAGGTTCGACAAGTAGACTGGTGTATCCATCTGATAAGGTCAATCACATGAACGTTGTATCATGCATATGGATTACGAAACGTACCTTTTCCTCTGCCCATGTAGCCTCGTGTGGCAAGCGTGTACTTCTTATCCATCTGCATGGGCCCGCCACCGAGGCTGGCTTCGACGATGCGAGATCCAGGTTTCTTGCTCGGGTCGAACGTGTATTTAATATTGGATACTTGAGGGAAGCGGCCTAAGTTGTTAGCAAAAGATATGAGAAGCTACCCAAACAGACCACGAGACGTACCTTCTTGCGCTGGGTACTGAGAGACACCGTTTTCGAGGGCATCCCAGATTTGTTGACCGGTTACTCTGATGAAGATAACGGGGTCCTCGAAAGGAAAGCAGTTTGTGATATCTCGGACGCGAATGGCACCAGGCGGGTAAATCTGATCACCTCGTATAGTACCAGCCGCCATCAACGCGCAGTCGGCGTTGTGGTAGTGTCTCATGACGTCGCACACGAAGTTGCCCATGTTACTCTCCTTCATTCTGACGGTCGTGAATCGTGCATCCAGGGGAGCAGCTGTCCATCCCACGGATTTTGCGAGGCTGTGCTTAAGCTTTGAAGTCAAGTCCTCGGTGAGCTTCAAGGTTTCTTGGTCTTCTGCGATAGAAGACACGATATCGCGCCGCTCGATGTCGAAATCCCACTTGCCGGAGCCATCCTGCTTCTTTCGAACCTCGACGTAGCTGAGTTGCTTGAAGTCGGAACCTGAGCGCAGCACGTGCGTGCCGTTGATGAAGCTGTGAGCGTAGTAATGATCGTGACCGCCGAGAATGATGTCAATCAGGCCATCCGTCTTCTCGGCGAGCTTGTTGTCGTTTGGCTCACGCTGGTGACTGAGGCAGATGATGATGTCGGCTCCCTGGGCGCGGAGTTGGGGCACCAGCTCCTTAGCAGTCTCACTGGCAGACTTGTAGATGATGTTGGGGGGCAAGCTGTTGATTGTCTCTAGCCATTCTCTCTCACCAAGTCCAATGAGACCGATCTTGATGCCATTGGATGATGTGATCATGTGAGTGTGTTTGGCATTCCCGAGAGGGACGTTCTCGCCGAGCGCCGGATCCAGGACATTGGCGAGGAGCCAGGGGAAGTTACATTTGGCGGTGAGATGCTCGAATTGCTTGACCCCAAAGTCAAAGTCATGGTTCTAGACGTTGTGTTAGGTCACTGCACCATTGAATTGAGTTGATGCTAACTTACGCCAACGCAGGTGCAGTCGACGCCGATCTTGTTAAGGACAGGCACCATGTGCTCACCTGACATGATGCAAGTCAGCACAGGTTCACAGCAAACGGTGGACACGTGAGATGTTACCTTTTGTGACAGAACTTTCCAGACTTGGGTTGAAGACATCGCCCGAAAATAGAGTCACCAGCTCGGGCTGACCCTCGAAACGCTCATCATTACGGTACTCATTGACAGCCGTGATGAAGCGTGCGACACCGCCCACGGGCTCAGCACTGGACGGTTCCAAGTGGTAGACGTCGTTCAGGTGGAGAATGCGCAGGGCAACGGGGGCATCGGAACCAGAGCTGAAGGTCACGGCAGGCTCATCGGGAGCTGGGGTATTCTTAGGCATGACGAGAGGTGATCTAGGAATAGAAATGTAGTCGAATCGGGACGCCAAAGACGGACGGTAGTGATAAGGTTCCGAGCATAGAATGTGGCATGTGCCCCTGAGTTTGTTGACCTTCCACACCGCAAGTACCTTCCTTCGACCCAGGTAGCTGAGGTAAGGTTAGGTTTGGTGCGCGAGCTGCCGCTGTGGACGGGAGCGGGGGCGGGGCAGTGAACACGCCACGGCGCGATACTGGACAGCTTTCAGTGGGATGATTCGCTGAAGCTGGCTATCGGTGAAGCTGTGGCAGTGCAATAACCAATGAGAGACCAAGAATTGCCAATTGCCGAGAGAAGCACGTGACGATAAGTGAGAAGGTGGACCCTGGTGGGGTGATGCTATTTCTGGCGCGTGCTCCATCTGATAACGATAAGGCACCTAAGCGAGCCACTGACGATCGATCTCCCGCCTGCCGTCTTAACTTCCATTCCCTCCGTCTCTTTGGGACGAACCTTTTTCTAACGTCGACAACTCAACTCTAACGACCCGATGTGAGATGAACATCTTACACTAGCATCGCCACATCAAGCGTCTTGGCTGGCAAGAATTTCTACCAGTCATGTCTTCGTTTCACAAAACAATTTCCTGATTCATGCCAAGGCTTTTCTTTCTCATTCAAGGGCGCTGCTGTTGCTAAAGGTAGACTCATTCCTAATGTTCTCATTCGACTGTTGGTCCCATATCCCTACCACCTTGCTGCCACTAACACTTCTAGCCTTCGACTTTGGGTCTTGGCTCGTACCATATTCTCTCACAACTAATCAAGAGAACACAATTCAAACGCATGCCGATGCTGCTGAATGCTGCGCCCGCGTCTTCGGAAGCGGCCTCCTAGACCCCAACGTTCGTCCCACGACAATCATCCGCATGACGCACTCGGCGCTCTCCCGCGTCAGTTTCTCCGCTTCCAGGATGGCCTCGTCTAGAGTCGTTGGGCGTTGCAGGATGCACGTATACGCATCGATCCCGACGTCGTAGTTGACCCGCGCCCCTGGTCCGATGGTGCCAGCGATGGCAATGACAGGGAGTCCATGCTTCTTCGCTCGCTGTCCAATCTCGGCTGGAATCTTTCCTCGCGGAGTCTGGTCGTCGATTCCTCCCTCGGCCGTGAGGACTAGGTCGCAGTCCGTGAACAGCCCGTCAAAGTCGACATACTCCGCCACCACCTGATATCTTGGCCGAAGCTTGGCACCGACCAGCCGCAAACCGGTGCCCAAACCTCCAGACGCTCCTCCGCCCGGCGAGAGAGACACCTTGCTGTCGCAGAGAAGCCGGCCGGCAACCACAGCAAGCACTTCCATGGCTGCCGAAAGACGCTCCGTCTGCTCAGTCGTCGCGCCTTTCTGTCGGCCAAAGACCCTTGCAACACCTTCAGGGCCGCTGAGCACATTTTCCCAGTTGACAGCGACCTCAATGCGGACGTCTCTTATGCGCTTGTCGATCCCGCCAAGATCAATGTTGGCCAGACGCAACAGAGACTCGCCCCCTGCCGCGATAGGGAGCGTGAGCCCGTCCTGATCAATAAGTCGGGCGCCAAGAGCTTGAAGCATTCCAGCGCCGCCATCGCAGGTGCCGGAATCACCACATCCGACAACAATTCTCTCGGCTCCAGCTCCAATTGCGGCGGTGAGTAACTCTCCAACCCCGAATGTGGTGGTGATGCCGGGGTTGCGAAGTTGAGGCGGCACCAGGCTCAGACCGGCGGCAGCTGCCATTTCGATGACAGCAGTCTTGGCCGTATCAGGGCTCTTGTTTCCAAGAATCCCGTAGAATGATGCAACTGGACAACCGACAGGGCCGGTGACAGTAATAGGGTGGATCGTACCGCCAGTCGCAGAGACAAGGGCTTTAGTGAACCCCTCGCCTCCATCGACAAGGGGCACCTTGCGGACAGAAGCGTCCGGCATAACTGCCAGTACGCCGGCCTCGATGCAGTCGGCGGCAACATCTGGCTCAAGACTACCCTTGAAACCCGAAGGGCAAACGAGGATTTTCATGCCTTGGGCAGCCGAGTAAGAAGTCATTCTGCCGTCTTGTTGTCTCGTTTGTCGAGTTGGTTTGAGATTTTTGCAGAGGTCTGAAGTCTTCGTGAACTTATGTAAACGAAACAGAACGAATGTTGAACAACGAGTGGAATAAGTACGAGCGAGTGTGATGGGAAGGGGCAGTGATGGTGAGCGAAGGTGAATATGAATCTGAGGACTTTGTTCATCAACAGCTTCAACTGCTGGGAACGGTCATTCTTATAGCGTAGGTCAGGCACGATGGCGTTGACTGGTCCTGTTTGTGATGGCCACAAATAGCTCATTTGTTTGCAGCCGTAACCGCTGCGGATGTTGCTTCAACTCAACACCACCGAAGAAGCTCGATATCGCAGACCAGCTACCCAGAAGTGGCTATGTGACATTGGTAGTTACGATGTCCGCCATTTCAGAAACAGGTATTCGATCGTGTGATCACAACCACCGCTACTCCGAAATTACATCATTTCTCAGCCCTGCGCGTGCTCATTGCCCTAATCGACAACGGCGGTGCTTGAACCCGACATGCAATCATGTCAACGACTCTACGGCGTAGCATCGCGTCCACGCAAGTCATGATGGGCACAGCCTTCAGAACCCCAAGACAACTCGCCTACCAGTTCACTACATTCATGAATTGTCTACTTTCGAAGGTATCACGGCCAGCATAGCCTGCTCTCGGCAACAAGTGAGCACGCGATCAGGATTCGCCCAGATCTCGTATCTCGACGAGGTGAAACAGTGGCAGCCCGTCATCCGGGAGCGTATCTCCCAATCACACCTCAGTGCCTGAGCTATAAATAAGGATCGCGCGATTTATCCAGGATTTGCTTGTGTTGAAGTGTGCAATGTTCCTGGGCGCAGTCGAGAAAAATGTCACTCCGACACGCATCATCAGCCACAGTTGATGTAGCCCCGCCGATCGACTTGCCAAGAAAGCTTCGGCTGTCCTTTCTCACCCCATTTCGCACGAAGACCCTTCACTTACACGATTTAGCAGCAGTGATGGTCTCTTGGCACATTCACACTGCTGGATCTAGGGATGTGGTCGTGGGGGTGGGGATGTTTGACTGTCGCCGGCTCATCAGCCCTGGGCTGGCCACATCATCCGAGGCGCTGTTCTCATGAGCGCATGAGGCTATGCTTCTACGCCCGACGATGTCGAACAACGGACGTCTTCGTTGCGTTATGTCTTTGAGATATAATAAAATCTAGAAATGTCTCACGAAAGACTCAAGCTACCGTCAGAAAGTAATGTGATCAACATCGTCTCTTTTCCTATTCCTCCGGTCACTCGCTCCCAGTCATTCGTTATCCGAAATCATGTCTAAACCCCATGCGTACGCCTTCATCCCTCGCAAGCCGGTGCCGCCGGAGCCGGAACTCGACCACCTCAGCCTCCACCGGACCCTGACCCGGTCTCGGTCGAGCCTGTGGCGGGGATGGAGCCCAGGACTCCCTTCTTTCTCGGAGTACGAGCGCACGGCGTACAAATTCCCCTGGCTCCAGGACCCCGACAATCTCTACTCCCGCGACAACCTGGGGAGCAGACACCCCGACATCATCCTCGAGCACCCGGGCCCCACGGATCGTTCTCACTTGCTCTCCTGCGACGACAGCGCGCAGGCCGGTCCCTCTATGATCCCCCCCGAAGAGAAATCCGTGCATGAGCACGGCATCAACTCTGATGATCCCGAGGATCCGAATCTTGTTGGTTCCTTTGCTTCTGCTGTGGTTCTAGACTCGAAGGTTAACTTGACGACAGGTGACGTGGTCTGGGCCCTCGGACCCGATGAACCCCAAGAACTGGCCGAAGTACAAGAAATGGACGGCTACCATTCTCGTTTCTTGCTTCACTTTCATCTCACCGGTATCCTCGACAATGCTGGCCCCGGCGCTAGACACAATCGCAGATGATTTCGACGTCAAGTCTGATATCGAGACTTACCTCTTGATGTCCATCTTTCTCCTCGCCTATGCCGTAGGCCCTTTCGTTCTCGCGCCATTATCAGAGATGTACGGCAGGGTCGTGGTGCTTCAATCAGCCAACATGTTCTATCTCATCTTCAACACCGTATGTGGGTTTTCTGCCTCGAAAGAGCAGATGCTGGCATTTCGGTTCCTTAGTGGCTTAGGCGGAAGTGCTCCTCAAGCGGTCAGTGATCTCCCCATCATTTTTTGATACGTTGACTAATGTGCTCCTCAGCTTGGAGGTGGTGTCTTGAGTGACTGTTGGAGGGCGGAAGAAAGAGGGACGGCGACCGCGATCTACAGCCTCGCTCCCTTCCTCGGACCGGCGGTTGGGCCGATAGGTCAGTTATATATCTGGTCAGACTTCTCTCTCATGTAAACTCAAATATTTCACAGCCGCTGGATATCTCACGCAGTATCTGTCATGGCGCTGGATCTTCTGGACAGTCTCCATCGCCGACGCCGTCGTCCAGATCCTGGCTTTTCTGTTCTTGTCGGAAACGTACGCCCCCAAGATTCTAGCGACAAAAGCAAAGGGTCTTCGTAAAGCCACGGGCAATAATGATTTGCGTACCGAATACGAGCGACCGGATAGAACGTTCGGCCAGACGCTGCGGAAGAACTTGATCAGGCCGTTCAGAATGCTTTTCACGCAGCCCGCGTTACAGATTACCGCACTTTACAGAGCCTACCTATACGGATTGATGTATCTTGTGTAAGTAATCTCTGAAATGATTTGAAAGTTTAGCAACTAATAGGGGGTAGGCTTGCCTCGTTTCCTTTCGTTTGGAGCGAGCAATATGACCAAGAACCCGGACCAGCAAGTTTGAACTACATCTCTCTGGGTGTGGGCTTCGTGATTGGGCTGCAGATATCCGGGCCTCTCATCGACAAGGTATGAGAAAAGCAAAACGCAAAGGCAGTATCTACTCACAACTACTAGGTTTACCGCAAACTCAAGTCCCAAAACAACGATATCGGTCTCCCCGAGTTCAGAATCCCGCTCATGTTCCCAACCGCCGTCGTAACACCCATTGGTCTCCTCCTCTACGGCATCGCAGCACATTTCAAGGTCCATTGGATCGTCCCCAACATTGGTGCTGGCATCTTAGCTGCGGGACTGATTCTTTCGTTTCAGTGCGTTCAGACGTATGTCATAGACTCGTACGAGAAATATGCCGCCAGTGCTGCGGGCGCGGCGGCTTTCGTGCGGACCATGGCTGGATTCAGCTTTCCACTCTTTGCGCCACGGCTGTATGATGCGTTGGGGATTGCGTGGGGAAACGGACTTCTAGCTGGTATTGTGCTGGTCATGGGGATTGTTGTGCCGGCTGTCATGTGGAAATGGGGCGGTTGGCTTCGTGGTAGAAGTCAGTACTGTACTGGTTGATTTGTATGGCGGATCAAACCTGTTACAATAACCTTGATGTTGGGACTGTAATGCTCAGTTCGATTACCAAACTTATGCTTGTTCTCCACTAGTACAATAGATGATCGTTAAATATTCTTACCTGCATCGAGTTGTATATGATTCCGGTGAAACCGACACTAATTCCACACGTTTGGACTTCGAGGAACTCCGCCAACGAGAACCCACTTTCACAGAGATTTCGGCGTGAGAAGTGATCCTTTCTGATTGGATTCAAAAAGTTATGGCCGATGAATATCTCAAGGATTCAACCCGGGCGCGAATCACGATTCAAGACTCGACATACTACACTCCAAGACTCACTACATGCGGCTACCATCTCGCTACACGCCTAGAGTGTCCCGGCCGAAGGGATTGCGCGGACGCGTGAACCGACGGCGAAGCAGGGACTCCCCGTTCCTCTGCGGCTCCGGTCTCCCAGAGTCGAAAGCGTCGAATCGCTGGCGAATGAGATCGCCGGCCGAAGCCTTTGATCTCCGTTCCTCCCTCCGTCGGTGCATTTTCAGCCAAAGGAGCCACACCGTTAAGACGACCAAGGTCAGGGGTACCGCAACGGCCCAGAAAATCCAAAACCGAGGGTTAACGGTCGATTCCCCGTTCTCAGGAGACCAATTAAACAACTCCATCGAGAAGAGCGTCTGTCTCCCTGGTCAGCTGTTCCCGCGGCAAGTGAGGCTTCGATAGGGATAACTAACCGCGATGGATGCCCCTGGCAGAAATATGATGCTCATCGTCGCCAGGGTGAACATTGCAAAGCTATCGTCTTTGGCAGTGCGTGCAATCTGCAGCGACAAATTCGCCATGTCGTAGTTGCTCTGGTTGTCCCGCTGCGCAACGAGGTTATAGATCTATGGTTGTTGAATGCGATATCAGTGATGTGAATATTGTGTCCTTTGGCAGCAAACTTACAATCTGTAGCTGACTAGATGCCTTGTTGGACTCCCTCTGTATCTCCAGAAGAATCCCCTGGTGTGTTGCATCAAGAACCTGCAGCCGGTACTTGAGACGAGTTGTGGATGTTCTCATCCTCCTGGACCAGAGGTCTTCCGGCGATTTCCCTCCACCACCCTCTGGCAAAGACTTTTCTATCTTTGATAATATGGAAAGTATCCGCCCTGAGAGCATGATGTTCGCCTCAATTCGCGCCTCGTGAGCTGGCAATTTTGAGATAGCACGGTTGAGCGACTGGGTCATTGCTTCGAAGCTGTCCTGCGCAATTGCATTCGCTGTTTGCGAGTCCTAGGATGATGTTAAAATAGCTCCAAAGATGGCGGGCAATCAATTCCTGATCTTCATATGGGTTTCATACCTTCCACTTGTCAAAAACCCCCGACAACCCTGTGCGGGCTTCCACGTGTTGGAGGTCGTTCGCGGTATGCCTCACCGCGACCAAGCCACCCATAGCCAATAGCTCGCACATGATTACCGGTAGCAGCATTGGATGTCTAGTATCGTCTATAGCGTTGCGTATCTTGTGTTCAAATGAGCTTCTTTCGACATCATCCATGCCGAGAATGAAGGCATTAACAATCCGTCGTTGAGCGTCGAAGAGAATCCCTGCTGTCCAGTCTTCACCTTGCGACCGCGGAAGCCTGAAAGAGTACTCTATTTTCATATGTTACTTAGATGGCTATGTACGCAAGACGTTTTCAAACTTACGGATGCAACTTTGCCGCTCGGGATCTTCTTGCTCTAAAAGCATAGGGACACCTTGAACCAGGTTAGAAATCCTGTTACTCCACAGGCAGAAAGAGGAATGGGTATCTTTCACCTTCCAGAGCCCGATATACGATATCATTCGGGGTCTCCAAGGCTGCAAGTACATCTAGAAGGGCATACCTATCCCTGAACATCATGTGTCCAGGTCTACTGCCATGGCCACACACACTGATAGCAAGGCAGGAATTAGCTTGTGACCTAAAGCTGGGGACGTGCTCTAACAGTAGATTGAAGGCTGTTTCATCGCCCGGGACTTCAGTTTCGTCTTTTGACAGAAGCCACTCTTGGAGCCTATCGTGGTCGGTCATCTCCATTAACAATCCATCGTGGCCTGTCTGCATTACCTAATCTCGTGTAAGCAAAGTTGACAGTACTTTGGCAGTTACTTTATCTTCGACTACTAACGTCTAGTATTGGTACTCTGCAAACGAAGCTTTTATGCTCAACGAACTTGAGCATGGACGGCAGGACGAATCTTTGCTTGATCTCGTCGGTTGCATGCCTGGAGGGCGATCCTTCCGAAACCTGCTGCTCCTCTGTTGACTGTCGTCCGGAAGGCAGCGATGGATGCGTTGCTGACTCCTTGATGGCGCTGATTGCTTCCGACATTGCCACCGTGTTCACCTGGATCACCATGGTTTGAAGGATAGATTCAAGGGCGCGGCTGTTCTCCTCCAAGCCTGAGACATTAGCGCTCAACTCTATATCCACGGTCGCACTTTCTTCGAGTTGCATATTGATAAGTTTATTTATGACCTGCTGCGTTCTGTCGAAAGTGCGCTGGAAGTCAGCAGCGACGTACTCTGGTAGCTCACCCCGCTGCTCTCGACTTAGATCACTATAAAGAGGCTCAATTTCCATAATTCGTTCCGCGGTGGTCATAATTCGCTGAATTATTCTTTCGTGATGCGGGTAAGTCGCACCAGGGCGAAAAAGGCGCAGCTTTTTGTAATAAAGATTTGCGAAGCTTACTATGTTGGCAATGGTGTCGATAAGACTGCGTCGATCCATATTGTGATGTATACCGCGTCTAAATTTATAAGTGATGTTTCAGAACAAAGGAATACACTATCTTTCTGGTTAAGTTACCTTGCTGGGCTTTGTCTCAGGAATCAACGAAAACAAAATGGACATCAGCGCAGCATGTGTTTACTTATAGGACCAGTCGTCTACGCATCAGCTCAGGCCTAAACCCAAGGCGAGTGGTTGGGCTGACATGCAGATGCGGACAGAAATTACGCCAAGAACAGCTGATACACAAAATCATTGTGACCTGTCACAAGTACCCTTTTTCTTCACTCCGCCCTCCGACCCTCCAACCCTCCGCCACTCCCTATACGGGGAAAACCGTCCATGATCAGACTCACATTAACCCAAAGCCTGATCGTCAGCCAGCGGGTCTATAGACTTCCCTACTAAATTTGGAATGCATTGTGAATTCTCGGCGACGTACTAGATAGACGTTGACTCTCATACCTTCCAGTATCCAGTCCAGCTTCCGTAATAGTCTTTTAGATGAAAACTTTTAGTCCCAAAACACTTTATCTCCAGGTCTGAACTGGTTAGATTGTAGATATCTCGTGTTGACCTCATTGGCAAGGCTGCGGCTCAAGTTCGCTTGGATGACCCTGACGAACTGTAACCTCAAAGAAAGTAAGGTACCTCACATAAAACCGCTCCACCAGCGGGCTGCTCGTCCAACAATCTAATTTCGTAATTTAGTGAGTTTGGTTTGGAGGAGTCATAGATTTCAGACCTGTGACCAATAATATCTCTGATAACACAGTCAAGACCTTTTCAGTCGAGATGGCCTCGTGTATCCGTGGAGTGCGTTTTGTGCCTTCCAGCACCTACACCCTGAAATGGCCAGGCTGAATGTCAACCTTGATAGATTTTCAAGCGCAGGTGAGGTCTGTAGGTTTGCTTCCTGCCTGGTTGCTATGGTCTCGACAAAGTTATAATTCCACGTGATTCAGTCAGGTGCCAATTATGCGGGTAGGACCTTCGGGGACCTGAGGTAGATTGTGCCTACCCATTGAAGAAGGATACACGCATTCACAAATTACTTCCTCTCTCTTCCATTTCCTCTTCTTCATTTTCTTCCCAAGCATCGACACTAACATCTCACACCCCGTGCCTTTTTCTTTCGTCGCTGCTACCTGATCTACCTGCCTACATCGCACCGACCTTCGCTATGAAATACCTCACGATGACACGTGACGACATAAAGTCGATGAATACGCACGCCAACATCGACAAGGTAACCGTCGGCGCAGGCATTCTTCGTTTCGATACCAACGGTCCCAAGATTCTGCTGCTTCGACGGAACGCCAATGAGAAGTATTATCCCAACGTGTTCGAGATGCCCGGTGGCAAGGTAGACGCCACGGATACAAGCATTCGCGACGCTCTCGTCCGGGAAGTCGCTGAAGAGACTTCCCTCCACGTCCGTGACGTTCTCGGTCCTCTGCAACCCATCACCTACACCACCGAGAAGCGTGAGAAGGACGCTTCCGGTCATGACAAGATCATCAGCCGCAAAGCATTGCAACTAAGCTACGTCGTCACCGTTCAGGAGGGAACCGATTTCAAGGTCAATCCCGCGGAGCACTCGATGGGCATCTGGACCAATCTCCAAGCCCTCTCCCACTTGACCATCACCGAGGAGATGAAGAGCCTGGTAACGGAGGTGCTCTCTTGGGCAGACAAACAAATGCCTAGGAACACCAAGAACTGGGAGTTCTCGAATACACCCTCGTTTTATACATTATCACCACTTGGTGGCGGAAAGCAAACCTCTACCTGATTGCACTACTCTCTCCATGCTTGTCCCTGCATACGTTCGAACTCCAGACGATTTTGCGCAAGCATGCTCGACATTCTTCTGTTACTCGCAACATCATCTGGGCACATTCCGGAAGAGACTCTCAGAGGACGCGAGGGTTGCCACGGGCGAGATATTGATTACTCCCCGCCTCATCGAGGCAAACATCAGTTCACGAGTCGTCGAGCCACTTGGTTTGGACGATATCGGAGGCTTCGTACGGTCAGGGGAACAACCGTCGGTGTTTTCGTCACACAACCTAGAACAGCTTTAATAATAAGCATAATTGGAAGGACTTGTTGAATAACATTCGTCTTTTGAGATTAGGGTATGTGTTCAGTAATTACAATTCTTATGCTCACATCTATGTGAGTGGCCAATGACAATATGCGTCCCGGGATATCAAAGCTGAAACAGAAAACATCTCAATCTAACCTTCGTCGTCCACATTCACCTCTCTCAAATCGATGCCCTCGCAATGTTCTTGCCAGCGACCAGACCGGGTCCCTTCTCCGTGAAGAAAGTCTTGGCCTTGGCGGCGCTGACGATGAAGCCCGGCAGCTTCATCGTGTTGAACTGGCCAGTCGCCTTCTTCTTGCCAATGGTGACAAAGATTTGCGGCTTCGTCGTCAGCTTGAGGTCCTTGACCTTGGCCTCCTGGCCGGTGAGGACGGCATCGAGGTTGTCGGCAAGGTGCAGCGCCTGGCCCTCGGCGCGCATGAGCTGCTTGGCCTCGAGGTTGCCGGCATCGCCAGCGCACCAGACGTTCCTGAGACCCTCGACGCGGAGGTCGTGCTTGAGCTTGATGCTGCCCTTGTCGTCGAGAAGGTGCTCGGGGATGAAGGACGTGTTGGGGCGCACGCCGAAGAGAGGCAGGTACAGGTCCGCGGTGAGGGTCTCGCCGTTGGACAGCTTGATGGACTTGAGGGAGCCGGAGGTGTCGGCCTCGGTGACCTTTGCGTTGGTGACGAGCTTCACCTTGAGGGACTGCAGGCTCGTGGCGGCGATCTTGCCGAGCTTGGGGAGGAGGCCGGGGAGCGGCGCGTCGCCCTCGACGACGAGGGTGATCTGCTTGGTGGAGCCGTAGGCGTGGCCGAGCTCGCCGGCGGTCTCGACGCCGGTGGCGCCGGCGCCGGAGATGATGATGGAGTTGGCGGCCTTGACCTCGGACTGGAGGTTGTGCAGGGCGGTGACGGTCTCCTCGTGGGTGCCGAGGGTCTTGAAGGGGAGGCCGCTGGCGAGGCCGGAGCCGGTGGCGATGACGAGCTCGGCGTACTCGATGGAGCGGAGGCCCTCGTTGGTCTCAACCTGGACGGTGTTGGTGGAGGGGTCGAAGCTGGTGGCCTTGCCGAGGACGAACTCGAAGGCGTCCTGGGGGTACTTGTCGAAGCCGGGCTTGATCTGCTGGAAGAGGGTGTCGTCGGAGAACTCGCCGGGGATGAGGGCGCGGACGGCGGCGCAGTTCCAGTACAGGTGGGTCGAGGGGGAGACGAGGGTGACCTTCAGGTCCTTGACCTTTGGCTGCGTGTACTTGAGCAGCTTGTGAGCGATGCCGAGGCCGGCGTAGCCAGCACCCAGGATGACGACCTGCTTGACCATTTTTGCGATGTGTAAGAATGGATAGACTGTGAAAGATGTGCGAAATGGTCGGCGGGAATAATGCACGCTGTGGTTTTTCCAAGGGAGGCCAGACGGAAGCAGGCGCCGGCGGGTTGGGGTATTTAATTCGGGAGGGCGGCCAAGGAACGGGACGGGGATGCCGTGGGGGAGTGCGGGAGGGAGGCAAGATGACAACGCGCAAGAACAAAGGACTTGGGAAAAGGATACTAGGCGCAGCGGTTTCTGGGAGAAACGGGGAAGGGGGGGATAATGAATGTTTTTATCGACACAAAGGCAAAGGATTCAGGGTGAGCCTCTTGTCGAACTCTAGCCGGCGCCTCTCCCCCAAAGTCCCATGTACAACCACCGACCACCCACAAAAAGGTTCGGCCGAACGATTACTCTGCCGTTCGGGCATTTTCCTCTCCTCTCTCTCCTCTGCGAGATCCAATCTAATGTTTCAGACGAGGGAGCGCTCGGATTATTCAGCTGGAGCGGGACAAGCGAGATTGGGTTGGTTCACTTTCTAGTTCTTTCCTTTTTTTCCCAGGATGGGATCAGACCACGGGGGGCAGTATTTCGAGAGGTTGAATCAATGGGAGAAAAAAAGCATCGAGAATCCTATCGGGAACGCGTAAGGATGGTGTAAGGTACTGTACACACAAAGACGGCATGGCAAGGATTTGGTGCGGCAGGGGTCCGACTGGCCGAGTCAAGGTAACGGCGGAGAGGGTGCCACGGCTTATTGGCGTAGCGCGCGCTGGCTGAAGGCTCGAAGGAAGACGAGTAATCCGCATTCTGGATACAAAGTGGTTCCTCTGCTCGGGTTATTCATCCAAAGGCAGAGTCTTTGCAAGCAGGCTGCCATCGGATTTCTCTGTATCCATATGTCGGGCTATTCATTCCTTCTTCGTGATGCTCCCCGAATTTCGGATTCAGTCTAGGCTCATGCTGCGTGATGGATTAGGAGAGCAGATCACCCCAGGACCGGGGTCTAATTCTAATGATGGGCTTTCGCAGTTGAAAGCCGCAGTCCCTTAGTCAGGGGGTTGGGCGGCGCATTGGTAATACTCGCGCGCGGCTGTAGTGTAACCCATAAAGAAGCACAGAATAAAAAATGAATGCGACAGGTTTTTTCGAATGGAATTTGATTCCGCCCAAGCCATTTCCCTCATCATTGGATCGCGTCGGCGTTGGGAGAGCCCGTTCGCCGTGTATTTTGCACTAATCCGGGTCTAGCCTGGTGGGGTCGCTCGCCGGGCCTGGCGCCGGGCCCACGCCGTGACCCTGCGCGGTGCTCGGGACCGTGTGGGGCCCGCTGATTTGGGCGGGAGACACAGTACGGCGCTAACACCCGCACGGATGCCCTTTCTCTCACTCTCAGTCGCCTTCTCATTCTCATCGCTCACTCTCACCTGAGTTGAAAGGGGTCATCACCCGTCACTCACTCTCTTGGCTCTGCCACGTCAAAAAATGAAACTATGTCATCTTTTACTGAGCAGTATTTCGACACCCTATCATCTGTATCGTCGACATTTTCCATACAAGAGGCAGGGAACATTACAGTGCCCGCGTCGTCCATCCCATCACAGACTTACACGTCTCCATCCGGTAATTGAGCCAAAGCTTAACAGAGCTCTGGCCAGTGAGCGCCAGATGCATCCCAGTCATCACACCATTTCGATCCTGATACCCTTGCTCCCTTTCTTCGGCATTGAAACGGCAAGGTCGAAGTCGTACTCTACATCGACGTCCGTCGTCTCGTAAAGTCTCATGTACGGCAACGCGCGTAGCGTCACCGCCGCAATGGCGACGTGAAGCTCGCAGTACGCCAGCCTATCGTTGAATCATCACATCGGTCAGCACGGGAGCTCAGACGCCCAAAAAAAACATCGGATCACACGGATGGTTAGAACTCACTGCATGCCCAAGCACTGCCGGCTCCCCTTCGAGAACGTGAGCAGATACCGCTCCAGCCCCCTCTTCCTCTGCCCGTCCTCGTCAAGCCACCTCTCCGGCCGGAACTTGGAGGGCTCCGGGAAGAGCCGCTCATCTGTGTGCATGATGTACGCCGACATGCCGAACGCGTAGCCCCGCGGGATGACGTGGGAGACCTCGACCGGCGCCGAGGCCCCCGGCGGCGTCCACGTCCCCTGGTACACCACGTCCTCGTCGGGCGCGACCCGGGGTAGCCGTGACGGCGATCCGTACATGAGCCGGAGCGCCTCCGTGACCACGGCGCTGAAATACGGGAGGCCTTCCAGCGTCGCCCAGTTCGGGAGCTCTTTCGGGTTGGGGGCGACGGTCGAGAGCTCGGCTCGCATCTTCTCGACGACGTCCGGGTTGCGGAGGAGATGGTAGGTGCATATGCTGAGGGCCGCTGCTGACGTCTCGGTTCCTGCTGCCAGGAAGACGTTGGCTTCGCCGGCGAGGCGTTTGATGGACTTTTCCTGGGGAGGGAGATCGGATTCCAAGAGGGCGTGAAGCACCGTCGTGCGGTCCCTCTTGATCCCCGCTTCATAGGCGGACTTGGTCTGTCTCACCATCTCGGGAAGTTTGATCTTAGAGTGCTCCATGAGGAGCCCAATCTTCGCCGAGAGGGGCTTGACAACCCAGCTATTCACAATGCATCAGCACTCACTTCAGGGCCAGGGCACCAATAGACTCACACAGGGACAGCCTCCATCAGCTTCGTCGTCCAGGGGAAGTGTCTCATAATATGAATGAGATGGAACATGACGTACACCGCCTCCTTGAAGTTCGGCTCCCAGGTCGGCTGCTGCAGAAACCCGAACCCCTGGCCGAAGCAGTAGTCGCTGACGATATCGGCCGTGTAGCAGCTGAAGGCCGAGGCGGCGTCGAATGGGCCCCGGCCGCGGTACGCGAGGAACTTGTCGCAGAGCCTTTGGGCATCTTGATGCACCACCCATTCGAGCTTGGCGATCTGGGCTCGGGAGAAGTACTTGCTTGCTGCTGATCGGCGGAGTTTGTGGTGCGCGTGGTCTACGGTTCCAAAGCCTCCCTGTGGCATGTGTTAGATGGTGAATATTGGGCATGGGCATCTTTCATCACTGACATTTCTCAAGCTAGACAAGAACACAGTCAGCAAACATTGACTTGAGGCCAAGGTGCTTCAACTCACTCGTTGGCGAAGCCAGCAACGAACATCTCCGACTTGTCGCGCTTCTTTCCACCACTTGCGTAGATGACATCCACGAACTCGGGGTCGTTGCAATGCACCTCGTCCGGGTTGATCCGGACGATGGGACCTGAAGGTTTCTCGGTCAGTCACTGCGCATCTGATACTGTTGCTCACGCAGCATACCGTATATCTCATGCATCCGCTTGATCTCGTGGGTAAAGCGGCCCCAGAGAACCACATCGTACCAGACCTCGTACCAAAACGTCGCCCCGGCAAGCCTCGGTCCGGGAAACTTCGCGAGCGGGTGGAGCGTAACGCGGTAGATGGCAAGGAAGGTTCCGTAGAGCAGCCACAACGCAAGGCCGGCGCCGAGGAGCTGGGGCCACAACAAGCCCGTCCACGAGATGTCAGTCACGAGGCGAAAGCACTCCATTGTTAGGTTTTCTCGTTACCTCGGGGAAGGCAATTCTTCACGAAGAAGCAATCATTTAGACACAAGGCGGGATGCCGCTGTCCTAAAGTAGGGAACCATAAAGACTCAAGAGTCGATCATGCTGTGCCTTGATTGATCTCCCGATGGTTGAAAGGGGCGACTCGATCTATCGAGAGTCGACAGCGGGCGTTGTGTCCGAAGAGCATGCTCTAATCGTGCTATTGGTAGCCACAAGTGGCTTCGCCAACCGTTCCTGGCTTAATCATTTTGCTACGGTAGCTTGCGCTGTGTGGAATCGACCGGCTGCCCGCTAGCCGAGCCTTTGTAGTGACGGAGAGACCAGACGTATGTACCTTCGAAATCTGTACCCTTGCCGGAATATGTCTAGTAAGCGGTTTTCCGTGATGTTGCCCATCTGTTTGTGTGGCACATGGTATGGTAATTGCGTAATGGAAGCGATTTCTGCAGAAGTCACGGGCGACTGGGTGTTGGCAACCAAGTTCTCGGGTTCGGGCTCGCCACGACTTCTTTGATGGACTTCCATGACTGGAATGATGTGCAGTAGACCAAGGGGATTGTCTCAGCCTAGTCAGTCAAGCCACACAAGCTAGGAGCGGGCTGAGCACGCCGCCTCTTCTATGGGTCTTTCTATGAGGGTCTAGATCTTGACTAAGATGGATCACTCTCAGTATCAGCCTGCGGCAGTTGTTCAGACATTTGATCAGCGTTGGTTTTTCCATATTAGCTGCGCCTATCACAAGATGGACATTCGAATGTTTACAGTGATAATCAGAACAACGTTTGGATCATGCATGATCAGGGAATGGGAATGACGAATAAGATTCTTGTTGCTTGTTGCTTCGAGTCTATTATCTCAAATATCTAGATCATTTAGATGCTCTACTCACTCATGCATCATCAACACTGCTCAATGGTATTACTTATTTCACCCTCGCCAGGGCCGCAGAAGAGATCGCCGCATGAATTTCGCCTTCCGCACCGTCCTCCAGAGGAAGCAAAGGCGATCTAACGGTCGCATGCTCCAAAATGCCCCGCGCAACGAGCGCGTGCTTCAACGCCACGGTGCCCTCCATGTGCGACCCCCTGTGGTAGACCGCCTTGGTCACGGGAAGGAGCCTGTCGTGAATCTCGCGCGCCTTGGGATAATCCTTCGCCTTGCCGGCCTTGATCATCTCGATGAGCTGCTCGGGCGCAATGTTTCCGTACCCGACGAGCATGCCATCGACATCGAAAACGGTGTGCAGCAAGTACTCGTCGTGGCACGTGAGGACCTGCAGGTCGGGCCTCTCCCTGCGGATGACGGGGATCTCGGTGTCCCAGCGCCTCATGTTCCGCACGCCGTTCTTCATCGCGAACACGCCCGGCTGCGCCGAGATGTCGAGCAGCGTCTGCAGGTTGTACGTCGCCTTGGTGGCGTCCGGGTACTGGAAGAGGATCAGGGGCAGGCCGCTGACCTCGTAGACGACCTTGTACCGGTCCTGCGGCGCGCCAGGCTGGTAGCCGAAGCGGAGCCAGCCGTGGGAGGGGTACAGCAGGCCGGCAGCGGCGCCGGCCTCGCGGGCGCGCTTGGCCTCCAGGGCGGCGACCTCGGTGCCCTCGCCCGTGATGCCCGCGATGATGGGGATGCGGTTGGAGACGGACTTGACGAAGGCCTTGATGACGGCGACCTGCTCGTCTTGCGTGAGGAAGGTGCCCTCGCCCGCGTGGCCGAGAACGACGAGGCCTTTCACGCCGGGGATGCTGCCGAGCCAGGACCCGAGGCGCTGGATGGCGTCGTAGTCGACTTTGCCGTCCTTGGTGAAGGGGGTGATGGGCGCGGGGGTGAGGCCGCGCAGGTCGAGGCTGACTGATTGAGAACCCATTTTGAAGGATTTGAGAGAAAGAGGAGGGTGTGGAAAGAAGTCGAAAGGTTCTCTGAGGTTTTGCTGCGAGTTTGACTGTCTTGCTGTGAAGACTGGACTCGAACAAGTCGCATCAGGACCTGATTTATATGATCATGATGTCCCTCATGCCGACGACCTCGCGTTTAACAAAGAGCCGAAGTCGCGTTTCGTGATAGCGAAGCACCTCCACGAGTTTCATTTAGGAGAATATCGTCAGGAGATCCTGATCAGACATAGTTGATTATCCCCCGCAACCCCGCGTCTCCGGAGTGAGATTCTCTTTTTCCGGGCTAGTCCGGGCTGTGAAGTCCGAGTTTTCGGAATCACGACTCATGGCCTGGAAATGCCAGCGCCACCAATCTTACCAACCAATAGAGGTAAAGAAACTAGAAATTAACAACAGCAATTACGTACCGATCGAATGGTACAAAATGTGGCCCCATTTCACCGCAACGTTTGTGCCATCATTGCTGCACCCCAGAAGCTTGTTGTAATAATGCCTCCTATAGAACTTACGCGAAGTGGATGACAGCTAAAGACTTTAGGGAGCTGAGGGGGATGCTTCTTCAGCCGACTCATCCGTAAACTCGGATGTCGTTCACATCCTTGAGGTTTCCGAATGTATGCGTAGTCCGGTATTCCGGACTGGATCAAACTATGTTATTCCGCGCCAAAGAGACTATGAGAAAAAAAGCGTTTCCGGTTTTCTGCCCGGAGGACCCCAGCGCCAAGGACAGCACCCCAGATTCCTCTCGTTTGGCCCCCGCAACTCCAGACTCTCCCAGGATATGGTAGACTGTCCATGCCCCTTTCCCCAGACAACTCTCCCCAGGTGGCTGGTTAGTCGTTTTCTTTTACCTTGTTCAACTATAAGAAAGGCAGGTTTTCTGTATCCAAGATTTGCCTATTGTTACACGCCAGGCTGGTTCTCGGACAGTTTCTTCATCAAATCCCGCAAACATTTAGTTACTTCCAACCAGTGTCAACATGGCGGTGACGCGAGGATCGTCTGACCGTTCCGACGTAGAACAGGTGCCTCACGAAAAGGACTCAGTCGCCCACAATGAATTTCAGCGAAACGGAGCCCTGAATACCGAAGATAGAGATTTTCTGGCAAACTTCCCCGACGATCGGAAGAAGAAGGCCATCCGGAAAATCGATGTAAGCCTTCAACCAGTCAACCTCGAAAAAGCAGCTCTATCATTCTTCTTTGTCAACATGGAGCTATAATGGCTGATTTTCACGCGCTGCTACTAGTTCCGATTGATGCCGATGCTCGTTCTCCTGTATCTCATGGCATACCTCGACAAGACCAACATCGGCAACGCCAAGATAGAAGGCCTCCTGGACAGCCTTCACATGACGGGGGTAGACTACAACATCGCCCTCTCGGTCTTCTTTATCCCGTTCGTTCTAGCAGAAGTTCCGAGCAACATGATACTCCACATGTTCAAGAAACCGTCCATCTACATTGGAGGTATCGTTACTTGTTGGGGTGTCGTCATGACTTGTAACGGAGTCGTCCACAACTTTGGAGGTCTGGTCGCCGTCAGAATCTTTCTGGGCCTGTTCGAGTAGGTTGAATCATCAGGTGGATGGATGTAATCCAGCTAACGTCTGTGTCTAGAGCAGGTTTTCTTCCGGGTGCGATTTTGATCATCTCCAAATGGTACCTCCCAAACGAAACGCAAACCCGGGTTGCTATTCTATATACGTCTGCCGCCTCTGGAGGAGGCTTCTCAGGTCTCCTTGCTTTCGCAATCGCCAAGATGGACGGCGTCGGTGGCTACGAGGGTTGGAGATGGGTAAGTCTTCACTATACACGAAGTCTCAACCGTGCCTGACATACCGAAGATCTTCATAATCGAAGGCCTGGCTACCGTATGCATCGGAATCACCTGCTTCTTCTGCCTGGTCGACTCGCCCAGCTTATCCAAGTGGCTCGACCCCGACGAAGTCCGCTTCCTAGAGCTGCGTCAGCAGGCCAGGCGCGTCGTGCAGCCCAACGAGTTCCGGGACAAGCACTTTGACAAGGAATCCTTCATCTCCGTCCTGACCGACTGGAAGATCTATCTCCTGATCCTCGCCAACTGGTCGAACGCGGTGCCGAACTACGCCATGAAGTTCACCATGCCCCAGATCATCAAGAACATGGGCTACACCTCGGCCAACGCGCAGTTGTTGACGATCCCGCCGTACGCCGTCGGTGCCGTGTCCGCTTACCTGTTCTCCGTCTTCGCGGACCGGTATGCGTGGCGGATGCCGTTTATCGTTGGGCCACAGCTGTTACTTGTTGTTGCTTTCAGTATTCTCTTCACCAAGAGCGATGATATCAAGGATAACATCGCGCTTAATTACTTTGCGGTTTGCTTGGCTTGCTTCGGGTGAGTTTTCTCTGAGTGATATCGATACTTCAAGACTAACTGGGACTTTAGCATGTACCCCATTCTGCCCGGAGTCAACGCGTGGAACGTCGCCAACACGCCCAGCCCGACGAAGCGGGCCATCAGCATTGGCTTTCTTGTTTGCGTTGGAAACATTGGAGGGCTGATTGGTAGCTACATCTACCTGGACAAAGAGGCGCCGAGGTACCCAACTGGTTTCGGGACTTCGTTTGGTTTCGCCTCGGCCGGGATCATTGCGGTTGTTGTTCTTGAGATTTTGTTGCATCGACGCAACAAGAAGAAGGAGTTGCTGAACGAGGACGAAGTGAGGCAGAGATATTCGGACGAGGAACTTGATCGTATGGGAGAGAAAAGCCCGCTGTTCAAGTATGCTCTTTGAGAAGACGTCTTGGCAATGTCATGATACTATTTATGTGGGAAGTCGCAGTGATAGTTATGCAAGTTGAGTTCCTGTTCTCGATAACATAATTGTCTACAAACGAGGTCCCTTAAGAGTGATCCTAGAGTAAAACGTCTCGCACTTTCGAGAACTTGGAGTCCCACAAGAGTAATGCTAGCCTCCAAATCGGCTTCTCAAGCTAGCCGGAGCCCTCCATCGCCAGCATCCACCTCGGTGGAGCAACAATCCATCACAACGGCCGGTTGGCCCAATGGCAAGGCGTCTGACTACGATTAATCGTGCAATCAGGAGATTCTGGGTTCGACCCCCAGGCTGGTCAAGTGAATATCTTTTTGGTCATTGCTCATTGACGTTAATGAAAGAAATTCTTTTTGGACCTCTTTTGGATTGTGGGAAATAATCGTGGATCTCGTATATTTCCTATTGCATTTGCTTAACGGTAGTTGGTAGACACTAATGACTGTGACCAGTGTCTATTGCAAGTCCTTGAAGAAGTGGGCGAAAGACTCAAACTGCATGAAGGGCTTGACCTTGGGACCATTCATCGGCTCCATTCCCTTGTCGCCCTTCTTCAACGCCTCGCGGTAGGCAGGTCGCTCAGCAACATCCTTCAGGTACCTGAGGACGTTCTTGTGCTGCGTCAGGTCCAGGACCGGATAGAACCCTCTCATGGTCGTTAGGCTGAAGACGGTCATGATGTCGGCGGCACTCAAGTTGTCTCCCGCCAACCACTTGTTGCTCGCCAACCGGTCGTCAAGCATCTTCAGATGGCTGTGGATCTTCTCGTCCATGCGCTTGCCAAAGGGGCTGTCGTTGGCGCCGGCGAACAGAAGAGACATGGCACGGCCGATGGCCGGCTGGAGCGTCCCGTTCGCGAAGTGGAACCATTCGAGGTAGGCGGCAAAGTCTCTGTCGTCGGGCGATCGGCGCAGTCTGGGGGCTCCGGAGCCGATCTTGGGCTGGCCGTGCACAAGCAGAATGTACTCGACAATGGCGCCCGACTCGGAAATCTCGACTGGCGGTGAGACAGTGGTGTCGCGGAAGTAGGGCGCGGTGCCGGCGGGGTTCTGCATGGGTCAGTCGATGCCACGCTGTCACGGCTCGAGTATCGACCCGAGGTTGCTCACAATTTCCTTCAGATCTTGCGGGGCGAGGCCCGTCTTGGGATCTCTCTCGAAGACGTGCAACTTGTAAGGGACTTGCAGCTCCTATGCGGGGTTAGCTGGAGTTCCAGAAGCTCGGTTTCCTCCCGGAACTTGCCTCGAGTAGCCAGACGATTCTCTCGGACTGGGAGAGGTGCAAGTGGAAGACTTCGAGAGACATGATTGCTGAGTCTTGTATGATGCTATGAAAATTGATTGTGTTGAGAAGTGCACTATTGGACGAGTCAAAGGCACGTCATGGGGCTCGTCGTCCGATTTATATATCTACTTGACAGGTCGGAGAATTTCGAGACTGGACCGTGCCAAATGTCGCCATGTTGACGTCAGGACCCAGGAACAGAGTTTCCGAGGGTGGCAGAACAGAAGATCCAGCTGCCACACTCAGAAGCACAAAAAAGACGACGGGCTCTAGAGCGGACCAAAAATCTGGAGAGACGGTGCAACTCTGTGAGCCGCCGTCCGTGTCTGGAGGGGCGAGCGGACAGGGACCGGGCTCGGGTGAGACGGAGGAGAGCGGGTACTAAGGCCCACTGGGCCGGATTTAGGAGGGATGGTCCGTCCGCTCGATCGTCCGATGGCCTGATCTCTTATCCGTGAGCCTAGGGCGTTTTGGCGTTTTGACAAGAGATCTGACAGGATTGCGACAACAGTCATTGCAGAATTAATTTCCGCGTTGATCTGCGGGGTGTCCATGCCACCGCCGTTCGTGCTTGTCGATGGCAGCTTTGGGGGACTTTTTCAGCTGGCCGTTTGTGAAATGATGTGCAGCAGGGATTAGAGCTCGGTAGTTGGATATTTGTCATTTCAGCTGAGTGAAAGTGAGGGAGGGGTTCGGAGACCCGATTTACACTAATTAGTACAATATCGAATCCGGGGCTGGCACGAGACTTATGGGCAAATTATGCCACTTTACACACAAACATGAATAATTATGGACAACTCTGTATGTTGGGATTTATTCATGTCCTCGGAAGGCAAGTTCCTTTCAAACCCCGAGAAACGCTCAAACGCCTGGATACCGACACGACGGCACTTTGTTTGCCATCTCTGAGGTCCAGCCCAAGGCCCAAACGTGTCGAGGCGCTTTGCAATCTGCAAGACGAACTTACACAATCAGATGGTAAGCAAAGCCAACACGTGGCTTTCTCGATCGCAGATGGTCGGGAACAAATCCAATTGGGTCAGTAGAGTCTCAAGAACCTGGAGCTAAGACATGTGAAGCGAGGGGGATGTCGGAATACAACTTTGTGCTCGGACTCGTAGGGCCAACTAAGGTTCATCGTTCACAGCAACAAAAAAGACAGAGTCCCCCGCATCGACCCGAGAGTTGCGTCCTGCCGAACAATATCAGAGCTACATTAGCCAGATCGCCCGCGTTTGGCTTACCTGGAAGTTTGTTTGGGCAGGGCTGATGAATTGTAGTTTAAACTGTGTACCCGATGGTAAAAAGTAGCTTCCCCCCTCCCTCTGACTGAAAATACTTTGTTTTCTCATGTCTCGGCATCTTTGTTGTCACGATATCCCAGCCATTTTCCGGCGGAATCTGGCTTATCTAATCGATAACGCTCGAAGCCACTCTTATCGGTGGCTGATATCAGTGGCTACCACATCGTGTTACTGTGGAACCTTTTTCCAACCACCAAGCCTCCCTGGCTTTTGCTTTTCCGAATCCATCTCTGCCGGCTTCACACTCGTGACCCGTACCCGTACTCGTACGACACCGCGTCGCGAAAAAACCACGACCGCTCTTTTGATCCTCCGCCTTCTCGCCCGGCACTCGGCCTCTGCAACTATGAATCGTCTTTAATAAGACCGCATTAATTGGAGAGAGCATTGGGAAGGATCCTCTCAGCCGACCTACACGTCGGCGTGGAGAGAGAGAAAAGCGCGTTGAAAAAAAAGAGACAGACAGAGGAACGAATGAAAGACGCGGTCGTCCCCCGGAGAAAGCGGACTTGACTCGGTGGAGACCGTCCTCATGTCAGCAAACGCGTCGGAGGGTCGGATTTCCATGACCGTCCAGAGTATCATGGCAGACATTCCCGATCCTCCCACGTCCACGTCCACGCCTACAACGACCACACCTGCTGCTGCCATCACTGCTCCTGCCGGCGCACCGTCCGACGATCGCACACGCGCTGCGTCGATCAGCACGGCGCCTACCCCATCGTCCAACGTCTCGCAGCCCTCGCCGTCGAGTGTTTCCCTACCACCAATAGAAGCACCGTCACGGAGAAAACGTCCACTGCCCGGAAGTCGCGCCGATGATGGTCCCTCGCCTACTCAGCCGACCGACCCCTCGCGCAGAAAGCGCCCGCTTCCAGAGGGTCGTCCCGACGATGGCCCGCAGGAGTCCCAAGCCATGGAAGCTTCGAGGAAGAAGCGCTCCCTACCCGAAGGCCGTCCTAGTAGCGGCCCATCGCCCGATCCTTCGGAGTCGTCCCGGAGGACCCTGCCCGAGAGACCCTCCTCGAGGCACTACCTCCGCGAAGAATCCGAGTCTGGCCCGGCGCAGTCTCCGGTCCAGCCCACCGCTACCGCCGCCGCTGCTGCCACTGCCGCCGCCAACCGAAGAAGAAGCCACAAAGTCAGCCGCGCGTGCGACTACTGCAAGGCCAAGAAGTTGAAGTGTTCCGGCACCATCCCCTGCAACGTCTGTACCAAGAAACGTCTCGCTTGCATTTACGATGCGAGCTACCGTCGCGGAAGACCACCGACACCTCCTCCTGCCCCTTCAGCGGGAGTGGAAACCGCAACAACAGAGGCTAGGTTAACTAGAGCCATTCCGCAGGCGCAACCGTAAGTACACGATGGACTTGCGCACGAACAGCATTGGATGTTGACAGAAACCTAGTTCTGCTTCCGCAGCTCCAACCCTTGAATTTGCTGCGCGGCCGTTGACACTCGAGACTTCGCCGCCCGCGCGTTTCGAGGAAAGCGTCCAACCCGTATCAAGGGCATCACCAGAGGTCGACGTTGCGGAGATCGAAGGACAGTATTTCGACACGACGTCCAGCCTGAATTTTCTCCATCGTGCATGGAAGCGACTGTCGTCCCAGCGCCTCGTCGGCGGCGTTGTCCCCCACGTAGCCAGCGTCAACGAGTTGAACCAAAGTATGACCAGGGCGGGCGACAAACCCTTCGCGTCGGCCACACACGAGAGTCACCCTCTTCCAGGGCGTGCCGCTGGACTGGAAATGATGCACTTCTACTTCGACGTCTGCGTGGTGACCTACCGCTGTCTGCATCAGGGCTACGTGGTCGAGTGGTTCAACACGCTACTGACGAACGCTCTAGACAACGAGCCGTTACATCGTGAGATAGGTCACGCGAAAGCCTCGATCGTTCTGACGATCCTCGCCATCGTGACGTTGCGAAAAATTAAAGTCAATGGTACAGCGCCTTCCCCGGACGAGGCCTCCGAATTACGACGTAGCGATTCCTACTTCTGCCGAGCTACGGGCTTAACAGACCAAGAGACGGGTCTTCCCAAACTAGAATCAGCACAGGCCCGGTTACTGCAAGTTTTGTACCTCCTTCAGACGTCACGGATGAACCAAGCTTGGTACGTGTTCGGCAGCATTCTGCCCATCGTTTCGGCGCTGGGCTTGCATCGGAAGTCGAGCCGCAAGAGGGCCAACAACGGCCAGGGGCCGCAGTTCGATTACATTGTTTCGCAGTGCAGAAAGAGAACCTTTTGGGTAGCCTACACCATCGACAAGTACCTTTCCGTAGTCTTCGGCCGCCCAAGGATGTACCACGACGAAGACATCGACCAGGACTTCCCTGATTGCGTTAACGATGAGGACATGACTCCTCAGGGTAGATCGAGCGACGAGCCCGAGATGGACTGCCATGTCGAGTCTCTAATCTTCCACGCTAAACTCGCCCAACTTATCGACGGCATTTCTCGCGAGGTGTACTCGATCAAACACGTACCAAAAGACGAGCGACTCCTTGCGGCCCATCGTTACGGCCGCGCTCTACATGCGTGGCGAGAGTCCCTTCCCCATCATCTCGGCACTGTCCGACCGATGTCGTTGATCCCGTCTTTCCGACGACAAAACACTGCCTTGAAGTTGGCATACTGTCACGCGATCATGCACGCGAACCGACCCTTCCTACTTGGCACTTCGACTTCACGACGCGAAACCCAAGCGACAGCGCTAGACGACAGCGTGGAAGAGTGCATCAACGCCGCCAGAACCGCGCTGGAAACAGTCGACGGCATGGCTAGCGATGGAACACTGTTCCATGCTTTCTGGTGGACGCCGTATGTCACTTTTTGCGCTTTGGCAGTCGTTTACGTGTGGAAGATTCAACGGGGAGAAGACGATGGCGACAAAAGTCTCTTTGAGCTTGCAGACAGGTGCCAGAATCATCTGGCAAGAGCTACGACATCCGACAGTCCTAGCCGGCGATACAGCGTTATCCTCGAGGAGTTGCGGGAAGAGGCCAAGGGTCCAGAAGCGAGGAGAAGACTTGCAGAACAAGGCGCAGCATCAGAGCAGCTGGAGAGCGGACGAGCGATGGATCCGATGCAAGTAGACGAGCCGTCGGCGAGTGGAGTTGCGCCGTCCACCGAGATCAGCGACGTCTTCCAAGCCCAAGGCTTCGAAGGGATGACGAACTTGTTGGCGGGATGGGAGACTACGGACTGGCTAGATTTAGACTCCTCGGTATATCGCTACCTCCAAACATTTTAAATCCCACAAGCTGATGAGTCGGCAGGCCTTTGCCACATTTTCGAACCTCGAAGGTGCTCCCGTGTTCTGGATGCCGCCGGCATCTTGAACCCCGATACCCTTACGTGAACGATCGCCTTAATATTCGGATGCTGCGGAAAAATTGGAAATGTCGCTGGTCAACTGTATCGGTAAAGACCAAATCGGTCGAAGGGATACAAAGATGAGAAAGAGACCCGGACTGTCGCCATCGCCATAAACCACGGAGAAATGATGCTTGCACTGCAGCTATCCCCCCTTATCCAAATTGCTGTCATACGAATGGATGGCTGGGATTGGGGGAATTATACAAAGTCAAAGCACTTTTGAACCTGGAAAGCTTCGTCTTTATTCCCGGCATTTTCCCCCCTCAGCTCCCGCTCGCGACCTGGGATCCCGGTTCAAAACGCCAAGGACGGGATGCCTCGCGTCGCTGGCAAATTGGCACAGCCAAAACGTCCAACCAGATCGGCAATGCTCAACCACAAACATGCAAGGCAGCTCCCGGCGGCATCTTGCCAAAGCCCCTGCAGCCACGCTAGAGCAGCGGTTCTCGGCAACTAAGGTTGAGACCTTGCCGGGTTCTGTCCTCGGAGGCATCCGCAAATGCCGAAGAAGCTTTTTTGAGGAATGCGAGTTCCAGATGAACCAGTTCCTGCGTCTTTCTTTCCCTCTTCGGACGAAATTTGGCTAGTCTCACCGGCTAAATTCGCGATGCGCGCGACTCGACTTTGGGGTTCCTTGGTTGCCCCCCCTTTCGACACGACCCTGGATGTGGGGTAACGAGATGATCGGGTTTTACACAAACAAGTGAGAACCCCTGGTGTCGTCAAAAAGAGGCAGGAAAGCAAGTCTACAAAAGTCGCGTGGTGCGGCACCTTCAGATGTCTTGAGAGCTTCATCTCTTTACCCCTTCGGGATCATAGACATCCATAGAGCTAGGCCAAGTCCACCTTGACAAATCGGAACGATCAGCATCTTGTCGGTCACTATCGGAAACAGCCGTGATCATGAAGTTCAGCAGCATCCTCTCCGTCTTTGGCCTGGCCGCCGCCGCCAGCGCTGCTTCCCTGCAGCAGGTCACCAACTTCGGTTCCAACCCCAGCGGCGTCAAGATGTACATCTATGTCCCGGACAAGGTCGCCACGAATCCTGCTATCGTCGTAGCCATTCACTACTGCACGGGTACGGCTCAGGGTTACTACAACAACAGCCCCTACAAGACCCTCGCGGATTCAAAGGGCTTCATCGTCATCTACCCCGAGTCGCCGTACTCTGGAACTTGCTGGGATGTCTCGTCCAAGGCAACCCTCACCCACGACGGCGGAGCCAACAGCAACTCCATCGCCAACATGGTCAAGTACACTCTGGATAAGTACAACGGCAATAAGTCCAAGGTCTTCGTCACGGGCTCTTCCTCCGGCGCCATGATGACCGTACGTCCCAACTCTTCTTCCATCAGACCCAGATCGCGAACTAACACGCGCGCAGAACGTCCTCGCCGCCACCTACCCCGACGTCTTCGCCGCCGGCATCGTCTACAACGGCGTCCCGGCCGGCTGCTTCTACACCGGCACCGTCAACGGCTGGAACAGCACCTGCTCCCAGGGCCAGTCGACCGCCACCCCGCAGCGCTGGGCCCAGTGGGTCGCCGACGCCTACCCGGGGTACGCCGGGTCCCGCCCCCGCATGCAGATCTACCACGGCAGCGTCGACACCACCCTCAACGCGAACAACTACCAGGAGACCATCAAGCAGTGGTCTGGCGTCTTCGGCTACAACCCCGACAAGCCCGCCTCGTCGTCGCCGAACACGCCCGTCGCCAACTATCGCACCGACGTCTTTGGCGATCACCTCACCGGCGTCTGGGCTGTCGGTGTCGGTCACACCGTACCCATTCGGGGCGACGATGACATGAAGTTCTTTGGACTTTGATATGTTGAGGGGGATTAGCTTGGCTCTTCTTGGACATATTTCAATAGTGTATATAAAATGATAAAAGCACATTTACGACAAATCTAGTACCAATGCTAGGATGATCAAGCCGGTAACTGTTGTAAATGACCCTGCTGGTAACTCATAATCAACGTCCAATTAGCTAAGGACACAAAACCGTTGAAAATGGGCATGTTTAATGGGATATTCGAAGGACACACGGTAGTGCTTAATAAACATACCGCCTCACGACAATACTAACAATGACTCATGGGCATGACAGTTTTATTGGGTCATGGCAACATCAGCTCTGGCTGTTGCGGCTTGACTGCTTGTCCTATCTTGTCACTCAGGTGTCTCAGTATGACAGGGTGAGGGTGAGATGCGAGGGCGTTTCTGTGTCTTAATAACCTGGAAGACATAGCCACGACAGGCAGGTAGCAGGCTGATCTTGGAGATCCCGAAAGCAGAGTGGTATATTGACCATGACACTCGGAATACGACTCGTTTGTCCCGAATTGCCCCATTCAAACACATATTACAACTACTAATTGCTAGTCCTACATGTTTGCCCTACTCTGTTGAGCCTGGGCCGACTGATGTGTAAATTGGACACCCAACTCTTCATGCCGATGCGTTATCATCCATTCGCTCGCAAATGACACGGCTTCGCCTAGCGAAAACAACTTGCAATTCGCAGAGCCCACCAGACCTCTTCTTACGTTCCCGGTCTCTTCAAACCTTTTACCGATAAGTTGGAAACTTTCGTCGTTGAGGGAAGTGTCCTTCACAGTCACCCACTGTCGAGATCCTTCCATCATTGCAGAAAACGAGATGTTCTCCGCTCGTGGGCAGCTGCGGTACTCGGCCAGATGAAAACACGTGCAGGTGTCGAATTCCGTCCCGAGCATTAACACGCGAGCTCCCACTTCTTCCAGCCTTGCGAGAGGGCTGTGCTCTCCTAGACGACAGTCCATGGAATGCCCAGCCGTGATGACTTCCGCCAACGGACCAACTGCAGAAAACGAGGTCTGCGGATGTGCGCTTCGAAAAGCCCCGGGCCATGTTCGCAGAGTCTCCGCGATCACGCCCATGGCCCTGGTCCGCGTGATGCGCGGGTCATAAGCCGGCATCGTGTCCCGTATCGTTTGCCACAGGTATCTAGGCGCCCTCGGGGACCTCCACTCCGACGGGTCAGAGTTGTCCCCGGTATGCGTGGGAACTACGAGAGTCCCATTGTCTCCCAGAACGTCGAGTAAAGCGGCGATGACCGTTTCAGCGCCGCCGTTCACCCAGCCAAGACGGCTGAGCGACGAGTGAAGTAGGATTGTGTCGCCTTCCGCCAATCCGAGACTTCGAAAATCCGAGACGAGAGACTCTTTGGTGCACAACGGTTTGCGGATGAGTTCTGCGAGCATCGCTTCACAGAATGGGTTAAGGGTCGATGAAGGTGAGAGGAGACAGGAAGCGCGGATCAGACCATTTTCATGTGCGGGGAAGTTGCGCAAGAACCAACGAACGTGTAGTTCGTGTAACAGAACCTGCAGGTTGCAGAGTAAACCGGCGTCTTAATACATGTTGGATGAGTCATCAACTAGCACAGAGAAAATATCCCATACTCTTCAACTTGGAAGCTATCGTGACGTGGCTCATTCCGATAGCGCTCATGTGATTCCATTAGCGCACATTGGAAGGATTGATTAACGCGTTGCATGTCCATTCGAACTGGAAAGTAGCTACCACATTCGCCATCAAAGTATGTTAAATTTTGAGTATCTCCGGCCGAAATTAAAACTAATTTCCTCGAGAGTGTTTTTGTCTCTTCGTGCACGACGTACCTGATCAGTCCGTCAAGTCTAAAATCTCTGATAATTCCTTTTTGTTTCTGTCGCCAGGGAGCCAAGGAAAGCTCACAAACGCAAGCAGGCCACAATCGAGGGTTATCTGGATATGGCCAAATCTAAAATAAGAAGCACAAGGCGGAGGGATGCGTGGCTGCGGGGTATTGTTGATGGGCGCAATCATGACATGGGGAGCGAGGAGGCTCCACGGATATTCTGCAACCCCCTCATACTAAGAACATCATACTGTAATTAGGTGTCTACAAGCGGGGACATATGCATGTGTTGGTCGGCAATTCGAAAATCATGAGCAGGAGTTGGTTTATCGCGTAGTACAAGCAATGAATTTAGGGAATCGTTTCCCGAGGTGGTTGCATCATCGTTGCCACCACACTCTTCGTTGAATAAAGTATCGCAGTAGCTTGAATAAATAAGATGAAAGGGCTGCTTGCTTCCGAACTGTCCGTTTCCTACTGCAATCACAAGTAACTAACTGATCCTCGCGTTCATCGTTCATCATTCATCATCATGGAGTTCAATTTTCCTGCTTTCGACGATCTTCCCTCAGTACCAGGAGCGCCTCAAGGATGTATTTGGGGTTTCTACGATAAGAATGGCACGAAAGACGAGATTGGCTGTGAGTGAATGAAACCCGATAATTTTTCATTGAGCATGTGCTAAGCCAACCCTCGTAGCCTTGAATCTTCTTACGCCGAGGGTCGTTAGAGAGGCAAGTTCTGAGATACAGACCGGCCGCCGAGTCCAGCTCGACTGGCCTCTGGACTCTCTGCAGTCGCCTGGCTTTTGCCGCAAGAAAATGGAGCACAAGGTGTTGGACTCCACAGAGAACCCGAAGCTCAAAGTGTTCATCCTGGACGATGAGATCAACATCAACACCCAGAGCAGCTCGCAATGGGACAGCCTCAAGCACGTGAGTTGTTTCCGACATCATAAATCATCATCGCGAATGCTCATACAGTTCGCAGTACGCGCATCAAGAGAGCCAGGTATTCTACGGCGGTCTCACATACGAAGAGGCCAAGAAAACGTCTACCAATGGTATACACAATTGGTGCCAGGCAGGCGGCATCGCAGGACGCGGTGTACTTGTTGACATGGTAAGTAAGAATTTTATTAAACGTAATGGGCTACGAATAAAAAATCAGAAGACTGAGACACGTTCTACTGATCACAGGTACGCTACTATGAACGGCGTGACGGCAAAGTCCCTGACGCTTGGTCAGCTTTCCCGATCTCTATTATAGATATCGAGGCTGCGCTGGCTGAGCAAGGTACCAATTTCCGACCTGGAGACATACTCATCATGAGAACCGGATACATCAAGCGGTACAATGAGTCATCAGAAGAAGAGCGTCAGAAACACACCCTATTCGGCGATGGCGCTATCGGTATGGCAGCTACGGAGGAGACGGTGCGTTGGTTATACGACAAGCACTTTGCGGCGATGGCGGGCGATACCGTAGCTTTCGAGGCTTGGCCACCGCAAAAAGGGAATCCCTTTGTTCTTCACGAGTTCGCGCTTGTTTGGTGGGGGACGCCCCTAGGAGAGTTATGGGAGGAAAGCCTTGCTGAGCTTTGTGAGGAACACAAAAGATGGTCATTCTTCCTTACAAGTGCACCTCTGCATTTGACAGGTGGAATAGCGAGCCCACCTGGGGCAATAGCCATCTTCTGAATGTTCTCACGTTGCGATCCTGTCATTTCAAACTTTCCAGAAGGTACGCTGTTGTGAACGGCGCGAAGGTAAGGTGCATAACGCTTGATCAGCTTTCTCAATATCTATGATAGATGTTGAGGCTGCGCTAGCTGAGCAAAATGTAATATTACTATGAGATAAAGGCGTCTCTATTTGGGCACATGTTGCAATTCTGTACTGGCCCGTTTCCTTTTCAAGTGCGCTCTATTTTCCTGGTAACAGTTTATCCAATCGCATATGGTGATACTAGAGACATATAAGCTCTCTCCCCCTGGTGCACAACGTGATGCCCGGCATATCTGTCAAAGGCCGTAATCTTAAGCCTCCGGCTTTCGGCCGTAAACCATATGACTAGGCTTTGGTAAGCTTCGGTGATAAACGCCTAAGCGACTGGGTTGTCACGGGATGAACAAAACCAACTTACTAGTTGAAGTATGGCAATGCGGTCTTGTTTCGCAATTCCTTGCGCATGCCGGCAATAAAGACAAGGAGCTCCTCGTAAGTCCATCCCAGAATCTCACTCAGCGGCCTGAGCGCCCAGCCTTCGAGTCCCTGATCGACATACAGACCTGCGTATTCTCCAATCCTCTTCCAGTGGGGATCTTTGGCCCATGGTCCAACAGGGACCTTCCACTTCTTGTGCACAATGTCGACAAAGCCTGCTCTTCTCATGCAAGTTTCCATAACAATCGGGTTCTGGCCATCATCTTGGGCAACACGAAAAGTCTTCCCAATGATGTCGCCAGCTTTCCAGAATAGCGGGGCCCATTGTTTGAAGACATGGCTGGGATCCTTTTCAATCTCTTCGTTTTGAGAGCGGACTTGGCTGTCGGCCTCGACGCTCTCGAACCAGCCACCTGGCTTTAAATGCCTGAAAGCCTGGTCATAAAGCTTCTGCCAATTATCGATACCGCCAAAGAGGCCACGGGCATGAATGAAGTCGAATTCGTCGAGCCTGAAGGTCCAGTCAAGCTGGGCATCATCAATGAAGAACTGACAGTTTGGCGGGACCCAGCCTGGTTGGATCGGCGATATATCAGTTCCGAAAACCTCAAAATCCTCGTGCTCCTCTGCCACGTCACTTGCAACGGCGGTCATTAGCATCAATCCCAAACACACTGACAAAGGGAGTTGGCAGGTACAAGGCAAACAACATACATGGCCCAGATTCCGGTTCCAGTTCCGACATCTAGAATTTTCTGCAGACCGTTAGTTTAAGAATGTAGCCTCGCTGACCAACAGTTTCCAGCGAGGATGTGTTTTAACAGCAATTCGGGGAGAAATAAGAACGATTTACCAGATTTCTGCCTTGGATCGGAGCGCCAAATAGATGGTTGTCCATAAGCAATAGCATGAAATGATGTCTGTTTCTTACGTTAGCTTAAGCCAAACAAAACGCCAGCGAAGCTCGCCAGATGTTCCGATGATTACTCACGTAACGTCAAAACCCTCGATTTGTTTGTCGTCATTGGGTGCCCTGGATCAGCTATTAGAGTGCCGACTGTCTGATGCGACCGATGGAAAGCTCTTGGCTTTTGAACTCACCAGTAGTCAGTGGTGTTGGAAGTCTGGAAAGTTCTGCCATGAATAGTGCGATACTCTCGAATGCTAGAACTCGGAGAGGCTGTTGATTCATGCAAACTAAGAAAGAAAGTACCATTAGCTTCGGCCTCTGAGTATGACCATGAATTCAGAACGGTCAAGCATTCCTACCTTCCTGTGTCTAAAGATTCATCGTTTGGGTCCTCGGCATGTCCCTGAAACTGAAACGCGGGCTCCTTGCGTGATATTAGCAGATGAGAGCGACACCGGCTTGAATTCGGAGGGGTGTGATAAGCGTGCAGTGCTTACAATCTGAGCCGGCTCGTCAGGCATTGTAGCTATGGGATCCGACCTTGGTGAGGTTTGAATCTGTGCAGGCAGCTGAAAACCGTGGAGCAGTATCTTGAGTAAGGAAACATAAAGGAAAAGACGAGAGAACATGCACAAGGGGAGGGGCAATAAGAAAAGAAAATATCACGCCAAGAGCGAATACGAGGAAAGTGGAATAATAGCAAGAGCTGACCTGGTGAGGGACAATCTAGTACCAATAAAGCAACTCAATCCCGATCACGCATCATTGAGTCTGCAGAGCAAACCCCGCAAAGATCTTAAGTGGGAATGCGTAGTCTTCGCCTGGCATGTTGTCACGCCCGTATAAGCGTATTGGGCATCATTTTGACCCCAGATGCTTGTTTCAGAGAATGCTCATGCCCATATCCAGGCGCCATCTATTCAACTGGAAGCGGGAGTTAAAACATCTTCAGCAATGACCAATTAAAGTGACCTTGGCAACAGTCCTTTCAGAGTGTGACTGATCATGCGATAGACCAGAAGGTGCGGGGGCCTTACGCATAGACGAGACGTTAACATACGTTGCAGGTCTACATTGTTGTGACTGGTGAAGCATATTGGTCGACTACCGAGAAGCAAGTATGCCGCTCGCCGGTCCCCGGACGAATGAAATGCGAGTACATATGTAAAAAGTCCAACGTCAACAAGGGTCGGCACGAGTTTCCCGTCTGCAAAGCTGCGAGGTTCGTAAGTTTCGTGAGATGGTAGAATAGATAGATTGTGGGTCACATCGTCATTCATTGGTCTTCATCCTATTATTGGTGCCCGGTGAATGATATGATGACCCCGGCCCATTTGATTTTACCTGCCTTCTTCAAGCTGTCATTCTTCATGTTATCACCAGCACCAACCATAGAAATTCAACAAACTCGTTACCTCAATTGTAGCGGGCAGCCAACTGCTGCCCAGCTTCTTATTAAGGACGGTTCGTTTCAATTCAAGAGCCTGTCACATCAATGATTTTAAGCAGGGGCTCATCCGGCCCCCAATCTTGGTTGTTGAAAATGATAGAGACCCTTAACTTAATTGGACCCATCTCCGCTGTGTTGGACGCCATTCATCCGTATCGATGCAAATGCCCGGGATTGTCGCTCGCCTCGGTCTTAATATGCCCCCAATTGCCTAATTCTTACGGCGATCAGCTCCTTCAGGATACCGCAAAGCCGTCGCGGATGGGTTTCTAACACGACACGCTGTGTCCGGGATGTTGCACTCTGCAAGTGAACTACAGCTTTATATGTACTCTCAATCGATTGTGTTCAATGCCGAGATGGTGCATCACCCACTGGTGTCGCCTTCTTATAGCTGCAGGTCATGCCATGAATCATGGCAGTAAAGAAGCAGGAGAAGAGTATCCTGGACAAACAAGCCTGTAGAAAACAGTAAATAACGTTGATGATTTGTGATAAATGAAATTGATCAGGTTGTCGTGGCACACGTCTATCGCTACTCTATATATGGGTTAAACCCATTCAAATTACTTTCTGTTGCTCAAGAAACTCTGGACTGAAAGGATAATCCACATAACCAGCCGCTGACTTCGGCACATAGAAAGTCTCTCTGTCATAGGCATTCAGTTGAAGCCCATGGTGAACTCTGAACGGCAAGTCGGGCGTTGAAATGAAGTAGCGCCCAAACATGACCATGATTGGCTTGTCTGGGTGCTCTTGGTCGACAAGCCGTTGCGCCGACTCAGGCGTAAATCCACCAGCCACCAACAACGGCCCATCCCAAGCACTGTAGGCGAAGGATAGATCATCTGATCGCTCAACATCTGCATTGCCCGCGATTCTTGACTCGACCAAGTGAACATAAGCAAGCCCGAGGGCGTTGAGCTGTCGGATGACGTCCGTAAACTGGACCTTTGGGTCGTCCATTCTCATGCCATTGTATGTGCTCCATGGGCTCAGGCGAATTCCCGTTCGCTCGGGTCCGATGGCATCGCTCACTGCCCGAACAACTTCCAATGCGAAGCGAGAGCGATTCTCTATGCTGCCGCCATACTCGTCTTGGCGATTGTTGCATGTGTCTTGAAGAAACTGGTCGATGAGATATCCGTTGGCTCCATGGAGCTCAACACCGTCGAAGCCAGCCTCAATGGCGTTCTTGGCCGCAGAGACGTAATTTCGAATTCTGGTCTGAATATCATCGGTGCTTAATTGACGCGGCTTGGGCTTGTCGTCTAATGCGATATTCCCCGAGCTGACAATGGGAATGCCTTCCTGTGCCGCGACTTCAGGGTCAACGGTGCGGCCAAGAGACCAGAGTTGGCAAAAGATGTGGCTCCCTCGAGAGTGAACCTCTGTCGTCACCTTCTTCCATGCGTCGATCTGGTCTTGGTTGTAGACCCCTGGAACATTGGCGTAGCCACCATCTTCGGGTGATATGAACGTCCCTTCAGACACGAGCAATGTCCCAGGTATAGAGGCTCTTTGTCCGTAATACTCTCTCATCAAGTCGACAGGGACGTGGTCATCTGATGCCCGAAACCTAGTCAAAGGACATAGCCCAAGGCGGTGCGACAACTTCAGATTCCCGACTTTGATTGGTTCGAAAAGACGGGATGGCATTTTGTTGATATTGCAAGGACAATGATCGGGGTGCAATTGAAAGCGAAATGTGTGCTAAGGCGCTCGGGAGGACACTCATGCTGTACTGTTATTCTTAAGCCAGGCATTGGGGGGTCTAAATATTCGTTCTGCCGAATTGTTCATTTGCGCCGAATCTCTATTTCGGAGGCAGGGAAGAAAGATGATTTATCAGCAGATGCTAGAGTGGCCCGCACCCGGAAACCTCGACCAATGTGAATGTAGTTCAAAATGCTTGTCAGGAAGTCTAGTTTCAACCTCAACTTGCATCCTTACACCCTGACTCATGGTCACCGGGCCCGCCTGGTAGCAGGGCATCTGCCATTTGGATCTCATGCAAAGCAGCTTGAGCTTAGCTACAGATTAGCTTGCAGATTCAATCCTCATCATCATTCAACTTTTAAGTCTTACTGCAATGGTCTAATCCTCATCAGAGGTGCTCTAATTCCAATTTTCGTGCAGACTGCAGCCTGGCAGCCAAACTCGATGATCGCCTGATTCTCGCTAATTAATCGCGTGAGTAGATGGCAGCCATCATCTCTGGGAATTGCTCATGGAATTTCCGCGACACTGTCCAATTCGCGAGTCTGTGGATGTGTTTTTCGAAGATCTTGTTGGGCACAACTTCATGGCCATGTTCAGAAGCAACATCTACTTCGTCATAAGGCCAGTTTACTGTGACACAATGGGAGTATGCCTCGGAAAATAGTGGGAAGGGGTATTTATCGGGGTTCTCAATAAGCATGTCCCTTACCCCGGGCCTGTCAGATGGGATATCATTAGTCCAAATTCCAATCTCAAGGTTTTGTGTAGCATACCAAGGTATGTTATCGATCCAAGCAGAGTGAGGCACTGTGATCTGCGTAGCTGTCGGACGTAACCATCTTGGCAAGAGGAGAAAGTTCTCCATCGTGGGGGATTTCTGCCACTGGGGATTCTTTAGCTCGGATGTTGCCGCCGTGCCATGATTCATGACCTACGCGCATGGTTCGATGCATTAAATACATGAACGAAACCTTCTCTGGTATTTTTACGTGGGGAAATGTCGACAGAACCTCGCTCATGACTCGGCCCAGGGGATGCAGGTCGCCAGAAGTTTCGGGTTTCAGTATTGCCCTGAGAGGTACCTGAGGCGGGCCGATGAGAGTGTGAATAGGGTAGCCTAGAGTTGCCATGGATTTGTGCGAGGCCAGGAAGTGGACGAGGATTTGGTCCAACGGTTCCAGAGGGGGTAGGTGTCGGGGTAATCTCGCAAAAATGCACGTCGACTCATCGGTTCCGTGAGCCGAATGAGAGACGGGCGTGCTCGGTGTGGATGTCTCGGGCATCGAAGCCGTGGGGTCTCCGCCTCGGAATTGCGTGTCCGGGTCAGGACATGCCTGGCCAGTATTGATATATGTTTCTTTCGTTGCTGTTCGTTCCGACAGGTTACCGATCTCATCCGTTTTTGTCCAATCGACTGTGGTGAGTCGCAGTAGATGAGAGTGACGAGGACTGGGCTGAGTCCAAGATTCCACTGAGTTAGTTTCGACATCTCCTCTTGACGGATGACCGTGGTCATTGTCTTCTAGATTGCCATCCTGATCATGTGTCCAGTGCGGAGAACGACCCGAAGGTGAGTCGTTCAGATGCGCCGTGCCAGCGGGACTAGCTGTACTCCGGGGAATCCAATCAGATCTTGGAAGATTGATGGCTTGGCTTTTGTCCATTCGGGGACCAGTTTCTGGGCCTGGACACGGTGAGTCTTGCAGGTAAAAACTTACAAATCGTGTCTACGTACCGGCCATACCATCTTGGGTTGGTAAGATAGATACAGTTGTTGAGCTGCTCCTCCGGCCTGCCGTACGTTCCAGCTGATCTCTCAGTCGTCGATTCTCCTCCAACAGTGACTGTATGCGTTGGTGGTTCCGATTCTCGCTGAGGGAATGGTCCTCTTTCAGCTGATCAATTGTTTCCTCTAGATCCTTTATCCGATCTTTCGTCCGCTGGCGAAGCGCGCGTTGAGCTCGTCGGTCTGTCTCCCTTTTGTCCTTGATCTGCTGGCTGGTCAAGCTGGAAATTGCGCGCGACTTTCTCTTGCGCACTGAACTCCCGGGCTCTGCGACGGTTATCTCTTCCATTCCGGAGTCGGACGCCATTTTGAATGGCCCCCGGGCAGTTCCCAATGATAAGACCAGCGAAACTTGCAACTGGTCTAGAGAGCTTGAGAGAGGTGGGGAGTGGAAAGAACAGCAAAGTCTGATTTGCGAGCTTGTGCGTATGTAAGCAGGGGTTTTGCATGGAGTGAAGTTGCCCCGCGACCTCTTTCTCACATGACTCTTATGGCAAGGTAGCTTGGCAGCATTGGACATGTATGATTGCTTTACCCATTTCGGTCGTCACTACGTCTAATATTTCTTAATGTTCCAGGTTAGCTTTTTGTTGCATTCTGTTGTTAATTGTTGCTTCAACTTCAATACTGTATGGTGGTCTGTATTCGTGAGATCACACGCAGCTAAGGGGCCCGTACCACGAAAAGCAGATAGGTCTATGTGATATAAGTTCTTGCACTGATGATACGTGTAACGGTATTTAAAATACATTTATCGAGCTTAACATTGTTGTTGTTGGTCCGAGACTGTATGCAGATCTTACAACTGCACGAGTTGACGCCACACCATGGTCATTTCACCCACCTATCGCCAACAAATACACCAATCGAAATCAAGATTTACAATGATGAACTCTTCAGACTGATGTTAATGTCAAATGTTTGAAGATGGAGTAGATGGCTACCGGGCTAGCCATTCACCGCCTCGGTCCCTTCGGAGGCATAAAACAGAGCAGACTTTGAAAGGAAACGGCTTAGTATAGAATCGCAACGTATGCCCAGATAGCGACGCCTTTTATCTTGAACTAGTATTACATTCGCGTTCAGTTTAGTCACCGAAGTGAAACATAGTGCTATTATCGTGAAGAAAAGTCGTGAGAAATGCATGAGAAAACTACCAGAAGCTCCCTTGGAGTCGGCATCAGTTACATTGAACACATATCGCAGACAGAAATTGTCGACTTTGCAGAAACATCTTCCCTGGGGACATTGCTTTCGAGATGATAACTTCAGACAACGGCCATGCGGCTGAACAAGCTTTTGGACCGACCGGTATACTCCAACAATTTCCCGGGTTATTGGAACAGTCCTGACAATGTGGCCTACTCGCACTACCCTTTATGTTTTATGCTTTCTGCTGTTCCGAGAAGCAAACAGCGCCTACTACGTTGATCGTACAGATGACTACGACGCGCTACCGTCTTGCGCCGAGATGCCGGCCAGCTCAATTGTGAGGGACTTGGTATCCGGCTACGGCGATGGTGGGAAAACGACTTCATACAGCTGCGTCTGTACAGCAAGCTCGGACAAGTTTAGAGAGATCATCGCCACGGCCGTTGAAAACCGATGCAACCAGTCCTGCATCGTGGTAGACAGCGCAACGCAGGTTTTTCATGCGTAATGTCAACTGGGTCAGGCAGACGAGGCTGCAGGGGGGTGTTTCCTTGGCGGGACCGAAGTGCCGTTTGCTGATGGAAATAGATCCTGCTGGAACAGCTACAACATCTGAGTTGATCATTGTGGAAGAGGGTGACCCTCAAGTCTCACCAGGCGTTCACGGTGGCATCGATACACACGACAAAACAGAGCTGAACCCCGGGATTCAAAGCTTCTCGCTAGTTCCCCACGGCGTTACTCCCACTTACGAGAAAGCAGAGTTGGAATGCTCGTGTAACGACGACGGCGACCTGTGAGCTTCAATGACCCAAAAGGAGTGTAACTGTATATGTTATCAGAACAAGCAAACATCAACAGGATTGTGCCGTTTCCAGGAGCTTTTGGCCGGTAATGCCCGAAGAAAGCCCGACTGCCGAAAAGCCGTTTCGCGTGATGATGCGAGAAATGACACCATCGTCGAGGCCCCTGTTGACCACGCAGCAGTGAGTGTCGGAGGTCTGCCGACTGACCAACCAGTAACTGGAACATCTCATCAGAGATAACACTTCGGAAATAAAACAGCATTGCCGTTAGTACCGGCATTTTCGCCGGATTCCAGGCCTTGTCTTGATGTTCTGCAAGGAACCTGACCCCTATTTTCCGGTGATGTGCTTCTATATGGCGTTGACGACTTCAATGTTCGCCCCTGCGGAAGTCAAGTACTAATGGCGGTTACGACTGCCTCAGTTACACATTGGTTATTCTCAGTATGAGCCGCCTGGTTTGAGACCACGTCAAAGACGATTTCAGGATATCATGTCGAAAGAAACCGCCCGACGATGGCATCACTGGTTCTCACCAGAGGACTCAGCAGAGGAGAGAAAGCTGATTGTAAAGTTGGATCTCCTGATTGTCCCATATGCCTTCATTCTCTACTGGGTGAAGTACATGGACCAGACCAACATCAGTAAGCCAAGGATCCCCCTTCGCTTTGTAGGACACACAGATCTCACATCTTTCCAGACAATGCATACGTATCCGGCATGTCAGATGAACTCGGCTTCCATGGAAACGAGTTGGTTCAGTTCCAGACCATCTTCGTGGTAGGCAACGTCGTCGGTCTACTGCCTTTCATGTATCTCTTCCCTCGGGTCCCAATGCACATCCTCGTGCCGACGCTGGATCTGGGCTGGGGTCTCTTCACCCTTCTGCAGTACCGCGCCCAGAGCTTCGCCGAAATCATGGCATACCGCTTCATGGTCGCCATATTCGAAGTAAGTCACCTCGCCCGCTTCACAGCACGACATCATCAGACTGACCCTCCAGGCCTCCTACTTCCCGGGGGTCCACTTCGTCCTCGGGTCCTGGTACCGCAGCGACGAGATCGGCCGTCGCGGCGGCGCCTTCTACATCGGCCTGACCCTGGGCTCCCTCACGGCATCTCTGCTCCAAGGCGCCGCGACGACCTATCTCGACGGCGTCCACGGCCTGCCGGGGTGGCGCTGGCTCTTCATCATCAACGCCATCATCACCCTGCCCCTCGCCTTCATCGGCTACTTCGTCTGGCCCGGCACCCCGGCCAAGCCCAACCGGCTGATCATGAAAAATTCGGAGCTGGACCTGGCGCGCGCGCGTCTGGAGAAGGCGGGCAACTCGGTCAGGAGCACGCCGTTCTCGCTCGCGCTGCTGAAGCGCGTCTTCACCAACTGGCGCTTCTACCTGCTCATCGTGTGGGACATCTTCTTCTTCAACACCAGCTCCAACAGCGCCGCCTTCCTGCTGTGGATCAAGAGCCTCGGGAGGTACAGCACGGCCGAGATGAACAACCTGAACGCGCTGAGTCCGGGGCTGGGCATCTTCTTCGTGCTGTTTATCAACTTCAGCGCGGACCTGTGGATCGGGAGGCCGGCGGCCATCACGCTTGCGTCGGCGGTCAACTTCACGGGGCTCGTCATCCTGGCGGTGTGGGATGTGCCGGAGGCGGCGAAGTGGTTCGCGTTCAGCACGTCGTACTCGGCTGTGGCGGTGTCTTCGGTGCTCTACGGGTGGGCGAACGTTATTCTGAGGAATAACATCGAGGAGAGGGCGTTGACTCTGATCTTGATGACGGCCATCGCGACTTCGACGAATGCCTGGATCCCGCTTTTCGTTTATCCGACTGTCGAAGCGCCCAGGTTTCCCAAGGGTTATGTCTATTCTGCCGTCATGGTGGTTTGTCTTGTTATCACGACGCAGATTGTAAGGATACTACTGGGAACACAAGGGTAAGGGTCCATTTCCCAACGAGAAGGAATATTGCTGACAAGAGAACGTACAGAGAGAAACGGCAACGCAAGTCTGATGGATCGTCATTGACTGATGCAGGCACTTCGGAATCTGGCGAAGAAGGAAGCAACGATCAGAAGACAGTGGTGCCGCGTATCACCGCGGTCTGATTAGCTGGAGGCATGGGTCTGTCTTTCAATATTGAGAGATAAGTAGATGTACGGAAGAGCACAGGTTCCAAGCTATGATTGCATATCAAGAAAGTAGGAAATGGTTGACGAAGAGACATAAAACTGACGAAATAGTATGGTCCCCAATTACAAATATTGTGACGTTCACTTTGTGACATTATGTCCTTCAATGTTCATAGGGTCGCTCAAATTCTACAGCTTAGAAACATAGTCTAATAACCCTCCTTCTTGTTGACGACATTCACAAGCCTCTTGCCCTCACTCAACCTCTTCAAATTCAAGTCCAGAATCCCCAAGATCCTCTCCGCATAGCTCGTGGACATGCCGCTAATATGCGGCGTAATCAGCAAATTCTTCGCCTTCCACAACGGGTGTCCCTCGGGCAGGGGCTCCGGGTCCGTGACGTCCAGCGCCGCGCCCCGGATCAAGCCCGTGTCGAGCGCCTCGATCAGGTCGTCCGTGTTGACGACGGGCCCGCGGGCGATGTTGGACACGAAGGTCTTCTTCTCCGCGAGGATCTCGAACTCCGGCCGGGAGAGCAGGTGGCTCGTCTTGTCGGTGAGCGGGGTGGCGACGACGAGCAGGTCGAGGCCGGAGCCGAGGAAGGCGTGCAGGTCGGCCCTGGCGGCGCCGGAGAACCACCGGGCGGGGAACTTGCCCTCCGGGTCGCCGAGCCCCGGGGGCGAGTAGCCGTTGTCGCGCTTGGAGTCGGGCGTCGGGCGCGGGTGCAGGGTGTAGGCGTGGACTTTGAAGCCGAGGGCGGTGGCTACGCGGGCGGTTTGGCGGCCGATGCTGCCGTAGCCGAGGATGCCTCTGGGGAAGGGGTCAGTATTGATTCATTCGGGAGGTTGGGGAGGCTTGCATTGTGCGGCCGACGGCGTCTTCTACCCAGTCGTCACCGCGGGACCATTTTCCTGCGCGGAAGTTGTCGATGTATTTGGGGACTGCGCATTTGTCAGACTCACGATGTGCGATGAGAGGAGGATTGAGTGAGTGAGACCTACGTTGATGTTGGAACGAGAGGAACGTCGCGATAATCCACTCGGAGATCTGAGGCCTGTCTTCACATGAGTGACCATTCCGTCGTTCACCAAGACCGCAAAACTCACCCGTGAACGCCATTAGCCGTCGCGAAAGCCACGTCGGTGTCCTTGAACAGCGGGTGCTTCAGGATGTGATTGGCGCCGGCGCTCTGCAGCTGGACGTACTGCAGCCTGGGCGCGGCCTCCGGGTCCGGCAGGGCGCTCCCCGTGAGCAGGACGGTGACGTCCTTCCACTCGTCGTCGTCGAAGTCGGGCCGGGGCTTCTTCTCGGGGAAGCCGAGCTCGTGGAAGACGACCTTGAGGTCCGGGAACTCGGCGTGCAGGTGGGCGAGGTACGAGGCGTCGGGCTTGAACTGGGAGAGGATCAGGAGCTTGTGGCCCTTGAGGGTCGGGTTCGGCGGGGGGAGGAGCATGATCATTGATTTTTGGGGAGGAAGATAGTATGAGCTTTTGGAGGAGTGGTGGTGGTGAGGTGGTGATGATGATGTGTTGTTGATAAGGTAGCTGTGGTTTTTGATTGATAAGTGAGTGAGTGAGAAGAGTACGTAGGAGCGCTACGGAAATGAGATTGGGGGGTTTCAGTTGGTCGGATCACCAAAATCCAGAGCTTCTCCAATCTACTCCAACCTGCAAGCAAAGTCATGGCATAATCACTCATTCATGTACCTCGATTGGTGGTGTGCGGGGAGCTTCGGTGAGCGCATCTCAGAGCCGGATTGCGCAACAGGGCCAGCGGTCGGAAAGCCGCCGATGCGAAAATGGGTGTGTGTGAGTGTGTGGGTGGGTTCAGTTCAGACGGATGCTTCAATCGTTTCTGTTCCCCGGCTCGTTCATCGCATCCTCTCACTCAGTACGAGTCTCACAGTGACAACGGCCCGGTGTCGGCGCGGGTATTGACTTGACTCCGCCGGAGTTCCCACGCATTTCGCGCCGGTAAGCCCGGCTGCGTTGGTAATAGAACACCTGTCAGACTCTGAGTGAGAGATAGCCGGACCCCTGAGCTGTATGTAGCTGGAGCTTGGGAGGGAAGGGGAGCTTCTTCATGTCGCCATCGTCATGGATGATAAGATATCGATACATGATTGCCATAGGTATGCTGCTACACCTAAGGTGCCCTAGCTACCCCTCCACCCCACATAAGAGTCGCCCAGCTTTCTTTGGCAGCTTTCTCACGACGGCCTCTTCTTATGAGGTTGATGAACGTTTTTCGTTTCTCTTTTGAATGTGTATTCTGACTCGACGTGATGAAACACAAGCCCCGAAGGCGGTGAGGACGGCTTCAAAATGTGTCCAAATAACACAGCTTGAGGGGTACCTGCATGACAGAAGTCTCCACAAGCGACATAGGCGCGCCCTTCGCAACCAACACGCGTGGAGCTTGAGCTGTACGGATAGAAACTCGAATAAATACCCCTCGGTCTTTGCCAATTGAGGCTCTGCAGTCAATCATAGCACATTGACGACATCATCGAAAAGTGTCTGGCCCCAATCAAATACAATGGCACCCTCGAACTGCACAATCCGCCACGCGCGCCGTGAAGGTAAGCGCAATCATGAGCTCTCAAATGACTTTCAATGAGCGCGAGTTATGGAACTGACACCCCGCGCCAGATGTCCCCATCATCCTCTCCCTGATCCGGGAGCTCGCAGAATACGAGAAGGCGCTCGACAGCGTCCAGGCTACCGAGGAGTCCCTCGGAAACACCATCGCCTTCGCACCCTCCGACCAGACGACCTACACCCCGGGAAAGCCGGTGACGGAACCCACAACGCCCAACAGACCCGCGAGATGCCTGCTCCTCTTCAACGAGGCCGGCGAGGGCGTCGGCATGGCCTTGTACTTCTACAACTACAGCACGTGGCGCGCCAAGCCCGGCGTCTACCTGGAGGACCTCTACGTGCGCTCCACGGAGCGCAAGAAGGGGTACGGCAAGCGCCTGTTGGTCGAGCTGGCCAAGGAGGCCGTCGCCATGAACGCGGGCCGCCTCGAGTGGGTGGTGCTGAAGTGGAACGAGCCGAGCATCAAGTTTTACGAGTCCATCGGCGCGAAGGCCATGGACGAGTGGGTGGGCATGCGCGTCGACGGCGACGCCCTGCCCAAGCTGGCCGGTTTGTTGGATTGAGAATAGAGATAGCGCGAGCTACCCGGGTATAATAATAAAGACGAACAGACATGATCCTATTTTGCTCGAGGCAATTGTCCCTTGGCGTCAACCCCCTCGAAGATTAGTTGTTGCGCCGCAGATGGCACGGGCAACACAGCTTCCCGAGTACCCCAGATAAAATTGTTCGGCTTGCCTTTTGCCGCTGCTGCTTGTGGTTGCGCTACATATGACGACGTCTCCCACATCTTCAGAAACTCTCTTCGAAGTTGTCGATCACTGTAGGGACTGCCATGGCGCTCTTTGCTCACCGTCTGCGAGAAAGGGCCGTCGTCCTTTTTACCCGAGAGCCAGGTGAACTTTCGAGACCGCGGTTTCTCTATGTCGCGGACGGGAATGGTGGCATGAGCTGCCCACGGGAAGTTCACTTCGACACGTTCACCGAGAGCAATCGGTCTTCGTGGGGGCATTCCCCACAGGCGGCGAGGCGCATCGCCGGTTGCGATAGACTGCAGCAGGTCCCAGTCGCTCTTGTCCACCGGCGGCATCAGCCTGTCTGCCACGTCCTTCCACCAGCGGCGCGTCAGCTTGGTGACCCTCCGCGCCGGCGTGGGCCTGCCGAACTGGTCCTTGTCGGGCACGTTGGCCTGGGGATTGTATCTGTGGGGGAGTTCTTTGCGAGGCCAGGAAGCGGAGGCGGTGAGGTTTTTCTGGATGTCTTTTTGAGAGTCGAAGAACTTGCTCAGTTTGGCAATGTCCCAGTTGTCTTCGATCGGGCTGAGTTTCTGGTTCACCCAGGGAGTAGGGTCGGTCCTGTCATAGACGCGTTTGTTGGGTGGCAGTTTCAGTAGCTCGGCCTTCTTTCGGCTGTCCTTCTCCATCTGGGCGAGTTTCTCCTCGAGCTGTTGGGAGTTCAAGGGCGCATCGGGCTCCTTCTGGACGAAGGCGGCCATCAGCTCGCGGCGTCGTTTGCCGAGTCTGCCAAAGACATGCCACAGGACGCGGCGGAAGCGGACGAGGTCACCTGCGAGTGCGGTATTGAGGACGGACAGTTTCCGTTTCCCTTCTTCGAGGGCCTTGGTCCGGTGAAAGTTTTCTTCCTCGCGGGCCTCTCTGGATCTGGTGGAGGCGAGGTGTGTCTCTGCCGTCCTGGCTCTTGCTTGCTCTCGGCGGAAGCCCGACTTTACGCGGCCTTCCAGGTATGTTCGACAGACAAGAGGGAAGTATGTGGTGGCTCGGAGGAGGTGGCGGTAGACATGGAGAGGTCGCGCGGGTCTCGGGAGGGGTATTCTCGTCGTCGAGGTGGACTGGGCCGCCTCGAGGTGTTTGTAGACCTGCTGGCGCGGGACGGGCTTCTTCAGAGGTATTCGTACGGTAGGCATCGTGGCAGGTGATGATCGAGGCAGCAATCACATTGTCTTCCTCGAGAGGTGTCTCGCAGTCGGGCAGGGACGCATGTGTCGGTGTCGATGTCGAGCAGGATGCATGCAGGCGGTAAGGTACGGTGCAGAAATTTGGAGATGGACTGCAGCTGTGACGGAGCCTCAGGAGCCGTCCAGTGTGGCCCAAGCTCTGATGTGGGGGAGGTCTTCATCGCCTTCGGAACTTGGAAGAGCAATTGAGATGAATTAAAGTAAGTGAGGTGAGTAAAAATAAACATGGAAATATGAACTGGCTTCCCTAAGTTTTGAATAAAATGACATCTTGACTAGGTGATCTCATCGATAAAGTCTCTCTGAAGATGGTTCTCTCTGTAAACTTACAGTCGATGCTCGATCAGGGTCATATACGAAGCATTACACCCATACCATGACTTACAAATGTCCAAACAATAGAGAGCAAATGCTGTATCTTGTAATTATTTGCATCGTACATACGGAGTACTGCTGGATTATCAAAAAGCTAGTTCTTTCTGGAACTGTTCCTGCCACTACCTCTATTGCTCTCACGGCTGTTGCTTTCATAAGTATTACTCCCACTCTACTACTCTCACGTCCGATGCCAATGCTTTCATAATCATCGTTGTTTCATAAATGGTCAAATATTCGATGGAATGAAAGTCATAAGCCGTCATAACCACACAAACTACCTACCAAGGTACCCAACTACCCTACCTAAGGTCATGATGGATTATGGACGCGATAAGAGGCCTGATAACGTCGGCACGTCGACACGCGTCACCGACGCTCCTGCCCGTGGTGTCCCTTCCATTGTCGCGGTGAGGGGATGCGGTACGTACCCTCAATGATCCACCCTTTACCGAGAGCCGTGATCCGTGCACCTCGCTTACTGGCCAATGGGAAATCAGGAATGCGGTCTCCCCGCCCCTTGCCTTTCCTTCAGTGAGCAAAGCACCCACGGTCCTCTCCATTTCCCATTAAAACACCACTACACGAGAGGCCGGAGCGGACGCGCGCGACACGGTCAGAACACGCCTTCGCCTCGCGAAACAGACACGTCCGACGCACTTTCCACTTCCCACTCTTTAATTGAAATTCCCTTTCGGGTCGGGAGCCTGCACGGCAGTAACTGAGTGGACTCTTTTTTCTCATTTTCGGGCCCCCGGACGACGGCTAGGCGACAGGACTAATTAACGTCAAGACAAGGCGAGGCGAGCGAGAGAGAAAGAAACGAGGGAAAAGAGAGACTTGATATCCACTTGACATTCAAAATCCAATTGCTGCTTCTGCTTTTCGGCTCCCTTACAACGACGCCGTGGTCCAGGCCCTTTTCCTCAGCCAGCCAACCATCCAGCCCTTGACGGCCATCCGAAGCGCCCTACTATCCGTACCTTACTTCCAACTTGCTACATCTTACCTCACTATCAGCTACGTTATACGCCATTTCGACGGCCTTCACTCTTCGACGTCTACCTACTTCGCCTGCACATCCTCCCACCTAAGTCTGACCGGACTGGACTGCGCCGGTCTTTCCCACAAGCGCCGCACAAAGCAGCCAAAGCACCAAACCGCCGCGCAAAGCGACACAACGCAGCCGACGGTCCCATTCACGGCCAGGGAGAAAGGGCGGCTGCACGCATTGCGACTCTCTTGTCAACTACCTTTCCACCACCACTACGGCCGCCGAAGTCCGCCTGCCTCTCTACACCATACATATCTGAGAATCTGCCGCCGCCGATTGATCGAACCAACGTCACCATCTACTTCCGCCTCCCTCACGGATCCCCCCTTCCTCCTCTCGATCGCATTGCCCGCCGTCCGACTCTCGCTTCCAATGCTCTAGCGCCGCCACATGTCTTCAACCACCGTTACGGCTAATCAACCCACCTCGCATTCCCTCCATTCCCACCGCGAAGCCTCCTTCTCTGCCGCGCAACCGCACACTCACCTTGGGAACCCCCCTCCCGCCGCCATGATGCCCTCCGCATCGCAGTCCCAGCCCTCGTCGCAACAGTCCTTCACCATGAGCCAGCAATCTCAAGGCGGCTACCGCGGCTATGCCGACTCCAGACATGCCAATGAGGCTCCCCAAATCTACAGCGTAAGTCGACACATCGCACAGCTCCGGTGCACCTGCGTGCGGTAGTCGCATTGACAATTCATACATCTAGGCCGTCTACTCGGGCGTCGATGTGTACGAAATGGAGGTCAACGGAATCGCCGTCATGCGCCGACGCCAAGATAGCTGGCTCAACGCTACCCAGATCCTCAAAGTTGCCGGCGTCGACAAGGGCAAGCGCACCAAGATCCTCGAGAAAGAAATTCAGACCGGCGAACACGAGAAGGTCCAGGGAGGTTATGGAAAATACCAGGGCACGTGGATCAAGTTCGAAAGAGGTGTCGAGGTTTGCCGACAATACGGCGTGGAGGAACTTCTTCGTCCGCTCCTTACATACGATATGGGACAAGATGGCGGAGTTGCGGGCCAGGGAGACTTCAACACGCCCACCAAGGAACAGGCCATGGCCGCCCAAAGGAAACGCTTGTACGCGGGTAACGAGGCGAGAACCAACGGCATGGCTGGGCTGAACGGCACCTTCTTCAAGAACATCTCGAGCACCGCATCGCACGCTGTCGCTGCTATCAGCAAGGCACGTTTCGATTCTCCAGGTCCCCGGGGCCGCAACGGGCCGACCAAGGCACCCAGCTTCAGCCGCCAGGGTTCCATGCAAAACGGCGATGACTTTCCCGGCAACTCCCAGCAGAGCTACACTTCGGACTACGGCCAGCAGGTCGACTCGGCATACTCAACCCAGGGAACCAGCCAGCAGTTCGGCGATGGCCCAGAACCGCCGCGTAAGCGCCAGCGGGTCACCATGACCCCGGCGGACAGCTTCGGGGGCTACAACAACTCGATGGAGATGTACCAGGGCGCTTTCCCTGGATCCCCCACAGAGCCCAATGAGTCTTTCATCTACTCACAGGCGAACGCGCCTGCGCATGACGGCCACAGTCCTTTGACCCCGCTGCCCTTCGAGATGTCTCCGGACGCCGAGGCAAAGAGAGGCATGTTGATGAGTCTCTTCATGGACTCGGCGGCATCCGACCAGTCCAAACTGGACATGCTCCGAACACTGGCACCCATTGAACTGGACATGCCCATTGACCAGCAAAGTCACACTGCCCTGCATTGGGCGGCAACATTATCACGTATGACGCTTTTACGCGCACTCATTGCTGCGGGTGCCAGCCCATTCCGTGTAAATGGCTCAGGAGAGACCGCCCTTGTAAGGGCATGCCTCGTGACAAATTCCATGGATCTTGGATCGTTCCCCGATCTTCTGGACGTACTAGGAAGCACCATTGAAGTTCGTGATAGTAAGGGACGCACCGTTTTGCACCACATTGCAATGACTAGCGCCGTCAAGGGTAGGAACGCGGCCAGTCGGTATTACCTCGAGAGCCTCTTGGAGTGGGTGGTCAGGCAAGGTAGCGTCCCCAATGGCCAGACTGCTGCGAATGGCAACGCCAGCGCCAATGCGAACGGCAACAGTGCTCCGAGCAGCTCTCAGTCTCAACCGCAATCGCAGCCCAAGATGGGCATTGCGCGCTTCATGACTGAGATTGTCAACGCACAAGACCACGCCGGTGATACGGCATTGAACATCGCGGCAAGGATAGGCAACAGAAGCATAATCTCCCAACTATTGGAAGTTGGAGCGGACCCCAATATTGCCAACCGAGCCGGTCTGAGGCCCGTGGACTTTGGCATTGGCGGCGATGCCACGGATGAGGGCAAGAACAGCCTGCCCAACGGCAACCCTGAACCGAACGCAGACCTTGAGAAGAACGGCGTTGTGAGCAGCCAGCGCACAAAGGAGAGCAGCGATGACATCGTATCATGTGAGTACCCGTCCCAATTGGACCCTTCCCAGTAACCTTTCTGACCGTTGTAGCAATCACACATCTCCTGAACGAGGCAAGCTCCACTTTCCAGAGTGAAGTCAGGACAAAACAAGCCGTCATCGAGTCCCTGCACTCAACACTCCGCACCACCTCCGCACAACTAAGCGAGGCAAGACGAACCTGCGAAGCCATGCAGGCGACGCTGAGGAAACAACAACTGGCCCGCCAGAAGGTCTCGAACCTCAGCCACGCCCGCGAGGAGGAGCAGGTCCGGCTGCTGCAGGAGCAAAAACGCGCCGGGCGCGCCGACGCCCTCTCGTCGTCGTGGGAGACGGAGCTCGGCGCCGCCCTCGAGACGGCCCGCGACGGCGAGGAGGCCGGCCTGCTCCCCTCCGCCGCCGTCCTCAAGGCCAGGCTCAACGCCGTCTCCGCCCGCAGGGACGCCACCCGCAAGATGGCCGCCGCCCTCAAGGGCCGCAGCAAGGACGTCGAGATCAAGTACCGCCGCGTCGTCGCCATCAGCACCGGCGTGCCCGAGGACCAGGTCGACGCCGTCGTCGACGGCCTCGTCCGCGCCGTGGAGAGCGAGAAGGGCGACCTCGAGGTCGACCGCGTCAGGAGGTTCCTCGGCGGCGTCGAGGGCGTGGTGCATTGAACCAAAAAAAAAGAAACTGATGCGTTGGGCGATTAGAAGACTTGTGGGCTGTTTTGTTGCTGTTCATACCCCCGTCGGAGAAGAGAGAGAGGAGCCCCATTTATGAAAGAGAGAAGACAGAGAGCACGGATTGGCGGTTTATTGATATCATTATATATTACCATGGGGAGGAGAGAGAGGCATAAAACGCCTTGCTTTAGGGTTACTTGAAAGATGGCGTCGGCTGGGTTTGTAGCATATTAGTTGCGAGGATGGATATCTGATTTCTGATGTTGATCTTTTGAACAAAGTTCTGTTGAATCTTAACGATGAATGTGAGAATTTCAACCTCGTCGGGTTCTTTTCGTCCCTGCGCGACTAACAATGCCTCGCCCGCCATCCTGAACAATCCCCGCTTTGGAAAGAAATAATCAAAAGCTCCTGTGAAACGCCTTGCAATGCTGCTCTGATTATTTCGACAAGATCGCTTCAACACACACGCGTTGATTATTACGAGGTCCCCCACTCACCGCGCCAGACCGGACGCGTAGAGCCCCTCCCACCGCTGCTCGACGCCGCCGACGAGCTTCTTGGCCTTTTCGATCTCCCTCTCGAGCTCCTCGACGTTGCGCGTGAGCGCGCTGACCTCCTCGAACCGCCTCGCGCCGCGCGCCGAGTCCACCATCTGCTGCACCATGAAGCGCTGCTCCTCCAGCACGACGAGGCGTTCCCTCGCCTCCTTCTCCTCCGTCTCGAGCTGCGACACGGCGGTGCTGGTCTCGCTGGCCTGGCTCGCCGTCTCGAACTCCGCGAGCTCCCCGTTGCGGAGGGGCGAGAGGTGGAGGGACGACGAGGAGCCGTTGGCGCTGCCGGACTGCAGGGCGAGGAGGCGCGACGAGTGCGAGGAGCGGGAGCGCAGGATTTGAGGGACGGATTTGAGGGTGAGCATGTGGGTGTGGAGGAAGGTGGATGCCGCCTGGTAGACGTTCTGCTGTAGAACTTTTTGTTGCTTTGACGTCGTCTTCATGTCGCGGAGACGGCGCGCCGCCAGATCGTACTTGGTGAAGGCATCGGTGAGTCGTTTTCGAATCTTGGAGGCTTCTTGTATCTGCGCGTGAGTCGGCGGCGGTTTTGAGACCCCGGAGCCGTCTTCGGTCTCTGGTTGCAGGGCGAGCAGCGTGCGCTGGAAAATAGGCATGAGCTGGCGGATGCCGCGCTCGAATTGACGCAGCGTCTCGTAGGCGCGTTGGTCTGGAGGTTTGTGCAGTAATGTCGCGGCGAAGTCTCGTTTTGAGAAGATGGTGTGGTTGCAGTCGCGACACATGCGAACGTCCACGCTCATCTGGCCGGGCTGCGCCGCCGTCGGAGGCTTCTCCGTGGCGGGATTTGTAGCTGATGCTGTTGTTAGCTGCGACTCTCATGGTGATGATGCTGCTGACGCGCGAGACTCACGATTGGCTACGCTCAAGCCCACTTCGCTCGAGCAGCCCGTCAGCGGATCGGCGCAGACCACCCTCCCGCATATCCGGCAGTGATGCCGCCTGAAGGTCCACGATCCGAATTCTTGTTGACAAAATGGGCATTGTGAGACGGCCGCGTCGTCCTCCCAGGTAACCACCGATTGCTCCAATAATTTCCTTTGGCTTTTTTGGCCTGTCAGGGTGGCTACTGGGGAGAGCAGGTTTCCGCCGTTGGTGGTGACCTCTTCGGGCGCATTCGCAAGCAGCTGCGTAAGCTTCGTCAAACGCTTCTCCAGTCGGGCCACCTCCAGATTTTGCCTCTCCACTCTCTTTCGTCGCATGTCCGCAAAAGCCGATGTGTGGTCAATCAAGACGCCGTTGTGGTCATTGTAGCCGTCCCTCGACTTGTAGCACGTCTCGCACACTCTGACCCAGTATCCCCGCACGGGGTCGTGTTGGGCCGACCGCGATAGCCTCATTTGGTACATGGTGTGCACCTCACAGAACAGCCTCCCGCACTTCCTGCAGTTGATGCTGCCGTTGACGGCCCCGAGGCCCTTTGCGCATGTTGGATCGGTGCATCGGTCGTTGCTGGTTTGACGCTGCCAGTGGGATCGGGTGATGAGCTCATCTGGGTCGATGGGACCCTCGACGAGCCTGGCCGTGGTAGGCGGGGCGGTCGGCATAGACTCGTTGGATTCGAAGACATCGAGGCCTCTGAGCTTTTGGTTGATTATAGAGAGGGGTTGGAACTTCTTTGCTTTGAGGACCTGCTTGTCGAACCAGGTCCTCACTTCGTCTTGTTCTACTTCGGGCAGTTCTTGGTGGTTGTCGTCGATGTGTCTGAGGAGCGTCAGAGACTAACATCACAGTCGCAAGCGAGCGTTCATCGTCACCTGTTGAGTTGAAGCAGCGTCAACTATCCCCCAATGTCAGCGTGAGTGCGTCGCCAAGAGTCCAAGGGGAAGCGACTGACCATTTCCTCGTCGCATATTGGGCAGACGAGCTTGGAGGAGCTCGCGGTGGCCGACCTCGAGGGGCCGCCAACGCTGATGTTTGACGTCAGGTCCTGGGAGAAGTCGGGTAGAGGGCTCGAGACGGGAGGGGAAGCCGAGGATGAATTGAGCGAGAGAGTGCTTTCGGAGGGAGCAAAGGGGCTCGGTGTTCGTCGATGGCCTTGGACAGCTGGAGGCGTGGGAGGGGCGAGGCCTTTCCCGCTGCCCAAGATGCGGCCGCCTCCCAGCTTGCGGCCAGACATGGTGGACGGGCGAGAAGGAGGAGTCACGATGCCATCCACTCGAAAAGAATAACGGGCGACAACTGCGGTAAACGAAACAATGGGAATGACAAAAAGGGGTAAACCGGAGGATGCGGGAGTGAGGTGGACGATGCCAACGAAGAGGAGGGGGTCTGAGTAGCACACCTGACGATGTATGTGCTGTGCAGGCGAGATGCAGATGATAGGTAGGTAACGCAAGGTACCTTACAGAGACGAAAGGTACGAACAGTATCTGCCCAGTCCAGAGTCTCCAATGTATTCGTAGATGGTCCGACCTTCCGTTGGTTCCAGTTCCAGGTTCCCGTGCTCATCCAGGCACATTCCTTGCTGGGGTTCGCGGCCAGGCTGGAGGTTGGAGGTCGAGGTGAGGGGGGGAACTTGCAGGCGGTGGGCAGGTAGGGCGGCAACAAGCGGATGGCAGCACAAGGGGCCGGGCACGGCCAACAGGGGGACAGGGGGGGCCGAGACCCACTGGAGCGCCGTTCGGGCTGCGCTGCCAGCGATGCATTCGGCGGAGTTCGTTGCATTTCTCAGCCTGGGAACGCTAAAGAAGATGCGCTAAAAAGAAACGCTAGCGATGGAATGGGCAGAATTCGGCCCCACAGACCAGGGTAAAGGGTGGAGCTGCTACCGTGGCCAGCACCGCGGTGTGTTTGGGAGATAAATGGATACAAGCTCGCCCTGCTGAGTGGCGGTGTGACGGAAGTACCTCTTTATCACCGCCCATCTGACGCATCGGGCACGTGCACCAAATCGCTGGTGGGGCTGGCCTTATCGGTGCGCTTATCGCTTTCCTCGGCCTCTGAGCATCGGCATCTCTCAAAAAAAGCTGCCCGAAAATTGCAGTGTCTTCGTCATATTTTAAAGGAAGCTCAGAGTCAGTCTTGGACCGTCCTACGTTCGATTCCTCAAGCTTCTGCATTTCACACATACACACACACACATCATGTCCGACAAGTCCACAACAAAGAAGTTTCCAGATGTCGAGGGCGGCGGGAGTCTTATTCTAGCCTGGCAAATCAAGGGAAAGAAAGTTTTAGTCGTTGGAGGCGGCGAGGTACGTGGCTGCGCTTGTCTATGCCAATGCGCCTTTACCTCATTGCTACTGGTGATGCTAATTCCGTCTCTCGAAACAGGTCGCTTCAGGTCGAATCCTCAATTGTCTCAATGCAGACGCCAACGTCACCGTCGTTTGTCCCGCGTCGGGCTTCAACCCCGAGGTAGCGCATCGCGTTGCCCAGGGCGAAGTCACCCACGTCGACCGTCTCTTCGAACCCTCAGACCTCGACGGCGCAGAAATGGTCCTGGTGGCCATTGACGACCCTGCTGCCTCGACGGCGATTTGGAAGCTCTGCAAGGAGCGGAGGATACCAGCCAACATTGCCGACGTCCCTCCCGAATGCGACTTCTACTTTGGCAGCGTCCACCGTGACGGCCCTCTCCAGATCATGGTCAGCACCAATGGCAAGGGCCCGAGGTTAGCTGCCATCATTAGGCGGTATATCGCAAAACAGCTGCCCAGGAATGCCGGCAATGCGATTGAAGCCATCGGCACGCTGAGAGGCAAGTTGCGCAAGGTTGCTCCGAACCCGGAGGATAGCCCGAAGCGCATGGGCTGGTCAGTAGCACCCTGCTCTCACAATTCTCGAATTCTTCGTATCTAACACGATCACCCCAGGATGACCAAGGTCAGCAATGCATACGACTGGGAACAGATGTGCGACCTGACGGATGAGGATATGGAAAATCTCCTCACCTTCTACTCCAATAACGTCGTCCCAACCATTGACGATCTCATGGCAATGAGAGAAACCCCCGGCTTTCAGGCAGACCTGTTTGACGGCTCTTTCGGCTTCTGCGTCGGAGCATAGACGACGAGAGCGTGTGTACATACCAACGGATATGGGTTGAGCGATTTCGGAGTCATTTGCATCGGACGGTTCAGGTCACATAGAATGTTTGGCGGCAACATTTCAGGGCATTGGGAAAATCTTTACAAAGCAGAATCATAGCATAACTCAGGCGCAATATGGCATGCCTATGTAACATCACGTTACTTGGAATCGAATTTAAATTCCTTGAGAATTATTGAGGCCGCTTTCCCTCTCCTATGGCGCAAACCTCCATGACTTGGTCTGGTCTGCCAAGATAAGGCGTTAAACTTGAACTGATGAAGCCAAGATGGGGTGGTTGCCATTCAGGAGCTCTCTGACGTGTAAGAGCGATTTAACGCGCAGTGCATGCGCTCCGCGGAATTTTATGTGAGCTTCCGGGATCGGCTCCGACTGACCCACTATTCCGGCCTGACTTCGATACGGGAGTCGGCCGAAGGACTGCGCGATGTCAAGGTGATGTTTATACTGTACAGGTACGATATTTGTTTTGTGCGGGATGTCGACGAATGCGTAAACAAAGAAGTTGTCTTGTTTAGATTCATGAACTCTGATATTTGCAGCTGTTAAGCTGGTTGATACTGACAAGACTGTTGTCCAGGATTGTCGTCGTGCCTGACGTAGTTATTGAGGTCGAGCTTTGGCACTTGGCAACACCTGGGAGCGCATCGTCGCTCCTTCCTCCTCCAACACCCCGCGACAGCTCGTTTTGATCAAACAACACGCCAGGAAAGCACGACGAGCGCATCTTTCTACAACAAACACCACTTTTTGACGCGTAATCACAGCTCCCGAACTTCACACTTTGAGAGGAATCTCGATCAGTCGGTTGAATCTGAACTTACGACGCGTCAAACGTCTAATCTCCATCGCATCGCAAACGTCATCAAATTCGAATCGCACCACACAACCAGCCCTCGCGCTCCTGGTCGCGATGCCTCCCCGTCGTCGCAATGCTGCGGCCGAGCCCGAGCCTGAACCCGAAGCTCACCAGCCCTCCGACACCGAATACGATCGAACGTCTCCCGGCTCCTTCGAAGAATACGACCCCGTGCCGCAATTCTTCGGCACCACCTTCACCACCCACCGTGTCTCGCCTCTCTACATTGGCGCCGGCGCCTTAAAAACCACTCGACTGACTACTTTATCACAACGACTGCGCGACACGCTGGTGGGGGACGTGGTTAGAGGTGTGCAGGTCGGCCTCGAGGGCAACGATAGCTCCGTTGGCCGTCTGGGATCGTTGGAGAAGGTCAGGTTTCGCTGGGTCGGCGTGGATGCGCTCCTCGGCGGCGCAGAAGACCCGGAGGCAGATGTTAGCCGTGACCTCCGCAGCGATTCCGTCGGTGGTGGAATCTCAAGTACGAAGAGGGCCCTGGTTCTCGAGATGTCATACGAGAACGGGTTTTGCAGTGCTGTGCTGCTGCCGTCGTCAACGGAGAAGCGCCCAGAAGCGTCAGACGTGATACAGCCCACGAATCTGCTCAACGTCCCCGGATCGCTGGCAGGCACCACCTCGACAGATGACGGCCACTTCTTGCACCTACCGCTTCTTCTCCTGCGCATGCCGACGCCGTTAAAAGTCGTCATCATCGATTTTTTATCCAGCGTCTTCGATTGTCGCATCAGCCCTATGCGGTTGGGTACGAAATTTCTCGCCGCGGCGTGGGAGAGATGGATCGAAGATGCAGGCCTTCCTTCTGAGGGCCCGCTGGCAAAAGACCTGGTCTTGACTCTGGGCTTCTACATACCCCCTGCCGCGTTAGAAGATGGCGAGAACGACCTGCCGGCTGAAGGGCTGGGGATCAAATCTATCGAAGTCGTCATTCTGGCCGACGACCTGGAAAGGTTTGCCAAGGAGGGCAGGACACCCGCGAACGACACAACAACGAAGCGGAAAGCGTTTACGCAAGGCTACGAGAATGACGCGAGGAAGCGGAAGAGGCTCGCAGGTGGCAAGTCAGACGAGGGCTGGGGTTGGAGACATGACGGAAACCAGCAGGACCAACAGCTATTCCTCAACGCTGTTGGCACCTACTTGGACAAGCATCTCGCCCTAAATCTGTTCCACCCCGGTGTGAGGATTACCAAGGTCAGCTGCGGAGGCTTTGTGCTCGCCGAAGGACGATTCAGATTGCATACACCTCCTGGTGACGAGGATGAAGTCTTCGAGCCTGCAAGGAATCTGGTTGAGAGCCTCGTGGCCAGCGCTGCCAGTTGAAAGCGGCGGCGGGGAGGCCCAAGACCTCAGCTGACTTGAATTACAACCCAGCCGGGATAGTGTGTACTGGCTTCATGGAGCCATCGGCGACAGCTGGACTCCTGAGGGCCAGAACGGGCGGGCATTATTGCAGGCTGTTCGGACGAGTGGAACGACACACACAGCATCCGGCTTACCAAGAGATGAACTCACGTCGACGAAAGCTTGTGTGTAGCTTATTTACTGGGGCGCTTGACTGAACATCTACGGATAATAACCTCGAAACATGCGCATTCCAGTGCCTCTTTGGGCGTCTTCCACGAATTTGCCTCATTTGGTCTCGATACCATAAAGCAGATGGCGTAGCTCACGTCGCCAAGGATCAGTTTGCCCCTCGAATATCACAAATGTGTCCGAGTTGTCCGCAAACAAGCGCCGGGGCCTGTGTGAATTATCCAGCGTGACATCCGGCATTCGTCACGTTACAATGGCGGGGTTTTGATCGGAACTTCGGAGGCTCGCGAACTTCGGGTCTCGCACTTCTCGGGTGGTACCGCCATATTATCAGCCGCCCTGTGTTCGATATGCAATCTATTCGAAAAGCCGCCGACTGCATCAGATCCCGGCGCAATATAATTAGTTGCGATCCCCCGCCGTGGGTAATATCAACGTGCAACGCCCTCCGAGAGGATATGGATTCAGCCGCTAATTGTGTGCTTCTTCTCCGCACCAAGAGAGGTTCTAACCATATTGATCTGCAGTGTCAACTCGGGCCCCTGAGGGAGTCAACATCACGTTCTGTCTCATTGCGGCACAGGACGGCCGAGTTGAGGTTTCCTCAATGGGTCAAGAATCAACTTTCCAGCATGGAGATCTTGGTTGAGCCCTGAAATTGGTTGCGGAGATATTGTCAATTACCCGGCTTGGCAGATGAAGAGCGGTCCTGTGATCTTACTCAACTAGGCAACATGCAGCAATTGATACAATGCGCTGGCCGATTTCCGGTTGCCAAATAGAAGCCATTCGCAACTCATATAAGACCAATGACCTAGATGCAGGTTCAGCATTCGACCGACTCGTCAGCCAAGCTCCTACCTTGCCGACCATTTCATTCTTTCCTGCATCTTCAAGATGAAGTATCTCACCTCCCTTGTCTGCCTCCTGGCACCTCTGTCTGTTCTCGCGGCCCCTCTCGAGGAGCGACAGGCCGCGCAGAGCATCGACAAGCTCATCAAGGCCAAAGGCAAGCAGTATTATGGAACCTGCAGCGACCAGAACCGTCTCACCACAGGCAAGAGCGCCGACATCATCAAGGCCAACTTCGGCCAGGTGACGCCCGAGAACTCGATGAAGTGGGACCAGATCGAGCCCAACCGCGGGCAGTTCAACTGGGCCAACGCCGACTACCTCGTCAACTTTGCCCAGCAGAACGGCAAGCTCGTGCGCGGGCACACCCTTGTCTGGCACTCGCAGCTCGCGGGCTGGGTCAACAACGTGCGCGACCGCGCCGGCTTGACGCAGGTCATCCAGGACCATATCAACTCCGTCATGGGACGGTACAAGGGCAAGATTTACCACTGGGTGAGTAATCCGTCTATTGAGTTGTTTGTTCCGGCTGATTGAATTGTGATCCAGGACGTCGTGAACGAGATCTTCAACGAGGATGGATCCCTTCGATCTTCCGTCTTCTCGCAGGTCCTCGGCGAGGACTTTGTTGGAATTGCTTTCCGCGCTGCGAGGGCCGCTGACCCTGCTGCCAAGCTGTACATCAACGACTACAACCTCGACCAGGCCAGCTACGCCAAGACGCAGGCCATGGCCCGCAAGGTGAAGGAATGGATCGGGCAGGGCATCCCCATCGACGGCATCGGTATGTGTCCATCTTCCTACCTACCTACGCTGCCATAAAATTACGGGAGAGAGGATACTAACACCAACGCAGGCTCCCAGGCTCATCTTCAAGCCAACCAGGGCGGCAACGCCCTCGCGGCCCTCCAGACCCTCGCCGGCAGCGGCGTGAAGGAGGTCGCCATCACGGAACTCGACATCGTGGGCGCCAGCGCCAACGACTACACCGCCGTCACGCGCGCGTGTCTCCAGGTCCCCCAGTGCGTCGGCATCACCGTCTGGGGCGTTCGCGACCCGGACAGCTGGAGGGCGCAGAACAACCCGCTGCTGTTCGACGCCAACTTCAACCCCAAGCCGGCTTACAACGCCGTCGTTCAGGCTCTTCAGTAAACGGCAGACATTGTGGTTCCGATGAGGGCCAATCTTTCATGTATAAAGTTGTAGCCTGGTCAGTCTGGCTGTATATACTTATTCAAACTTTGACGTGTCCCAAAATGGCATTGAGCACCGTTTTCTGGATCTCCAACTTTGTGCGTCCAATGCAAGAGAATTCCTCTTTGAGGCGGATCTAGCCGATCAACGGCGACGGGACCCATTTCGCCGGGGAGGGCAGCCAAACTGTGGCTGGTACCCCTGTCCTAGCTCGCAAACACGCGTCCTAACACCGCGTCTCGCTTTAAATCGGGTTTGCCCAACTTCATCTTCAATTCACCCAACACCATCTGTCAGAGCAGACTCAATCAAAGCTCACGATGCCGAAGCTTCTCGATCTACCACCAGAGCTTTTCAGCCACATCGCCTCAGTTCTGGCAGAGCCCGAAGACAGGTCGCTTTCCTATGAAAATGGCCAAGGGCCGCTGTACCACATTCCTGGTCAGAACATGTATGCGCTCACAGCCTTTGGACAGACATGTCAGCGCGCCCTTGAAGCTGTCCAGCCGCACTTTTTCAGACATCTCTCTCTTGACCTGAGAAATGGCAACGGGCCCCTGATTGACCTGCTCATGACTTGGGAGGCACAACCCGAGCTGGCCATATGTCTCAGGACCCTGCGCGTTTCTCTGAGCCAGAACGCTCAGCATTGCGCACCACTCACCCGCGAGGAGGCGTCGGTGCTATCTGCCGTCGCGAAGAGGCTTGGGGTGCGCTTTTCTGGGCCCGTACCGATCTGGGCCATGAGCGGCTTCCTCTTGGCGCTTGTCGTCTTGCAGGCGCGCCATATTCAAGTCCTGGACATTCAGGCCGGAGCGAGAGATGATTTCCCGCCATCTATAGAAGCAATCATAAGGCGAGAACCGTTTAGCCAAGGGGAACAATATCCATTTCACCTATTCCCTTCCGCGGCGGAAACCACCGTTCGCCTGCACCACCTACGCCGCTTTCGATGTTACTGCAGTTCCCGCGATGCTCGCTCGGTTATGTTGAGCGAAGTATGCAAGGTGCTGAACCTAGCGCCCAATATCGACACGGTTGAATTGACAAAGGTCCGGGACGACGAGCCTGAGGTGAATTGGAGCAGTGTCACTAGTCTAAGCTTGACATCCATCGTCGCAGAGCCGAGCAGAATCACCCGAATGATCAAATCTTGCAAGGCGCTACGCGAGTTCAAGTTCGACGCCGGCGGAGTCGACAGAGAAACCACTCCGAGCCAGATCTTGGGTGCTCTGGCAAAACACTCGAGCACAATCCGGACACTCTCGATTCAGTGCATGCGTCTCCCAGACGCCGAACGCCTGGGATCGCTTGCCTCCCTCGGGCGCCTCCAAAAGCTCATGATTCGGCGGTGGGATTTGCGGCGTGACGTGCTGCTCTCAGCGCCATGGTTGCAGACTCTCCACATCCTTCCCTTCGACATGGGCAACGAACGCGACAGAGAGGTAATCGATTGGTTCGCGGGTGAAGTGAAGAAGGGATCTTTCCCGCAGTTCCGGGAGATGATACTCAGTCACTTCGCGTGCGGCGACGACCCTGAAGGCCGACACGGCCACAGTCTCCAGTGCAGCTACGGTCTACGAGGCGACGTCACGCTCGAGTCGTTGGAGAGGAGTGCACGAGAGCCTCTGAGGTCCACACTCGGGCTTTTACTCGAAGACGCCGAGAACAAGGTATGCCCGACGGCAGCGTTCGTCCGGAAGGTTTTCACGACGCTTATCAAGGCGGGGGTTACGTGCAAGTTGCACGACCACGCCAGGTTCGAGTGGGCAGCCGCGGCGCAACGGGGCGAGGACGACGCTGGGTCAGTGTCCGAATTCGATCGCGATTCGTCTGACGGCATTCCCGAGGATGTTGCGTTCTGGAGAGGCGATGGGGAAGACGGCGGGGGTGACGTGGATGGCAATCAGGCCGCCACGGGGGAGGGAAACAACGGCGGGGTTCAAGACGAGGAGGATCAGGAGGAAATGGACGACGCCGACGACGATGAGTATGAGTATTTCTGACAGATGCTGTGTGCCTTTCTCTCTGGTCATAGCATTATTTCCTCTTGTGACAATGGCGTTTCGGTTTATTCGAAGTTGGTTCTGTAATCCCCAGGAAAATCATAACTGCTAGAAGATGGAAACGAAGAGTCGATTCATTCTTGATGCTCGGAGCCGCAGATTTTCCGTGCGGTTCATCAGGTTTCTCATCATCAAGTGATCACAGGTGATGTCACGTATCCATCTGCCGTAGCGCTGCGTTTGGCGTGACAAGTCTGCCTGTCTAAGCCTCATATTCCGATTCTTTCGGCACTGAAGTGGCTAGGAATACGAGAATCGAACATGCCAAACTCGTCGATTCACCTTGCTTCGAGTCAGTTCTCAACAACGCTTGTCTAAGACAAGACAACTCTTTCAAGACTAGTCGAGCCAATCCTTCCCGCTATGCTTGTTTTAGGTCCCTCTCAGTGAAAGGTCCCCGGATTCCGGCTCCGATGCCAAGCGTGCCACCGAGCCCGACCTCTCGGCTGGGTTCCTGATCGACAATCAAGCCACCGCCAACTCTGTATTAAGCTTGACAGCGTGTAGCGCAGGGATGGGGCCTCGTTGTGGTCGTCTCTTTCGAACCATTTGGCAGTTGCTATTCTTAGTTGTCAGTAGCGGCAAACGCTTCGCCTGACTCAACTGGCGCCAGACTGAAAAGCTGGTCCGGCTGCCTCGGCTCTCTCGTATGCGTGGAGCCGAGAGGTTGGCCGGACGGCGGGGCCGAGCAAGATCGGCCGGTTGGAAAAGCATTCGCCTAACCCGACTCTGGCTAATATTTTGACGGTTCACCTCGGGCTGATTGGCACGCTTCCAACGCGGAATGTCGAATCGGTAATCTTTGTATGATCCCCGCGTGTTTCTGACGTCAATCGGACTGTATTCAGAAATGCCCATTCTATTTACCCGCTGGCCGCGCTTCAATTGAGCTGCCCACCCATCCCAGACTTTGGAGAGAGAGAGAAAGAGAGAAAAACACCGATGGCAACCCGGGACTCTGTCAAGCCCCTGCCACAATTATGGGACCTCCCCGCGCGCTAGAAGGGACCATGAGATCATGGGAATCGTGGGCCCATTGACCTGTCACACTTTCGGGTGTTTTTCCGAACGAAAATGGCTGAGGGCAAACGGTGAATACGAGAAGGCTAGAGCCGTTTACACCGACTCGACCCCACAGGTGTGGTAACGAGGGTGAGGCGAACACGAGATTGTTGTCTTTCAATTGGGCTTCTCCGGACTTCTGATGTCTTTCGATACCAGATCTTCGTTTGCATATAAGAAAATGCAGGTTCCTGCTTCAAGTAGTTGTTGTCTCATCACAGTCACACTCATCTTCTCAGCCTTCAACCCTCATCTCCTCTCATCTCATCTCATCCACTGAAGTTCATCTCATCCAAACAACTCTAAACATCCAAAATGTTCAGCAAGCTCACCATCGCCATGGCCATGGCTTCGGCCGTTACCGCGGCCCCTGCCCTCGGCCGCCGTCAGGATCCCTGCCAGGACGCCTACAAGGCCTGCATCGCCGCGGGAACCCCAGAAGTCGCCTGCTCATGCACCCTCACCGCGTGCGTCGGTGAGGACAACGCTCGCAACCGCGAGTACTGCGCCAGCGCTACCGCCAACTTGCCCCAGCCTACATCCACCGGCATCCCCGGCGGCTGCAACCCGGCCCATCCCGGATCCTGCCCCTCGTCTTACTTCACCTACCCCACCCTCTCCGCCTCCGCCGCGCCGAGCTTCACCTCCATCGCCGGCATCCCCGGTGGCTGCAACCCGGCTCACCCCGGATCTTGCCCGTCGTCCTACTTCACCTACCCTACTGCATCCGCCTCCGCTGCCCCGACCTTCACCTCCATCGTCGGCATTCCTGGCGGTTGCAACCCGGCGCACCCGGGATCCTGCCCCTCCTCGTACTTCACCTACCCGACCCTCTCCGCCACCGCCGCCCCCGCTCCCGCCCCTACCGCCGGCTCCGGCAGCTCTGCCGGCTACGCCGACCCCAAGCCGGTCGAGGGCAAGAAGTGGACCGTCAAGGACCTGACCCGCTACTGCGGCGAGGACAACTCCGGCTGCGACTACAACTTCAAGATCGAGGCCGACGGCAAGACGGAGGCCTGCACCGTCATCCGCATGCCCGGCAAGGACGCCGCCACCGAGAGCTGGTCCGACCAGCCCTGCACCTCCGGCTCCGGCTTCAAGATCTCGTGGGGCTACGTCGCCGAGCCCGCCCCGGCCTTCGCCGTCGTCACCGTCGTCAGCGGCAAGGAGCTCGCCTGGTTCGGCGTGTCCGACGTCAACGGCCAGCCGGTCACCACCGCCCCCTCGAACCCCTTCGGCTCCGGCCAGTTCGGAAACCTCGGCCCCGAGCAGGTCTACAGCTACTAGGCTCTGCCCGCGCGCGAGATGCGGCTCGATTTACCCTTCACCACGATCCTTACCACGAGAGACGATATTATGAAGCATATAGACTTGTACACTCCTTAATCTAATGTTTGAATACACGCACATTATCATGTTACACCATAGATCAATAGAAAGCGTTGAGACTTCGAATTCGGTGCAAAGCGCTGGTGTGTGTTTTTTTACGTGGCCCCTGGCCTCAAAAGGTATTTACAAGGAATATATGTATGGTGACAAATGTTTTCACACAAAGAATTGTCGCAAGACGTAAGCAGTCATAGCCGCGTCGTCTGCATTATCCGCCAGCTTTCGCCAGCTTCTGGACCACCCATTCAGGTTGGCTTAGACGCACTGGGAGTACCAGTCGTTGACGACCTCGCACTTGCCGGAGGCGCAAGTGGTGCCGCCGGTGTGTCCCTGGCCACCGCACTGGCCGTAGAGGGCAACGGCGCTGGAGCCGGAGTCGGCGGCCTTGGAGGCAGCGGGAGCAGCGGAAGAGGAGGCAGGAGTAGACGCAGCAGGAGTGGCGACAACGGCCTCCTTCTCGGTGTCGGTAGACTCGGTGGAGGAGCCGCTGGAGGCAGACGAGGAGCTGAGCTTGCCGGCGCCGGCGTTGGCGGGGACGCTGGTCTTGATCTTGCTGGCGGCCTCGACGGTGGGGGCGGAGTAGCTCTTGAAGAGGCTCAGGACGGTGTTGTCGTTGGAGGGGAAGTCGTTGGTGGTGGACTCGAAGACGTTGGCCTCGCAGGCGCGGCCGAGGGCGGTCTGGCACTGGGATGCGCTGCTCGCGTCGGCGGCGAAGAGTTTGCCGGCGTAGTCGGAGACGAGGGCCTTGACGTTGATCCAGGCGTTGCCCTCGAAGAGGCCGCGGGCCTTGGCGTCGCCGCCCTCGAGGGCGTGGCCGTTGTTCTCCTCCCAGACGTTGTTGACGGCGTGGAGGAGGGTGCCGCCGCTGAGGGCGGGGCTGCGGCCGGCCGTCTTGTAGATGTAGTTGTTCTTCATGGTGATCTGGTCGTCGGTGCCGACCATCTCGAAGGTCCAGTAGTGGTAGCCGTCGCAGCCGGTGGAGAAGTCGGACTCGCCGTTGATGAAGTTGTTGGACAGGGTGACGCGCTTGCTGGGGTTGAAGCCGAAGACGTAGTGCTGGCGGCCGGGGCGGGCGGTCTTGATGTGATGTCAGCTCTGTGAGAATTGCAATTTTGTTGGATGTACTTACGGTAACGTGGTCAACCCAGACGAGGTCGGCGCCATCGAAGCCGATGGCATCACCACCCCAGACGTACTTGGGGTTCAGGTCGGTGACGGCAATGTTCTGGATGATGACGTTGCTGCCTCTCATGCGGAGACCCTTGCCCTTGATAGCACCCTTGCTGCCAACACCGAGAATGGTCTTGTTGTTACCGACATCGATGGGCTGGGTAGGGGCCTTGTACCAGGTGTCCTTGGAAGCAGTGGTGCCGCTGTCGCAAGAGTCCTGGATGATCCTCTGGCAGGACGCGCCGGTACCCCAGCTGGCGCAGACGTTGCCGGACTCGGTGCCCTCAGACTCGGTGAAGTCGTACTCCTTGGAGAGGGTAATGACACGGGGCTCGTCGTCGGTGAGGTACTTCTTAAGCTCGTCGATGTCCTTGGGCTCGACGGCAGCGGCGCTACCACCGCCAGTAACACCGGCGGCAAAGCCCTCAGCCTTACCGGAGACGGTCTGGGCAGCGGCAAGGTTGGTAACGGCCGCCAAGAGCGCCAAGAGAGTGGGAGCCGACTTCATTGTGGAGGTGAGATGGGAGATCGAACCAAAGGTTGCAGGTGTGAAGTAATTCGTCGAAAGAAAGGAATGATTTGGTTTGAGTTCCGGAACCCAATGAATGAAGGAGAGGTCAAAAGGGTGAGGCCGAAAGAACGAGAGACAATATGAGAGGTGAGAACCAAAGGAGGGCAAGGTTTGGTAAGAGAGGCAACTCAAGAGACAAGTCAAGATGTGGGAGCCGAAGGTGAGTTAATAAATCAATCACTTCTCCCCCGGAAAATTGATCGATCAAATCTCTCTGCCCTTTACTTCTGAAGCGTCAGCGGCTGTGCGGATACCGTAGCCGCCGCTGAACTCCATCTTCTATCTCAAACAGACTACAGCTGTCACTTAATGAAATGCCGTCCTTAATCGGGAACCTCACGAGAATTCAGGGAAGGGTGATTGGTGTTTTCCCTGGCAAACAGTGGATCGTGCGCCCATCCTTCCCCTATGTTGACCCAGCGCTCGGCCTGAAAGAGCAACTTTACCGCCGCAATCCCGGCGAGTGCTACCATTTTCGAGCCCCAACCGCATTGCAACGCCGGAGGATTGTGTCTTCTGTTCTTGCTGCTCAGGGGCAACTTGGGAAGTGTGGTGCCCGTTCTGCCCACTCTGGGAAAACTCTTCGTGATAGTCTTTCCTATTCAAGTTGGCTGCTGGTGCAAATTTCGGGAACAGAAGCCGAGGGAGTCTTGTCCGTTGACATGAAACACAGCTACGTCGTCAGCTGCTAGTTGCGGGTAGAGATGCAGTAGTGTAAACACTGGCGCACTCGATGAGTCTCTAGTGATTGATTGGAAGCATGACGCGGGGAATGAAGCATATTCAGTAGGTTAAATCATTATACGTACTCTGTAGTTAATTGATATCCGGGCTGAGTGACGCGTCCTATGCGATTCACCTGCTCTAACTCTTATTCCTTACTCGCCACGGTCTGTCCATTGCTTCTCGTTACTCTTGAAGGGTCCTTGTATGAGACCAGCCGGAATTGAACCTGGTGGTATTGTAAGTTACGGACTGAATTTGGAGCTATCTACATCACAAATGCCAAAAATTAGAAGCTTAAACTCCCAGAAAGAATAAAAGATCTTGATGCCAGCAGATTCAATTTTTCAAGCTTTCAAACTCAACAACAAGTTGATATTGAAGTTGTCGACTACGAGTTTCTACGAGTATCCGCAATTGCGCTGTAAGGCGTGTTGTACGTGATGCGGGGTTACCGAGTAGTGCATGAGCCGCAATCTCGGTCTCGGTTTAAACCGTGTAATCAATTTTCTCGATGTCAGGAACATATATATCTCTTACACTGTCGATCATCACCTTAGAGGGTATTGTAGACTAGCAATGTTTTTCTACACTTCAACAATGCTAGTCGATCGTGGCACAAGGGAAAAAATGATAACTGCACTGTTGACACTTACGGCTGATTATTTTGCACTGCGACTGGTTAACCCTTGAGCCTGTAAAGACTTGATTAACAAGAATGGTGCAAGTAGTTGTGAATGGCCTGATCTTTTGTGCCTGTTGAAGCAGTTGTGGGAAGACTTGACGCGACAGCTTGTTTCTCCAGCCGAGTTCGAGGCCTGGCCATCCAACTTGGCGCCACGGTTTCCGTGGGAAAGGCGCTGGAGCGAGGTACGTAAACATCTCCGCGCACCGCGGTTTCCGTGGACTGAATCAAAATGGAGGCACATATGACGAGTACATCTAAAGGAATGCTTCGTACAGCCTACAGACAGTCGTCATATTCATTTAATCCATACCGATGGCCACTTGAAGCCCTTTCTGTCTAATGAAAGGAGTCATCTGCTGGCACCCCTTAATGACCTTTGCATATTCGTGTGACAACCGCCCGTAGAGTAGCCAAAAACCAATCTCATTCGTTTTCTGATTGGTAAAATACTGTGTTCTTTTGAGTGATCAATCTTGATTTGTGCTCCTCCAGTCCAGTCATTACTTCGAGTATCAAATGTTCCCAGTGGATCAGTTCAACGATGATGAGCTTTGGCTTACTTGGACGAGAACATGCCGCGTGTCAGCTTCATTAGACTTAGGCTCTATTCTGCATATAGAAACTGCTCAGATCAAAAGCAGCTTCGTGTGCCAGGGAGAACGAATTAGTTGGGCATAAAGACAGACCGACTGGACTCTCGAAATCGGAAGGAGTCTTGAACGTAATAGGAAAGTCCAGCGAAGTGAAATACTGGGAAAAGTCCAAGGTCCTTGATCTCAAAAAGAGTTCAGTATGTGTGGATAGTTCTGCGAAGGCGTCATCTCATTGGCCTCACCAAGGGTATTCGCAGCAGCTGTCTGAGTCGGTTGAGGGATACACACTCATGGTAATTAAAAGTTTGTCAAGGTTGGCCTGGAGCGACTGGCTGATATTCAAGGTATCGACGACCTCATCCTCCAGTCCAGCAGCAATTATTCATCTTATTCGGAAAGAGACGGTCCAGACGTCCGGTAACTATTATTGATAAATACCCTCCTTAGTTCATCTCAACGGCGGACTCATTGGTGACACCTCCCTCTCTCTGTCTTGGCCCCTGGCTGCGTCAAGTTCGTAGGTCGGCTTGACACCATCCATCTCAAGCCGGGGCTCAACTGTTTCCAACTCGCTTGGTCGTCTCCATCGCGGGTCATCGGCGCGGGAAGGCTTAGACCCCTCTCCGATAGTAGCCCCTGATGTGGAATCTGCCGCATGACGCCTTTTCTTCTTCAAGAAGAAGTATATCCCAGCAATTACCAATGCAATGACGGCGATACCACCGACGACACCACCCGCTATCGCTCCCACAGGAACACTTGCCGATGAATTCTCGTCACCAGTGGTTTGAGTACTGGTAGGCATGCTGGCTATAGACGTGCTAGTCGTAGACGTGCTAGCTGTAGACGTGATGATTGTAGACGCGCTAGTCGTAGAGCACTGGGATATGGAACTGCCTGAGTAGAGAGTCGTTGGCAGCGCCGACTCAGCGGTCCCCGTGCATAGGAAAATCAATCCTCCCTCTTCCCCATTGTCCTTGTATACACCCATGGAGTCAGACTCGCAACACCAAACTCCGGTACCGATGTTGTTTCCATCGGGGTTTGTCTTATTGGTTCCCCAGAGCCCCCATGCTGCGGTTGGGCACTGAGTTGTACAAATGAATTCGTGGCCCGAGTAGTTGTTTTGCATGAAGAGGCCATACCTTTGCGTTTACCGTTGCTTCTAGTGTGCAATCTTCCCCGTCTGTTCGGAATAATTTATCAGCAAGCTGCCCGGAAGAAAGTGCGTACCATCTGGCACCCCACCTACCTTTACAACAGTATTGTCCAACAAAATCACCCTCGCCACGGCACTGGTAATCTGTAGGACAGCATCGAGATTGTGAATTGTCTAATGTCAAATTGCATTTGTTTGGTGCAAATCCCGGGCAAGTTGATCTCGTTGGGTACCGCAGCGACCAGCCACCATCGTAATTACATACGTCGGCATATGAAAACTTTCCAGTGAGAAAAACGATTGCAAAAAAGGCGAATGTTAGGGAACACATTCCACGTAAATGCGCGTCCCTTGCCATTGTAGTTGCGAAAATGGTAGTATGTTTCATGCACTCTAGAGAATGAAAGAGATATTAGAAGGAAGTAAAAGTCTGCTAAGACAACAATCAAGAGAGCAGCCGGTCATATAAGACGAAGTGAGTACAAGTCCCAGGTACTAGTGACAAGGCGACCGCCGACTTGCCCAACCTCGCATGCCAGCCCTACGGAAGGCAGCATATGACACGGGTCTGGTGTTGATTGGCGGCGTATCAACTGTCGCGTGCCAGAACCCGACAATATTGCTTATTCTGTTCCCTTTCTTGTATTCCGCACAATGATGGATGAGATCGCCACCACTCTATCCAAGCCTGAACGTTGACCAGTGTAAGGCCAGCATTAAGGTGAACTGATAACCTAGCGCCTCGGCTGAGACCAAGGAAAAGGAAATTGAGCAAGTGGTCAGCATTTAGCGCAGGCAACGGGCGCTAGATATGCGTGGGGGTTGTGGCGTCTTAGGCAGGCGCCACGGCTGCATTGTTGTTGGTTGAGGTTGGGTTTGTGACGGATCGGAGGGTGGTGAGGCTCCTTCAATGTGACATAGATTGAAGTCTGACATTGCGGGTCTGGACAACTCCATATGCACTTCAAGACCTCCCAGCCTCATTTTGCGAGGAGGATTCTCGGTGTCAGTGGCTCATCACACCCCAAATCGAACGATTTGAGGCCAACCAGCTGTACATGCACCGCATGCTGCCGCCACAGACTCAGATACCACGATTGAACCTTGTGTGGCGTCCGCATCGTTACTGAGTATCGCATGTGTCGGCTATCTTTGACGTCATTGTTCCATTCCAAACTGAATGCTAGCATGCACTCACTTGAGCTAGTCTTCGTCGACGGGCAGTTCGAGATAGTCGTGCATAAAGTCGGTGTTTTGACGCGTGGATGGAACCTGAGGAACCCTACCATGCTCACTCTACATTTTAGGAATTCAAAAGGATGATGTCTAGCATGAGGATACTGAAAAAAAGAAAGTTCAAAATTGTATCTAACCCGGTGACGATTTAGTCGTTTAAGGTATATGTACACCGTAGTGTCACTCCTCTTTATAAAGACGTACCCTATGGGAAGCTCTGCTGTAGCTTGGTGTGGTGATTGCCTCAAGTAATTCAATCAATATGTGTGGTCTTGTGTCTTCTATCAGATTTCGATGTTGAAGAGTTGCTTGACACGAAACTCTTGTTGTTGTGAATTGTGAATCGCGAACTGCCTCGTGGTTGAGTCTCGGAAGAGAAAAAGCAAATCAGTTGACTGGATCTGCTTATTAACTCCTTTCACAACTTTCGAAAGTATAAAAGAAGTTGGTAACTGGACACGTCCCGGATGTTATTAGTTAAACAACGCGGAAACAACAGTCATAGGAGGCGTCCATGCATCCGGTTTCTTCAAACAGAGCGCATGAAGCTTTGTGTCTATCTGTTTAAGTATGAATGACACCTAACGAGACTTTGGTCATTAGTGAAGGCCACAGACGTGAGGTGGACAACTCATAAGAATAAACTCTGAAAGTCGGAGACAAATAGTCAACTGTAAGATGAGCCATCTTAGGAATTTACGCTGTTGCTGCATGATCCCACCGGAAAACTAAAAGTCGGATGATTACGAGCTGACTAAACTGCCCCTGGCAGAGGTGATGCCGAGAGTGATGAAAAGGGAGAGCTACATGGCTTGGGCACTGCGCAGTTTTAGTAAGAAAGCATTCGTATCATACCCCGAGTTTTACGTCTTTCAAACAGTCATCTTTTGGTCAACAAGATATTTGTTATGACAAATGCGTGACATGGAGTTGTCTTGACCTATTTCGAGCCTGAAATGTGGACAATATGGCCTTGGCTTTCTTGCAGTGCCTCCCCTGTTTCGAGTTGATCTGGTGGGTTCTCTCCGCATCTCTCCGCGCCTAAACTCTCACTGTGAGTACCATAATTGTATTCGCCATTAGTTACTTGTTCTATAGCTTGCCACGGTAAAGTTCAATGTGTCAGTTTCATCCAATACGAGAATGCCCCATCTTGCCCTTACTGACATGACTACATGATAGTATCACAGGTCTCCATCTGCGTTGATTTCGTTGGTCAAGGAAGGTCAACGCTTTTCAGCCCAGGTATTAGATATACTGTGCTCAGATGGTTAAATCATGACCTTGTAAGGCTGAGCATGATGTTCATTTCTAAAATGATGTGCTGAAAGCTAAATTTCTAAACTTGGACTCTGGATCACCTGCCACGTTCGAGTCCCCATTAGAGCTTGGCACCCATAGGCCAATACTGCCTTAAGCCCGATACGAGTCCACCGTAAACAGTGGCAGTGTATTCGTGAACCACTTATTGACGGTTGGTTCGTCTAGAGGCTGAAACTGTGTCCAGGGTCGGGCCTTGATGTAACCCAGTAGTGAAACGATCGTGACCAATCGGCACTCGGCCTTGCATCCGCTGGCATCCGCTGGAGGCCTGCTTCTCGTGTCCAAAACGGCAAAATGGTACGACTGCAGGACTCAGTCAAGAGTTTTCTTTTTACTCTTGTTTGTTACCTCAGACCTGCGACGTTGACATATTGACATGTTTAGTAAACACCACTTGTCGTCGCTTAGCCGAATTGAGACTCCCACAGTTGATAGAGAACAGACGAGCACATAGATGTATGGGGGCTAAACCTAGTTCTCCATATCATGCCACTAGACTGTCTTGAATCTAGTTCCCCAGACTTACCAACACTATCCGGTGCCACCGAGTTGGAATTACTGTCGCGATAATGTAATGAGCTCTCGGTATTTCGACGAGTCAGGAGCGTTCGTCCGGAGCACTTGTCCGCCAAGTCACGATATGAAGGGGTGCTCATGAAGAGTAAACTCCTTTATGCGGCCATTACTGCGTGAATACTAAACAAAGGTTTTTTAGATGGCATTTTCTGGGTCGTATGCTTGCCGAGACCTGAATTAAGCTTTATTTATCAATGCGGACTTTCGAATTCCGTCAGCGAGCCTAGAATTCATGATAGGGCTTAGCAGCCAACTTGTTCTGGGTCAACCCAGACTCAGAGCCCCGCTTATGCCCAGACTTGCATGGATGGTCAAGTAAGTGTTCTCAGACCCTCAAATTCCCCCTTATTCAGGAGCAAAGTAAAGTAAAAGGGGTCACTATGAATGTGTAACTGCGAGAGAGGTAAAAGTGCAAAGTACGAGCTGCATACATGTATGTTGGGTTGATTTCTAAGGAGGGTAAAAGCCAACTTACTGCTCACCTTAGTCCTAGATGCCCACTATCACGCGACCTCCAGCGATCACTTGCCTTTCGGAGGATAATTCCGGCAGTGACCACAGCCAAAGTCAGCCGCATGGATATGACATGTCTAGCTATGCATGTGTAGATCTCCCCATCCCGCCGTTTCAAGATGAGTGAAATGAGCGTCTAATGCCCTTAACACGTATGCTAAGGCTATTGTGTAAAACCTTGTCTCTTCCCTCCAAGACCCATCATGATCCATCAAGGTAGAGCTTGGCACCTGAGAATAGCAATGGCTACACTTTGCTAGCACCGCAGATGCCGACGGCCGACATACGGCGCCGACGTACTCCGAAAGGAAGCGGGCCTTTGTGCTTCACGGGCCAAGACGCAATATCGAAGTCATCCAGACGTTCAGGCGAAGGTGAGAATCAATGAGTCGGAATAATTGATTACATAGATCACACGAAAATGATCTATTCTTGAAGTGTCAAAATGTTATAAAAGAAGATGTGATCTCTCTCGATCCAGGCTTCTCTTCTCTCATCATCACAACACATCAACAGCAATCCTCCATCGCAACACTCAGTTGCACTTTCATTCTTTTTTTTGTGCTTTTCAGTCACTCACTCGGGATCTTTACCCACCACTTTCACTTTTCACCAGTCTTTTGAATCAAAATGGCCGCTATCGGAGCAGTTGCAACCCTCGGCACCGCCATTGGCAACGTCGGCACCTTCTTGGGACTTGTTGCCTCGGGTATCAGCATCATGCAGGCGATCAACCAGAAGCCCAAGGAAGTTGACTTCTACACCCTTCGCATGGAGATCGGTGACAACCAGGACGCTTCTGGCAACCCCCCGACCGTCATCTTCTCCGACTTCTCCAACACCGAATTTGTTGGTGTCTTCGAGGGTAACAGCGACGAGTCCAAGGACCAGTGCCGCAACCTGGGCGGTCTTGACTTGTACAAGGGACTCAAGAACGCCGAAGCGCCCATCAAGTCGTTCTCCACCAACAACGGTTTCAACCTCAAGTCTCTTGACATCCAGCCTGGCGGCAACGCCATCTGCGTCTCCAACATCATCCTCAAGGGCAGCGACACCCAGGCTAGACGTGATGAGGTCTTCATTCCCATCGGCGACTTGGGCTTCCAGTGCGGTCACGAGTGGAACTGGGGTGCCATCCTGAACGGTGTCCGCCAGCGCTGCATCTGGCTCGACGGCCAGCCTGACGGCACCAACAAGCCCATCCAGTCCCTTCACCTCGACATGGAGAACCTCGCTGGCATTTTCAACAAGGGCAAGAACGACACTTTGGCCAAGACCACCTTCGAGCAGGCTTGCGGCTTCATCAGTGACAACGTCGGCAAGATCACCAACCGCAACGAATGCAAGGAGTCCTACACCAAGCGCTCTACCTCCGGCAAGAACGAGACCATCGACACTGTTCCCTGCGTCGAGGAGGCTGCGGACTTCTTCTCCGGAAAGACCGATGCCCTGTCCAAGTATGCCGGCGCTCCTTTCATCACCTCCGACAACAAGCTCTGGGACTCCGCCAAGGGCGCCTTCACCGACGTCACTCCCAAGACCGCCAGCAAGCGCTCCGGACTCCAGGCTCGCCGCAACTCCATCGAGGGTTTCAAGGTCGCTGAGAAGAGAGGCATTGCTTCCACTCTCAAGGGCGAGCGCTGCGAGTACGCTGCTGACGGCGATGCCCCCAAGTGCCAGGTCGTGAAGGAGTTCTCTGTTGGTGCTTGATCTGATGGAATATTTTGATTTTGATCTGGTTTGGAGGATTTGCTTGTTCAGCCTGTTTAGATAGTTTTGATTTTCCTTGAATTGAATGAACTCATTTGCTATTTCACTACTGGACACCCGCTCTACATCTAGTCGTGACTAGTTTGCTAAACAACAAGAGTTGAAATGTGCCTTCCAGAGGAGCGGGATGAGGGTGTGTGTGACCACCCCCTTGAGCCTCAAACACCAACGCGGAGGACAAGGAAGCCAACGACATTGTTGTTAATGAATTATGTTACTTGACAAAGCATTGTCACCATATTGGTCCTCAGTAACAACATGGCTCTTCTGCTGAGCCAACTATGTTTTCATGCAGGAGTGAGGCAAACCTTTGTGCCGTTGCGGGAGCACAGCGTCAAAGCCAGCGATTCCTCCCACGGTCCCGGATCCCGACTCTCCAACGATCGAAATTCCTGGGCCATCCGGACAACAACATAGCCAACTTCGGTCAAGGCATACCGTTGGCCGACGCAGATGCGCGGGCCGCCATTGAAGGGCAGATATCCCCACCGTGGCCGCAGCCTTTCGTCCTCCCAGCGTTCCGGGCGGAATTCTTCGGCGTCCGGTCCGTAGAAGTCTGTCCGCCGATGCATGGCATATAGATTGTACGCCACTATGGTGCCTTCAGGCACGAAGACGGGCGAGAGGCCATCCTTGCCTCCTCCAGTTGGTAGGACAGTATCTCTTATCGCCTTGCGCTCATTGCGTGGTACAACCGGATGTAAGCGAAGCGCTGAGACAGTTAGTGAAGTCAGGGGCGGTAGTAGAGGGCTTTTTCTTACATTCGTTCATACAGTACTGGACATATGGAAGGTTGCGAAGCTCCTCGTAAGTTGGTATGCGGCCCTGAAGGCAAGCTACCTCTTCGCGCAACTTAGCCCATATCGCCGGGTGTTTGGCCAGCATGAAGAACAGATTGCTGAGTAGACTGGCAGTGGTATCGCGACCAGCTAGCAAGACATTCATGACCTCGTCCAGAACACGGTGCCCGTCGGCCGTCCGCGAGGCCAGTTCGTGTGAGAATATGCGCTTCTCCCGACCTGTCTCATCTTGTCGTACTTCTCGGTTCCCTTTTCTGGCCTCGACTGCGCGGAATGCCTCGTCGACGAACGGCCGGGCGAAGTCCCGGCAGATGCGATTGCACCTGTCAGCCTCCTGATCACGCCAGAACATTCTCAGCGGGCCTAGCATGCCCCGTATGATCGTCGCCTTTTGCGCGTAATGGAATGCCCCGGCGAAATCGGGCCCCTCCTGAGTCTCTTTCAAAGAACCGACGGATTGTCCGAAGAGGAACTCAGTTGCTGAATCGATGGTGTAGCGGAAGAATAGCTCCTGCAGGTCCACGACTGTCTTCCCATCACGCGGAAGCAACGAGAACAGGTCCTGGATCAGATTCTCAAACGTGGTCAAGTCGGCCACCTGGTGACGGGCGAAGCTAGGTCGGATGAGGGAGCGCGACGCGGCCCAGTGGTCGCCATCCGTGTCGAATATACCCTCCCCCAACAGCGGTTTGAACGCTTCGAGGCGGTGGCTGATGCCATAGTCGTTGAATTTGAGCGAGAGGACCGTCTTGATGTTCTCCGGCTCGATCGTCACGATAGCGCGTCTATGCAGCTCCTTCACCGCAATGGTGTTGCCGTAGAGAGCGAAGAACTCGCAATTCCGTTCAAGAAGTCTGTGCTGCCTGCGGGCGCGGATGCTCCCGGGAATTGTATCAAGGCCCAGCAAGGGATCCTTATTGATGTTTGCCGCTACAGGTTGGCAGCCATGTTTGCGTGCGAATTGACGGCGGATGAAGAAACGCCTGATGAGGACGTATGCGACAGCGCCCAGTACAACGATCGACACGAATACCTGTGAGCGGAAATCGAGATACATCTTGATAATTGTCGTCCAGGCAGCAACATGGAAAAGGTCAGATGTGATGCACGTAGGACGCGTAAGAAGTACGTCCAGAAGCGGCTAGATAAAGTCGTAACTGTGCCTCTCGCATGCATTACTCTGGGCGCAGGCAGCTGTGAGTCCTACGTCAGCTGACACAGGTTGCTCCAGAGCCTCGTCGAGACCTCGAGGCCTCTGTTCCCTCCATCTCACATTTCTACTCTCCCATGGCTTCCATCATAAATGACTGAACAACGGCAATGTACCTTCTTCACATCACTGAATCCGAAGACGGAAGTCTCCCCGACATTCAACTTAGGCTCCACGTCGATGACATCCCTCAGTACGCCATCCTGTCCCACAGATGGGGACGTCCGGAGGATGAGCCTACTTTCCAAGATCTGATGCATCAAACAGCCAGCGGCAAGCAGAAGAAGGGATATCAGAAGATTTTGTCGTTCTGCTCACAGGTTCTTGAATATGGATTGACGTGGGCTTGGGCCGACACTTGCTGTATCGATAAATCCAGCAGCGCTGAATTATCAGAGGCGATCAACTCCATGTATGCTTGGTATGAGGCATCTCGAATATGCTTCGCCTACATGGAAGACGTACCGCCCGGTGACGATCCATCAAGACAAGATTCTTTCTTTCGAAAGAGTGTGTGGTTCAAGAGAGGGTGGACATTGCAAGAACTGATTGCTCCGAATGAGGTCATGTTCCTCGACACCTCTTGGAACAAGATCTCTTTCGGTAGCAAGTCCGGCTTGTCGGAAGCCATATTCCAGGTTACAGGCATTCCACAGGATATATTGATCAACAAAGCCAAACTGGACTCTGCAAGTGTGGCACAGAAGATGTCCTGGGCTGCCACGAGGCAAACGACTCGCATCGAGGACGAGGCGTATTCCCTGATGGGAATATTCGGAGTGAACATGCCCACAGTCTACGGAGAAGGAAAAAAGGCATTCCGCAGGCTGCAAGAGGAAATAATGAAATATTCACCGGATCACACTATTTTTGCCTGGAAGGCGGAAGAGGATGATATGATCGATGGTATGCTGGCGACGTCACCTCGGCTGTTCCGGTTTTGCGGCCAGTTTCGGGATCTCAAGTATGCCGAGTTCGTCGAGCGCTTCAGCATGAGCGACGCTCATCTGGAGCCGTACTATTTCACAACGAATTACGGTCTGCAAATACAACTACCTATCGTGTCAATGTCGCCGCATTTTGAAGGATATCATTATGCGTACCTGGCAGCAGTTCACGCGGAAAGCAGAGCACTAGCGGTCATCTTTCTTCGCCAACGCACCGATCGCCCTCCGGGACATTTCTATCGCGCGCGTTTCGACGGCCAGACGTTGATCCATCAGTATGTACCAGAAAGTGGGCATCCCGAGCATGCGTCAGCTACTAAGCTTCTGGTTTCCGGAAACCCTCCAGCTGACGTCAACCTTTCAGCCTTGAAGATTCAATCCATGCCGATACCATATGCAATGTTCTCTATAAGTCTTACCTCAAGGCTAAAGAGCACCGGATTTGACAGGGCCTCAATGCCTATCGATGCTCGATATTTGAGCTCTTCAGGTTTCACAGCGAGCGACGCTTCAAACACCTGCTTGAGGTCAACACGCCATTATGCGGAAAAGACTCTTCCATCTACTGTTTTAAAGCAAGGTCGACATGTAGCTGCCTTCATTCGAATAGGCAGCGAGCCTGAGCCAAAAGATCTACATGGAATCTTCGTGGCGGTTGCATTCGGATTGCAATGTGGTGAGCCTTGGCTGTTTGTAGAACCTTATGGGAGCTATCAGGATTGCTTGACAGATAATGGAAACTACAGGCACTACTTGCCAGCAGGGGAAATGTTCAGAAAGAACTGGGCCGATGGCGAAGAACTGATGACATTGTTTGCAAGCTGTAAAGCTTTTGGTGCAGCTTCTATCTGGAAGGATAGTTCAAAGAGAATTGTGTTTCTGCGGCGCGAAGGTTTTGTGCACTCTGGGAAGCACTGGAGCTTCAGAGGGGAGACCGCAAACGGGGATTTATGGTCACTTAACGCTTCGATCGAACGTTCAGTTGAATATGAGGGGAGTCCAGAGAATTATGTTCTTCGTTTTGAGATATGATACGTTACTCAGTTATAGAACCAAGGCGTTAACTTGAATCACATACCCTTGCAGTCTCACAGAACTCTCGTCGATCTCAGACCTGCCATATTGAGATTCTTAACGAACACAGATTTAAACTATGTGATGTACTTGAAGCCATTTAAAACTGCCCTTTGCGAATCCTTGTCCAACTGATTCAGTGACTCCTGGTTGTTTAAGTCCACTTCGTAGCACAACCTCTCGAATCTGCGGTTCGCTCGTTTGAGACAGATCCGGAGGGCAATGATACAGCTTAAACCAAGCCCCTGAAATGCCAAGATGCAGGCCCAAGACACGCGAAATCCCGGAGCATATTCGTCCAGCCAAAAGTAGTTGGCGAATAGTGAGGCACTGTTTGCCAAAGTATTGGCAATGCCGATGGCTGCTGCGCGCTTGACGGGTGGCTGCACAATGGTTGACGATAGCCAGGGATACGTCGTCGAGTAGATTCCGAAAGTACCGGCGCTTACGAGAAACGTCATGGCGTAACGTGCCCAACGCTGATCCCCCATGGCAACTAATGAGATTGTGCCAGCGATTGCAGTGATGGCGGAAAGAGCGGCGTGAGGCGATCGCTTCTGTCGTCTGTCGGCATCCCAAGCAAGACTCAAAGCCCAGATGAAGGAGAAGAAGTAAGGAGGCGCCGTGAGAAGAAGAACGTATGTGTTGTTCTTGAAACCGAGTTGTTGAATCAAAGTAGGGAAGAAGTGGGAAAAGGAGATGGACGCAGTTGTCGACATTTGGAGGAGTGCAAACAGCCACACCCTGTAGTCCGACAACGCTGTGAAGATGGCTTGCTTCATCGAAGTATTGTCCTCTGTCAGGGCCTCTTCGCTACCAGCGTCTGCTGCCAATCGTCCTTGGGCAATAATCTTCTCTTCTTCCGTCAACCACTTCGTCGTTCCTGGGTAGTCAGGCAAGAGGAAAAAAGCGGTGACTCCAACCACAATTGTGGCCAGTCCTTCGAGGATGAAGAGCCATCTCCAGGCAGCCAAGTGGCCCACGCCAGCCATGCCTGAGAGAATTCCAGCGGAGATGAGGCCGGCGAAGCAGTTGGAAAGAAGCAAACCACAGACCAAAAGCGCCATGCGCAGGCCCAACTCCTTCTTAGTATACCAACAACTCAGGTAGTATATAGCTCCAGGGAAAAAAGGAGCCTCTACGATTCCAAGAAAAAATCTCACGACCAGGAGTCCGGCTGGGGATGATGTGGCACTCGTGCATCCACTGACCACCGCCCAAATGATAATGCAACCAGGCTGAGTCTTGTTAGTTATGTTTTCAAGTGTGAGAGTATCATTTCTTACCAAGAAAATGTGAGGTTGCATCTTGGTCATCAGCATTGTAGAAGGAAGCTGCATAGCGATGTAACCTGCGGAGAAGATGGAGATCGCCGTCTGATACGTTGCACCCTTGACATGTGTATCTTCTTGCAGTCCATAGAGTCGAGCCTGAGTGATGGAGTTTCGATCGAGATAGTTGAACAAGTAGATGGTAACAATGAGAGGCAGCAGGTGACCATCGATCTTCCGCACAAGTCGTTTCTCAGTTTCCTTTGAGAACTCGGGTGAGTATGACCGGTAAGTGTCCATCAAAGTCAAGGCTTTGGTTGGGACATTTTCAATCTCCTCGCTGCCCTGTTTGGATATGTCATTGGCTTGAGCACTTGTGGCTCTGTCGAGCGCCATCTTGAAAAGCCGGTGCGGACGGTGCTGGGGCAAAGCCTTGGTTGCAAAGTATCAAAGAGAAGTGAGAAGCCAAGCCTGCCAAGAGAAAGATTTCTGATATTTTCTAGGCGACAGCTGATTAGGTCTTAAATGGGTGTTGGATTCCGCTTTCTATGTTCCCACTTCACGTTGCTGCCCCATACCCTGCTTACTCCAGACTCCGCGGTCCGGGGCCGATCCGAAATCCCCTCATTCCCCGTGTCAACCCCAGATTTCCCCGTTCCTACTTCTGAGTCGTGCCGAACAGCCGTTGTGGGTTGTTGACAAGCATGTTGAGCCATTGTTCTTCTGTAAGCCAGCTCTTCAACGCGGTCAACTCTGCGCCTGTATCGACCTCGAGAGGACGCGCCGGACTCAGGTTACCCGTAGTGGTATTGACGTGCGGCCAGTCGCTCCCCCACAAGACATTTCCAGGTGCTGTGTTGACAAAAGACTCGACGATGGGGCGCATCAGCTCGATGTTTGTTGGAGATCTTCGGTGCAGTGCGCCAATCTTGACATAGAATTTCCCGGACTCTAGTAAGCGTAAGAAGTTGCTCAATTCGGGGCTGCCGGCGTCGGATGGCGTGGCGGATCCATCGTGATCAGCGATGACTGATACGTTTTGAAGAAGCGGATGTTCGATGAGCGTCTGCGCTAAAGCTGACCAAGTTGCAAGCGGGAGTTGGGCAGAGATACTCCAGTTATGTCGGTGAACAGGACTGTACTGGGCTACGTCCAAGAACTGGGTGCGGACCCAATCGAGGTTATCCCCTGAGCCTCCGTATGAACCGTGAACACGGACTGATCGAATGCCCGCGTCGTGAAGCTGATCATATTGAGATCCAGTCATGTTCTTAAGCTGAGCTTCGTGTTCTGGGTCCCAGAAAATGGTGCCGGCTGTGTGCTTTCCGGGATCCAAGTCGCGGGCACGACCCAGATTATCCAGCAGACCGGTGAATCCATCTTCTATAGTGGCTTGAACCAGCATAAAGTTATCCGTCCAGGTGTTGTTCAAAGCATCGGTAATGACTGCTGGCTCGGGAGTATAGGAGCGGTTGGCTTTGAATGGGAATTGATCCGGGTTGAAGCAGTGCATATGGCAGTTCCAACTCATTGCAGGGAGCTGCATTAGAGCCATGGTGGATTACTGTCACACGTCGTGACGCGTAACGGTTGTGATTGTTGAGGATGAGATGGAGGATGGTTTTAGGACTCAATAGTATTACCATACCCTTGTCATTCACTTTTATACACTCGTGCTCAACGTCCGTTGAGAAAAAAGGAGAAAACAAGGGAATGACTTGTGTGGTTCGGATAGCCTCCGGCTCAAAACCCTAGTCCCGGAGGGTGTCCGAAATCGACGGAAGGGGTCCGGCATTCGAAGGAATCGCTACGGCATCCGTCCGAGAGATCACCTCTCAGGAAATACACAAGTTAATTTAAAGAGAGTGGATGGCCAATTTGTATATTCTCAGTGTCCATTCTGAAACATTTTGTTGAGCGAAGCTCGCACCTCGAGACGCAGACAACAATTCAACCTGAAACCACCTCACGAAGAACCAAGACGAATGGATCAATAACTGGTTAATTCATTTTCTAACCTTTTAAGCCATGGAAGTCAACTCAAACTATCACTTCACACCTTCCGTTGAGGCCCTTAGTAGAAGACAGCTGTTCCTGAGAGTTCGTTTCTCCCAAGAGCGACCAAGCATGAGCTGGCTATGGCGATGACACTCGATTTCTGGAGCTTGAAGCATCTTGGGCTTCATTTGGTCTCTAAATTGATTTTCGATTGGAGTTTAAGTTGCGACTCGACTCGAGTACCACAACAAACAAGGTAATCTTGGTATTCTCTTGAGACTTGGCAGGGAGGTGTCGCCTCCTTGTATCTACGCCGCGGTCTGAAGTCATCGTCGTCGTTTCCTATGGGCGACCACAATACTAACACCTATGCGATGCCACACATGTGAGAAGATGCACCTTGCCACTGCTTTCTACATGTAGTAAGCAGACGTATGTTTCCGGAGAAAATTGGTCATCGCAAGAATCAGGTCCGTATGTCCGAAATGCGGAGTTCGGTGGGCCGCACGCAACCCGCGGTCCCGCGCGACGCGGAGTCGTTGTGTGATTAATGGATTCAGACACCTTAGGCGCCTACTTCGCTGGCTTGGCGTTGTCATTCTTTCGAGTTGGAAAAGGACACTTCTTCCAGGTCTGAATCCCGCTGAAGCATCGTCAACAAGCTCGCAGAATACAGACTCAAGTGCCATATTCCGAGACTCTGCAACTCCCCGGCCGAGACTCCAATCTTCGACCAACCCCTCATAGCCCACATCCCCCGCAGAGATTCACCATGACTAGCGTCAGCAACGCGGGGCAACCGAACCCCTCCTCCGACCTGCGCATCGAAGTCATCACGCAGGAAGAGGACTTCCACCAAGCCGCCGAAGTCTCGATCAACGCCTTCGGTCATCAAGTACACGATGGCGTCTACGTGGCCATGAACCCCGGCTGGGACACCCCCGAGGGCGTGGCAGCCTCCGGCGAACGCATGGCGAGCCGTTGGCGCTCAATCACCGAGGACAACCAAGGTCGCCCGAACACCGTCTTCCTCAAAGCGACAATCCCGGACCCGGACAACGAGGGACGTCGTCGGATCGCCGGCCTCGCCATTTGGATGCAGGCTTCAGCCGTGGAAGGCTACGGCGAGCCGCACCCGACGGACCTCAAGAAGGCTCTCGGCCTCGAGTCCTTGTACCCCGGCAACGAGTCCGAGCAGCGTTACCTCGCGCAGTGCATGGCTTCGCTTCACAAGCAGCGCGCCGAGGTTATCAAGCAGAAGGCGACGGCGAGCCCTCCGGCTGTGTTCGTTTTGGACCTCTGCGCCGTGGATCCCAAGTTCCAAGGAAGAGGTGCTGCCAAGAGAATGGTCCAGTGGGGCCTTGATGAAGCTCAACGACGAGGTGGCATCGAGTGCATTCTCGAGGGATCGAGCATGGGAAGACACGTTTACTCCAAGTTGGGCTTTAAGCAGGAAGGCCCTGAGATGGAGTACACTGTTGATGAAGAGTTCTTGGACCGCAAGAGGCCGTCAAACATCTTCATGCGTACGGGAACTGCGTAGTATTAGACACTAGACCAGACTGAGAGTGAAAACCATGGAAGAGCAATCATATCGAGGAGACTTTGCAATACGCAGTAGTGCTTTCAAGAACAGATCATCATCATATTCCACTGTTATTACATATTAAACAACCCAGCCCGTCTCAACTCCATCCGACCGATGCCTTATACATATGTACACAAACTAGACTGCGTTGGAAGTAGACTCAGTCTTGGCTTGATGATGCTCAGAAAAAGGTCTGTATTCGCTGGCCTTCTCCTTATGATGCCCATCTCCGACGGCTGTGTGGTCGGTAGTCGTAGAGCCACGGTGGAAGGCTGTTTCATCCTTCTGCTTGCGAGTGATGTAGCCTGGTGGTACCCACTTGCTAGAGGACCAGGGCTTTACATGAGGATCGCTGTACATCCTGTCGACATTCTCAAGGGACAGGCCCTTGGACTCGTAGAGGAAGAACCACACCAAGAGTGCACCGGCCAAATTGCAGCCAGCGAAGACAAAGCCATACGCGTATGAGATGCCTGAATCGGCAAGAGGAGTGAGGAACGAGATGAGGAAGTTTCCGAGCCAGTTTCCAGCAGTGGCAAGCGATGCCTGCTTTGCTCTGGTACGCAGCGGGAAGAGTTCACCGATGACGCACCACGCCATGGGACCCCAGGTCTGCGACAAGTCAGTACGATACGAGCATCGAAATAAAGTGATTCTGATGACTTACGCCTGCAAACGAAGCAATGAACATGCATGCTGATACAATCATGACGATGCCAGTCGTGCGGCTGTTCTCGGGAGGAATGGCAGTACCGACAGCTGCGAAAACAGCAAGCCAGGCAGCCTGCCATATAGCGCCGATGAAGAGTGGCCACCTTCGACCGTACTTTTCAACGACGTACAGACCGTAGAAGGTGAGCGCGACGTTCACGGCTCCAAGGATGAGCTGTGTCATGATAGGGTCCTCAATTCCAGCGGATTCAAAGATCGTGGCTCCATAGTAGAACTAAACAGCATGTAAGCTTCGTGGCCCTCAAATGTTTGTCTGATTCAACGTACGAAGTAGTTGACTCCAGTCCATTGTTGCAGGAAATGCAGGGTCATTCCAAGCAGAGTGCGGTATACTGTCTTGGGAATACCGGAAGATCCGGTGAAGCATTCAGCCCAGGTACCGGTTCCAGTCTTGGATTCTTCCTCAAGGACCTTGAACATCTCCTGAAGGTCTGTTTCGACAAGCTCATTGTTAGGATCGTCCTTCATACCACGGAGACGTGCCATGGCTAGACGGGCACCTTCCCAATCGTGTCGACCAGCAAGCCAGCGAGGGGATTCCGGGACAACAAGGATACCAAGACCTAACGGGCAGGCGAAGGCGATACCGAGGCCAATGACGATACGCCATGAGGCGTCTGACTCTTGGATGTTGCGGACGCCGAAGTTGATGAGGTTGGAAATGAGAATACCGAAGGTGATCATAAGCTGGTATGAAGCCACGACGGCACCTCGAATTTCCTTCGGCGAGCATTCGGACTGGAACATGGGCACGCCGACGGAGAGGTTACCAACTCCCAATCCTGCGGTGAATCTGCCCATCATCATATGTTGCCTGTTGGTAATGCGTTAGGACTTGGTGAACTGGGGAAGTCCAGGGCTGTTCTTGTTGTCCAAGACTTTACTCACCAGCTGTTCATAGCAGTGATCTGGATGATGTTTCCAATGATGAAGATACCGACTCCGAAACTCAAACTCCGCCGCCTGCCCCACCAGTCGGCCGTGTAAGCTCCGGATAGGGCGCCGAGAAGAGTGCCGATGCTCATCAGCGACACCATAAGAGACTGGGTAATGGAAACCCATGTCGGAATGCCATCTTCTTCGGGACCGGTTGCGAATCGTTTCCGGAAGTCGGTAAAGAGAAGCATGCCAGAAATCTGACCCGTGTCGTAGCCGAAGAGAAACCCTCCTATGCTGGTGACAACACCAAGCATAAGCGCTTCAACACCACAGTCGGCGCCATTGACTCGTATCGACCTAGACTTTGAGTTAGCTGCTAACAACTTGGAGACCAGTGCAACGGCTACCACTCACTTTTTCCCTAAGCCCATGATTGCATCGGTCTGGGTATCAAACGGGGCAAATGATGTTGTAGAGAGTGACTCAGCTCTCAAGACGATAACCTCAGCTGGTCGCAAATGGAGGAAATAGAGTTGGGAAAACGAACGTTTTCAAGAACGTTCAATCAGCCCTGAGCCCGGATGACGTCCCACTTCTTCCTTTTAATGCACCATGATGGCTTTATACGCAGCCACATCCTGCAGAGCGGCGGCTGTGGGAGATCGCAGTCGCCTGACAGAAAATGATGACGGGACCGTTAGCATGACGTTGCCCAGAGACCGACCGACTCGGAGTCGGTCCTACCTGATCTTGTCGCTGGGGCGCGGCCCAGGAAGTTTCGAGGGGGCCAAGAATGTGTGGGATGCTGGGGACAGGATGCGGAGTGCGGTACGGAGTACATTCCGTCTCCCCTTCTTGACAGGCCATCATCTGGGGTGGTGAGACGAGGCGCCACGCGAGAGGCCGAGAACGTCGAGCAGCCATAATCCGGGGAAGCGCGATGCACCATTCTCTCCTCGAATGTTCCAACGGAGCGGAAGCGACCTCCAAGAAGTGTGTGCCGTCAGGGACTTTGGACAAACTTGCCAACCACGCAGGCCGTACAGAAACCACCTGTTCATCAGACTCACACCGAAAGCATCTGTTTGGACAGTCTGGGCTGCGGCTTGGAGATCGGCCCCTTGGCTTTCGTCATTGCCGGTCGCACCGCAGGGGTAAGCGGGCCATGGCACACGGAATTGACTTGTGCAGCCAAGAAAGCCACTATGCCGCCAAGGTGAGGCCGCGGTGAGGAGCGGAATTCCCACGCGATCAGTTCTGCTGGTGATTTGCAGCAAAATCTCCTCGATGTCTACTTCCAACCTTGGCCGGTCGCAAGCGGCTCCGGCAACGTGGGGCCGATTGTACAACACCATCTCTTGGAATGGACGGCAGAAATGAAGGGATGACGATCGTGAGACCCTCACGTGCGAGTCAGCCAACGGCAGCTCCGAGCCTGTTGCCCTGTTTATGGGAGAAGAGTCTGAAAGCTGTCGGTGTCTTAGCAAGTCCGCACGCTGACTTGCTGACGCGGTCCATCAAAGAGAATTTGAGTGTGCAGAATTCCAGGCCGCAATGTCAATCATTCTCCTGATGTCTCTGGCGTAGTTGGACGTTGTCAGAATAGAATTATCGCATGCAGGTTGAGTGGACAAGATGTTGATCCGACGCACATTGCGATGAATTGCCTCTCCCAGATCGCTGCGATTCTCTCGGATTTGGGGTGACTGGTCCAATCATCGAAGCAGCCCCGGACTCCGCTGCCGTGGGATGTCTCAGAGCTCCTTACCCCTACTCCGTACATCTCCGCCGTTCCACTCCGGAGGCCCCGGGAAGCCTGATGGTTGACCGCCAGAACTCCGGAGTCGTGCCCGGGGCCCCAGACGACACTCCGCTCCCCGCAGCATGAAATTGAGGGATAGCATAACGGTCCGATTGAAGACTAGACTCGCTCATGGCGTCGCTGAAAACAACGGACCGACTCAACGGGCCTTTGGTGGAGCAAAACGGGCGATAATTGGGGATTCAACGGCTTGGCTTCTTGGTTTTCCACGCGTACGGAGGGCTAGCCCAGTACGTTGTCCAGAGCAGTAATAAATCATTTCGGACATTTCCCGTTGATACCTGGTGTCTTTTCTGGTGTCTTTTCTTGAGACTTCCGCTGCTTTGCCTGTTTTGCTTCTTAGTGCCGAGTTGACCTTACAAGAAATTCTATGCAATCGATCTTCTAGGGCATCGGCGTACAGGCATTGTGATAGTGAGTCCCTGTTTAGTTTGAATGAGACTGCTTTGGAACGTGCAATCATGCAGCATGTATTCTGAACAACTTTTTCCTTGAGAAAAACGATAACATGCTGTTAAATCGTAATCTAACGGGAAGGATTGGGTTTCTTTCCAGCTACTCACCCCCTTACTCCCGCCTGTGGACTACTTGTCTATATTTCCTTCACGAAGCGCCTAGGCCGAGACCACGTCAAAGAGACCTATAGCCACTTGTCGTTGGCAAATACCCTCTTTTCACATCTAAAGCTGAATCACCCGTCCCGGTTTGTAGTCATCCGACTGCTCCGTATAGTCCCCTCGCTGATTGCTGAACACAATCTTCCCGGTCGTCTCGTCAAGGAAGTTACAGTTGAAATGGGTGTGACCGAACGCCCAGAGCACGACATCACGGCTCTTCCAGCATTCTTGATCGCTCAGGTCGGTGCAAAACCCTGACTTGAGGAGGTTGTTGAGGTGGAGTGGATCCACTGCCTTAGGGTCGACAGTCGGGCTGTAGTGTGTGAGGATAACGATCTTGCGTTCTGGGTGCTTCGCTTTTATTCCGGAGACTCGATTATTGAGCCACCTCAGATCTTCTTTGTGCTCTCGACAATGCTTCTCGATAGTCCAGCCAGCGATCAAGTGGAAGTCGTTAAGGTCGTTGCCCAGGCGCTTCATGGCCCGGGGATGAATAGCAGAGAATAGCGTGCATCCCAGTATCGTTATGTTGGTGTGTGGGATTTCGAACTCTCCTCTGTATAGAAGGACGTATTCTCCAAGTCGTCCCGTGGGATTTGACGTTCTCTTTAAACGGTTGGCTGTTTGATATCTCTCTAGCTTCGTCAAGGCTGTATGCCAGCTGGATCCGTATGCCTCGCGGTTTCCGAGGACGTGAAAGACCACCTTGAACTTGGACAGCTGTGCGTCGAGAAAGGAGGCGTACCCGATATCTGACACACAACCTACATCGCCCAAAAGGGCGAGAAAGGGTGATCCCGGTACGATGGTATCGCAAGCATAGCTGGAGTGCTCGAGATGAAGGTCCGACACCACTTGTAGGTTAACCATTTTGAATGTAAAACGGAGTTGTTTTCCAACAGCGGGTCAGCTCTGTGATATATGTATTTGTAAAGAAAGTAGGTAGCCAAGAGTATTATCATTTTGAATGCGACTTTGACGTCGATGACAATATAAACAAAGCCTTCGTGCCGGGAAGGAAACAAATAAATACCCCTACAAGATTCCAAGATTGTGAACCAAAGAGGTATACAATCAGATCCAAGCAGATGACCAACTCTAATTCCCAGTAGACTCGCCGATTTTGAGGTTCTGCCTGCCAGTCAGTCACCCTCGGTACTTGAGTACCCTTTCGATCGTTTTAACATAGACGTAAACATGAAATTCGCAGACTTTAATTTCCATACTTTTTTCTACAATGAAACTCCCTGGACGCTCATAACTCCTATCTTTCCCGTGTCTGTCTAATCATCAACACATTACAGCAGCTCTCTCACAGCACAAATATTGCTGTTCCTGTGAGGGTCTCTCAGTCTTTCCACAAGAGCCTGCATTTCCAACAGCACCTCGTCCCATTCTTCAGCGGGGATAGACGAATCCATGATCTTGGCCGCGAGATATCTAGAAGCTCGATGGGAAACTTCAAATGCTCCAAAGTTCTCGTCACCGTCAGATCCCATAATGGACGAGGGGAAAATCTCCATAAGACGCATTCGACGCTGCAGAGAATTGAATGTCTCCATCCGTTCTAGCTGCGTGTTCAATGTCCCACGTTTTATCCATTCCTGGAAGGAAAATCGCACAGCGCTCTCACGGGAGAATTTTTGAAGACGGGTGATGTTGGCAATGATGTAGTCGGCTCGAAAATACCATCGCAGTTGCTCATGAACGACACGGCTCTGCTTCGGCCCCCCGTTTTTCAACGCGTAGAGATATTTTTGATACGAAACGTACAACGAAGGTTCGTGCCGGATTCCATAGTTCCAATCGCGGTCGGGGAAGGCTTCGCGGAAAAGCTGCGCCATGCGAAGCTGTTGCGCGTCCGTTTCCTGCCACTTTCTCCTGACAGACCGCGCCCACGACCGGATGAAAGATCCACTGACCCAGTGCGTGAGTCGCCTTGCTGCCTTCTTGATCTTTGTCCAAGCGAACTTGGGCATGTCTTCGCCCGATCGCATCCGGTTGGCTTTGTCGGCAACAGATGCCCTCAATGAGAAAACGTTTTGCGAAACTGACCGGAAAATGAGCGCCATGATGTCTCGCTCTCGTTGAAGATACCTGGTATCCGACAGAAAGTACTCCATCAGTTCATTTCCCACATAGAGTCTGAAGAGTTCCAAGGCCGGGTCAAACTCATTTTCGACATGCCTCTGCATGGTCACGCGCACGCAGTGTCCTGGAAATGCGCAATGGCCTTGATTGTGGTTACAAGGACGAGCTGTGGACGCCATTCCGTACAGTGTCAAACTGATACAACGTAACGTAGGTTGTCTGGAAGTGCTGGTAATGATTTCGTAGAGTAATGGCGTGTGCGTTTCTGGTAAAACGGAACTTGGTTGGATGTTATCGCATCTACTTGTATCAAGTGGTTGGGATGGAATCCTACGGGGACCTTTGTTGGATCTTACAGAACTGTAGTCGTCCACTCTCTCTGTGTCGGGAACATGGCTTTCGTGAGGTTGAAGTTCGCGTTCCATTGTTTCTGTGGTGAGGCTCCAGTGAATGTAGCGTTCTTTGTGATGCGGCCTTCAGAGAGTGGCTGTTCAATGGTATTGTCCAGAAGAAATAAAATAAATATGTTTCTCCTGTACTCCTTTTGTTATCGAATCATAAGAAAACTTCAAACACTTTTGTTCGGGTTTCCCGAGTTTTCTGCAGCCAAAAGATATGTGGCGAGCAGGCCGCATCTCCGATGGGATTTACGAACGCCACCAAGGTGCACCATCACTGTCCATTCTTAACTCAAAATGAGGCAAAGTTTCAGAGTCGAGCGGCTGATGCCTGTTTGATTGAGAAGGTATCTCGCAGTTGATGCCGTGGGTAAAGACACCCAGACCTAGTAAGTGCTGTTCATGACAGAAAGCCGACCACCGTCCGTCACAAGGATAGATCCATTTGAGTAGCTTCCAGACCTGCTGGCAAGATACAGAATCGCGCCACTCATCTCCTCGTCCCCGCCAAATCGCTGCGCCGGAATGAACTTATTGTCATTTACCGTCTCTTCCTCTGGCTTGCGGTCACCTATGATGCCTGCAGCCATGTCCGAAGGATACACTGGGTTGGTTAGCGATCAACACCCTCACAGAGCCCGATACCCAGCGCTCTGACTTACATCCTGGAGCGATGGCATTGACACGAATGCCGAACCTCGCAAGCTGCGTGCTAGCCTGTTTCGTCACATGCATGATCGCGACTTTGCTGGTCATGTAGGGAGGAGTCGAAACGAAATGGCGGCTGAAGGCGGAGATACTAGTCGTAAAGATGACCTGACTCTGGATGACTGGAACCTTGCCGCCATCAACGGGCTTACCGAAACCACCCTTGAGGGCGTTCTTATTCCCAGCGTCGAGCAACTCAAGAAAGGCGGTCATGGTGAAGAATGCCCCCGTCACGTTGATGCTCAAGACGTCGTTCATGTCCTCCATGTCGAAATCGGTGAAAAGAGTCTTGCGCGTCTCTTGAATGGAGTGGTCTGGGTTGAAGCGCACCGGAGGACCGAGGCTTCCGGAGTTGGCAATCACCAGGTTGACATAGCCGACTTCCTTGGTGATTTGGTCCACGGCCGCTTGGAGGTCTTCCTTGGAGGTAACGTCGCACTTGATAGGAACGAAGCATGAGAACTCCTTGGCTGCGTTCTCGAGGAGATCCAGCCGACGGGCCAGAATGTAGACCTTTTGGGCGCCGTTGGCGGCTAGAGCCTTAGCCATGGTCAAGCCAATGCCTGTGACAATCAGCGATACCGGTCTTGAAGAGCAATCATAGGCGTCATAACTTACCTGTGCCTCCACCGGTGATGACAGCGACCATGCCGTCGACTCGAAAAAGAGTGCTTGAATCCATCTTTGAAGGTTAGTGGTAAACAACTGAGAATGGTGTAGATGTTTTGTTTTGAAGTTTCTACTCGGCAGAGAGACCTCTGTTCTTTTATGTCTTGATCATCGTCCGAAGATGGCGCTCAAAGGACGAATCAGACTTGCCGTATCCGAAGCCACCCCCTCACTGTCGACATCAGCCATAGACTAGACCTTTAAATCAGCAATTGGCCAATAGAAAGCTTGATAGTACCCAAATATGACCTTTGATCGCCTCATGCTGTTAGCGTCGGCCGCATGTCCCGCCCAGCAACCGACAAAGACATGTCTCATTTTGGATTGGTAAGACTAGTTTACAAATCAGCTGGCGTTGGCACGACATCTGATATCAGCTTGACAACATCACTTATTCGTGATAGTCATACAACGCCGTTTTGACCCGCGGGAAACCCTATGAAAAACCCAGTGTGTTTGACGTATCCCTTGTGTGGTGGCCGATAAATGTCATTTCACGCCATACAAGTCTGCTTGAATTCCAAAGGGCAAAAAGTGAAGCGCGACAAGGGAAGAGCACATTGAGTATACTTAATGTGGTGATGGGCTTGGTAAAGGAACCTCTCGCTCGTCGTCTCGATAATTTGACGACAAAGGGTATATCTGTTGCGACTGACATCCATCGGTCTTCAAATCCGATGTCGCCGAGAAAACAGCCGACCTAACACCCCAGTGCGACGAATATGACCAGTCAGAAGCCCATTTCTTCCCGCAGGCTCACCACCAGATTTGTAAGAACGGATAATCCGAGGACCATGTCAGCACGAGCTATTATCACGGCCTCCATGGCGATCTACCGTCTATATCCAGACCTCGTTCTCAAAATGAATTCATAACCTTGGGTACCATTGCTTCTATAAACGTTTCTACTCTATAGCCGCCAGTCTTGACAAGCAAAATCTATTTCTTGTTCGAAACGTCTAAAAGAGACCGTTAGTACTCTGTTACAATATGATTGCAGCATTGGGGTTGTTTTTCAACGTACTGAATTGGAAGTGGATGATATCTCCGTCTTGGACAACCTGGGAGAAGATTTCAATGTCAGCACTGCAGCATCAAGACGGGTTTGAGCACTTACATATGACTTTCCCTCTTGTCTGTACTTTCCAGCAGCCTTGATGGGGCCCATGGACTTGCCTCCTTCGCAGAGATCGTGGAAGTCTTGGTAGGCGACCACTTCGGCTTTGATGAATCCCCTCTCGAAGTCGCTGTGGATAGCTCCAGCAGCTTGGGGCGCGAGGCAACCCCTTGGGATAGTCCAGCATCTGATCTCCTTCTCACCAGCTGCGTACAAATCAGCATGGAAATTCACTCAGGGGTAGCAAAAGTGGGAGCAGACCAGTGAAGTAGTATTGCAAGCCGAGCTTCGTGAATCCCTCGGTGACGATCTTGTCCAGTTTTGACTTGACCTTGCTCTCCTTGAGAAATTCGGCCTGCGCGGCGGGATCATCCTTCAAGCTGTGAAGCTTCTCCTCGAACTCGATGGAGAAGGGGATGATGTCGCGGGGAACGCCGCCGTGCTCGGTAACCCACTTGGCGATGGCCGGCAGGTACTTGCTCTTCTGTCTGAGGTAGTCCTTCATTGTCAAGTTGACGAGGTAGATGGTTGGCTTGGTGGTGATGAGCTGGATCTTCTCGTTGATGAGAGCGATCTCGGCCGGCGTCCAGCTTCCGTCTCTGACTGGCTGGTCCTTCTCAAGCATCTATGTCACGAGTATGAGCATGTTTCAAACGTTGAAACCTTTGCGACTGGAACTTACGGCTTGGATCTTTGTTGTTGTCTCTGTGAAGAGAGGCAGCATCTTGTATTTGCCACCAGCCTTTCTGACGATTTGTTCCTCGGCGACAATTGTCTTCTGCAGAATGTCTGAAATGGAGGGGTCAGCTATTGTCAAGAGGATTTGCACGGCAGGACACACCGAGATCTTTCTTGCAAAGCTCGCTTTGGATGGTATCTGGGAAATGGTCCTATTAGTTTCGTCAAGTTGAAAGGCTTGGCTAAACCAACCCAAGTCCCGGACAGGATCGACAGAGTCGTCGACATGAAGAACTTCATCGTTATCGAATGCTCTGTCATAGAGTTCAAGGTTCAGCATGACGGCACGGTATTCGAGTCATGAGTTTTGTACCTGACAATGTGGAACATGCCGTCAACAGCCTGGATGTGAGACAGGAAGGCATTTCCAAGTCCCGCTCCTTGCGAAGCGCCCTTGATCAGGCCAGCAATGTCGGTGACCTGCAGATACGCGGGGTACATGGAAGGCGGCTTCCAAAGGTCACACAGAAAGTCCTAAACATATCGCCTATCTTAGTCACCTATTGGGATCATTTTCGCAGGCAGTCTCGACTCACATATCGAGCGTCGGGAACGGCACATCTCGCCTCATTGGGCTCAATCGTACAAAAGGGGTAGTTCTCTGCCGCGGCGCTCTGCTCGGTCAAGAGGTTGAACAGACTGGACTTCCCCACGTTGGGCAGACCAACACATCCCATCTTCAGGTTCTTGCTAACCCTTCCGAAAGCGACGACATTGTCCTTGACAACTTCAACCTTCTTGGGCGGCATGATGGCGGTAATTTAGCAAAGCACAAATGAATTTTCACCAAAAAAAACACTCGATCTTGGAGGGATGCAAGAAGACAGAATTCTCTGGCAAACTCTTCAGAAAGTGGCCTGATAATTCACTTCCAGGCCCACTTAAAGACATGGGCATCGGGGATTTTCTGAATTAGGGGTCTTCCTCTCAGTGACAGTCTCGAGACAGCGGCCCGCCCCACGCGCTGCTTTAAGCGCTTCAATTCGACAGTCTACCTGCGTGCACCTCAACTTTGAGAAATCTTCATTGCTTTCTGTTTCTATAAAATTGCGTTCATGGGCACTAGAGATGCTGCTAAACCAGCCAAGCTCCCATCGCTTGCTGAACATGGAGTTGGCAAAAGCCATTACACAAATGACTGTCCAAACTTGGTATTACCGAACTTCCGCACGCCTCAAGACTCCAGAGGTTCAACGTCTGATAAGCGAAGATGATAATCCTCATAGCCTCCAGTCCTCGTCCTCCATTGAAAACAACAGCTATCTTGTTCTCTGCTTGCCGGGGAACACTCTCTCGTTCCATGGGTCTACCCACGGCGTTCACACCAAGTCGTAGACACTTCGCTGAGTGAAAGAACCAGTCTCGTAAGAGGGTTCATCTCCTACTTCATCCTCGCTGCCATGATTTTCCGACCCTGCGTAGCTTCGATACATCGGTGGTGGGCTCGAGTCTGGTGATGCCAGAAGTGGAAGCGTCGTCGGGTCTGCGGGGACGTAGAGCGGCAATGTGTCTTCTGAGTGTGTTGATGAGCTTTCCGGTGGTACATCCTGTCTGCGGTTGCGTCTGGAGTGCGTTGCTATTGGAGTCTGTCGATTTTCTGGTGATCCATAGAGTGTCAATCCGATGAAAGTGAAAATGGCGAGCCAGAATGATGATAAGGTAAGGACGATAATAATTTGCAAAACGATGTCGGCAAGCCCACTGTGGTCGTAACTTGGATCATTTCCAGGATTTCCGTGGTCTGTAGTATTGTTCGACATTGTGTACTATGCTATTGATTCGAGACGATGCTTCTCGGTTTGTGATATGCAGTTGAGTCTGTGAACTTTGATGAGAATTGGTGTCTCTTGCACAACATCTGCATTTACCTTCCAATCAGTCCAGGAGGCTATCTCTAGCATAGATGGCCATCGTCTCGCAGATCAAAGTGTGTGAACATTGGACTGAAAGCCCAAGGATTGGTCACGTATTCTTTTCAAACGCGTATTTTATATGCAAAGCGTGTAGCCTCTGAAAATTTTCAATCTGTTGGCTGTTACCTGGAAAGCTATACGTTTTAGCTATCTAGTGAGATTTGGTCGATACCATCCATATACGAGTCAAACTTAAATGGCAGACAGCCAACCTAGGGAGCCTTGATGAGTTAGCACTCTAGCTTAACGGGATGTTAAAATGGGTATGGCGGCTTCTTTGACCTCCACTCATCATCAACCTTGTGCAACTTTCATAGCGGTGGTTGCCTCGCATCTCTCTGGTCTGGAACCCCCAATGGCTCTGCTTCTCATCGTGGTTCGTGGCTGGCATCTTGGCTCAAATTTTCATGAATACTGCGAGCAGCCATATGGTGAGTTCAGCAAAACTCAGCTAACTTCTCGTCGTAATCAATATGTCCGTCTTCCATGCAGTGCAGCCGGATAGAATGCTCATCGTCCAGGCCTTCATCGTACCAGAGACTGACGAACTATACGGCCCCGCCAAGATTGTCAATATCGTGAAAGCGAGGATTATGGAGACTAGAAAGCATGATAATCTAACAAGCGCGGGTTTAGCCCAGCTGAGAAGTAGCTATTCCAGCGTCTGGAGAATGGTAAAAGCTGCAAATTTTAAGAGGAGCAAAAAGAGATGGAGCTGGGAGGATTCGAACCACCGCCTCTCTGCCAATTTTAGGTTCTAGGATGAAAGGAGTGGACGGCAGAGCACTCTAACCACTAAGCTACAGCCCCTTTAGAATGTGAGTGTTACCTAGAGAGGGGCAGATGGTGTTAATACATCTTCGCAGCCCTTTCGGAAGCGCAGAGCCGGAGAGGTTGTGGGCGTTTTCTTAGTCCCAAAGATTTCCAACCGGGTTGATGGGGACACGTGTACGGTATGAACAGGACCACGCTGGATCCAAAGCTTACTTCGTGGGCATGGCTGGTATTTCGAGGCGGGCAGACAAGTTTTATGGTGGAGCACTCTGCTTGGGAGAGCTAAGATGCACGCGGTGACAAGAAGATTTGTAGTTTGGCCTAGTTACCTAGTTACGAGGAAGAAACCTCAAGTTAAGCATGAGGGCAAAGGAGGTTGAAGAGACCGTGTGCGGGTTCTGATAGTGTCAACAAATGAACACGGCCTCAGAGTATCATTCGGGAATTCCATCTTCCATGTACCATTTCACGTTGAATAAGTGCCCGAGGACCTTTCAAGAGTCCCGTTTGTGTATGTACGGCAATGATAATCCCAAAACGTCTGGCTCTCCCGAGCTTCGGGGATCTTCGGCCCCTTACAGCGTTCCGACCCGACTCGGCGAGTCGGCCCAAGTTTAAATGTCCTTGCCGTTGACAAGGGGCTTGCCGCCGACCTGTCGTGACCCACATGGGCGACGATGGCTTCCCTGAGGTTGGAGAGTCAACAGGAGATATGAACTACGGGCATAGATCGATGAAGTATATGAGGGGTCTTTCGACTCCTCGCCGATGACAAGTTGGCGAACCTCATCTTCTGCACCGCAATCTTGTCACATCTTGGTCTTGAAAGGAGCACCATGACAGTCCAAACGAACGACATTCCCAAGCCCATACACGAAAGCACTATCAAAGATGGTGTCCTGCGGTGGCCTTCAACCGGTTTGGAGGTCCTCGTCGTGGGCGGCGGACCTGCGGGCTACCTTACGGCCCTTGAATGTTGGAGAAAGGGCCACAACGTCAGCCTGCTGGAGAAAAGCAATGGAAACTCGACCATTGGTAGGTCTTCAAGATCTGAGTTGGATGAAAAACTTGCTCACCATAGCCCAGGCGACGTGGTGTTCATCGGTCCTTCAGCATGGCCAACCCTGAAGAACTATCCGGCCATGCTGAATGAGTACCAAGACATCTCGTGGGACAACTACTGCACTTTCCGCAGACTCGACGGGAGTCTCATCGTGCCTCCTCAAGAGTTCGAGTACAACCGATCCGACGTTCCTCATCATGCTGCCTGGCCGCTGAGGGTGCGATCCATGGTCAGCCGACCAGGGCTGGCCGAGATGCTCTACCAGCAGTGCCAACGGCTCGGCATCCCAGTGACTTTCGGCGTGAGCATCGTCGATTACACTGAGAACGCCGATGAGGGCTCAGCGACTGCTGTTTCTGACGACGGCCGTCGGTTCACCGCCGACGTCGTTGTTGCTGCGGATGGCTTGGGTACGAAGTCTCACAAGGCAGTCATGGGAGAAGTCATCCGGGCTGTGCCGACGGGTTTCGTGATCTGCCGCATCTTTTATCGCCTGGATCCAGTCAAAAATGCAGAACTTTACGAGAAGCTCGCTGGTCAATCGCGTCCTGATATGCGCGCTTACTCGGGGTATGCTCATGATGCGCCATATGGCTGTAACAAGGGCTGACTTGCTTTCAGTGACCATTTCCACTGCATCGTGAGCGCCGGTAGCGACAGTATTGTCGTCGGCATCACCCTTCCAGTGAGCAATATCTGTGTTCACACTTGAGCAAAGTGGCTGACAAGAGAACTAGGACGACGGCACTGCCCAAGAGTCCTGGTCCGAGACCATCACTAGTGAGGATTTCGTCAGCAGGTTCCCAAACGCTGGCGAAACCGGAGCCTGGGACCCTTTGATACTCGAAGCCATCCGCAACATCCCCGAAGACTGCATCGTGAAATGGCAGCTGTGCTGGCGCGACCCGCAGTCCAGATGGACGTCGCCTGGAGGACGCATCGTTCAGCTGGGAGACAGCGCACACGCCTTCATACCGAGCTCGGCTTCCGGCGCTACCACGGCACTGGAAGACGCCCAATCTCTAGCCGAATGTCTCCGACTTGCTGGAAAAGCAGATGCTCACGTCGGAACCAAGATTCATGAACTTCTTCGGTATGTTGCTCCGGCATCCCGGCTTCGGAAGGAGGCTGTTACTGATTGATCCGCTTGTCTTTCGTAGCCTCCGACGCGCTTCGGTGTTGCAGCGTCTTGGGTTTGCGAACAGAACCGAGATGCACCGCGCTGGGGGGATGGAAGAGGTCATGAAGCATACGCCTTCAGGAGGACCTATGGGTCTCGGCAAATGGATCTGGACTCACAACGCCGAGGCGTATGCCACAGAGAAGTTCAACGAAGCGCGAGAACACTTGAAGAACGATGCGCCATTCGAACATTCAAACCTTCCGGTCGGGTTTAAGTGGGAGTCTTGGACCATGCAGGACGAGCTCGAGAAGGTGAAGCAGGGCATTCATACACCTGACTTAAAGCTGAACGGAGACTGGGGCATTTACTAGGTAGGCATGGCCTAGTAAGTTCAAAGACAGACAGAACTCAAAAGGAAGACAGACAGCTAGTCGTCGATAATGCTTGCAATGAAAAAAGTAGCGAAAGAAAGTTTCCATATGAGTCAAAAATGAGAGGGGCCCAATCGGGATTCGAACCCGAGACCTCGCCCATTCACGCTGTGCATGAGGGTATATAGAACCCGAAGGGCGAATCATACCACTAGACCATTGGGCCGACATCGGCTAACAGTTCCTGAGGAACCGAATGCGGTAGTTGCTGGCGGTGGGGAGCGAAATTAGTGCTTAAGTAGCTCGCGCGTGCTCTGTAGTTGCTCCAAACAATCTAGTTCTCGTTTCTTGGCGATTTTCCCTTGCTTTTGTTTCCCTCTTTGCATCTCTTATAATGGTGAGAATTTGCTCATTTATTTCGCTGTAAACAAATCGCTCAAATTACTGCGTCTACGTATTCTTACACATCTGGTTGATCTTCTGTACCGCAGCTCATGACAGTCCCGCCAACCTCCTGAAGCCGACATTCTCAACAACCCTCAACCCGCCATTCAGAGTGATGATTCCCTTGCCGCCAGCCGCCATGCCGGCATCATGCTTGCCCATCGCCATCTCCGCCATGAACCCTCCCAGAATCTCAGTCGGGCTCATGAGCGACGGCGCCATCCTGATCAGGGGTCCCAGAGTGACGTTCATGACGTTGTACGCCAGCCCCGGGTTGGGAATGTACGGCTTGATGGCGGTGTGGTTGGCGGCGTCCACGAAGGCCGGGCGGATCGACTCGGCCTGCAGGCGGGGGTCGGCGGCGCGCATCTCGGAGAGCAGCGTCTCGGTCTCGCCCTTGACGCGGGCGAAGATGGCGCTGAAGAGGCCCGGTTTTTGGGTGGCCCCCTCGCCGGAGACGTAGACGAAGCGGAAGGGCTCGTTCTCCGGCGGCAGTGTCGCGAATGCCTTGGCCGCTGCGATGGTGTAGTCCTTTGTGATTTTTACGTATTCTCTGCGGACTTTGTGAGCAGACGGCGGTGGCCTTAAGATGACTGGGAGCTTACTCCTTGGTGACTTTGCTCTGGCTGATGCCCAATGCCCATACCGCGCCGTTTGCGCCTTTCAGCTTGTCGAGGACTTCCGAGTCGTACTTTTCAAAGTCCTTGTGAATGATGACATTTATGCGAGGATCTTTGGCGTCCTCGACCATGGGGATCGGTCTTCTGCTGAGAATGGAGATTTTGGTGACGTCCTTCATCTTGATCATGGCGTCCAGGACGGACGAGCCGACCAGGCCACTTGCACCGGTGAGAATGAGATGCATTGTCAGTTGTCGCGATTGGGAAGCAGTGGGTATCTTGGTGAAGCTATATTGAACCGAATTGAACTAAGAACAAAATCATCTGTGGGAAGTCGTCTCTTTAAGACTTGAATCCATCATATCGCCCATAACTCCACATCCGCTGCGCGTAAGCCGCCGCAGGCGTCAGTTGGCGCAACGGCGCCGGAGTTAGCATAGGTTATCACCACTACCAGCCGAAGATGCTGTGCCGCCCCCGTGCTGTCTCAACGTCTTCGTGGTAGCTGAAGCCTGGAGTACTAGCTGAGATAACCCAAAGTATCTTGTTCATCATTTATCTTGTCGACGGGGTGAATACTGCGCCGGGCTGGAGGACTTACAGGTCGCTTGAGTCTCCCGACTGGTTCCATAGCTCAACTAGTGAATAGAATCTACTGATCAGAATCATATTGACGGAATAGCGTCAGAACATATCAGCGGACGCAGTGCATGCTGCAGCTGACTCGGAATATGACATTTAGACGCTGGTAATTCCGACCGTGCAGCATGTCGTAACAGCTCAGTCAGGCAGTGCTGTAGGCTGCTAGAAGGTGTCGCAATGGACCACCATCAGATGCAAAGCCAGCGTAAACTCCGATTATGGCCGAAATTGCTAACACTCTGCAGATAACGAATCTTTCACCTCACCGTGTCGCGTTCAATCTCACCGTCTTCTTCGTACACCGACAGCAGAACTGGGTTGCTGATTGTGAGATCAGTCGGTAAGCTCAGCTCTCGGTGAGCTTGCGGTCATCAAGTTGCGTTATTCATCTTCCACAGTGATTTTCGGTCGACTAGAGATGGAATTCTTCCTTTTTGTCTTTCTTTTTTTTTTTTTTTTTTTTTTTTTTTTTTTTTTTTTTTTTGCGACTGAACTTTCAGCCTAAGGAACGGTGAGGTGAGTATGAGGCCCAGACAGAAGCATCAAGAAATGAAATGAAGATGGCTTACATAATTTTTCCCGCCCATTGTCCAGCCCCCAAATGCCCCTGGCTTCTTCAAATTCTCGTTGTTTCACTCTTCACGAACAGAATCAACATGGAATGAGAGAATCATAACTACAGTGGCACAGATGCTACGGATCCAGCCCCAAGAGTACCAACATGAGTCTTTTAAGAATTTGCCCGCATTAGTCACCGAAGCTGGTGATAAATGTGCCGTGGTCGCATGAACGCTCAATTGGCAACTTCGCGACCGAAAACTCCAGAGGTTCAGCCCACCGAAACCCAACTTAATCAACATAATGGCGCTAAGTGATACCTACCATATGGCAATTCAACACACGATTGTTTTCAAATCGTCATGATTGTCATCATTGTCGGCGTTGTTATTGCTGTCAGTCATCGTCGGTGGAGTACTCATGTTAGATCATCCCATATGCTTTCATAGCGCGCGGCTGTCGAACTTCTCTAACAAACCTCAACCATCGTGACCGTTCTATTGATTCGGGGTCACTCTGTTTCTTAGCGTATGCCCTGTTCAAGTCGAGACACGTGCGTCGCACATTCTGTCCCGAACTCTCGGATCATGGAACTATTGGGTCGTGACAGGGAACTGACGAGAGCCATTGCCGACTTTTCTGCGGCTCTTGACGAGGTGACAGTGGCGCAATGCAAGGAACGGCTCACCGGCATCAGACGCGGCTGGGGGATCCCATTCACATGCGACATGGACAATCACAGCGCGAGTTCACGTGGCCTCCAGCATGATCATTGGGGGCCGACTGGAGCAATTGCAAGCTGGTCCGGCCCAGAGTGCAGAGTTTTCTACCTGTCAGCGCTATCGTGAAATTTCTTTCACTACGAGGGCCTCGCATTATCGAAATGCAGCATCCTGTCCTCATGAGGTTTCTTGGTCAAGAGAGGCTCCAAGTCAATCTTTGCCTGAGAAATTGGCGCCTGCCGACTGCCAGATGTTGATCCCTGCGTAAAGACAGGATTCACTTCAGAGGGCGCCAACATCTTCACGGGAAATTCAAAGCTGAACAAACACAACTGTCGGGCAACACTTCCGGCGACCACTCTACTTCACCGACGCGATGAGCTTTTCCCAGTGCGAGTCAGTCCAATAAAACCACAACCTCTGCCAACTTGGCAAGTCTTGGGTGTTGATAACGGCCCGATCAAGTGGACCGCGTCTGTGACGCTAACGGCGAGGGCAGGTCCAGACGCCTCTCGTGGTCTCGATGGCGGGGCGACTTTAACGTCGAGAATGGGGCGGCTGGGGAAAACCCCAAACTCTTTATGTTGCGGAGACGAGATCCAGACGGCCCCAGACGAATCTGGGGAGCAGAATACGGGGTTCGCTAGGCGTGTTCGTCTGTGGAGCGTGAGACTCTTTGGAGAGATGCCAGCTGGATATCGAGCACTTGAATGATCATGTGAGGTTCAATGCGGCTCTATTACGAGGCCTGCTTACAGCAAGGATGAAGATATTCCAAGACCACGCGAGGTCTTCGCAAAGCTCCGATGCCGCCGGCATGACGAGAAATGAATGGCACCCCCAAGAGTCTGGGCGCCCGTTCTGCACAGGGGGGTCTGAGGGATATCTCACCATCTCCAAGGTTTAACGTGTCGCCCATGGGGTTCCCCAACCGTGCGATGGGGACCGCGAGATGACGCTGTGGAGGCTTCAGACGAGCGCAGCCCAACATGTCAACAAGAGGCCGGACAAGCATGATGCTGGAGGCCACGCCAGTGAAGCCATCGTCGATGATGCTAAGATATCTGGGGATGTTAACATAGTCATCTAGAAACTAGCCGTAATCATTTCTTCCAGCGAAAGCCCAAGTCGAGATGTCATCTTCGCAAATGTTGAATCTATCTGGCGCATCTCTCTATGCGTTGAAAGGGGATCAATTCGCCCAAACCACCGGCGTGCCAAGCAGAGATCGCACCGAGAGACACGAAGCCATCTTTTCGCTCACGTTCCAACAACCTTCTGGCTACTTACCGAGCCGGGAATAGCTTCACGGCAGTTCTCCCCTTCTCCTCCAGGTGATTGGACGGAGTCGTCCTCGACAGCGCCCTAGTCCATCGACAGGCGCGATATGCCAAGCTGTCCCTGGACCCCCGCGCTTTTCCCCTTTCGCTCCCCCGCACCGGCTCCCGTTCTTGGTTCATGGGGGTGTCGCCGCGAGAATCAGCGAGGAAATGCGCGCCCGGCCGAATTGTGGGCGCGTTCCAAGACGGCCTTCTGCCCGTTCTCCGTGGCATTCTCGCCTTCGTGAGTTCGACACGGCACAGCTTTGCGTCGTCGCAAACACCCCTGGGCGGCGCCATTTTCACGATCATACTCCCTGACAGTTCGACAGGCTGGCCACGTCTAGCGTCGTTTACACGTTTCCCGTAGCATCGGTTCGTGGTTTTCAGGCGCTCGAGTTACTCATCTTGACTGTTTTTTTGGCCCTGGTCCTGGTCTCCATGTCAAACATCGATGCCAAGGGCGACGCCGGACCCAGTGATGATCCAAGCCATGGACCACAGAACTTGACAAGCACCTGGGGGTGGATGGTTGGGGTTGGACGGAGTAGTCCCCATGTCCCATGGGGGTGAGCATCGTCGTTTGGAACTAAGAATGTTTTGATAAAAAGGGTCTGCTTCCCCTCGACATCTAAGACCTATCCTACTCAGCATCCGACGCGCAGGCAGCTTTCTCACGACGCATCTTGGTGGTCAACATAGCTCAGTGAGCACTTACACCAAGCCTTCACCCTCACTCACGCAAACCATCGTCACAATGGCAGGCGGCGTCGCGCCCCCAGGCGCTCCTCAGCTGGTCGGCGGCTACCTCACCGGCCGCGCCCTCATCTTCCCTCTCTCCCTCGTCATCTCCCTCTTCTTCCTCTGGGGCTTCTCCTACGGCCTCCTTGATGTCCTCAACAAGCACTTCCAGACGGTCCTCGGCATCTCCAAGCTCGAGTCGACCGGTCTGCAGGTCATGTACTTTGGTGGAGGTTACCTTCTCTTCTCCCCCGTGGCCGCAGAATGCCTGAGCCGCCGCGGCTACAAGTTCACCATCCTCATGGGTCTGGGGCTCTACTCCCTCGGCGCCATCCTCTTCTGGCCCGTCGCACACGCCTCCACGACGACATCCAACACCCGCGCCATCTTCGGCGGCTTCTGCGTCTGCACGCTCGTCATCGCCTGCGGTCTCGCGACACTCGAGACCGCTGCGAACTCGTACGCTGTTGTCATCGGCAAGCCCGAATCGTCCTCGGCACGCCTGCAGTTCTGCCAGTCTTGGAACGGAGTCGCCTCCTTCATCGGACCCCTCATCGCATCCAAGTTCTTCTTCGAGGGCGAGAACGCAAACTCCCTGACCAACGTCCAGTTCGTTTATCTCGCAGTCTCCTGCGCGGGTGTAGCTGTTGCCGTTTTGTTCTTCTTCGCCCGCCTTCCGGAGGTGGTGAAGGAGGAGGTCGCCGAAGACGCCGACCACCCCAACGTTGACGTCCAAGGCCCAATCTACAAGCAATACAACCTCATCTTCGCCTGCTTCGCCCAGATCTGCTATGTCGGCAGCCAAGTTACGATCGCGACCTTCTTCATCAACTACGCGCACGAGAACGGTGGCTTCAGTACCAGCCAGTCCTCCAACATGCTCTCGTACGCCCTCATGACCTTCACCGTGGGTCGCTTCGTCGCGACCGCCCTGGCGACGGTGTTCCAGTCCGACTTCCTGCTCGTCGTCTACGCCGTCTGCGCCATCGCTCTCAACGCGTACTGCGTCGCGGGCCGGGGCGGCGCCGCCGTCGGCATCCTCATCGCCCTCTTCTTCTTCGAGGCCCCCATGTACCCCTCTCTCTTCGCTCTCGGCACGGCCAACCTCGGCCGCCACACCCAGCGCGGTGCCGGTATCATGGTGCAGGGTGTCGTCGGCGGTGCCATCTTCCCTCCCATCCAGGGCGCGATCGCGGACGCCGCCGGCACGCGTACCTCTTACGCCGTTCCCCTCGTCGGCTTCGTCTGTGTTCTGGGATACGTCACGACTCACTGGCTTCGTAACGGCCGTCACATCATGCGCGTTAAGGAGACGCCTGTTGCTGAGACGGAGGCTGTTGAGGACAAGGTTGCGCTTGAGGAGAAGAAGGACACCGCTGCTTGGGTTGAACGCGTGTAAGGCATGAAGCAGTATGACGAGACGATGATTCATATAATGTTATGAAAGAGCCAGCGACGCAGCGTGGCATTAGATTTCAAGTAATACAAAAGCAGTTTTGCTATCCGGGCAGTTGCCCCGCTCCGAAGCCTTTCCGCCAATCGGACACTACTGCCCCGTTCGGCGCCGGCCGATTGGACCCATATTAATTCCCCCGGGCGGCCGAAAGCCGCCGGAGAGTGGGTACACTGCCCGGCGAGCAAAACTCATGGAAAAAGACATCTAGACGTTTTCCATTCCCCTCCTTTTTGACGCCAAAGCATCCAATCGCTCGCTGTATCCCTCGTGTATCTCCCAAATAAACTCCTGAGAATCCTCCCACTCACTGAGTGGAGGCATTAAGATTTCCCACGCGTCCCCAATCCCCATTAGACATTACAAGCCTTCAAGACTTTTATATCAACAGCGCCATCCCCGCCACGAAGCTGACGGCCACCGCCGCCAACATGGTACATCCACCACCGATTCTTCCAGCGTCACCCATCGCGTTCGCACTATGCGAGAGTAGCGGCTTCTGCGCGACAACCCGGATATTGTACGCGAGCTTGTCCCTGTCCGGCGTGTACGTCGCCTCGGTAAAGTTGCACTGGCTCATGATGAAGTCCATGTCTGGGAGTTGTTAGTTCCACTGTCCCTAGAAGGAGATAAAGGGAGGAATTGACTCACCGTTTGCCCGGTTGTACGACTTCCGAATACAGCTCTGGCACATCCCCGCCAACAAATTCACGTCGAAGCTCTTGTTCCCACATATGCAGTTCTTCTCCGCAGTCTCCTTGTCATCCGGCTGCTTCTGATCCGGCTCTTTCTTCCCAGGCCCCTCGCCCATCACGGGCGCGGCACTGGGTGTCGGCGAAGGAGTGGACTGCTGCGAAGGGATTTGCGGCGCCTGCGCAGGCGGCGGCTGTTGTTGCACCGGAGGCCGCGGGGGCGGTTGTATCGCCGGCGGTTGCTGCGGAGGCGGTGCCGGCCGCGGTGGTGGTGCTACCACCGGAGGAGGCACGATCACCGGCGGGATCGACACTTGAATCGGAGGGAGTGTCGGTACTAGTGGCGCTGGGACTGTAACTTGAGGTATTGGTGGTAGTGACGGGGCCGGTACGGTGAGGAAGACTGTCGACGTCGGCTGTGCGAATACCGGGACGACCAACACCGAGGTCGCCTGTGGCGGCGGCGGCGGAGGAGGCGGAGGCTGTTGCGGCGGCGGCGAAGACGACGAAGACGACGACGGCGTCGGCTGCGCTACGTCCGAAGGAGTGACCTGCACGCCGGGCGTAGAAACCTGCGGATCCTGCGCCGAGGCGACCAAAGGCAGCGAAGCGATGAACACGGGCGACGCCTCCGGCACCGCCGGCTGCTGCGCGTCCTGCGGCTGCGGCAGCTGCTGGAACTCGCCGTTCGACGAGGGCACCGCGTCGAGGGCAGGCAGCGTGGGCGTCGCCTCGACGTCCGCCTGCACCTGGTTCGGTCTGCGGTGGTGATGCCGGCGCACGACTCTCGGCTCGGGGGCGGCGGCGCCGGGGGCGTCGACTTTCCGCCTCTTCAGCCGCCTCAGCTCGTCGAAGGAGTTGTCGACGTCGCACTTGAAGGATAACTCGACGATGGGCCCGCATATCGTCGCGCATTCCACGGGCACGTCGTCGATCTGCAGCTCCCGCGCGCTCGTGAGCGCCGCGAGGCCCGAGAGGACCAGGACCGAGGCCTCCGTCCCCTTCATTTTGCCGCACAATCACAACAGATGAGAAGAGAGGAAATACGACAATCGGTGATAGTCACAGTCGCCGATGAGGTCGGTCTGGTAATTCTCGCCCAGCTTCGACCGAAGGATCGTCGTAAGAGTCGCTCATCCGCACATCATCCAAAAAAAGGAGCTGCTGCGTTATGCCCGTGGACAAGACGACCGCCACCCCAGAAGCACGACCTATATCAGACAGCCCAGCAGTCTCTTTCGTCCACTCACTCATGCTGCCTCGTGCGACTTGCATATCCTCCCGCCACGCATATCGCCGCACTGCCAAGCAGATGAAACGAAGCTGGCCCCAAGATTACCATTCAAGAAAAAAAGGTTGGACGGAAAGCCAAACCTCCCTGCTCCCAACTGGGCAGGCCAGGAACCGACCTGTCAACGATCAGCTACGCATACCTTTCTCGCACTCTAAACACACACACACACATACAAGGTTGGGGCCAGGCACCAGCTGAATGCTTACATCCGGTTCGAACGATTCAATCCAACTCGTCTCGGAAAGCGTCTCCAAAGAAACCCACACCGAACCAAGTTAAACTTCTCAGGTTCCCCTGGCCGGTAAGACGGCATCCCATCAGAACCTGAGGCCTAGCGCGCCCGGCTGGTTGCGTACAGCGACGTGAAACGGCGCGAACAGACCACCGGTCGCCAACTTCTCCCAATCGCATTACATTGCGGCGAGCGTGGGGTTCTCTCCGGGGCGGCACGGGCTGGGATGAATCGAGATGCAGAAACGGCCTTCGCTGGTGTTCTAACGGCTTCAAAATGCTTGGTTGGACCGAGTTCGACGTGGGCACAGCTTGAGGCCGTTCCGAGGCCCTGGCCCCGGATGACGAAATATGCGGAGGATTTTTACGCAGTTACTTACTTGGATGTTCTAGCGTACCAAGCGTCAAGCGTGGGGTCGAAACGATCTCCTTGAGGGGCAGAAGATTATGTGAATCTCTTAATTCCCCGGCTTCGTCGATCCCAACGTTACGTGATCAAAGACCAGCCAGATATTCAAGAATTTCCTCCATCATCTCACAAAACAACGCAGATCGACCTTTCCACAGAGGGGCTCGAGAAGAAGGGCTTCCGAAGTCTCAAGTCCAACTCGTTGGAATCCTCAGACGAACCCGGGGCCCGGATGTGACTGGCTCCCTCGTTCGATTCGGTTGGGGTTTTGGAAAAGTTTACCGTTTGGCCCTAGGGGCGGAAACTATCTCATGTTGTGAAACGGGCAGCAGGGCAGGGAAGCCCGGATGATAAAGGCGCATCAGATGCGGGTAGCGGTTATCCAGCCGAGTAAGTCGCCTGCGCGGCGGCCGGTCCATGCCGTCACGGCAGTTTTCCTTTGGTTCTAGTGCTGCTTCAAGTTCTCAACTCAACTTCTTTTAGTGGCAGAGGTATCTCTAAACTCTAAGAACGTGTGCCTCGTCCATCCGCCACCCGTGAGGTAGTGGCCGATATGTCGATATTATGGTATATGAAAATAAGCAAGTGCAATGCAGCAATAGAGCGTGAGAGGCAGTCAAGCTTGTAATGCGACTCAACTCCGCCCCCGCCTCCCAACACTCTCAACCCTCACCCCGAGCCCGGCCATCGCCCCGGCATCGATCACCCCCCGGCCGTCAAACACCCACCTCGGGATCTGCATACGCCCCGCCACCCTCGCCCAGTCGATCTTCTCCTTGGCTCTATACTCCTCCGTCCCCATCCCCGTCGCGAAACCCGACACCCTGCAGTCCGCCTCCGCCCTGCAGTCGGGACAGTCGGACGCGCACCCGGGCTCCGGCACGTAACGCCCGAGCGGGTCGTCCAGGGCCTCCTCCCTGCCGACGAGGTAGCGGTGCAGCGCGAGCACGTCGGACTGGCGGATCTCGAGGCTCCGGAAGGGTCGCGGGTCGACGTCCACCCGCGGCTTCGTCGTCGCACGAGGAGACGCGGTGGTCGGCGTCGCGGGCGCGGGCTTGTTCCGGAACTCGTCGAACTCGGTCGTGACGAGCACCGCCACGCTGTCCTCGCACGCGTCGTACGCGTTGCCGTAGACGGCGAGCGGCCCGCCGTCTTCCCTCAGCGGGCTCGGCGAGCCGCACAGCTGCCGGATCTCCTCCCTGATGACGAGCGGGTTGCAGCAGGGGTCGAAGACGGCGATCTCGCGGGGCCCCTCCTCCAGCAGCGTGCGGATGATCTCCAGCGCGGGCGCCTCCCTCGTGTCGCTCGTGTTCTTCTTGAACGCGTACCCGAGGACCGTGATCTTCTTCCCCGCCAGCGTGTTGTGCAGGCACTTGACCACCCGCTTCGTGAACCGGTCGCGGGAGTACTCATTCATCTTGACAACCTGGCGCCAGTACTCGCCGACCTCGTCCAGGTCGAGGCTCTCGGCCAGGTACACCAGACTCAAAATGTCCTTCTTGAAGCAGCTGCCGCCGAAGCCGATGCCGGCTTTCAGGAACTTGTCGCCGATGCGCGGGTCGCAGCCGACCGAGGCGGCGACCTCGTCGACGTCGGCGCCGGTGCGCTCGCAGATGGCGCTGATGGAGTTGATGCTGCTGACGCGCTGCGCGAGCATCGAGTTGGCGACGAGCTTGGCGAGCTCGGACGACCACACGTTGGTGGTCAGGATGCGGGGGCGGGGCACCCAAGCGGCGTAGACGCCGGCGAGGGCCTCGGCCGCGCGCCGGCCGGAGGGCGTGGCGGTGTCGGAGCCGATGAGGACACGGTCCGGGTGGAGGAGGTCGTCGACGGCGGTGCCGGCGGCGAGGAATTCCGGGTTGGAGAGGATTTCGAAGTGGACCCCGGGGCGGTGTACCGCGAGCTGTGAAAAGGATGTTAAGTCTCGTTTGAGATTCTAGTGTCACGAGTGTATACTCACAGTCTCCCGTACGAGATGCGCGGTCCTGCACGGCACGGTCGACTTCTCGACCACGATCGCCCCGGGCCGTGCATGTCTCGCGACCTCGGCGGTGACGGCCTCGAATGCCGTCATGTCCGTCGCACTGCCCGCGCCGTGGCCCCGGGTTTTGGTGGGCGTGTTGACCGCGACGAGGATCACGTCCGCCTCCGCTATGCACTCTGAAACCCGCGTCGAGAAGAACAGGTTGGGTTCTCGCGCGGGGACGACCGTGACGGTGCTGCCCTCGCCGCCGCATTGACTTCCGCACTCGGACGTGGCCGACGACGATGTCCCCGACGAGATGTTGACGTTTCTTGCTTTCGTCGTCGTCGTGGGCTCGCCGGAAAAACTGATCTCTTTGGCGCCGTCTCTCGCGACCCTGACGATGTCCCGGAGGCCGGGCTCGTAGATGGGGGGATGCCTCGAGTTCCACCTGCGAATGCGCCGCTCGTCTCTGTCAACGACGGTGACTCTGATATGCGGGTTTTGAAAGGCGATGACCGCCGCCGTTGGACCGCCTATTCGTAGTCAGATATGAAATCCCCATGATATGTGTGTTCATTCACTTACCCACGTATCCGGCTCCCACACAGCAGATATTGCGGACGACGATGTTCGGTGTAGTGCTTAGACCGGACCGCCCATCGGTCTCTTTGTTCTCCAAGCCGGCGAGCTTCTCCCCTTCAACACTTTCGCCATCGCAGTCCACCTCGTGGGAATACTTCAGCACGGGACTGAAAGAGCAGCTCCCGTCCGGAGTCGTCGGCACCGTCGAGGGTTCCCGGAAAACACTCTCCTCCGAATCGCCCACCGAGGCAAACGTCACGTAACCTTCGGACATTGTCGCCCAGGAAACGCGCCAAAGAACCAAAAACAAAGAGCGCGCCGAAAGAAGACAAGAAACTCAACTCAACCCAACTCAAAAAAGAGCCTGCAGGAAATGCAACTCGTATATAGCTGAGCGGGCAGAATATTCCACCGAACAATGACAACCGGCTGGATGGGGATATGGGCCGTCCGATATGAGTGGTGTTCGTTTCACCAACCGGTTCGGGAAAGGTCGACGTTGGAAACGACCGTGCGGAAACGAACTGGTAGGCGGGGAGAGAGAATCTGACGTGGCTTTCGAGAACCGCGCCGTCCGATGAAGGGGGGGATAGTAGTAGTGATCAGATAGCTTGACGCGCGTAAGGCGGGTTGGCGTCGGGCGGCATGAAAAAGACTATTGAAAATCTACTCGAGTTGCCGTGGTTCCGTGATCTGTGAGCTTGAAGCCTCCGGATATGGCGGCGAAGGGAGCACAGGTGGAGGGAATCTAGATTGACGGCCGGCGGCTTTTCGATAGTCGAGTCAGTTTAGGGGAAACGGGGGTGATTGAGGTGACGAGGACTGTTTAAGTACTTTGACAGCTTTGACGGGTGACGCGTAGGAGGGGCGGCGGTTTAATTGCTGGATTGTGAATATGACGTTGCTGTCGGGCGGAGATGAGAAGTTAAGAGCATGCGCTCAATATGCCGGCGATGCTTGCTTTACCTTGGAGACGGAGTCTAGATGGCAGACCACGTCGAGGGATGAAGGTTGTATAAGTTAGACAGCTCAGTGATGGGTATTTCACAGAATACGTCTTTGAAGGTCGATGCTGCGGCCGTGAAGGACTCCTATGCCGATGGCCCTCTAACCAACAGGAGAAATCTGAAGTAGTGGCGAACAGGATTGATGACACGCGCCGGAGCCGCTCCACGCCTGTCCAAAGACTTCATGTTGTAAGTTGATCAAGGTTGCACGGTACCACGCCAAGGCGCAACAGCTCTCGCGGCCGACGTCGGTATCAAACCCATCACGTTGCCCCTCATCGCGATACCCCTCCATCAAACGTATCTCGGCACGAGAATCCCATGCGGAGGGGTGATTCGCGCTCGTCCTCCCCCGATCACAGAAGAAGCCTATTCGGAGGGGTTTGACGGTCGGAGTTGGGACCGCCGACGAACGGCACCCAACCGGCGAGACCACGGGCATCCAGGCCCGGGCTGCCATTCGCCTACTTCACGTCTTCAAACGCCCGATCGAGGAGAGGTCATGCGGGTTTGGAATGGATTAGCTTCTTCGAGGTCGCAATATTCTCTCAAAATTCCCAAGTCATGTAACAGTCGTGTTATCGATTGGCTCTCGTCCACCAGAGGGGCAGTGTGCCGCGATTGACGCTTCTGATTGGCTGTTCGAATGCGATGCTGCATGCGTCGTGATTGTCACCGGTTCGACTTACGGACGCAAAGGAAATCCGAAGAAGGGGAAACGTGATGCGGGAATTGGTGTGCTTGATCAGATGAACGAGGTAGGGCCATGTCTCTGGATGATATTGAGGGGGGCACAAGAAGGCAACACATCCCTTCCTTGACGGTAATAATGAGGGCGGATTTCGACCTTTTTTCCGTCACCAGAACCACCCACAATGCTTCGACGAGAGATCCGCACTGAGAGCCGCCAACCAACATTGAATGTAGAAGCCATCGCGTATCTTGATGAGGAATCGAACGGGCGTGAAGCGTGTACAAAGATTGGTTGGCTGATGTCGTCTCTCCTTGTCACCCATGACCATGACCATGACCATGACCAAGACCGGAATGTTCAGGGCCCTAAACAGGTACCTTACAGCCCAAAATTGGCTTCTGGACCCTGCAGAATGCCATGCTAAGCAGCCCCCGCCCCCCACCTTAGCTCTCAGCGACGGGAGCCATCGAAGCTCCCCATGTGGCCCAGCCAGCTTTATCGACAGGCTCGATGTTGACGCAGCTGTAAACTGCACATCACGAGACTATGCGTGGTGTCACTCGCGCGCTGAAGTTGTCTCCCCGGTGGCTATTTTCTCGGTCTTCGGGAATATTTGCCATGCTCTCGCTGTGCAGGTAGATATCTTGGGGCCAAGCACCCTTGGGGCCTCGGATAGGTTGTCTCCCTCTCGTCGCATACAGCACTAGATCTTTGATTCTGAAGTCCTGCGCCTCTAGTAACTGTCATCGTTAAGACTCTTGTCTCCTTGGATTCTTCAACGCAAAGACTTGAGACATCTCTAGGTACGGCCCGGGATTTCTGCACCGTCTCGGTTGGTGTTTGCGACTGACGACGTCCTCAGACCTGCTCGCCGCTATGGAAGAGGACCCTCTCCTTCCCAGGAGTTACGGCACTATGCCTCGGTATCCCGCTCACGACAACGCAGTCTTCCCGCCTTCATTACGAGGGAAGCGCATCCTGCTCTGCACCGAGTCCTTTGGTCCTGTCAATGGAGTTAGCAGAACAACGCTGATGCTTGTGGAGCATCTTCGATCGCAGGGCGCACTCGTCGCCGTCGTCGCGCCGCACAACCACACAAAGCACAACACATTCTTCCCCTCTTCGAACACCGACGACAGCCAGGTCGAAGTGCGCCTCACGGGCTACCCATTACCGTTCAACCCGGAGCTCTCGGTCGTGTACCCCGTGCGCGTGTCGACTCTCTTCTCGAGGACGTTCGGTTCAGACACCCCTCCCGACCTCATATATCTCGCCTCGCCCGCGTCGCTCGGCTTCCAGGTGATGCTGCAACTACAGCAACAGCCCAGGGAAAAGCGCGTGCCTGTCATCTGCAACTTTCAGACCGACCTGGCAGGATACTGCGCCATTCTCTTCCCTCATCCATTCAGCACCTTTGCGGTCTTCGCCTTCTCCATGGTTCAGAGCTTTCTGTTCCGGCACGAGTCCGTCAAGACCGTCTTCTATCCTTCACGCTTCGTGCGCAGATATCTCGAGGCCCAGGGCGTCCAGGGTTCCAAGATGGAGCTTCTGCAGCGCGGTGTCACCACCGACGTGTTCCGGCCGGAGCTGCGCAGCGAGGCGCTGAGAAAACAGATTGCCCCCAACGGGGAGATCATCCTGATATGCGTCTCCCGGGTGGCGGGCGAGAAGGGCTTTGGCTTCTTGGCCCAGGTCGCCAAGGAGCTTGACGCGCGCGGTCTGCGGTTCAAGCTGTACGTTGTCGGGGGCAACCGGAATCCGGACGTAGAGAGAGAGGTTCACGAGATGTTTGATCCTCTGAGGGAGCAAGGCAAGGTCATTTTCGCGGGGTTCAAGACGGGCAACGACTTGGCGACCGCGTATGCGTCGGGGGACATCTTCCTTCACTGCTCCATCACCGAAACGTTTGGCCTCGTCGTGCTCGAGTCGATGGCCAGCGGCGTGCCTGTCGTCGCAAGAGACGAGGGCGGGCCGAGCGACATCATCGAGGACGGCCGCTGCGGATATCTCGTGCAGCCGGACGACCTCAACGCGTTCGTCGATAAGGTCATGTACCTCTCCAAAGACCGAGACTGCCGACAGGCCATGGCGGTGCAAGCCAGGGCGAAGGCGTGCGACGCATCTTGGGAGAAGATCAACAACCAAGTCGCCTGGCGAATGGCCGACACCATCGAGCAGCGTGAGCGCGAGAAGGCTCAGATCGTCCACCAGCGGATGTCGATCGCCATGCAAGCCAGCAGACTGGTGCCCATGTACAGCTGGTTACTCATGAACAGTGCCGTGCGCGATGTCTTGGTCGGGAGAGTGGTGGACGCCAAGCTCGCCGGCGGGTTCTCAGTTGTCATGGTGTTCTGGTGCTTCACGGGGATTTATTTGGCCTTCACCGAGGTCAGCCTCTGGGTCAAAGGCGTGCTGCCACGGGTTTGGGGGCGAGCACGAGGCCAGGTTGCCGCTTGATACCCAGGGAAGAAGTGAGACGTCATGTTTGATTTGCGATGCGAGGCGTTCATCCCGGGTGCGGGCATTTTCTGTGGCTTGGTACCGGTGTTTGGCGAATGTTTGGTAGTATCGAGAGGGGCTTGAAATTTAGCGAACCCCCCTCGTCGTAGGCTGTTTGGACTCAATCAACGAATTTGACATGACTGTCACCGTCGCATCAATCATGGCGCTTGCCGTGATAGCCAGCTCCCTTGAGTGGCCGCGTCACTGTAGATCCGTGGACGCCAATAGCGCAGAGCAGAGCGCAGGCGGCCAAGGAGTCGAGTCTCTCGGCAAGTGACCGCATCGCCACCTTAATACGACGACTGCCGTTATCGCCAGGGAGGCGTTGCGGAAGGTGGGAGTTGGAGCCGCGTTGAGGGCAGTCCGCGAACCGGTCCAGGGTCCCGAAACAGGTCGCACCAAGCAGACCCAGGCGTGTGTGACGATGTTTCGGGCGCTGGCAGACGACGAAGTTGGTGCTGGATTGCGTTGGTCTCACTGCGATGGCTTCATTGCTTTTGTCGGCACGGGAGCGATAAACCGAATAGTGTTTGCTGCTCATCCGGCAGATGGCGATAGATCGTGGGGGATGTCGCTGATAAAGGACGATCGACGATTCTTCAGTGAGGGCGGTCCAGGCATTGGAACCTCAATATCCGGGACCCATCGGTGAGGGCCCATGAGTTTTGTGCGCCCTCCAATGATTTGCGGTTCTGAGCGACGGGACAATTAAAAAATTGATGACCAGGGCCGGCCGGGGTTCAGACGAGAGCAGGCCAAGCTTTTGGTGACAGGAGGTTAAAAAGAAGGCAAGGATGTGGTCGAGATGGATAAAAATGTGAAACGGAGAGGCTCACCAAGGGAGAATCCTGAGGGGGAAGGAAGAAGCTGTGGCTTGTGAGAGGTGGTCTTAGGTAATCAGACTGTGCAATGTGGCTGATGATCACAGTACGTACCTTTTCCGCGCGCCTCGGGACAGGCCGATTCTCGGTCGGTCTTGATCGGTCCACTCATATCGCGTCCGGGCGTCGAGAGTGGATCGGTCTGCAGCAGGGAAGTGCCGCTCAGCCGTTCTGGGCTCTGGCCCCTGGTCCGTTTTAAGCAGTGACCCCGTGAGAAAGCCGCATGGGGCTGGCCAGCGCCGCCCTGGATCGCCGTTTCACCTGAGACAAGGGCCGCCGCCTTTCGCGCGGCAGGCGGTAGACGGCGTCGGTGAGTGGCACTGGATTCAGCGGGAGCGGGTGATGACTGTTGTTTTGTCAGGTTTGACGGCCGGTGAAGACGTGATGATGCGGCCATATAGGGGTGATATGGGTTCATGGTGCTAAGTCTTGACTCTTGTAGGGAGTAGAGACTGTTCTTGGAGTTAATATCCGTACAGACCATAATCCGAAATCAACTGGCTGGCAATGACTGATTACGACTTCGTGGCTAACCGCCATCGCCACACCGCCGGGCGTCTGAGACCACCGTCACCGCTGACTTGATCCGATTTTGTGCAGCGGTGGTGGTCATTGGCGGATCGGACAGCTATGCGGCTCGGGAAACCTAAAACCGGTGGCTTTTGGCGCCGAACTCCCTGCTGTGTCACTGTTGATTTGGGTCTCTGCTTTCTTTTGTGATTTTCCTGGCAATTCTCTGGATGGTTTTTGGTGGAAAGAGATGTTGAATTTCTGTGCTGTGCTGTGCGAGAGGCGGTACTTACATTTACGCCCAGATCTGTATGGAAGCAGATGTACCGTCACCCCTGACCGAATGCCCCACACATGAGACCCCAGTGTATCCACCCGTGAACCGACGACAGCCAATGAAAGCGACGGACCAACCAGAAACTGCTTCAGCGCCCGACCCTGCGCCTTCCTCGAACGACGCTTGTTCCATCTCCAGTCGATCCGACAATGCCATGGGCTGGTCGAGGGATAGGCTCAACACTTGCGAAGAGGCTCAGGCACAGCGCACGCCAGCCAAACCTTCCTGTTCTGGCTGTTTGGATAGCCCGTGCTCGATGGAGACGGAGGAGGGCACGAGGTGTCCATCTGACCGTCTCGTTCCGTTCGTGGGTGGACTGACTGGCTACCGTTTCTCTGCCGTATCACGCTTCACATACTTACTGTGCTATACTTGTTCTGATTCGCCAAAACACCCAGATATCCCGTATTCTTGACGCCCTACTGCATACTTCGTAGTACCGCGTAAAAGCAGCTCCTATAAAAAGGAGTATTCCATGCTTATTCCTTCCCTAAAACACGGTAAGCTATCCCCAAAAAGGACTAGGCTCTCCCTCCCCGGCTAACCTTACCTCGACTTACCTCGCAGGGGCTCCATCGCTTCCCGTCCCTCCACCAGCCAAAGCCACCCTTTTCTCCCTGATTTCCCTGCTCTTGTGCCTTTCAACTTGAACTTGGCATCGCTCATTACGACGCTGCATTTTGTGCTCTGCAAGTCTTTGCTCCTTTGACATCAAGTCCTGGTCTCCGTATTTATCCTTATCACGTCCAGTAAGTCTCCATCTGTCTTCTCCGTGTTTACCCAGGCCGTTTCCAGGTTTCCAGTTTCCAGTCTCCAATTCCTGGTTCATAGTTCCCACAACCAAGAGTCCCTGCGCCTCTCTCGTTGCATTTCCCGTCTCACAAAATCACAGACCACACACTCGCTCTCCCGAGACGTTCCTCCTCGCATCCACGACCAAACGGTAGACGGCACACACCAGACACCAGAGCCTCATCCCTCCCGTCTTACCCAGTCTGACTGTGGCCTCCCTGGTTTCCTCAGTCGCATCACGCCTCAGATCCTCTCGGACCCCCGTCACCTACCACCCCGCCACTGTCTGAGTCTCTTCCCAAGACTCCCTTTCACACAGTCTTTTCGACTGTTACGGTCTCCCTGGATCCTCACAAGCCACCATTCGCGTCCATCCCCCCTCAGCCCTGTTGTGGACCTCAGTGTGTCAGGCCATTGCTCCTCTTGTCAGGCACCACGATGGTCGCTGCATGACACAATTCCTCCCACACGTCTCCTGTTTGTCAAAGGTCCAGCCCTGTACCGACGTCCAGAGCCCTTGCCCGTTTATCGACGTTTAATCTCCGTCCTTATTGTATCCTCGCCACCCAGACCACTCCGCCTTCTTTCTCTTCCTGCGCCTTTCCGAGTCGAGTCGACCTGACTATCGCGCGACCAACCCGAGTCCAGCTAGCCAGCAATTTACGCATTTCCTCCCCTTCTACGGGCAGGTCCCTTATTTTTTTTAACATTTTTCTTTCTTTCCCTTCCTCGTTGTCGACTACCCACGCCCTTTTCACGATATCCGATTCGACTCGATTCGACACGACTGAACGCCAACGTCCGACGACTCGTCTCGATTCAATTCCCGTCGTTAACGATCTTCCACCGGCAAACCCGCCGCTCTTCAACTTCAAATCGACCGATCGGCTCCGCTTCCGGGCACGCGAGGAGGTGGACTCGATTTTCGCTCTTTAGCAGCATTCGTCTTTTCTTCAATTCGCTTCGATTCGCCGCCGGCCGGGACCCGACTTTGTTGTAATTAGATCTTGGCGACGCCATTTCCCATCATCTGCAGCCCCGATCCACCTTTTCTCGGCTCCGACTCCATCATCAAATTAATACCATCACCGCCCCGACCGCTCCCGCCATCTAAGCTTACTTTCTAAAACACCATCACCGATACCACGACCGACCATGTTCTGGAAGGTGGCTGTCACCACGGCGGCGCTGGCCTCGAGCGCCTGCGCCGAGATCCGCCCGCTCGCCATGGATCCCGTTATCGAAGTCAGGGCCGTCGATGTGTTGGAGCGAAGTTACGAGGACATTGCGAACCGCTACGTCGAGAAGCGTCAAAACATGGACGTCAACGCCGAGTGGGTTCCCAAGGCCGCCGAGGTCAAGGTCAACGCCGATGGTTCTATCAACATGACGGCCTGGGAAACGGAAACGTCGGCCGCCTGTACATCAGCGCTCTCTCACCTCGATGCCGCCTCGAACCCCTCGGGAACCTGCATTTGCTATAACTTGCCGAGTCTCGACTCCAAGACCGGTGTTTTCGAGGCCGACCTGCGGTTGTTCAAGGTCTCCGAACCCGCCGGTGCTTTCACTGGTATCCCGCCGCAAAACATCCAGGTCGGTCTGTCCTTCAACGGCGCCTCCGTGTCGCCAGTGAGCGCCAACAGGATTGCCGGGACCGGATCCGTCCGCCGCGACATGGCTCGCGAAGTGAGCTTCGAGGTTCCCTGGAACGGACTGCACAAGCGCGTCGTCACCCCTCAAGCTCTTCAGTCGTACCTCTTCGTCGGCCAGATTGACACGAGCAGAATGGTGGCCCCCATGTCCATGTACGTTCTCATGTTCCCTATCCACGACTACTATGCTCACAGAATTCAGGTCACAATTGGAGGCCCTGGTCATGCCCACCCTCACGCTCACCGGCGTCAACGCCGCCGGCCAGACCGTCAGCACCAACGTCTCATCCAACGAGGCCTCCTTCATCACCGGCGTCTTCTCCAAGGAAATCGTCCGCTCCGATCTCGCCATGGCCCAAGCGGCCGTCGACGAGGTGGTCGCCGGCCTCAAGAACGGCACCGTCGCCTTCGTCCTCCCCGGCGTCCAACTCATGATTTTCCCCGTCGGCCTGGTCGTCACCGGCACGTGGCTTCTCATCGGCCTCGCATTCTACGGCTTCGGCACCTACGAGCGCATGGGCTACGCCGAGAGCTACAAGAGGAGACGGGCCGTCGCGGGCGACACGGCTAAGCGCATCTAAGAAAATCACCCGTCGGATGTAGGAATACGTAGTGAATCCCCGAGGAAAGTGATCGGGCAGTCGGAAAACCCGACCCCGGTTATTGTAGGATTGGGGAATATTTTCGCCCGTGGTGGCGGAGGCATCAGCATCAAGCAGCAGCGTCAAATTACTTTTTTTTTTTTTTTCATCATCTTCACCTGGCTCCCCTTTCGCACAACCACCGTCGGGAAGCCCACTTATCTGTCGTAAATAGTTGGATGTCATTTTTACCTCGCTATAGAAAAGAATATCCACAAACAAACCCAGTGAAGACTGCTTTTCACCTGTTTCCTCCCCCCGCCTTAACCACAAGTGCTCGTCCTCTGTGATGGTCCCTCGGCGTGTTTGGAAAGGTAGTCGGTTCTGCGGCTGTTGTGCGACGTGCCGCAGTTTTGGGATAGTTTCAGCTTGGGGGCGCCGGCGAATACGACGTCACCTCCGTGAGGTGTGGAGGGGTTTGATCGGACGATTTTCAGCCACACGTGGCTTGCCAGGGGGAGGATCGTGAGATGGATGTGAATAACCAGCATTTCATTGGCCCACTAAGTTCAAGACTTAATTGGGCATCTTGGCGTCTCGTCATTCTGCCTCATGAGCTCGGTTCCAATATCGTGTTGCTTATGGGATTCCTGGTGCGAGACTGAGTACTGGCACGACACCGTACACGGAATCATTTGTGAAGTGATCTCGATCCGACGATATGCCAAGCTGTACATAATGCAGCCCCTCCACCGGATTGTGTCGCGAAAGGTGTAAGGGAGAGGAACCGGAGATATATCGGGGACCGCAGAGCCGGTTCAGCCGGACGACGCCGTAGTCTAACATGTGGAGGGAGAAGGATACTTCCACCGGTCCTCCTCATTGACGAATGGGAATCGAGCTCTTGACGGCTCTTCATGATTCCCAGTTAGTCCAGCCGCATCCTAAAGGATCTCCATATCATCCTAAAAGCCCAATCATCGCCGCTGGACGACGGGGCTTCAAGATGCAGCACGAGAGCTTATACGTGGGACTTTGGCGTGCTCATTGGTTGAGCGTCGTTGAACTCTTTCCGTCTGGGTGGTTTAAGTGCTTACTCTGCCTGGGATCGATTGGCTTTCCTGTCGAATCCCTCAGGGGTGAAGTTATTCTGGGGTATGTGAAGGATGGCATTCCCGAGGACAAATTTCCATATCTGTGAGTAGGGACGACGGTTACTTTCCCGCCCTCGGAGAATTTCTCGTCTGGAGACGGGAGGATCTCCGCGCCATCCACTCTGCTGATCACCACGAGACCGAGGTTGATGGTGATGGTGATGGGGAAATTCTGGTCGTCTCTGCGGTCCCTTGGACTGAGCTGAGTGAGTTGTATGTTTGAGAGATATGAAGTGCAGATTCGTCACATGCCTCCCCGAACAGGGTTCCATCTTGTCCATGGGGACTTCTTCCAGACCATAGAAACACGTGATTCATGCGGATTTCTTTTAGAAGGTCCGGTGGGAGGATTGGACGGTCGGGAATGTATGGTTCGGGGGCCGGGAGGGGGGACCGCAACTTCCGGAGGCCTCCGGAGTCGGCGGGTGAGGTCGTTAGAAGGAGAGGCTTGGATTTGGTGAGGATTTCTTGTGAATGAGAATGTCTTGCACTAGTCCGTATATGTGTGTCAAAATGACAGACCATTTGTCTCTGAAAAGTGAATTAGTGACGGGTTTATGATGGATGTTATCATCAGCTTCAGTACCGTCGCACAAGCACCTACGATTTAGACAGTTTTCTTGAGTCTTACCGTTATCATTCTATTTGGTTGCTTTAAATACCATTTTATCAAGCTGTGGCGGTTCCTACATTCTCATAACGCTATCTATCAGAGTCTATAAAGCAATGTGTAAAAAGAGGAAATAAATAAATCCGCCTATTATATTTGACCAAATGTGAAAGATAATAACGAAAGTTGAACTTTTAGTGACGAATCTCTTATTCAATGGGCCGAAAATGAATCAAATTGAGGTTCTATGGGATTAATAACTTATTTTACCTCCCTTATTGCAAATCCTCACTTTCAGGCTCCTGTGTCGTAGACTCTCATCTGTTTTCAACGCTCTCACCCTACTCATGAATGCCCTCTCACTTTGATAGTACTACTCAGATGTCAAACACACTGAAAGATTACAGATGGCCAACAGCGTCAATTATGCAGTCCTCATGCCTGAATGCCGTGGGACGCGATCTGGGACCTGCACATCGGTGGGTTTCCAGCCACTACGTGACCCCCTAAAGTCCCCGGAATTTCATATTATATCTGATAACAGATGAATTCATGATTTAGCAGCGTTCTACACGAACCACATCAAAATCAACGGCCATTTATCAACAGCCCCAGCTGTTAAAAGGCTCGACACACATGAAAGCAAAACTGGGGGAGGGCATTTCATCTAGGTTACTCTGAAAACACTATTCCAGCACATTCAACAAGGTCTCATAACTTGCCATCATGCAAATCAAGCTCCATCTGAATAGTCCAAACTTGTTCTTCGGTCCCGCCTTCTCGCCGGAACTTATCCTCGACGGACCCCCAAGGCCACTCACTCGCCATGTGGGTTCTCATGCTCCCATGCTCCACCACCACCACTGACCCAATCCACTATGAGCGTCTCCATGCCCTGGCACGGTCACCAACCATCATTCCAAGCTGGGTTTCCAATCGCCCGGCTAGCTCAATCGGTAGAGCGTGAGACTCTTAATCTCAAGGTTGTGGGTTCGACCCCCACGTCGGGCTCAATTCCCGTCCGCGATTGACCAGCTTTCATTTTTTGGTGCTTTTTATGATGGATGCTCACAGGGTGATTAAGATCTATGAGTTATCAGTCCTTTTTTGCAGGTCTTGTGTGAGTTGTCGTGACGTTTTATGAGAAAAAGGGTGAGCGATGTGAAAACATTTGGATCAAGTTTTTATACTAACTTCGAATGAATATGATGTCTAGAGAACAGGTTAGAATGATGGAGAACATCCCGATGGATATCCTCACGGTCACCTTTCCCGCTATACTCACAGCACATTAAAGATCACTCGTTCTGAGCATAAAAAACCATCTCCCGGATATGCGTCCGTCTGTTCGCAGGTGCCGGAAAGCCATCCATAACAATAGACCGCTTCGGTGGGAGTACATCCGATTACTTTTCGCACCATTAGAGATAACGCATGATTTCTCAATTTCATGTCCCTCATAATGAACGCCGAACGTCCGACGAAAAAGGTCTTCCAGATGTTAGCTCGAAATCTCATAAGCTGAATGCATGGTATTTGGAAGAATGGTTGGGTCATGAGATTCTGATGTGTCTGAGTTTAACAGTTATCATAAGGATCAAATAAAGCATCTGGTCGTTCGAACCTTTGATCCTCATTCATGGTAAATCATGACGCTGAGTGTCATCCATAAGTCAAGCAGAAAGAAACACAACAAAACACGCAACTTTTCTAATATGCGCCAGCGAGTCCAATTGAGTCTACACAAGATGAATCTCCTGGTCTTCATATACCACCAGACCGCGTTAGTATACCTGAAAGTACCTAGGGCGCTGAATCACTCCCGAATGTTCGTAACGAAATTTCTCACGATGGAAGACCAGAAGTCCGTCTGATGAGTTGAAAATCCTCGGCGATAGCGAAAGCATCATCTGAAGTTGCCACATGCCGCGACTCCGCGACTAGATTATGACTCGGCCAGTGCGATTGCATTAACCTTGCCCGCCCACACCTGAAGAACGAGGGAATGCGATAGGCAGAGCTCGTCCCAAATGTCCACACATACTCTGTGCTGGCAGCTACCTTATGTATGACGAGCTTTGGCCATCACCTCATCAACCTGAGTGAAGATGTGAATGACAGGCACTCTGATTGATGGTGTATATGGCGCTTGTTAAGTCGACTGACTAGTCACGCCGGGCGCAGATACTGCTCCTCCTGTATGTACATCAATGGGAGGCCTCAGCATTGCCATTTCATGGTGTCAAGACTCAAGGTCATTGCCAACATCATGGGATGAAGCCCATCCCGGAGGTTGGAGCTGCGGCCTGAAAATGGTGACGATGTAACATCAACTTTCAATGTCAGATGTCAAATTGCACCGGGGCCCAAGTCAATCATGCCTCTAGGACTTAGTGCTGTGGATCGGCGATTGAAGCAGACTTTTCACGTCCAATATCAACATCAAGACAACAATAACAACAAAAGGCGAAAAGACGACACCCACTTCGGGCGGCTAACTACTATCCCATGACGTCATGTCTTGGGGAGTTCGCGGCTTTGTGGTTTCAATGGCAGCCACAATGTGGCTTTACAGATGTGCTGTCGTCGGCTCGGACACGTGGTTTCAAGCGCCAGTTTGAAGGGGAATCGTGGCTCAACATCTCCAACTTCAACCTCCCTTCCGTGCCAAATCTCTCTCTCTACCCGTAGCCGGACGAGGCCTGAAACTGACCAAATGCATCACAATACCAGCCATGTCCAGCAAATTCATGCGGCCCAGCGGTTGCTAGACGCCGGTCCCACGTTCGTGGTAGTCTGCTGCGGTCAGAACTCTCCTTGCTTGCCGAGGCGCATGAATGATGCTCGTTTCTAACAGGGTTCGCCTGTCCACGAGCTTCTCGTCGCCAACACAACATTTTCGCCCGCCCGAAAAGCCGCCCCAAAAGACCCAATGGAAAAGCTGTCGTGGCACAACATCAGACGCAGGACGACCGCAGCCCTGGGATGAAGCCTCGAAAACCTCAACCCGAGGCAAGGAGAATGCTGTCGATATTTGACAGCTGTCACCAGGTTGCCCGGCGACGAGGCGAATTAGCACAGAACAAACCGGAGTGTCACCTCGATGGTGGTGCTATTTGGCGATGGTCGTAGGAGGTAGTTCTCCAGTCTTGACTCAATCTTGGCCCCTCGCCTTCCCTAGCAACATGGCCGTTTGTTAGATGGATGTCATGCGTTGCGAAGGGCGAGAGGGTCCA